TCCGTTACGGAATATCGAGAATCACTCCTCTCGATTATCGCGAGGAAGCCAAACATCTCGTCGAGCTTCTCAAATCTTCTTGGGCTAAATGATTCTTTCGCCAATATATTTAGTTCATGTACATTAGGCCTCGTCTATTTTTGCTTGCCGTTGTGACAAAATACTGTAAACATTTGTCAAGTAGTTGAAATGAAAACGTTCTTTTATCTTTTACGGCGTCCGAGTAAATAGTCAAGGGGGATCTAAAGGATAGTGATATACTTTCCTAAACACCTGCCAGATCACACCGAACCCTTCGAGAGCGATGTCTACCGTTTGTTGTGCGACTGGGGGTAAATCCAAATTCAATGGCCAAGAAAAGGGTAGTACGTCGATGAGAGAAAGCGAGGTCTCATCTGGGGGTGAACTTGGTGTGGGTGCGGGTGTCACTTTTTCCGCGGCTGTTTCCGATGAAATGGGTGATGGAGGCGAGGAAACCGGGGGGAGGAAGGCGGTGTGTGCACTAGAGCCCTGCATCGCCGATGATGATGTCAAGTATGATGTTGATGGCGTTGTCGAGGCTGTAGTGTAGTCAACCGAAGGCTTTGCATGCGTAGGCGCATGGATAGTCGTAGTAATAAACACCGTCTCGATCGACGCCTGAGAATGATGATCGCGCCAAACTGGATCATCAAGTGGCGTACGTCGATCAAGGGACTGCCTCATATGCCTGAATTCAGCTCCGAGGTTAAATAAAACCATGAGAACAAGAAGAGCGGGCGCTGTCCATATCAAAAATTGAAGTAGTTTCCCCAGAAACCGGACGCTGATGTGAAAACGGTCAACGTGCGACTGGGCCCTCAAGGAAAGTGTGGGGGTGAACATTTCTTCCAGTATGTAATGGACCAATCTGCTGCCCTGTTGAGATGCGTGTTGATAAGCAAGGTTGGAACGTAGTAAATGTGCGTCTAGGCCTGCAACACCGGAGTGAGTAAACATCGAGATAAGCATATTCGCTACTTTTACCTGTTGTGGCTTCCACATTAACTTCGAGTTTGCCAACAGACATTGTGAATGTGGGCAGCAGTATGCCCACGTACCCGTCATCCCTGGCTTTGCCTTTTCCTCGGCGGAGACCGTCGGTGGGGGTCTTGACCAAATAGTCAATCTGAACGTCCCCAACGAGATCACCAACGTGCACCCTGACCCAGGCAGCCCAATTCTTGCTTCCTAACTTATCCAGAGAGGATGACAAGTCAACGTTTGACCCCTCCGCGTGCTTGGTAGCTGAGCTTATTTCAAAGCGGACAGGTATGCCGTCGATGCTCGCGCTCGCGATTTCCGCAGAACAGTCAATGGGCGATGCGTTGTCTGCATGTGCGAGTCCAAATTCCATCCAATCTGTCTCCATTTCACATGGAGCTGGATGGGTTACCCGAACAGCATATGCATTGGTAGATGTTGCGTGATCAAAACGCAAGGGTGTCACGACGACCATGACGGAGGGGATCATGAGGGGACCATCCCTTTTTCTTCTCGAAAGGGTGTTAAACATCGGAGGGAGAGACACCCCAGTTGCTACACGGTTCATCCCAGTTGGCGTCCGTGGCCGACTGGGAGGGCGCCTTATATTTTCAAGGGTATCATCTGCTGTAGAATGTCTTGTTGGGATAAGCGACCTCGCTATGGAGCGTAGAGCAATACGCCCTCCGTCAGACCCACAGCGCGACAATCCTCCACGCTGCAGAACAGTCCTGCGTGTCTGTGCATCACGGAGGTTGCCTGATATGTTGTAAACCTCCACTGTTGCGGCTTCACACTCATTGCGGATGATGGTCGCAATTGTTTCTGCATCTGCAGCGAGCACAGAGAATCGGGGCAATACTATGGGGATGGGGTCTGGTTCTTCATCTGAGTTTAAGTTTGAGCCCCCATTGAAAGCACGCGGACGGGATATGACAAGGATTGTGCCAGTGATGTTGAATGTGAAGACATTTTTTGATGGGGGGAGTATATCGTTCATGTTGACGTGAATGGTTAATGATGTTGGGGGATGAGGAATGCTTTGTACATCTGAGTTCGCGCGGCTACGTCCTTCCGAAGTCAGAGGCATCGAGCTGATGGATGACAGAGTGCCCGAGGGTGTCAGAGAAGTCGGGGAACCCTCGAAAGAGTAGTCTGACACCTGGTCTCCTGGAAGCGGCGCACGCAATAAGGATGAGGTCGAGCCGGCCGATGAACTAGAGTCGTGTCGTGTGGCTAGCATAGGTGCTTGGAGTCGCGAATTCGGATACGATTCCAATGGCGACGACTGAAATTCCAGCGAGGCTTGCCTCGAAACCGGTGTCGATGGGGGGTTGACGTCGAAGCCCGTATAACCTGCACCTCCTGTGACAGTCCAGGTCGGTTCTTCTGCAGGTGCCCAAATGACATCGGATCCTCGCGCCTCCAGCCCTACATCCATACCCAGCATCGTTGCCACACCAGGAAACCAAACACCTTTCGCCGTTCCCTTGTACTCCAGTTTCATCAAGATGCCCTCCCTTCCACTCGCGGGATCGCTGTCCTTTCCAAGAACATGACATGTCATTTCGCCCTTCACCTCTTTCACTCCTACGCGCCGCCGGCCATCTTTACTGTCCATAGTCTTCATGGGTGCTGCCCAACGAACACGAAGACGATCTGCAGATGGGAATGTCCCTAGGACAGCAATACCGCCAGAGCTTCTGTCCGTGTAAGCGGAAGAGTCAGACGACTCATCGTCTGCCATGTCTGCGTAGGACCCTGATCGCGAAGGACGAGTCGTCGTTCGTGTGACGTGAGGCTCAGACGTAAGCTCCCATGCGCCGGGATCCTCTTCTGCAGAAGAAAGAGAGGCAAATGAGGAGGATGTCGTTGTAGGGCTTGGAGGGAAAATGCGAATCTTGACATTGTTAGACAAACAACGCGGGAGGGGGATGGATATCTGTATTTATAGTACACTTATAAGATGTAAATTCACGCCATGGTAAAAACGACGTACGAGGAAAGGAGCCTTCGGGGGACGACAGACATAAGGAACCCAGAGATCTAAACCAGCCATGAAATGCATATTATTACGCTCTCCTACGGAGCCTCTTCGCATCTTTGCGGCAGAGAATGTAGAAACCCTGATCGCACTGTCTTCACCAAACCTTGGTGGAAATTCCTTGGGCAGGACGTAGGAAATGTTGTACCCGCTTACAAGGATGTGACCAGTGTACTTGTCGTCCAGAGGCGGGATTGCAGTGTGAGATGTAGATGAGGAAGAGGATGCACGAGAGGCTGGACTCATGACAGAAACGCTGGACGTTGGTAGACCAAAAACAGAGGAATAAGATTTTTGAGAGCGGGCCGGTAGATTGAGAGCGCGTGCAGTGTTGTTCAGTAGTGGAGAAGTTGTGGAGGAAAAGTTGTAAGGAACAGAGTTACTGTCAGTTGGGTGAACTTCTGATCCCAACATCTTCAAGTTTCCCTCTTCAATGTGATGGTAAATGGGAGGAAGGGAAAACTGAGAATGAACGCTTACCGGGAAATAATGGTAATGTAGAACCAGGAGAAACAGCATCCATAGGTATTGAAAGCTATTTGATGAACTTTAGCCCATTCGTTTTAGTTGACTGCGACGAACACACATACCTTGAGATACATCTTGATGGCAATGCCATCTTGACCCTGCTTCGCTTTGCCTTCGATAGCAAGACGTGTTACAACGTTTAACTTTGGTTGCTGCTGAGCAGTCGCCGTAAAGGTATGAGACGATGCATTCGCTGAGAGTGGTGGACTGATTGTACGCGCATGTCGCGATTGCGCAGGTGCATACATAGAATTCGCGTGTCTATCTGGCGCGCTATGATAGTTGATTGAAAGCCCAGGAAGCGGAAAAGTGGACCAAAGACAAGTTCTGCTGTCTTATATAGCGCACAAAGAGGCCTGAACAGGTCACCTAGAGGCCTGCAAGCCGTTTTTGTTGCTGTGCAAGGAATGAAGAACAAAAAGCGGAACGGTCAGCGGGAAAGGCGCGTTTAGTTTATTTGCCACAGACGCGTTGCCGGTTACACACAAAAAAGGCATCAAAATCTCGTTTTGATCACAACCGTGGCCCAACAACCACTTTTTTGGACGGCACTCAACGCAAGGCCAAGCAAGCTCGGCTTCGGAGCAGACTCAACTCAAGGTTCCGTCAATATTATGCCGACATGATGACTATCATGTAGACTACCTAATTCGTAACCCTCCCCCCTGCAGCTGGCGCTTGCTTGTCACTTCTGCTCGGAACGCCGCCGGGCCACTGGAAACTGACAAACGAGCACATTCTGGCAAGGAACAGGTCCTTGTGCCTGCAGACTATGTAGCTACCCATGTATTAATCACGACCACAAATTGGAACCATTCCCTAGCCAGACGTAGCAAAACTAACAGGCCACCAACAATCTCATCAATCCATCGCAGAGCTCTACGACGACTTACAATCGGCAGCCACGGTGTTCGATGGAGGTTTATTCTGATTTCCCCTGTGAGATTGCTCAAATCCATGCCTTACTACTACAGCAAGGCTCGCCGTGCCACACATTCATCCACGCTGATCGGTATTACTTAGAAATGGTACTTGTTGTGTATGACGACTGCAAGGTGCTGTCGACAGCTTGCCTCACAGACGGGTCTCCCTCGTTCAAGGCTTCAAGCTACTGCAAATGCACACAGCCACAAGCGAGTTGGGTTCCTTCTTGAACACTTTCGCAATTTGGTGGTATGTAGCCCAAATGTGCACTCAAAGTTTTTGTATTAGTACCCTCGAGTATGTGGAGGCACAGCAGCAGCGCTGGTCTTTAATCAGGTTCATTATAGCCCGTAACTTCTGTCATCAAAGACGAGTGAAACAAGAAAATATGTATCCGAATAAGCAATGAAAAATCATAATCGATCGTCGTCAGTAGTACGTAGTAGTCATAAAGTAAGTACACCGTGACAAACTAGGCGAGTATCAGTATCCGCTTCGGGAGTCATTTCAAACAGGACCACCGTGTTCTGCAGCCTGCTGTGCTACTTGCGTCCCAGTCCTTCTCGTGCACGCCGAGCTCGATTTTCAGTGCAAGCTTGTTGAAGTTTATCAGGGTCAGTCCGTGAGAATCGCGGACGCGCGACTCCCAGCCTTGTGGAAGCTGTTCATTGAGAAGAAAGCTGTGTAGGTCATCCACACGACCTCCCATGGTCGAGAGTAACAGCGAGGCACTGACAGAATGGTTAGGATTGTGCTTGGAAACGGACTGATGAAATCAAATACTTTGCGCAACCAAATAACTTGTGGAAAAGTTTAAGCGTAAACTCCTTGTTTACTGCACGTGAGACTGCACGACGCTTGCCGAGCAGCTTAGAAAGATCCTTAACGTTAATGACATCATTGCCATCCTTGTCCTTGTTGGAAGCTGCCGCAAGTAGCTCCTCAATATAAGGTACGTGCTTCGTCGATTGGTTAGGTTGGAAAGCAGCGTCGAGGCCTGAAAATAGATGATTCGACATTCAAGAACAACTCCATCAAATTGCTTACGTAAGAGAGATGCGTCATGTTCAATACCGTTGTGCATGTCGAGTTCTTCTAAATCAAGGGTACCATGGTTGAAGCTTTTCTTAAGCATCCGAGCAGCATAGTGCGCGACAAATGAGGATAAGGTAGAACTGATGTTGTAGGTTCCCTGGACATGGCGATCAAGCTCGACAAATGATATTCCACGACCACTGCGTGAAATGATGCCTAAATTTTCATGACGTCATACCAAGGCACATCGAGATTTGCAGAATCACTGACCGTGGTTGGCTAGTGCATTGAGTCCTGGGCACGAGCAGCGAGAGTCGGTCTCCCCAGGAGCCCTATACTCGGGCCAGTGCCTTCCGTAACCTGGGTGGCCCTCGGGAGTGACATCACCGATGCGACGCTTCTTCTCCACGAGGTTGAGGAGCGTCAGGATGATATCCCAAGACCTGATTCTAGCCTCATAGAAAAAGTTGGACACATTAGAGGAGAAACCCATTTCACGTCCGGAGCGTCAACGATAGCTTAGCCTGATCGAAGGCGTGGTTAAGGACAGAGGAGTAAGCGCGCTTCACCTAGAAGTATATAAGTATAAGAGAACCGAATAACATTCAGATCGGTGGGGTTTGGGGACTCTTTTGCAATATAAGTCGACCCGAAATGCGCGTGGGGGCCATAATTTGAAGCTTGAAGGAGCGTTGCGCCGTACAGAAAGGTTATATTGCGGCCATTTGCAGAACGTTACATAGGCCAAAAAAAGAGGCACAAGAAGTCAAACCGACGAACTTTCGTTCAACTTCCAACTATCAATCGCATGGGAAGTGACCTACACACCCAGACATTCGTGGTATCTGACCGGACATTTTGTGTCCTGTTTGGCTGTAATATTCACCAGTTGGCTACAGTGGAAGTCACCAAGGGACGGCAACTCTGCCTAGGCTGCAATTATGATCCATATGTGCTCAGATTAAAATTTTGATAGGAAACATAGACAAAAGGAGCGTAAATCTAAATTTCCGAAATTTCGCCTGATTACGTAATTGTTCACTTTTACCGTCAAATGCCTCCTACCAACAGATAGAAGCAACCGAAGCAGCAGTATGCTTCATCATCGAGGTGCTTTGACAATGGGCTGATAGAGGATGTTTTTGGAAGTCTTTCTGCACCCAGACTATGTTCCCGTCTCAGATACTGAAAGTGAAGCAGACTCCAAGTCTAACTTTAATTGGTTTTAATTTTATTTGTACTAAGCTAACGGGTCACGTGATAACTAGCGTTGTTGCGAGCGACAATGTCTGACTCAAATACCTTCCACTCTCAGTTACTCAGTCATTCAGTGGGCGTGTTCGGCAGTTGAAGGGACAGTGGACATTCCTCACCGCAAAGCACATTTCACCAGAGCTTGATGCATGCCCTGATCAAGACAATATGTGCCTTTTATCGAAAATCTTGGCAATATATGGATGCTTACACGTGTGCAATTCAACCAGCTTCATAGACAGTGTCCCATGAAAGGTCTTAATGCACATCAAGCTGAATTTTGCCGTTAGGAAATACAAATTACATCGTTACAGTCCTACATTGATGATGAGTTTGGGCGTTCTTGTCGAGTAATCACGGAGTCGGCTGTCAGATGCCGCTTACCAAAATAGAAAACTCCGACAAGCTCCGCTCGAAGTTCACTTTTGGCTGACGAAAATTTTGAAACTTGAGTTTTTTGAAAAAGTATTCTGATAGACTTACTGTACTACTCTAACATAGCACATTTGTGATGTTTTCAAGACGAAAGAAGTTTTTATGAAGGTGTAGATAGAATTACAAGTTTTGATGTCGGTAGTTGCCGCTTTTGAGTGACTTACACTGTAGCTCTAGGCAAAATCGGTCAAGCTTTACTTCATTTGGACGACGCTTACCCGACATTCCATTGAGATATAGTCGTAGAAGTACCGGTAAACAGGCAACCCTACAACAAAGTTTCGCTTATTTTACCCGAAAGTGGGCGGCAGCAATTCATGAACGCGGAATTTCATTGATCATCATTCTTCTCAGCCGCATCGGCAGCTTATCGGTTCGCAGATTTCCAAGCCCCACGCAGCTCAGTGCCTCTGTTGTACGTTGTCGACGATGAGTGGATCTATCCAAGACTTGAAGCCAAAACCACAAAGGACTTCCTGGCGCTGCGGGTGAGATGCGAAGAATTTTGGTGTCCTGTTGGTCCGAGCTCAGGCTGATCTTGGAAGCGGCTAGTGCATTATGTAAATAGTTTTTGAAATAATAAGTTTAGCACCGCGGACAGGCCGCCACTGGCCTATCAAAATAATAACTGTAGTGTCTCGAACGAGTCTAGCCACGTACGTGTTCAATATTCAATTTCTAGCCAGACTCCCAGTCTCACTGCGCGAAAGCGCAGGCCGTGTGCATTCTAAGAAAAAAATTGCTGAACGGTTTATTGTTGGCTTGTATTATAATAACTTATTGCGTTAATATACGAAGCAACGAAAGCTGGTAGATAACTCACGGGGAAATAGTACGGGCCATGAGCGAGAGCTCAGCCTGGGAGCGGACAGAAATATGCAGAGGTTTCTATGCACCATTGTGTGGGGCCTTCGGGCTCTGGCATCGTCGTGGCTCGCCAAAATTTCTCTGCAGTCTTCTTGTCTCTGAATAGTAGTATAGTAAAAGAGGTGGGGGATGTGCTGCGGATTGTCAAGTAGGATACGAACCAGTGAGAATATCCGGGAAATGGCCACTCTGGGGCCACAGCTTAGGCCTTGGTGGACAATGGTGCCGCTTCAGCAGCTGGCCTCGGGCGGAGTTTAAACGCTGCTCGACAGTGGTACTTCCGAAACAGCGCGCTCTCAGGCTTGTGGTCGGTGGTGTGTACAGTCATCTCATATCAATTAATCTGGTCTATCTACCTAAGTCGCACATGATATGAAGAAATCCACAAACACACCGAACCAAACTACTCTATGCATGGACTAAGCGACATAAATCATGAATGTCGCGATAGAGACAGGCGGGAGACACTGAGGAGCTCAGATGAGTGGGCAGGAGGTCGGGACACAAGACAGAGACATGGGTGTGCAAGAGTGCAGATCATGCACAAGGATGGCAGCAGGCATAAGGTAGTGGGAGGGCTCATGTAAGACGGTACGAGAGCCTACAAGAGGAGGCGCTTGAGGATTCGACTAGTGAAGGAGAACACTCGATGTAAGGAAGAGCGTGGCAGGTGCAGGAGAGCAATATCAGGCGCGAGAAGATAGCAGGAGGTGTTGAAATCAGGAGGGTGCAGCAGACAGGGATTATCCACTGAATAATATTAGTGCAATAAAGCAGCAGAAGGAATAGACAAATGTAACCCACAAGTTAGTAGGCAGTAAGGCGGGTACAGCCTAAGAAACAGGTGGCGGACGAGAGGGCGGGAGGAGCGGCAGACGGGAGGCGCGATGGTGATGGGCACATTAATATTGCAACTCCGCTCGAACCTAGCCGCCGAAGCCCCAGACTTTGGCTCCAGAGTCTACCGTACATGAATAGCCCAGAGTAGCCAGCCGCCAGATCCCTGACTTTCACGAATCTGATTAATGTTCCAAGTAATAGGTCTCTTTCACCACGTCAAGTTTTCCTGATTGGCACTTGTGGTACTGTGACTCTTCCGGTCCATGAACTGACGGACTGTCTCTTCTTTCAAACGGCAAGCAAGACATACTTCAAATGTGGAGTCTGTTGTTTTCAAGTTGGTCTTGGCGAGGTGTTTGTAAATTGTAATGTTGACTCGGGACGTACGGGAGTCCGTTCTCGACTGAATAAGAAGGCTGGCTCCGTGGCCTCGCGAGTTCCGAGATGAGTTTTTGAAAACTTGTGGTGTCGTCGGTCTTCTTAGCATCACGATTTTTAGCACGCGCTGATGGGCCATTCAAAGATCTCTTTGGCTTGATCTTGGCATCTACTCGTTGCACTACCACTGGTTTACTGACGGGGAGGCGTGCACAATGCCATTTTGGGTAGCAATCTCGCTTCGCTGTAGTAAGTCCGCGTATGTGCAGGCTGTGGCTTTCTTTCTGTCGGCCTCAATGCCCGCAATGCGTGGTGCACTAATGTCCATCTGATTGTAGGGACTGTGTTGATGCAATGTTGATGCTGATGTACTGTACATGGCGGTTATGGTGAGCCGCTTTGTATCGTTGCCTGCCAGTGGTTGTACATGTTGATCACTGCGGACCTGACTCCCCCTCCTTTGAAACTGATAGCTCTGCTCAAGTACCACAATCTCCAGGTCCCTTTCATAGCCACTGTGCTCCCTGTGCCTAGGTGAAATGAATTGTCTTGTTCTCTCGTCCCTATCATGAGTACAGCTGCTAGCTGTTGTTATCCCTCCGTTGATCGCTGAACCATCCATGATGATCCTAGGCTCTTTCTCGGACCTCCGTCTTCGTGTCTATTGTCGCCCTAGTAACTTGGGCCACCTTCCTTCTATTCAGTCTGCCTATGTATAATGGCATACTAGGTTATCCTCGGCCTTATAATGGCATACTAGGTTATCCTCGGCCTGAACTTGCCGCGTCGAATTCGAGCCTTGGTCACCCGCTTGCGACGTAACGCCAAATAGTAAAAATTCTCTCACTACACGATCCAAATCCGACACTGCAGTATTCCTTTGATTGGTTTCGTCTGCGGGACTTGAGATCTTAAGACTTCCTGCTTTGGTAAAGGCGAAACAACCCAGCGGTGTTATATCGTGTTCGACTACTCCGAAGTACTCCCAGAGCCAGAGATGGGCTCCAAGGCTTGAAGAACCTAGAAACTACTAATTGACTCTCATTTTGTCTGGTACGTTCTCCCCTCTGGCCACGGCTTTCTTCGCAATGATTCCGAATTTCCAAGCACTGGTCTTCGATTTCGTTTGCGGGTACCACCAGACCTTCCCCTGACCGCGGATGTATAGGCGAAGCTCCCGTGGCGCGCATACGAAACTCAATAGATTGCGACATTAGAGCACACGAGCCGTCTTCCTTCTCCCCGCGGGCCGCGTGAAATTTCGGTGCTACAAGCCAGCGGAATTCGTCTCCACATGGCAATTCTGTGTTGGTGTGGAGTTACAAAGAATGCCGCCGGACTCAGGCTATCGCATATCACTGCTGCGTCCGGGGGATATACTATTGATTTTAGTTGCCTGAGCTCCAGTGCTCCGTACAAAACATATTTTGACTTCGGAATGTCCCACATGCACGCATTAGAGTGTAATGACGCTATCTGTAGCTTCACATGAAGACAGACCGTGTCGTTGAACGTTTCTGACAACGAAAGGTGAGCGAGATCTAGCTAGATAAGCTTGAGATAACTGTTTTCAAAATTTCCATCAACTTAGATCTATTCAGGTCCTAAACCTATGAACTCTAAACGTCTGGGAGTGTTGAACCCGACATGGTTTTATGCTCCCCGCCGATCCACGAAAGAGCTTCGAGATAGCTGTTTTCGGAATTTCAATCAACCTGTTTAACAGATCTATTCAGTTACTGGATTTATGAACCCACACTTGGCGTATCAAACGGCCTATATGAATTTGTACTCCCTGAAGCTGGCAAGTGGTTATGATATTCAAGATTTTGATGACGAGCATGACGTACTGGCCATGGAGGTCGCACGACATAGAATTTCGTGTTTTATGTGTTTCCCTGCACCCGTGGCAGGACTTCTTAGTTACTTAGCTACGATAAGTTCAGTTTATATTCCTCGCAATTAAGTTAGCCTCTTCGCTGGCACTTTATGAACATTTAATTGCTAGCCCCAGTGTTGTGGGTATTATAATTGCAAGGACTTATTAATTTATCAAGCGGCCATTGTGCTACACTAGCAGTATCCCATTCAATCATGATGACGGTATGTGTACAACTTAACAGTAGCACTAAGTCATGGTACCAATACCACATGGCGTATCACATACGTGAACTGAGCGCTGGTGGCATGCCTTTCTGGCACAACACGTGTCTTTAATTAGCAGCTGCTGTACCCTCAAAGTTATGAAACCGAGAGGGTATTGACAGCCAAAAAGACTCACTGCCCCTATCTCTTCTCTTCGGATAATTTCAAGTCGCAAAGTTCTTCTCTCTGTGCCCCAGCCAATTTGAAACTGGAATGTTCTATGTCGGTAGCGTACCAGAGGAAACGAGTTATCTGCGACCAAGCGCAAAAAGCTGAAAGCTCAACTGATGTGGTTGACGTGGCCGGCAAAGCTCCCGGACCACCCGGACTGAGATGGTTCTCTTTGTATTCCAATATTAGTAATACTACTAGACACGGGTATTATCTACGGATAGCACCATGGCCACTCTTGATGGCGCTTCCGTCATTACCTTTTCGTATTTATTCAGCTCACGCGCGTTCCATATTACAAACCACCCATCATCTTCAATTAAAAAATCGTCGCGCTCTCGCTATGGTTGCTCATGATTGGCAGAGGGTCGAGAACCATGCGAATGTCCCTGCTTACACGATTTTCACCAAACCAATAGAGAAGTCTCAACTTGACGAGCGAGAATACAGGTTGATCAAGCTCGAAAATGGCCTCTTAGCCATGTTGATTCAAGATCCCAAGGCCGATATCGCTGCCGCAAGCTTAGACGTGGCGGTTGGTCACATGTCGGACCCAGTGAGTGCATTTCTCGGAGGATTAGAGACATCGTATTGTGTGTTTGCAGTTCGAAGGATGGCTATGAAGAGGTGTTGGTTCTAGTATCTTTCTCTGTTCGGAATGATGGAGATCGGAACCCTTACTAACGGAAAACTTCATAGGATGACATCCCCGGCCTTGCTCACTTTTGCGAGCACTTGTTATTCATGGTATGAGCCTTTCTTGTCACAGCTGATGGCTGAATAACATTTGTTATAGGGTACTGAACAATTTCCGAAAGAAAACGAGTACTCCGAAGTGTGTATCATGGACTGCCCTTCGACATTTAACTGACTCGCTCTGAATTCAGTATCTTTCAAAGAACAACGGCCATTCCAATGCCTATACAGCACCAGCCAACACCAACTACTTTTTTCGTGTCGCTACCTCGGCGCTCCCTGGAGCGTTGGCGCGTTTTTCCGCGTTTTTTCCACTGCCCCCTCTTCGCGCCCTCATGCACTACGCGGGAGATGAATGCAGTCGACTCAGAGCATTCCAAGAATCATCAGACGGATCCATGGCGCGTTTTCCAGCTGAACAAACATCTTACCAAGGAAGGTCATCCGTGGAGCAAGTTCGGCAGTGGCAATCGCGAGACGTTAAGTGCCGCTGGGAGAACATTCAAGACGGCAAGTAAGCTAAACGGGAACGGAATAAAGAATGGAACACATACCGCCGTCGATGGGAATGCACCAGCATCACCAGTATCATCTGATGGGAGTCTAGCGCCCTCACCGTTCCCTTCGCGCATTCCATCGCCAGTCCCATCCAATACGTCTGCGAATAGCGAGAATGAACCAGACGGCGGTATCGTTGGACGTGAGACCCGCAGACGGTTAGTTGAGTGGTGGAATAGAGAATATTGTGCAGGCAGAATGCGTCTTTGTGTTGTTGGGAATGGTACGTCGTCGTTTCTGTTGCGAGTGATTACTTTGTCACCTCGACTGTAGAGCCGCTCGACGCGTTGGCTGACATGGTCTCGACCTTGTTTACACCTATCAAGAACCGAGAGCAAGATCCATTACCCGTAATTCCTGACCATCCATTTGGCCCGAACGAAATGGGAGTAAGTTCATGTCTTATTGCTGGTAATATGATTTATTGACATAGAAACCTATTAGACCTTAGTTTCCGTTCAGACTGTCAAGGCCTTCCATGCCATTGAGATCTCATTTCCTCTAGTATGGCAGTCGCCACTTTGGCGGCATAAGCCTGCATATTTTATTTCACACTTTACTGGTCACGAAGGTCCTGGTTCGCTTTTTTCGTACCTTAAAAACAAGGGGTGGGTCACATCGCTCAACTCGGGTCCTCAAGCCCTCGCACGAGGCTTTGAGATGTTCAAATTCACCATTCATTTGACCAAGCTCGGTTTTGAGAACTATCAATTGGTGGCCCTTGCGACATACAAATACCTTTCCCTCTTGCGGTCCTCTGCATTCCCAAAGTGGTACCAATCGGAACTTGTCAAAATTGCGCGCACGAAATTCCAATTTGCCACGAAGGAGAATGCGGAGGGCTATGCAGTTTCGCTTTCCGAGAGGCTGGGCAAGCCTATTCCCCCTGAATTATTACTGCGCGGGGCGGTCATCCCATGTGAATGGAATTCTGAAGACGGAGAGCGAGAAGTTCGTGAAATATTAGAAGATATGCGTATCACAAAGGGCAGGGTGGTGCTTATGGCGAAGAAAGAGGAACTCGAGCGCATTTCAAAGAATGAACATTGGGAGCACGAGAAGTGGTATGGTACGGGGTACAGAGTAGAACGATGGGACCCATCGTTTGTTGAACAGGTAAGTCAGGTTCCACTGCGGCATTCATCAGACTCGTTGACAAACTGGTGACTAGGCTGAGGGATCCAATGATATCACGGAGCTGTACCTCCCGGGCCTGAATGAATTTATACCCACCAACTTAGAAGTGGAGAAACGTGACGTCCTCGAGGTATGCTATGGCTACATATACCGATATCCCGACTGTCTGATCGCGGTTGATCACTTACAGCCTGCTAAACGTCCTCACCTCATCAAACAGACGCCAATGGGGTCTGTGTGGCATAAGAAAGATGACCAATTCTGGCTTCCAAAGGCGTCGCTCGTGCTAGAACTTCGTAGGTATGCACTTTGGATCAGCATCATTCTGGGCTGTGGACTTATTATCAATGTAGTCCAGTTGCAGGCTCGTCTCCGCGCGCCGACACTATGACACGGTGAGCTGCTTTGCAAGCCACCTGTTTGATCTGACGATAATTTTGATCCAGGCTTTTTGCTGACCTTGTAAATGATTCGCTACAAGAATTTGCATATGACGCAGAACTCGCGGGACTTGTCTTCCACAGTGGCTCACACCACCTCGGGCTGATGATCACTCTAGATGGGTACAACGAAAAGTTATCTGTCCTTGCTCGCCGCGTTTTGGAGACTGTGAGAAATCTACAAGTTCGCGAGGATAGATTAGTAGTCATCAAAGAAAAGGTTATTGCTTCGTGTTATATTTCTCCGATGCAAGTGGGCTTACTATGGTCAACTAGGTTAAGCGCGACTGGGAAAATTTCTTCATGGACCAGGGTTACCGGCTATCGGACTATTATACACAATACATGCTCACCCATAACACCTGGACTATCGCAGAAAAGCTCCAGGAGATCTCTAGTGAGCGACTATAATATCAATATTTTTGAAGAGGATTGATTTAACACCCCAACTATGATAGACGTCACGCAGGACGAGTTGCAGAGACACATTGATGACTTCTTAGTGCGCCTGAACATTCAGATGTTGGTAACCGGCAATATGCACAAAGACGTACGCATTTTTTTCTGGCTGGCAACCGAGTCGATCGTAATCAAACATGAGTTTAGGAAGCCATTGGTTTATCAGAGATGGCGGAGAACATCTTAAATACTTCTCCAATGTCAGCGGACGAGACCGCTCAACGCGAGCTCATCTTACCAGAAGGCATGTTCAGCCCATCACGCGACGAGGGTGCGATTAATCTTTACTTTGACAGGTTCTGATTTTGTCTGGAAGTCGTATATACCCAACCCCAACGATCCCAATTCATCTCTAACTTATTATCTTCAACTTGGAAGTTCTACCGATGCTCGTTTACGTACGACCAGCTTGCTCCTCATACACATGATGTCGGAGCCGGCTTTCGACATTCTTCGAACAAAGGAGCAACTCGGTTATGTTGTCTTTTGCTCAGAATTGCAACTGTCTGGAGCATCTCTTCTGGGGCTGCGATTGGTGGTGCAAAGTCAACGGAACCCTGGATACCTAGAGCAGAGAGTGGAAGCATTCCTGGACACTATGAAGAGTAAGATCGAAGATATGGAACCTGTTGATTTCGAACAGTTCAAAACTGGCCTACAACAAAAGTGGACTGAAGCCATCAAGGACTTGAAGAAGGAGCGTGCGAAATTTTGGGAACACATCGATTCAGGGTATCTGGACTTCCTAAGACGTGTGTTTTATTTATTTTCGTTTCTTGCTGCTTCCACCTAATAAGAAACTAGGTTACAATGATTCAGACCTGCTGACAGACATTACCAAGCACGACGTCCTAGAACTCTTTCTCTCTCGCGTTCATCCCTTGGGAGTTAAAAGGTCTAAACTTTCCGTCCAATTACAGTCCCGGAAGCCGCAGCCACCGCGAATCAGCGCCACCGCCGCCAAGGCCTTCGAAGCTTTTGTCAGAGCTGAAACCACACTCGTCGATCCTGCGGGGTGGAAAGAGGAAATGGCTGATGAGAATCCTTTTGCGACGCAGTTTGCAAAATACTGGCAAGACGCACTCAACGGGTTCGACAATTATCAGGAATTGATGACGAAGATCCCTGGTGTTGATGATGCAGTACCCAGTTGATGAAGAAGTACCTCACGTTCGGACCGCAGGGGTGACTTTCGTTGAAAACGTTAAAGACTTCAAATCAACCCTTGAAGTTACAGAGCTTCCGCAACCCTTGGTGGAATGGGGAGACCTGCCCCTCGCCAAGCTTTAGGTGTTATTGATGCTACTCTTTTACTTTGTTGTCATGTACTAATATGTATCTACTGTTTCACGTGATGATTCTGACACTGCGGGAGATTTCTCAGATGTGAATGTCGCGCTTTTTGGGGGTATGTTTGGCACGGATTCTACCTGTTCTGCGACCTTGTACGTCTGGTCTACAATGTTTCCAGCAAGTTTCTCAAAACTTTCGGTAACTAATTGTAGATGTTAACCTTCCCAGGCTTCCTGGAGTCAGGGCGTAAGACTACTGCGTGGACGGTGGATCAACACAATCACCCATTCGCCCAAAGACTTCGTTGCATGTTTAACATACAAACACGTCTTTTAAATGTAGACACACGCATATGAAGAGTTCTGGAAAATTACACGGTACCATGACGTCAAGCCTTCGAGAGGCGTATGTTTCATCTTCGTCGCAGATCGCGGTGGTCCATCTTAGAGCTTAGACTAATAGAGCCAGGGTGAGATGTAATTTTCCTTCAAATTGGCTAGAAGTGCGTCGGGACTGAAACCGACTAAATTCAAGTGTTCGATGTGAGCGAAGAGTCAAAAGAGCTCTTATAACCTGTGTGTTACGACTCGAAGGTGCTATTTTATCTTGGTCCTTTGAAGAGGATACAACGGACTGACCGTCACGTGAGCGTCAATTATTAGAATCTGGAATTACAATGCACTTACTCTTGCGATGTGTTTTACAATTGTGCCACTCTGCATAGACTGGTAACCAGTCTATATAGGGGCTGGTCACCAGTCTAATTCGACCTTATGTCGTTCTCGCCTGCACAACCAGCCACATCGGAATGAACCGACGCGTCAGGCACACCTTACTCATTAAATTGGCATGTTTAGCTTCAATTCATCGACGTAACTTAACTAGTCTTAGCAAAGTGGTTTAACAGATTCGAAATCTGTTCCTCCTGGATCGTGCAGGTTCGAAACCTGCCGACCATACATTTTCTCTATGATCACAACCGCGGGCATGAGCTCATGACAAGGTCTTCGAACGCCAATCAGAAGATTCGTGGCGAAGTGGTTAACAGATTCGAAATCTGTTCCTCTTGGATGGTGTAGGTTCGAAACCTGCCGACAACACTTTTCTTTATGATCGCACCTTGGGCATGACCTCACGGAGAGGTCTTCGAACGTCATCCGTAAGGCTCTTGGTCAAGTGGTTCCAGGTTAACAGATTCGAAATCTGTTACTCCTCGATGGTGCAGGCTCGAAACCTGTCAGCAATGTTTTTTTCTCTGTGATCGCACCTTGGGCATGAGCTCATGGAGAGGTCTGCGAACGTCAAGCACAAGGCTCATGGCTAAGTGGTTATGTAACAGATTCGAAATCTGTTCCTCGTGGATGGTGCGGGTTGGAAACCTGCTGGCAATCATTTTTCTCTATGATCGCACCTTGGGCTTGAGCTCATGAAGAGGTCTTCGAACTTCAACCACAAGCCTCATGGCCAAGTGGTTGACAGATTCGAAATCTGTTCCTCCCGGATGGTGCGGCAGGTTGGAAACCTGCCGCCAGCAGTCATTTTTCCTCTTTTCGCACCCCAGACATTTAATCACGACAGTTTCTTTGAAGGTCCCTCTCACCCGCTCGTGACTGGGCGGTACCATGTAACAGATTCAACAATTTGTTCCACTTGGATGGTGCATGTTTGAAACCTGCCTACGACCATTTTTTATTCAACCTCACGGCGCGGGGGAAAAATCCTTGTCCATGACAAGGAATTCACCTTCAGGCCTTCCCGCCTGGGTTGTCTAGCGTCAGACCATCGATTTATCTTAACTAGTCTTGGCCAAGTGGTTCACAGATTCGAAATCTATTCATCATGGATGGTGCAGGTTCGAAACCCGCCACCCTTGGTTTTTCTCTATGAGCGCACCTTGGGCACAAGCTCATGGAGAGGTCTGCGAACGTCAAGCACAAGCCTCATAGCCAAGTCGTTGACAGATTCAAAATCTGTTCCTCCTGGATAGTGCCGGTTCGAAACCCGCCGACAATGTTTTTTTGTCTATGACCGCACCTTGAGCATGAGCTCATGGAGAGGTCTTGAGCCAAGCCTTGGTACCTGGTTGGCGGATTTGAAATCTGATGTGCTTGGATGGTGCGGGTTCGAAACCTGCCGATGGCAGTCTTTTTTCCTCTTTTCACACCTCAGACATCTAATCATGATAGTTTGCTCAAAGGTTCATATCAACCGGTCATACCTGAACGACACCATATAACAGATTTGAAATTTGTTTCAGTTGCATGGCGCATGTTTGAAACCTGCCTACGACGTTTTTTTGCTCGTCATTAGGGCGCTGGCTCGTTTGAAACCTTCTGACATCCCTCGGGGGCCCATGACAAGGAATCTACGTTCAGGCCTTGTCAGGATAATGTCGGAAGCATAGACGTATATGCCACCTTAGGGAGTTAGGAACTGGTGCTACGCACCACTGCATTTTATTTTTAGTCTTCGCCAAAGTTTTCGATAGACTTTTACATAGCACAATATTCGTTGGTAAGTTATTACGTCTGATAATATCGCAGCTACCCCCAGCTTCCATCTATTCTTATCCTGACCATCACTCGTACACATTCGAGACCGGGTGGTTGATAGAGTCGAAATCTGTTCGTCCTTGATTGTGCGGGTTCAAAACCTGCCAGTAACAGGTTTTCTCTATTTGGTATGGAAAGCCAAACAGCCGCGCTCTAGTCACGCGTCCGTAATAGATAAGAGGACTTCGTGCACCTTCGAGTCATCCGAGTCAGCAAATTTGCACCAGACCTTGATTCGGTTTTGACTTTTGAGCAATTGTTGTTCCATTATCATGATTCTAGGATTCAGAACGTTGTTCAATCCATACTGTAGATCTGCTTCGAGTCTCCATCATTTGACTGATGATTTTCCTATGATGACTCGCGCTCACTCCCTGTCGGTCAGAGCGCTGATAATCGCCACTACTACTACTAGTATACGCGTGGCCTCCTGCGTGTCTATCCATGTACCGAATATTGTGGTGACTTGCTTTTCATCTTTAAGCATTTGGTGGCTCCGAGACGTAACTTTGCTGCCGAACTTCTCCATGAGCCTTTTACTCAGTCGAGCAAACGCGCGCGCGCTATCTCGAATTCCTCGCGTGCCAAACTCTCCGAGACAGACCAGACTGAATTGCAGTTGTCCTGTTGTCTCGTCCCTATTCCAACCCGACAGTTTTGGTTAGTCCGTCGAGAATCTAGGTTGGCACGTACACATCTCAGGAGTATACCTTATGTTTCTGAGACGATCCGCACGAGGCGTGAAGGTGAATTCTATTTCATGGACTGACTATCACATAAAAAGGAGGTTTCGGCGCAATGACTGGGCCTAGTCAAGACAGAGCTCTGAGGATCTATACACTATGAAAATGTTGTCAGCAGGTCTCGAACCGACTGCAAGAGAAACAGATTTTGATTCTGTTGTGGTAACCACTTGGTTAAGACCAGTTAAGATGACCCTCCGAGGAAATTACCCATGAGTGAATGTCAAAGTGTGTTCCGATAGAAAAAAACTTTGTGGTCGGCAGCTTTCGAGCTTGCGCCAGTCCGACAGAAACATATTTCGATTCTGTTGAGGTATCCACTTTGGCCAGGTGAAGTTGAAATGAACCTCCGAGGAAATGTCCATCAGTGAATCTTCAAGGCGTGTTCTGAGAAAAACCCTCGTCGGCAGGTTTTGAACCTGCACTGATACAGTCCAAGAGACAGATTTCGATTCTGTTAGAGTAATCACTTTGGCCAAGGCGAAGTTGAGATGAACCTCTGAGGAACTGTCCATCAGTGAATCTTCAAGTCCAAGAGAATCGGATTTTGATTCCATTGTGGTAACCACTTTGGCGAGGACGAAGTTGAGATGAACCTCCGAGGATGAGTGAATCTTCAAGGCGTGTTCAGATAGAAAAAACCCCTGTTGTTAGGCAGGTTTCAAACCTGCGAAGTACAAGAGAAACAAATTTTGAGTCTGTTGTGTTAACCACTTCAAGGGGCCAGGACGCGTCCTGGCCAATTTCAGACGAACCTCCGAAGAACTGTCCATGTCCGCGGGTTTCTAATCTGTTCTGGTGCCAAACGGTTAGTTATGACTACTCAAGATAGGCCTTGAATAATACATCCATGAGTGAATGTTCAAGGCGTGGTAAAAGGAAAAGATTGTTTGTCCTCGGTTACGACAGAAGATCAGGCATTGACAGTGGAATCACATGGGGATTAGCAGTCATTTACCAAAGATGAAATGAAAAGACTAGTTTGCATTTAATTCGATGGACACAAAAAATGCGAGTCGGGGGCTGGCGCCAGCGCCGTCACGATATGACACTAGCTGCAGGACAAAAAGCCGGACAACTGCGCTATACTACGTATGGAACCTACAGGTTGTCGATCGCATTACATAATCTCGTTAGAGGTGTACGGAGTCCTCAACTTGTGACTACCATTTTTGGCCCATGTCACGGGTGGTAACAGAGCACGGCTGGAGAGGTCTTCAAACGTCACCCGGTGAAGGCTCATGGCCAAGTGGTTAATAGATTCGAAATCTATTCTTCCTGGATGGTGCAAGGTCGAAACCTGCCGACAATCATTTTTCTCTATGATGGCACCTTGGGCTTGAGCTCATGAAGAGGTCTTCGAACTTCAACCACAAGCCTCATGGCCAAGTGGTTGACAGATTCGAAATCTGTTCCTCCCGGATGGTGCGGCAGGTTGGAAACCTGCCGCCAGCAGTATTTTTTCCTCTTTTCGCACCCCCAACATTTACTAATCATGACAGTTTCTTTGAAGGTCCCTCTCAGCCGGTTGTGACTGGGCGGGTACCATGCAATAGATTCAAAAATTTGTTCCACTTGGGTGGTGCATATTCATATTTTGAAACCTGCCTACGACATTTTTTTGTTCAGCATCACGGCGCTGGGAAAAGATCCCTGTCCATGACAAGGAATTCACCTCAAGGCCTTCCGTGTCTAGCTTCAACCCATCAATTTATGTCAAATAGTGTTGGCCAGGTGATTCACAGATTAGAAATCTGTTCCTCCTGGACAATGCAGGTTCGAAACCCGCCGCCCTTGGTTTTTCTCTATGAGCGCACCTCGGACATAAGCTCGTGGAGAGGTCTCCGAGCATCAACTATAAGACTCATGGCCAAGCCTGTGAAATTGGTTGGCAGATTTGAAATTTGATACTCCTGGATGGCGCAGGTTTGAAACCTGCCGATGGCAGTTTTTTTTCCCTGTTTTCACACCTCAGATATTTAATCATGATGGTTTGCTTAAAGATCCATATCAACCAGTCATAACTGAACGGTACCATGTAACAGATTCGAAATTTGTCTCAGTTGGATGGCGCATGTTTGAAACATGCCTACGACATTTTTTTACTCGACTCATTAGGGCGCTGGCTCGTTCGAAACCTTCTGAAATCCCTCAGGGGGTCCATGACAAGGAATCTACGTTCAGGCCTTGTCAGGACAATGTCGGAAGCATAGACACCTTAGAGAGTCAGGAATTGTCTATCAATGGCTTGCCTCATAGACGGGCTGGTCACCAGTCTAACTCCTGCATGGTGTCTTGATTTTCCGTTATGGGGTGTTCTAGAGTTTCCTGCTGACCTCTCTCAGTGTCATCCTGTTCAGTGCCCGGATCTTGCCGCGGTAATATTTTTTGTTCTGCCTCGACTTCAACATAAAACAGGAGTGCACACAAGCTACACACATTAGAACGATATGGCTTGGTCTGCCACTTTCAATTCTTCCACCTCTAGCTTTTAAGTCATCCTTGGTCGCATTGGAAGAGCCAATAACCAAAGGAGTGTCCTGATCGATGAGGCTTCAGCGAGGCCGGGGAGGTTACATCATTTTCCTGACTGTCAAACTCACTTTGTCCTTGGTTTGCAGTCTTCTGGCCTCTTGGCCCATTAGTGAATGTCATTTTTCATTGGGTGGTGAATCCCGACAGTTTGGGTCAGTCTGTCGAGAATCTAGGTTGGTATGACGCAATGACTAGCGGCCTAGTTAAGATGGATCTCCAAGGATCTATACACCGCAAAAATGTTGGCATGTTTCGAACCAACTCCAAGAGAAACAGATTTTGTTGTGGTAACTATATGACCAGTTAGATGGAAACCATCTACGAGTACTGCCAAGTCAATGTCAAGATGTGTTCTGATAGAAAATAACCTTGTGATGGGCAGGCTTCGGACCTTTGTAGTCCATGAGAAACAGATTTTGATTCTGTTGTGGTAACCATTTGGCTAAGACCAGTTAAAATGAAGCTCTGACAAAACCATCCGTGAGTGAATGTCACTTCCAGCCTCCAGGACACAAAACATGCCAGGAACTTGAATAAGCGAGTCGCGGGTGCCGCTACAAATAATTTATCCGGCGCCCGTCCTGGGATCCACCACCCCGGTCTGTGAGAACATCGAATTATGGCCTCCGATGATTGCCAATTTGCACGCTCAAAGCGCTCAGACTCCACATCCTCTCTTGCCATTCCCTCGCATAAGAAACACCATCCGTCGTGAACTACGACGTCGTTTTGCGGCCCTTCCCGTATATATATTGTGTGGGGAGAGGTTACCGATGTTGTAGACGCATCAACTGGATATACGACTTGTCTTCTACCAGCTTCAACTTCGGCGCTACAACTTCAAAGGTGCATTTTGACACATTATGAAACTGGCTCATGTCCTGTCGGTGCCAAGCTTGTGGGATGGGAACCGTGTTGCCAGCATTTTTCTTTCTCTGCTATCCTCACTGAAATTGCAGCCTTATTGGGATTCTTCGATTTCTTTCGCCCGCATTGGCTGGCAGCTGCAATAGTACGTGTGACAAAGCTGTCCGTCAGTCACGACTGTGCGACTTGCGGAACTGCAGCGACGGGATGAATCTTTGCGTTGATGACCCTGCAGGATCGTTCATCGTGGAGCCTTAAAGGTAAGTACAAATCTGCAGGTACCGCTCGCTCATCCTAAACTGACGCCTGAACCGCTCTTGAGCACTGAAGGTGGTCCCGATGAATTGTGGAACCCGTTCGTCCGGGGCAAGGCTACTACCTCCCAAGCTAATAACCCCGAAAGCCATTCATTCACGATCTTTGAGCGCTTCCAACAAACAAAGTTTGCTGATTAGCATGTAAGGTTTGACATCCCGTGTGATGTTGTCTTAGATTCGCTGGAGTCTGTTGCGTCAAAACGATGGCAAATTAAAAAGCTTCCGTACCTCAATAGAAAGTGCGTTGTCCCAAGCCCGAGATCCCTGCTGGAGCATACTTCCAGTTCTGAACGAACTCGCAACATCACCCAACTCAATCGACAGGATATCGGTTTGACTTTCGTCGGCGCGGTCCATTAGGTATCCGCTGCCTCGCTTGCGTTTATGGGTGACCAGCATGTCTGGTACCTACTCTTCCGTTGTGGATCTTCGAGGTAAACAGGGATTAGTCGATTCATGCGCTGACAAGCAGCTTAACGAATATCAAGTATCAGTGACCATAGTCCATACGTGCACCATTGTCCTAACCTCTTGGCGACTCTGGTATAAGATAGTCCAGCAATGCTGGTGGTGGGAGGATGTATGGGCGGCTATTGCGCTAGCAGCCATCATCACCAGTGAGGTCTCGGTCTGGATTTTTTCTGAAACTCCGATGGGTATGTCACCCCAAACTTGTGATGCTCCATTCTTTATGACTATTCGTTACCTTGTTCAGGCTCAAAGCCATGGAATGGTTCCATTATAGCGTACTGGCTTCTGATGATTAATTTCACCATAGGTCTTTGGTGCGTTACTCACTTCCTTAGACAATGGTTTATCAATTATTGTGAATGAAGGTCGTCTCGGTTGAGTATGATATGTTCGATCGTAAGATTATCATCACCCACAAGAATACGAACCATCGCTCGTTGGGCGGCAGCAGCTTTCGGAGCAACTACTATCGTCTTACTCGTCCATAAATGCTGGTTCTGTGCTCGCTATCACGACTGGGAAGAAATCGCTCCGCTCAGTTGCTCTCTGGCATCTTCTGTAGCCATCACACAGGTCATCGGTAAGTGGGAGGAGATGCAATACACGCTGTGGTTGATTTGCTACTCTTCAGCGGACTTTTTGTCTGACATGACACTGGTGGTTTTACCTGCTCAAATATTGCATCGGGTCAAGCTTCCACGGAACCAGAAGATATTGATTCTCTCAGTTTTCTCCGGTAGTCTCATAACCACGTTGCTGAGTATCGTGCACGCTGTTTTTTTCGTTCAGGCCGATCCCATCTTGAAGATTTTAACAGCGCAGCTCGAGGCAAGTCTCACTGTACCACGCAATCCTTTTTGAAGTACAACTGACCCGATGGCCTAGATGGCTTTCTCTGTTATTATCTGCAATCTTTTGCCTATAATCACATGTCTCTACAAAGTCTTTCGAAAAGACCTGGACCTCAGTCACAGGCGATATTCGGCAGGCAGTATGTTCTTCACTACTATCGTCGAAATGCCATCATTAGATAGCCATGCATCTGAGGAATTGAAATTCATAGCTTAGAAGGATCTCGGTGTGCCTTGCACCGGTGGCACCGTGGCACTGCACCTTCGTACCTCCCATTTAAATGTTATTGTATTGTATCAATTCGTCAAGACGTGTATTTCCTCTTATTCCGTATTGTATACCTGACATAAGTACCTTCGTTTACAACCAATTTACAACATCCATTTTTTGTCACGACTTGCTGTATATATCTCCAGACCCTAAGCACAATAAGCGCTCTCCAGAGCAAAATTTGAGTCAATGCGTATGTATTGTAACAAATAACCTCATGTAAACTTTGTCAAGAACCGCGTGTTGTGGTCACAAAGCTACTTATGAATTTGTATATTCAAAAATCGAGCGCAATGCGCCTACGCAAGAAGTATTTTTGTCTTGTTGAACATAGGGGCGTGTTCCCTGACTTATCCACAGGCTCGCTATCAACAGCATAAAACTAGCGCAGTGAGAGCCAAACCTCCTACCAAAATCTACGGATTCAGAAACGAAACATTTGGCGAAAAATGCCTGAATATTAGTGCTTACTGACTGCATTTGGCAGATATTGGAGCGCACCTGCCAGGACGATCATCTGTGGGAGGAAAGAGGGCTTAAAGCTGCACGCACGTCAACCATTGGCGCTGAGTACAATAACATCAGCCAAGTGACATGAATCAAAAGGTTCTGGAAAATCCTTGCAGTGTTTGAACACGAGTAGGATATAGAATCCCATCATTCACGGGACTACCGAGTTCTCCGAGTTACCAGAGTAGTGCCGGGGCGTTCAATGTAGTTTTGGGTCACCTTGGTTTTCCACTAGTAAGTTGATTGATGATGAATTGCACAAGGTAGTAATAGAGAGCCCTGAAAGTGCCGCATACCACAGTATAAGCACGTTCATAGCCTCATTGATAAACCTGAACATCGTGCTAAGTGAGACTACTTGATGGTTTGAGAGGAAGCACCGTAACGGACATAAGTCCAGATATGCCACCGCAGACAATGGATACAATGTATCGGAAACGCACTGGATAATACTGAAGAAACTGTAAAGAAAGCGATGCAAGACAAGCGAAAGGACGAAATGCCGGAGCCAAGTGGAACAGTATGCTACTTTTTCCTCGCATTGGCTTGTCTCGCAGCCGGGGCAGGTTGCGGCTGCGTGGGGAGTCCATAGTTCTTCGCACGACGGAAAAGGAGGACATGCGGCTCTGGGGCTGATTACTACTTGTCAGGGAATGATATCATTGACTTCATTTAATATTGCCACTTGCCATGTACTTCATAATGCTCCCAGCCAAGGCTCTGAGTAATGCCGATCCCTCTCCACTCCGCTTCCGATAGTAGACGAAGGGTGCCTGCTTTATCGTCAAAGAACTCTTTTGGAACAAGTTTGAGTAGTGGTTTCGGTAGGATGACGTGACGATATTCGTATAGGTCGTCAGAGTAGCGATCAGAATAGTGGATCCTGCATGTCAAAATTAGAGCGTATCGTAAGGGAAGAAACATTGCGGCTGACTTTTCGATATACTCCTCAATCTTGCTGGCAATTTGGCGATCGGCCATTGAGAAAAAAAACAGGGGTATTACAGGGTATTGAACGGAGAAGAGTTCTAGAAACGCGTCTATGAGATAAGTACAACGTTGAGCGAGACAAAGTATTGTGTGACAGACGTGACTAGATTTGATTTCTGTTCTCACGTGCAGACGCGTCCGTGATATGTCACGCGTCGCTCTCTTCCATCAACAATATTGATATCACTATCGGCTTAATGCAACAATCTCACAGTTGGGCTCCGATACACCAGACGTCGGCGATGCTTCCTCTACAGTATACCCATAATTCCCCTCAAATTAACAGAACTTACGCTGACGTCTTACTACACCACAGACACCAACACTATTACAATGATTTTGCTAGGTCTGAGGACGAATTTGGTGAGTATATGCGCGCAAATATCCTTTGAGGATATTATATCTTCTTTCAGATTCTTCTCCATCTCCACCGGGACGCATCAACGACCATGTTCGCTCCTTTGCAAGTCATCCACCAGCTAGCCATGCATTTCACTCAGGTGCTGCACAACCTTACCGGGAAGACTATGAAAGCGAATACACCCCAAGCCCTGCTAACTACACCGGCGTGCAGACCCCCTATGATGTTCCACAGAGAATTCGTCAGTCTTTTCATGTGTATCGTCGTCCTTCGTTATAATCAACATGGATGCCATCTTAGACCACCCGCATCAGTACTCTGGAGAAAACAACTTCAGACACTCGAATAAAACGAAAGACGACTTCGGTTCTAATTACGACACCGTGTATAATTATAGGCCTAGTGGTCATGCGCATCAAAAGCCCCAGCCAGTGCGGTTGCGCCCTGTTTCCGAACTTCGTAGGGTCATTTCCCGTCGCCTACTTTCTTAGTCTCTAACCTCGACTTAATGGGATAGCGGATATGTTTCGCAGCATATTCAAGTTTGGTGTTTTCAACGCTATCCAGTCAATCTGCTTTGATGCAGTAAGATTTATCAAGCTTCATTCAGATTTCTTCAGACTTGATTGTCCTTAGGTATTTCACTCGGATGAGAATATGGTGCGTTATTCTTATCACTTGAGATGTCTCTAAACAGGCATGCAGGTTATCAGCGGTAGGAGTGATCATTATTCTCGACATGCTTCGGGCTTAGCGAGCATGCAGCGCCCACTGGAAGTGGCAAGACTGTTCTTTTCGAATTGAGCATTATCCGCATGGTCACCGACCCTTCGGGCACAAACCAAGCCGCTAAATGCGTCTATGTTGCCCCAACTAAGGTAAAGTCGTGTTACTCTTACGCTAACTTGAAGCCGCTTCACAGGTCAATATAGGCCCTCTGTACGGAAAAATACAAGGAATGGACCACCAAATTTGGCAGTCTTGGGATACCCAGTATGTAATGTATTATAATTCAGATATGACGCTCGTTCTAAGAGTTAGGTTGTGAGCTCACGGGCGACACTGTAGTCTTCGGCAAGGGCGTGTGGGGTGACGCTAAGAACGCTAGAATCATGTAAGTTTAGTCATCGTAATGTTTGATGATTTCTGATATGTAACTTTATCTACCAAAGTGTTACTACGGCACGTTCCCGGTCTGCTCATATTTTGATAACACTACTTACGTTATCTCAGGCCGAGAAGTGGGACAGTCTCACTAGGAATTGGTAAAACATTTTTATTGTTACAATAGCATACGCTTACACTCATTTCAGGGACGACCATAGTCGTATATTATCTCAGATCAAACTTTTTCTTGTAGACGAGGTGAGTCTGTTGTTGATATCGTCCCGCTAGAAAATAATCGAGGGTTGGTCAGGTCCACATCCTCAATGAATCTCGCGGCAGCACCCTAGAAGTCGTTGTCTCTCGTATGAAGGCAAGAGGATCCAATGTTAGATTCCTTCTTGTATCAGCAACAGTCCCGAACATCGAAGATGTTGCAAGCTGGATTGGGAGCAATTATGCGTCTAGTGATCATCCCGGTCAAATATTTCAGGTAATCGAGTCGAGGCTGGCTTGGTCCTATGCGTAGCTTGCGCTAATTGGCGATACAGTTTGGTGACGAATATCGACCCTGTAGACTCACTCGGTTTGTTTATGGCGTGGTCAAGCCGAGAGGTCAGAATGATTTTGCATATGCGCATACTCTTGATGCCCGCCTATTCGCCGTTTTACAACAACACGCCGTTGACAAACCAATCCTCGTATTCTGTCCGACAAGAAAAGGTGCGACATCGCAATTATTAGTCAGTCAGGTCTACTACTACCAGGCATTCTGTAGGGACCATCACAACCGCCAGGCAATTGGCTAAAGAATATGAAGAAACCATGAAAGCGAAACAGCTGCTCCCGTGGAGCATGCCTTTGCAGTGCGTGATAAGACACTAAACAAGACAAGATATTCATAGATAGTTAGAATTGATCAGACTTTTCATGACAAAGATCTCGCTCGTGAGCACTGCACGGTAGGAAATACTGTTACTGTACTCATTACTTGCAGCTCTGGCTGCTTTGGGAATCGGCGTGCATCATGCTGGACTCACTATCGACGACAGGAAGACCATCGAAGACCTGTATTTGCGTAAAGTACTACGAGTTCTTCTGGCTACGTCGGTGAATACTAGTATCTGTTTCTCCACTGTGGAGTGTTGCTAATGCCACTCAAAGACTTTAGCGGTCGGAGTCAACTTGCGTAAGGTGCCATCCGTTGGTAGTCCTCGGTGACACTGATCCAATGTTTCAGCCGCCCATCTGGTCGTCATCAAGGGCGTTAAACTATATCAAAATGGCGAATCTAAAGAGTACTCGGATCTCGACATTATGCAGATGATGGGACGAGCGGTGCGTGCAACACTCAGTCCACAACCTATTTATCAGTTTATTCTGATGTCGTGGTGATAGGGTCGCCCACAATTTGGTACCTATTTTTCCACTCTGCACTCTTTCTGTTGACATCTGTCGCCCTGCACTCAGACACTGAAGGAGTTGCTATCATCTTATGTGAAACTGAACTCGAGAGCAAATATCGCGATCTTGTTCAAGGTACCACACCTCTGGAGAGTAGTCTGCACACGAATTTGGCCGAGCACCTAAACTCTGAGATTGGTTTGGGAACTATCACCGACGTCAAGACAGCACAGGAGTGGCTTCTCCGCTCGTTCTTGTATCGCCGAATGCAAAAGAATCCACAGCACTATAATATAGGAAAAGATGACCGCCAGTCTTGGCAGGGCAAGGTGGACAGCATTGTGATGGACAGCATCGAGCAGCTACGGGAAACCGGGTTGGTCACCTATTCGCCGCGCGATGGAGAGCTGAGTTCTACTGAATTCGGCGATATTATGAGCAAGGTGAAGTGTTTTTTTTGCTGTGTGTCGCATACAATCTGATAGCCTATGAAGTTCTACATTCGTCGTGGGACGGTGAGACTTTCGCACCATTTAACAGCATGTCCCTGATCATGAATAGATGAAGACAATCTTGGACCTCTCTCCAACCGCATCTTTACGCGAGATTGTGAGTTAATGGGCTTTCATCAGCGATGATCTAATGGAAACACGGTGATAGCTTGAGATGATATCCGCTTCGGAAGAGTAAGTTTTAACAGCAAGTTTGACTTCGCGGCACGAACTGTTTTATACAGATTGTCCGACCTCAAATTACGAAGTGGTGAAAAGCAGGTAAGGAACGTGAAGCACAAATGTTATTGTGGAGGTCCACCATTTTCAGGTATACGAGAAAATCAGGCGCCATAATGACATTCGGTTCGCGGTCAAAAAAATTCAAGGCACAAGCGACAAAGTGTTCTTACTTATGCAGGTAGCTGTTATGTTCACACTTGCCTATGTTTCAAATGACGTCTTTGAAGGCGGTTTTAGGCGGTTTACCCTTGAATAGTGCCGAATACAGGAGCGGGGAGAGTCAACTATGTCTTGAAGCATTCTCGGTTTTTCGTCACGTTAGCCGGATTGCCACAGGTAAAGTTTCATCTCTAAAGTTGCATTAATTCTTCAATCTGAATACTTTAGCGGTTGCGGAAGTCGCCATCATAAAGAAGAACGGAGCGCAAGTGAAGCACGGGCTGGAATTGTACGTCGGCTTTGGCTGAGATTTTTAGATGGCTGAAAAGAATTGCCCAGAGTGCGTTGTCTTAATGCCAAGGCATGGGAAGATAGACCGATTGTCCTGAGACAACTAGAATATATCGGCGAAAAGTCGTCAGTGGATCACTTTGCCTTTCCATGTGCTCTACTCACACCAGTCCTGCAGAATCAAGGTAGAGATCTGAAATTACTCACCTTAAACGGGCTACAAGCAGAAGCATGAGTAGATATTGGCCGAGAATCACATCTCCTCAATTCCCAAGTTACTAAGTACCAGCCCATTAAGACTTGAAGAGGTGAGCCCTCGTGACTGGGCAACACTATAACAAGCTAACTTCCGGCCAGCTCCTGAACCGCAGATCCCCCTTTGGGTCTGAAGTTTTGTTGGCTGCTAACGAACTACCGAAATATTTTCTTGCCTTGACAGAAGTGAAAGTTTCGCCTAGCGATGGGAAGTCTCCAGTGGATGTCGAACTCTCCATTGAATGCGGCCTTCTCTTGGACAAGAGAGCTTCTGCGGGGTCCAAGAAACAGAAGAGGAGCGGATTCGATATAACAACTCTTCTCACCGTTACTTCCGACTTTGTTTTTTATCGACTTTCGTCGTATCTCGTGAGTTTTACATCATTAACGTGGAGCGTCACTGAATTCAATGCCTTAGAACGAAGGTGCTAAGGGAAAGGAAATCCTTCGTAATAAACGCACAGCTTACCAGACCGAGTCAGACGATCAACGTTTCAATCTCTTCAGTCAGCAGAGAGCGCTCGCATCTCGGGCATATTGGCTAATTCATACAACTAGGATAATATCGCTGGGGTTACCGTAACTGAGAGCTTCAAGCCTTCCTTGCCCACGAACAAGTACCCAACGCTTCATACTCGCCCATTGACATCTTTGGTAAGTAAAATGCAGATCGCGTTACATGGACTCACTTCTCCAAGGAAATGGATTTGGAAGGGCTTGAAGATGTTGCCGACTTTTGGGATATGGGACCTGATGACGACGACGAATTAAATCTCCCTGTAAAAGATCTCACTCGACCCCGTAGCCCGCTCCAAAGCAGCACATCAGCACAAAAGAATGCCAACCCTCACGAAGAGAAGACAACGAAGTCTGCTTCACGCCCTACAGTGAAGGGGGATGGTTTGAGGATGGCCAATACGCCCGTACGAGACGACACGCAGCCTCAAAAACGCTCAGACGGGAAATATAAGTGAGTCCTTTCTATTGTTATCGGGTTGCTTAATGTCGACATAAAATCACAGCTGTAATCATACCTGCAAGGATAAATCTGCTTGCCGTCACTTTTGGTGAGTTTCGACACAGAAGCGTCAAGATTTATGTTCTGCCTAGAATCATCCTGCAGTTTCCTGCTGACGAGGAGTGCGTGACAGTTGCCGTGACGGACTCACAGAACCTTCTCGTGTCCCAAGAAAGAACAACACAAAGCCCGTCCATCTGCTGAGTTCAAAGAAAGCTCACGACTCCTCTGTCGACTTGTCATCTACTGGACCCAAAAGTCGTGTTACCACGCCGTTTGGCGACGTCCCAATCCCCAAGCGACAAAAGCCAACTAAACGCGATCCAGTTCTTGAGCAGCGTGACTCGCCTCATACAGGTGCTAATGTCAATCGAAGTTTGGCGCCCTCTGAAGGTCGACTGAAACAAGATGCCCCAGCGCCTTCGTCAAGGAAACGCAAACCAGCCCCAAATTTTGATATCGAGCTCGTCACCTTGAAGTGCTCACAATCACCACCCTCCTCCAAGGAGATACTTAACGACTCCCAATCAGATGACGACCTTGCGAATATTTCTGAGCTTCTGTGCGAAGGGAAGCATGTTCGGTCGAAGGACCAGTCGAACTCAGAGGTTGATGCGCTGGTTCGAGGCGACGATTTTAACGACACCACGATGGATGCTCTTTCCCCGACTCCTTCTCCCACTCGCAAACGGACATGTGATTCTCTATCTCCCGATAGCTCGCCACCTCGGAAGCGTCCGAAGTGCAATAACGCGTCATACAGACCTTACTCGCCAAGACAGGAATTGGCGAATGACGGCCGTCATCAGAAACGCTTCAAATCCGGCCTTAAGCTCTTCGGCTCCCCCTCTGCCCTACCAGCTGCAAAGGTAAAACGTTAAAAATGCTCTTCTCAACTGACCCCAATATTCATTCTAGGAGGGCGATGTTCCTGTTCAGTCCACAAATCGCCATTCGCTCTTTCTTATAGGATCCTCCGATGTTGACGTCGACACCCAATCACCGTCCAAGATCCCCCAGCAACAGCCTCCTGATGACTTCTTCTTTGACGAATCCTACTTTGACATCCTGCCAGAGCCTCGACAACCAGTGGAACCTTCTCTCCATGAGGATGGAGAGAAGACTAGGGCACACATTCGGACCACAGGAATCACACTTTTTGGCGCGGAACTTCAGGCTACATCGCAATGTTTCCAAAGGCTTCCTAGTAGATCCCAGTCACAATTTGATGTACAAAGCAACACTACCAACCAGCCTTGCCCTCCTCCAGTCTTCAAACGAACTTCAAACCCTACCCTCGAGAAACAGCAGACGAACCAAGAGATGAAACCCGACAACAACGCAGCCGATGTTGATGTCCTTGCTGAATTTGAAAGCTGGTTAGAGAGTGGTGCAGTTGACATTGTATAATGATGAGATGTTGTGTGCAGTGAATTGAAAGTTTGTAACGTATAAGTACTTGCTGTAAGATTATTTGTATGGGGTCAATCGAGTGGATGACAGTCAGCAGTCAGTTCCTGGGTCATGCATCAACCAACATCATCTGCTCGAGGCTCGTCGAAAACCTGCAAGGCGTCGGCAAATCGTTCGTCCCATTGTGCAGGCTGACCGGATTTTACAATTTCCCAACCAACCTCGTCGCCACGCCACCTCATCTCCTTCTTCAATCGTTCCGCACGGAGCTCTACTTCTGTTGGCGGGGGATGACTATCCTCTTCCTTTGTGGGGGCTCGGGTACCTCGTGCTAATGCGCGTGCAGTCGCTAGCTTTGCGGGCAGTGTGTCGTAGTACGTTTTGCGCGCCTTTTCCGTTTCAGATGGTGTATAAGCACCATCGTAATAAGATTCGGCTGGAAGGTCGAAATCAAGGTCTCCTCCTTGACGTCCGCCCGGCTGCGAGTCCTGAACGCCTGAAGCACTAACAGTTGTGTTTGGTGCTGCAAATGGTCGCGTGTGACTCATCACCAGAGAGTAAGCTGCTTTAGAACCAGCGCGGACTTTATGCCGCTCATTGAAGAAACCCCATAACATATTAGGAACCTGTCTGAAACCGATGTGATTGGTGAAGGGGACGAGAAGAAGCGTTGGTAGGGTTGGTATAATCGATGGTGGTGTGTCCAAATATGCAGGAATGTTTGAAATAGATTGCGTGGATTTTGATGGACTTGGAGAAGGCATCTGCAAGGGAGAGAATAATGCCGCGTTCTGCGAAGGTGGAAGGCGTGAACGGGTTGGTAAGGGCTCCCCATCTACTACCTCAGGATCTACGACAGGTTCCTCTGGCTCATCAAATCGGCCATCCGACGCTAGCTCCTGGGCGAGCATGTCTTCCCTGTCAGCGCGATCCATGCTCTCCGTCCAACCGCGTTTAAGCCCCGACATGAACTCCTTCAATGTGTGCCGACCGACAAGGACGATGCCGCCCTCGAGTTCTCGCTTGCGTTTTTGCTCAAGAGTTGGCTGGTTAGGCAAAGGCATTGGACTCTGGGATGGAAGCTCGAGACCGGCGTCAACACGTCGACGAGTCTTAATCTCGTCCGCAATTCGGTTGGCGAGGTCACCACTTCGGCGCCCCGAAACCATCTCATAGTCAACGGCAGCTGCTACAAGGATTGGCTACAGATAGACATGTTGAGCGCACTTCAAAGTCAAATATATAGTGCGCACCTTGACGTACTTCCTGAAGAATTTCAAGCTCTTATCGTGGTCCTCGTCTCCGGGCCATTTCGCGCCATATACGGTGACCTTGCGCGGCAGGTCTGTAGTACCCAGTGGATCTTTGGCAAGATGCTCAACGCGTGAGGAATAATCGGCGCGGATACGTCTACACTCTCTACGGTCATAAACATAGTATGCGACGATAGAGGTGGTCACCGAGAGGAATATGAGCCAGTTCCGGGACGGAAGTTTGGGACGCTTGTCGAACCAGGATGGTGGAATTCCGGTGTATTCCAAGGCTGCTCTTGCGCCAGACTTTGATACTTGGCTAGTTTTTGGACCAGAGTCGACATTTTGTGAGCTCATGCCCCCGTGCTGCCGCTATGTAGCTATGTATCGAGCGTGCTGTTACAACCAAAAAAATACTGCTACATCCGCCGCCCCAAACAAAGGTAAACAAAAGTCTCATTGACAAATCTTGATTCTTGGAGTGTCCATAAGCAATTCAATTGAACTATTCTCTGCCATGGCTGCCCTCGCCGCGTAAGTTAGTTTATGCATAATAATTAACAGTGCTTACATTTCTATGCAGTCTACTCCCACTACCCGCGTATGCCCCAGCTATTTCAGATGACGAGGAAGAAGTTCCCCAGCCTGCTCCATCTCAATCTGTGATCACTCGCACACCAATACCGCCATACGGCCAACGAGTGGGATGGAAACCGCTAAAATCTGAGGACTTCGGTATGTATACTTTTTGATCCCATGACTATGAGTCTCCTGATCTTTTGTGCAGGGGATGGTGGTTCATATCCCGAATGTCATGTTGCGCAATATCCATTAGACCTCGGGCGGAAGAAGGCGAGTGTTTTGTCAGGCTTCTCTACCGGTTTACTAAGTCGATACGTACAGACGGCCGCAGGCAATACGATTTCTCTTCAAGTCGATAGCGAAGGAAATGTTCGTTATGATGCTATTGCTCACCAAGGGCAACGTTCTGGCAAATATATTCAGTCCCAATTCAAAGACCTCGTCCCTATGGCTCATCGAAAAGACCTCACGGATGACCAGCGGACGATGGAGCGCCCTTCTGAGGAGGAGGTTCAAGCTACTGCTGATAAAACTCGGGCCGCTCTTGAGCAACTTGTTTCCGGAAAGATCAAGGCTGCACAACCAAAGCATGTCCCGGATGCGCAGGGGAAGACGACATATATCCGATACACACCTGGCCAGCAGAACGGAGGGGACAATGGCGCGCTTAAACAGAGGATTATTAAAATGTCAGAGGTTGTGGAAGATCCAATGGAGCCGCCGAGGTTTAAGCATAAGAAGATTCCCAGGGGACCACCTAGTCCACCCCCTCCTGTACTGCGGAGTCCACCAAGGAAGGCGACGGCGGCAGAGCAGAAGGAGTGGATGATCCCACCGTGTATATCCAATTGGAAGAACAACAAAGGTTTCACTATCCCACTCGACAAACGGTTGGCCGCAGACGGTCGGGGTCTTCAAGATGTTAGTAGTGCTATCTCTCTTGATTTCAGGCTAATGTTCTTGATTTTTTGTTTCATTTTACAGGTTCACATCAACGACAATTTTGCCAAGTTCTCAGAAGCGTTGTTTGTCGCAGACAGACATGCCCGTGAAGAAGTTCGGCAACGTGCACTTATGCAGCAGAAACTTGCACAAAAGGAGAAAGAATCCAAAGAGGAGAACCTCCGCATGCTTGCACAGCGCGCCCGCCAAGAGCGCAGTGGTGTCGCACCTTCCCGACCAACAGCAGAATCTCGAGCGGCAGTCACGTCAACTCTTGCTGGCTATGGGAGCGGCAGTGAATCTTCTTCATCAGACGCTGAACCGGAAGATTCAGAAGAACAGGAAGCTCGCAAGCTCCGCGACGAAATGCGTGCCGAGAAACGTCGTGAACGCGAACGTGAAATGCGGATGTCGAACATGGGCGCCGAGCAGCGCGCCAAGATGCTTGCACGGCAACAAAATCGTGATATATCAGAGAAAATCGCGCTCGGTCTTGCCAAGCCGACCGCGTCGAAAGAAAGCATGCTGGACTCAAGGCTGTTCAACCAGGAGTCGCTCAGTGGTTCGTTTGCAGATGAAGACAACTACAATTTATACGATCGGCCGTTGTTCCACGGCTCGACAGCGGCAGCGGCGATATACAAGGCTAGGGGCAATATTGCAGAAGGCAACGACGAGTCATTCGGTGGTGGGACAGAGGAGGGTATAGGCAAGGCTCTCGACAACGATCGATTTGGCCTTGGGAAAGCACGTGTTGGGTTTGAGGGGGCAGAGGATCAAGAAGTCCGTGAGGGACCTGTACAATTTGAGAAGGACACAGGGGATGTCTTCGGTCTAGATAAATTCTTGGATGAGGCAAAGTCTGGGAAAAAGCGAGGTCTTGACACCGACGTGTGAGTGGGGCACTACACTGCTGTTGATGGTGCACTGACTTGTTTTATTGTTGGTCTCACCGCAGTGGTGGGTCGCGGAAACGGCAACAACTGGAAAAGGCGTCCGATTTCTAGGCACTTGTATCCTATCGCTATTGTTGTCTTTATGCTATGTATCCTATTCGCGAATTGCTTCGCGGTTTGCATTGATCGTGCTTTTATTTTATTTTTTCTCTTGGATCAGATTCATAAGTATGAGCTTAAAATATATTGACAGATGTCGTTGACAAGGTGTTGTGATCTGTATATCACGTCGTGTGGTTGTAACGGGTAACCAGTGTCTACGTAGCGCCAGTCATCCTTGTCTCTTCGCCATCCTCATCGTGGCAGGTTTCCCTCGAGGATTCTGCCCACATTCCTTACAAAATTCAAGCTGTAATCGTTCAGCACTCCTACCTTCAAAGTATACTTAAAAGTGCATAATCCTCTTGTACCTTAAATATGCACTCCGAATTTCGACGCATACCTGCTGAGCGGGTGCGGCACGCAAAACGCCTGGGACATGTCCAGCCTGTAAACGACCCATATGCGTCTCCTCTCGTGTTTGCTGCAGATGCTACCACAAACTCTACTACTACCACAAGTCAGAGTACTACCTCTAAAACCACTTCAGCGACATCCAGCACACCTATAGCAGTGACCTCGACAGCGAAGACTAGTTCTTCACAGTCGTCTGCATCTATTTCCTCCTCCTCGCAGACGTTGACGTCTTCAGCTCCTTTGCAGTCCACTCTCACTACACCCACAACTACCTCGCCCACGAGCAACCCCGCTGCCACAAAACTAACTATAAGTCCCTCACCAACCACGTCTCAAACTGTGGTTCTCGTTACTACCACTACAAGCGCAACCCCTACAACTATTAACAATGTTAGTAGCGCTTCGAGCCAGACTCTCTCTGGCGGCGCACTTGGTGGTATTATCGCGGCATCCGTAGTTGTCGCCCTGGCTCTGGTCATATTCATCATTCGGAAGACGTATCTCCGCCGCAGGCAGAACCGCCGCCTCTCTTGGCCTGCTGGTAACATCTTCAACGAGACCAAGCCGCTTCCTGCAGCTCCCATTGATGATTTCTCTGAAAAACCTGCTTCGCTGAGGAATTCACCAATGTCGCCTTTTGAGGCGCACGGACAGTCGCTATATCCGAGCTCTCCGCAGCCTCCAATCCAGAGGATGCAGAGTCCATTTACGGGTTATGCGGGCCCAGCCCCGCCTCCTGCTTCGTATAATAACCCCATGCCCATGTATTCCCAACCACCGCCACCCTCTCTAAGCCCCGGGAACTCTGCCGTTCCCATGGCACGTGCAGCAGCAGGCACCAACTCGTACTCTTCACCTGCCCCTGCTACGACGGCTGCACCCATGTTTCCAACAGCCTCCGAGGCAGTTGTCAACCGCGTGTTTATCCCCACGCTTCCTGACGAGCTCTCGGTCACAGCGGGCGAGCGTATTCGTGTGCTTGCTCAGTATGATGATGCATGGGCGCTCTGCGTGAACGGGCATGGTGAACAGGGCATGGTTCCCCAGGAATGCCTAGATCGACCGGTCGCATCTAATCAGGCAGACTGGCGGAACGCTAGGCGTACCAGCAGTTTGGTTTCTGATGGCAGACACTATTGACTTTGATATTGTTTGTGAGCTGGACCGCAGGCACGGGCCAGTGTATGTCTTTCATTAATCATTGTGATGTCGTCCTGAATGAGTTGACGCAGGTATCACCACATGTTTAACTTCCGTTTGTTTGTTTATTTATTTAGATACCTCGCATACCAGCGATCACACTTTCCCACTACGTTTTGTCTCTCGTTCTTATGACTTACTCGAATTATTCGGTATAGTGTTGGGGTGTGGAGGATTTGTCGTTGAGCTGGGCGGGAGGAGTTGCTCGTTGTATGAATTTGAATGAATGGTTTGCAAGTTGACCACACTACTAGTAGGTACTCTCCGTCGTGAACCAGCAGGAGAGGTCCAAGTTTCGTCTGCAGATTGTGCTCTAGTGTTTATGATACCACTCTGCAAAATGTCGTCGTTCTTCATTCGATCTCCTGCAACCGCTGGCATTGCGCTGGCAGTACCGTGATCGTGTTCCAGACTTGACTAGACTGGAACGGAAGCTTCATCTTATTAGATGGCTATCTTCTCGTGACGGTGGGTTTTCCGAATTAGACGTGGTCCAAGCTTCTCAATGACTCCATTAGCGTACTTCCGTATTTAATATTGGAAAAATGAAGGCTGCCCACACCAGCATTGAAAACCACTGTTTTGGTGCTCCGCTTGTTGGCATCCACAAACAATCTACGAAGAGTATGTACGCACCCCAGTCCAGCGCGAGCAATTATATCGTGAGTATATTGTATCGTTGCGTGAGAAATAACTTATTACATAGTCTTGACATAGTCCACGGGTATGGAAGAGAGTGCGGGGGGTATGAGCGAAGCATGTCCTACTATTGCAATAACAATCTTGGATTGCTCGCATTCTTCGGGCGGTGGGGAATGCGTTGCGACGAAGCGGCGCTGAGCGCAGACGTCCGTCTAGCCAGCTGGGCTCTCCGGAGCTCTTCATCGATTCGCCACATTCCCTTGACGAATCCTTCACGATCAAGAAGGCCAGTCGAGGATGGATCGCAGTCGTTCCTATAGTGAAAAATGAATGCGTGTGGGTTTGTCAAAAGGACTGCAATGCGTACCATATATCTCGGAGTTTGCTGCGGTCAAGTTTTGAAGCGCTCCATATGAGTCTCACTATTCGGCCGCCTAGTCTCTCTTCAGCTCCAACTGGAACTAGATCTGTATCGTCGTTATTATCGTTTTCTGCCGCCTTCAAGGGCAATATAGGATGATCCTCCGGGTTGGTGATCAGGTCAACAGAAAGCCCTCTCCAGCCAGCAGCTTGCCTGCTCTTCTTTACTGATAATGCGGATGATGGCGGGGACTTTGGCTTGGCTTTCTTGGCAGCTTTATGTCGACTGATTACAGTCGTAACAAACAAGGCTTCATAGCGTGCCCGTGCGGCAGGTGGAACTGGCGTGGGTCGCAGGAGTAACGAGGCCTTGTGTGTCGACTGCCCGCTGTTTCGGGTGCTTATGCTTGTGGTACTCATGCTTGTCAGGGAGTGAGTGGTTGCGTTGCTTAGGATGGACGAGCGATCGGAGGTAGATGCGGAGGTACATGCGGGTGATGTGCGGGTAGAAGGAAGTTTAGTACGTGATTGAGAAGGTGGTGGTGGAGGTGGAGGTCGGGGTCGGCGAGTGACGGGTGCTATAGATGACGATGTTGACCCTGATCTCGAAACAGAGGGCGACAAGAGCAGTTTTGCACCTGGTCGCTGAGGTAGTTTTGGAGGCTCGAGCCTAGGCATGTCATTGCCATTGCTAATGGCCTTCCGCCAATCAAAAGGGATGTTGGTGGTGGGACTTATCGCGGAAGTCACAGACACGTTCTCAAATGAGTCAGCGATGCTCACGATGTCCCCATCCACGCTGCCATCGTTATCGCCATTTGTCACAAGCGACGACTGCAGGGACAGTCTTGGGCTAGTGGGTTTCAGGTCGTTTCCATCAGAAGAAAGCGATACGGAATGAAATGATGAAATGGAAGAAGCGGGCGCGTGGCTTGCGCGGGCTGAGCCAAAAGCATGTGAACGGGGTGGAGGGTAAGTGTGCTCTACGGTGAGCGAATCTGAGCGCCCTGGTGGTCGTAGAGTAGCACTGCTGTCAGAGATAGCAGAATTGGAAATTGAAGGTGAAGAGTCTGTTGATGTGTATGAAGGTTTACGTGGTGGGAGGGGCGGGCGTGACTTTGGGGGTGATTCCAAGTTAATGAGTGGCGCTGAAGACATCGGTGGTGAACGAGCAGCAGAAGGTTTATGGGCAATCTGTGGGGGTGTTCTGCTGAGATCTGGAAAGCCTTTCAGATGTCTGCTATTGTGGGGTGAAACACCGGACGGGGTTCTGTTTGGACCATCATCTACAATCCAGTCTTTTAGGTCAATTAATGAAGTTCTACGACCTAGGTTTGGAGGCGACGGTGACGGTGACCTGCTCAAAGACTTTGGCGGCGTAAATGGAGCAATTGGTTGGAATGAGTCTGAGGTAGGTGAGATAGGTGATTCCAGGAGGTTAGATGAAGGAGGATATTTGGCCTTCAAAACGACAAATGAAGGTTTTGTCGTCGTTTGACAAGGACGCTGGTCGGCGAGAGCCTCGAAAGCTTTGATCCTTGATTGCAACGCAGCTGAAGGCATCCTATGGCTCTGCTCAGAGCGCTGCGCAATCCATAAACGTTATTTATTTATTCACTCGTTCTAAACCGAATTCGGCACCCTCCGGAACTCGCACTTAAAACAGAAAAGGGGGTATTTCAACTTCGACAATAACGCCCAATATGCCCAGCGATCTTTATGCCGTAGCAGGTTTGTGGTTTCAGTAACATCCATTACCTCAGGAACTAATCATCCATTCAGATTTCTGTCTCATCCCAATCGGAACAGGAGAATCTTCCGTACGTCCACAGGAAATAAAGGATTATTGTCCAAACCAAACGTATTTTAGGTCGCAGAATATATTGCAGAGTGTCAGAGAGTCTTGGAAAAATCAGGGCTGACGTTCAAGGTGAGCACATGGGCGAGTTGTCATGTCCAATCTAACCAATCTCGCTTTAGATGCAGTAAGATTATCTACTATTTATATGTCCAACTTCTGATAACAACACATGTTCAGTGGGTACGGCACTAATATTGGTTCGTTGTAAGAAGTGACCAACCCTTGGTCTTATTCTGAATATTCTTGCTAGAGGGGCCTTGGAGCGAAGTGTCTCAAGCCATACATGATTGTCATGCCGCAGTCCACGCCAAAGGCGCCCCCCGAGTCGCCACAGACATCCGCATTGGTACACGCGTAGATCGAGACACACCCGTGGGTGATGGCAACGATCACAAGGTGAAACGTGTAGAAGAGATCCTAGCAAGAGATAGAGCAGCTGCATCCTAAGTCTTCACTGCTTTGTTAGGTCGGCCAGGCAGGTAATAGTGTACGATTTTTCTTCTTGCGTGCTTTCGACAACATACGACGTGATTTAATTTTTACACGACCACGAGTCCCAGACATATCGCATGACCCTAGTTGCAGCGTGGATGCCGAATAAAACATTCACATTCACATTCACATTCACATTCCTATTCATAGTCACAGGTACGTCACGCCCTCTTGTCGGCGGAAGATGTCCGTGCAGCTGTAGTACATACATCTATCCGACGGGAATATCGGACTCTACCTAGACTCATAACGTCGACGCGAAATCAGCATTACAAAAATGTAGGATAGAATTCATATGTGCGAGTATATACAAATGCACAAGATATAAGCTAGCATCAATGCGATGGAATAGAAATCATGAGATAACAGGAACATGTTTAGGGCCCTTCGCGGCATATATCTGCGCCAGCAGCCCAAGTACCCCACCGTCCTCCAACTCCTCTTCGTCATTGATCCCTTCCTCCTGTGACTCGTACGGCTTCTTGCCCTGAGTGTTCCCATCAACGTACGAATCGCCCAGTCCACTACCAACACCATCATCTAAATTCCTATCCTCATTCCGTATCGGCGGAGGCAGAGGTGCAATACTTCCCTGAGAGTCGCCTAGTACCGCGGTCTGCGCCATGCCCATAGCTGAATTCGAGCCGATGGCCGACTGCCATATGGTCGAAGAAGCGATACCGCCTCCACCTGCGACGATGTTGCCCCCACCTAGCTGGAGTCTTCGCCGGAGGGCAGCATGTTGACTCTGCCGAAGAGCGCGGTCGTATTCGTGAGCACGCTCCGTGGGGTCCTTGTTGCCATCGTTCAGCAGGATAGTATTATCTAATGCAGTTCTTGAAGCGGAAAGTCTGCGCCGTGCACTGAGGTCGGCGATGCGGCTGAGATACAGGGAACCAGAGGGATCTGATGGATTCCAGTCGGGGTTTGCTGCCTGGATGACAAGAATAGTCGTGAGAAATGCGGACTATTTCATATTACAGTCACAAACCTTGAAGTTCAAAAAACTCTTTTCCATCTTGCCCTCTCGAGACATCATGCGCTCGTCTTGGTTCTGCGCAGGAGCTCCAAACTACGCAAGTCAGCAGACGTAGACCACAACTTGAAACGGTTATCTCACCCTGACATTGCCGTGCCTCTTGAAATCGAACTCGGCAAAGCTGCATATATACCCTCTCCCAGGTATCCAGACAGTAAAGTCATGGAAAAAGTCAACGATAGCGGGTGCACATGATGGCAATGAAAACCAGAGTATGAATGGTGTCGTCAAGACTGAGACGATCTCTTGTACGAAAATGGGTATCTTCATCGCAAACAGCTCTCCAAATTCTTGGTGAACCTGTTGCGATTCAATGTCAACAAGTGAATCCGACGATGGAAAGCTAGGACCGACCTTCTTGGAATGTAGCTCCTCCTTCCATTCATCTGGCATGTAATGCGTATATTGGATGACCTCCGTCATGAGCAGCTCAGGATCGAACACCCTGTTATCCTCTGGTATCATCCCTCTCGCGACGGCAAGCACGGCCCCAAAGATACCAACATAAAATAAGACAGTCCTATGCGGCGTGATCTCAAAGTGCAAGACCAAATCGGGATCGATGACAGATGCGAGCACGAGCACCGCTGCGAAGGACCCGGCAATAAAAGCCACGAAACTAAACAGGTGATCAGTGCAGTCAATGAAAGAGAAGTCATGAACGAACCGCATGATGATGGTCATCTTCTCGTTGGGAAATTGGCCAATGTACATGCTCGCTAGGGGATGTGACTCATCTAACCGCCGCGTGAAGAGATGCGAGAGCTCATTGAACTCGCGAAACTTCCACTGCGCAAAGGGTGTGTAGCGCCGACTGCCAATTGATGACGGATTTTTGTGGTATTCCTGCAGAATGTTAAGCGACATCGTGAGTTATAGCAGGAATGACGCACATCGAAATAGCGGAAGAATGAATACATGATCATGTAGAGGAAAATAAATGGTGCAAAGATAGCGTTCAAGATACCCATAAAGATGAGGCGTCGACGAAGCCTAAATCACACGAGCGTAAAATTCCTCGTGGTTTAGCTGAGGAAAAGGCGTACCCTTCAATTAAGACGGCTCTGTTCTTGGTCTTCAAGAACACCTTCCTGACGCGTCCTTGGGGGTCAAACAGGTACTCCATCAAACAAAACCGCAAATTCCACTCCAACACCCTCGTTAACGTCCGCCCCTTGCCGTCATCACTTTGCCTCAACATTTGTTTAAGTTTGGGAGGAAGTGGCACGCGAAGATCAAGCAAGTCCTTATTAAACAGTGCGATGAGGTAGTTCTCTTGCCGCATGATACGATTCGCAATATCGTGCGCGTCGAGAGAAGCAGTTGCTGGCGTTGCGGCATTAGTGCCATGCGCTGAAGATATGGCTGTTATGGGGTTTTCTTCTCGTATTGCGCCTATCCTGCGCACGATTTCGGGCCAGGCGATGGTAGATATGTCGGCCTATATGCGTACCGTATGAGCGCCAGGACAAGGGTGAAGATTGAAATGTACGTACATCTGGGACGCGTAGGAGGTAGGTGTAGAATTTATACATGTTTACCAAGCGCATGACCTCGAAGACAAAAGATATAATTTGCCAGATATAGAACGCAGCAAAGAGTAGAAAGAAGAGTAGCGTAAATCCAGAGAACCTATGTTATGCACGTCAGTATGTCGTAACTATAACTGTCTTGGAAGCAAATACGCACTTTGATACGCAGTGGCCAACCACCACGTCCGACAGCCGAGTAATTGCATCCTCACGAATACGGCTGTAATCGACACACCCAAGTAGGAATGTCGAAAACCCAATTACGAATCCTACTGTGCTACGCATCAACAGTCAGCAATTTAGTTCGGAACGCACAAAGAAGCACTGACAGGAGATTGAGCCCTCTTGCCAACGCTATGGAATAAATCCCTTTGCCTTCATAGTACAGATACACCTCCTGCAGAAATGCGTCCAGGTTATAGACGTTGACCCAGTCCCAGAGCGCACGTTCGTAGTCGTCCAACCCACGCATATGCTTGGGTGATGGTTGTGGCCGCTGATGTGGTGGCGTCTGCGGAGGTTCGTCGACGTCTAGTTCTGACGGTCTAGGGGGTATTGAAAGCATAGGTAGAGTATCAATAGGAGGCGCTGTTGCATGTGGAAGCGATCGTGCGGGTGTGGAATAAAGTGGTTGTGAGCGGCCTTTGCCTTTAGAGGGGCGGCCAGACGGCGAGGAATCCTCTATCATGAAGCGCTGAGGGACATCATCATCCGATTCCTGTTCGTACGTTTTGTCCTCTTTTCGTATGTTAGGCCGTAGCATGTTCATCTCGGAGCTCTGGCCGTCCCACGATACTCTGTGTTTTCCGTGTGACTTGGTGCTCTTGGACATGTTTCCTGTGGTCGCGTGGCCTGCTTCTATATCTTCCTCGGCGGGTTCGCTCTCATTTTCCTCGACTACGAACTGGTTAGCTTGAAAATAGCCTTGGTGTGTACGGCTCATTGGATTAATCATGTTGAGGAAGGGACGTGAACTGGACATCATGAGACCTCCTGGCGGATATACGGACTGTGAGCCATGCAGATTTGCTCTGGAAGACGTTGAGGGGCGAGTTGAGGGTGGAGACGACATTCGGAGGACCAGTCACCTGTAAATTACGGCTTTCAGTTGTTCAGGCTAAGTTCATGGACAGAATATGGCAGGATTGGCGTCGTCGGTGTTCGTACCGCCAGACAGTCCAAGGACGCGTAACTTTGTCCCTTGTCACACAGACGCTCAGAAACTAGTGGCGTCACGGTGTGACCATGTCCTCAGCATGAAACTATGAAATTGCATGGAGTGACGAGTCATCCAAGTCTGATATTATACATCCAGGTAATACATCGTTATTTATGTAAATATCCTCTTCGTGCTCAATACCAGCTTATGCCTTTTTCGCAACTACATCCAGCCTGCTCGCCGCTCTCAACGCAGCCCTGATGCCAGATACAGTGATGTCGGTGTCGCTGCCCAATCCCCAAGCAGCTTCTTTTTTGACCCTTCCTGGCAGCTCATACAGGAGCTCAACGAAGGAGACAGCCTTCACGTCTGAACCCTCTCCCACAGAGTGCTCCGAATACTCCCGGCAGACAAGAGTGCCCTCAACTTGTGAGTGCAACGCAGCGAGGGCTGCGGACAAAGGACCGTTGCCCTCACCAACAACCTTGCACACCACGCCATCGATCTCCATATCACCCTTGAACCGGGGGCCTCCGCCTTCGACCCGCTCGAAACAGAAGTCACCCAGAGAAAATCTGCCCTTGTTTTCGATCTCGTAGCCGTATGTCTCCCGGAAGAGACGGGTAAGGTCTTCATACGAGATTTTGTCATCTGACTCGCGCACAGCGCGCTGCACGACTTCGAAAAAGGAAGTTTGCAATCTGCGAGGGAGCGTCAAACCCAGAGTATTGACGATAGCGTCCGAGACGTCCGATTGGCCACAGGTGGCGTTGAAGCCGACACTGAGCTTCAGCTCAGGCAATATACGATCGCCAATGGCAGCGTTGACTGCACTCAACACGGCATGCAAACTGGAAGCGGCAATGTCAGAGTCGAGTCCAACACCCCACCATGACTCGGATGCTTGGCGAGTTTCCTTGACGTCGTCGGTGGTAGCAACGAGTTCTATGTACGAGGCTGCCTTGGAGGTTTCTCCCTCACCAACTGCGTGCTCCGTGTACCCGCGGAGAGTCATGTCGATCTCCAAATGAGTGCGCAGAGCATCAAGAAGAGCAGAGATGGGACCATTGCCATCCCCACGAATGACACGCAACACGCCATCCACCAACATAGTACCATCAAAGCGACGACGTTCGTCGAAAGGTTCACCGTCGTGAGTGGGATCAGGTGATGGCTCAGCCGTAATACGGAATGACTTGAGCGCCAGTCTACCTTCATACTTCGATCCACCGAAGTGGTAAGTCTCGCGGAACGCCGTGGTGAGGTCTTCGACGGTGATTTCGCGTGCGTCGCGGTCGGATATTTGCTGAATGACCTTGTAGAATGCGACCTGCATATTGCGTGGAAGGTCGAGTTGCAGGTGTTGCTTGACGAGGTACGCGATGCCTCCCTTTCCGGACTGCGCGTTGACACGAATGACAGCTTCGTAACTGCATCCAAGGTCGGCGGGGTCCAGGGGCATATACTGGCATGTCCCACATCTTGAGCTCGCCGTTTTCAACATTCTTTTTGTGACGAATACCCTGTGCTTCGAAACCTTTCTTGATGGCGTCCTGGTGCGAACCAGAGAAGGCCGTGAAGACGAGCTCGCCAGCGTAAGGGTGTCTTGGGTGTACAGGGAGGTCATTACAGGAGGTCACAATGTCAATGACTTTCTGGATGTCGCTGAAGTCGAGGTTGGGGGTGATTCCTTGTGTGTATAAGTTCAACGCTAGGGTCACGAGGTCGACATTTCCTGTACGTTCCCCATTACCAAACAAACAGCCCTCCACTCTATCAGCGCCACCAAGGACTGCAAGCTCCGCGGCAGCGATAGCAGTGCCTTCATGATGTTTTAAAAATACGTCCATGATTAAATGTGTCCATGACGCACCTCTGTCATTATGCGGGTGCAAACTGATGATGATGTTTTCTCGCTCAGATATATGAGCGGCAAAGTATTCGATCTTTGAGTATGGTGAACGGACGTAAGGAAGATTTTTATAAAAGCGCCTACCTGATCAGCATAGTGGTTAGGAGGAGCGATTTCAACAGTGGCAGGAAGGTTGAAGATGATGCGGTCAATGCCTGGCCCAGCCTTGCCCCATGCGGTCTTGACAGCCTCACAAACTTGGAGAGAAAACTCCAATTCTGTCTGGGTGAATGTCTCCGGGCTGTATTCATAACGGAATTTCATGCCGTGTGATGCGGAATATTGATCAGCAAGCTCGCTGATGAGTTTGGAATGTCTGGAGGCCAGTTCAACTGTCTGTTCCTTCGAGTTACGGAAGACGACCTCTCGGAACATAGGACAAAGGGCGTTATACATGTGCATGATGACATGCTTTGCACCAGCGACAGCTTCGAATGATCTTCGGATGAGATCATCGCGAGCTGGAGTCAGAACCTAGATCCAAACATCAGCAGACGTAACCAAGTGATTTCGCAAGAGTACTTACCTGAATCCATACATCATCGGGAATCTCATTATTTTCGATCAAATATCGAACGAATGAGAAATCGGTGTCGCTAGCGGAAGGGTAGGCGATTTCGATTTCCTTGAATCCGCATTTAACCAACAAACGAAAGAAGGTCAGTTTTTGATCTGCCGTCATTGGGCATGCCAAGGCCTGGTTTCCGTCACGAAGATCTGTGGAAAGCCATATAGGAGCTTTGGTGAATGTCTTGGTTGGCCATTGACGATTGTCGAGGACGAGTGGTACGTATGGTCTGTACTTTTGAGTTGGATCAATGCTACAGGTCATGATTAATGAAGAGCACTGAAAATCAATCTAGAAAGGACGGACAGCATGCAAGGCATGATGGGCGAACTTGACGAAAGAGAAACCAAGTACAGTATTTGCAAGAAGATGGGAGAAGAAATAGTTATTTGGAACAGCTGGTAGAAACCTGTCAAGGTCGAGTCACAGGTATCGACTTTTATTCTACACTCTCGGCCCGGGCAATACTAATTAATAATGCTCCATTGACAAGGTACGAATGGAGTCATTGTCAAGCCCTGGTAGTGACGGTTGGTCACCCTCTCTTGAGGTTAGCATCTCCAGTTGGAAATCTCATCAGATCTAGACTGGGTCATATGGACCCGCTCAGGACATAATACTATTCGATAATCCATGGGGGTAGTTGATTACACTGCCGCATGCTCAGGGTAGTCACCAGTACTAGTTCAACGTTCCAACATTAATTGCATAGCGATCAGTGGATCAATCTATTTGTAGGAGAACTTGTGGTAGATCATCATGTAGATAAGATTAGGTCCATCCTGTTGGCAAGATTGCTGGCAGTGACTCATTGCTACTCTTTGAACTGAACGATCATGTCTATAACACTTTCAACAAAAACTTCCCCATTTCCTTACGCTTCGATCGCCATCGCGACGTACACGCAGAAAGTAGACATAAACTACGACGAATCAGTAGATGCCGTCACTCTAGACTTTGAGGGTTCACAGATCTCTACGGACCATGAGATCGTAGGCCGTGTTGGCCAGCGCAGGAGGTCTCGCTGGAGACAGCGTAAAGGCATAATAAATCTTGATATAACTCATACAAGTTTAACTGAACCACTTACAGACTGCCGCGTATTTTGAGCTCGCAAAAACTGTGCCGACATTGACAGCGATCCCGGATATCATTGCTCTTCTCGATTCTTTGGATAACCATCTCGCATATCGCACCTTCCTCGTCGGCCACGACATGACTGCAGCCGATTTCATCATCTGGGGTTCAATCAAAGGTAGCTTGATCAACCAAATTCTTGATGTTGTCGCGTCTGACATTCATCAGTTGCACCAAAATTTATTGGGTTTCTCAAGAATGGGCAGCAGTATGGTCATCTTCTTCGGTGGATGTCTCACATCGAGAGTCTCGATTCCATTCAAGCTACGCTCGCGGGCCTCGCAGCAGCTAAAGCCAATAAAGCCAGATCAAATAAAACGGCCGCAGGGTTCGCTCTTGGCCTCCAAAATGCAAAGGAAGGTCACGTCGTCACACGTTTCCCGCCTGAACCCTCTGGGTACCTCCACATTGGTCATGCAAAGGCCGCGATGCTGAACCAGTATTTCGCAAAAATGTACAATGGGAAGATGATCATTCGGTTTGATGATACTAATCCCACGAAAGAGCGGGTAAGCCCCCTGTTTTATTCGCAAGCCTATGAGGTCTTACAATGGAACCCTTAGGCTGAGTTCGAGGAAACTATCTTGCAAGATTTGGAGCTCCTGAACATCCGCGGGGATAAAGTGACCCATACATCAGATCACTTTGACCGGATTTATGAATTAGCCATCCAAATGATCAAGAGCGGTAAAGCTTACGCCGATGATACCGAGCAATTACAGGTGCGGAACTTTAGTTGAGGATCATGCATAAATGTTGACCGGCCAAAAATTAGATGCGCGAGGAACGAGGCAAAGGTGTTGCATCTGCTCGTCGAGATGACTCAATCGAGGACAACCTGAGGCACTTTGAGGAGATGAAGACCGGAACTACAGAAGGTCTGAGATGGTGTATTCGCGCGAAAATGAGCGTGGACAATCAGAACAAAGCTATGCGTGACCCCGTCATTTACCGATGTAACTTAATCCCTCATCACCGAACTGGGTATGGAGTCATCTACTCTAATTTGCACCTAATATTGATCCATATTACAGAGATAAATGGAAAATATACCCTACCTACGATTTTGCGTGCCCAATCGTGGACTCCCTCGAGGGAGTTACCCATGCCCTCAGAACGAACGAATATCGTGAGCGAAATGCACAATATCAGTGGATGATCAAAGCTCTTGGCATGCGCAGGTGTTGACATCTGGGACTTCAGGTCAACCCTTCTAATCGGATCTGCATTTGAAAGCTACTAACACCTCTGCAGTCGTCTCAGTTTCGTCTATACACTTTTGTCCAAGCGGAAGTTGCATTGGTTCGTAGACAGCGGAATAGTTGGGGGTTGGGATGACCCACGTTTCCCAACCTATTCGGGGTTAGTTCTCCTGTCAAGTGTAAAGCACAAGGCTGTTCTGATGCGACTGCGGCAGGGATCCGTAGACGTGGACTAACCGTGGATGCGTTGTCACAGTTCATGTTGGCTCAGGGGCCTTCGCAAGCAATTGTATCGCTCGAGTGGGACATGATCTGGGCCATTAATAAGAAAGTAATTGATCCTGTTCGCTCCGCGGTTCTGGGCCATTGTGAAGGAGAACAGGTGCCGTCATCAGCAACACCAAACACATGTCTGCAAGCTGACACAGCTGTCCACAGTGTCGTTGTAACCATCAACGATGGTCCCCCTGCACCCGAGGTGAAGACCCTACCACGGCATAAGAAGAATCCAGATGTCGGCGAGAAAAAGACCGTATTTACGTCTACCATCCTTGTCGAGCAGGAAGACGCCATTTCCTTCGATGATCAAGAGGAGGTATGTCATGCCAACGATAGCCGAGAGACAAGTCTCATCCGCACTGATCGCATCAGATAACGTTGATGGACTGGGGGAATGCCATCGTCCGGTCTAAGACCACGGGCCCCTCGGGTGACATCACTTCCCTCACAATGGACCTCCATCTTGAGGGCTGATTTCCGCAAGACTAAGAAAAAGATTACTTGGCTTGCACAACCCTCCAAGGATTACCCCTTAGTCGACGTAACGCTCCTTGATTACGACTACCTAATCACGAAGAAGAAGCTCGAGGAGGCGGACGACATCAAAGATTTCGTCACGCCCGTGAGCGAGTTCCGGGAGGAGGCAGTTCGCAGATGCGAACGTAAGCACGCTCACTAAAGGAGACATTATTCAGTTTGAGCGGAAGGGTTATTTCATATTTGATGGTACTGCGGAGGATGGGAAGCTCGAGTTCATCCGGATTCCCGATGGGCGCGCGGCTAATCTGGCTAGTAAAGCCGGGAAGCCTGGTGTTGTTACCATCGAGTCTCCAGTGCCGGCCTCGGGGACTACCGCCGACGCTGATTATGTCCCCTCCTCGACGATGTACAAGGTGGCGAAGATTTATGGCGACGAACCAGTGAAGCCTGTGTCCACAACAAAGATGTACAAGGTCTCGAATGTGTACGAGTGATGGTCAGGATAAGAATAGATGGAATCTGGGGGTAGCTGCGAGATTCTTAGAGGTAATAACTTACCAACGAATATTGTACTATGTAAAAGTTTATCGAAAACTTTGGCGAAGACTATAAAAATAAAATCGCAGTGGTACGCAGCACCAATTCCTGATTCCCTAAGGTGTCTATGCTTCCGACGTTATCCTCACAAGGCCTGAACGTAGATTCCTTGTCATGGACCCCTGAGGGATCTCAGAAGGTTTCGAACGAGCCAGCGCCCTGATGAGTCGAGTAAAAAAATGTCGTAGGCAAGTTTCAAACATGCGCCATCCAACTGAAACAAATTTCGAATCTGTTACATGGTACCGTTCAATTATGACCGGTTGGGATGAACCTTTAAGCAAACTATCATGATTAAATGTCTGAGGTGTGAAAAGATGAAAAAAATTGCCATCGGCAGGTTTCAAACCTACACCACCCAGGAGCATCAGATTTCAAATCTGCCAACCAAGTACACAGGCTTGGCCATGAGTCTTATAGTTGATGCTCGAAGACCTCTCCATGAGCTCATGCCCAAGGTGCGGTCATAGACAAAAAAAATTGGTCTGCGGGTTTCGAACCGGCACTATCCAGGAGGAACAGATTTTGAATCTGTCAACGACTTGGCCATGAGCCTTGTGCTTAACGTTCGCAGACCTCTCCATGAGCTTATTCCCAAGGTGCGCTCATAGAGAAAAACCATGGGCGGCGGGTTTTGAACCTGCACTATCCAGGAGGAACAGATTTCGAATCTGTGAACCACTTGGCCAACACGATTTAAGATAAATTGATGAGTTGAAGCTAGACATGGATTCCAGGTCTGAAGGTGAATTCCTTGTCATGGACAGGGATATTTTCCCAACGCCGTGATGTTGAACAAAAAAATGTCGTAGGCAGGTTTCAAAATATGAATATGTACCATCCAAGTGGAACAAATTTTTGAATCTATTGCATGGTACCGCCCAGTTAGCAGTCTGTCTAATGAGCAAGCCGTCGATTAGACATTTAACGGGAAAGTTCGCAGCATGTTCGCAGGAGAGGGCTTCGAGCAAGAAGAGGATCAAATTCCAAGACTGTCATTGGATCTACTAAGCAATGTGGCTGAGGAATAGTAGTCGCATTCTATGCTTGCTTGTCATCCAGTCTACTGATACAAGCCCTTTTTGCTACCGACTCCAGATTCCGAGCCTGCTGTCTTTCACTCGTGAATTGATTGATCGCTTCGAACAACCTTTGACCATAGGTTTCTCCCCACTCCTCCGTCTCATGAGGAATGTTGATTATGTCTCTCGCTGACCTCAGATTGTTGGGATGAGTCTTGCTAAGAAGCTCCAAGTCATTGTCGTCACAAATCCATGTGATTGGCCAAACAGATCGAAGGGGATCCACCGCATGTTCTTGAGCACGCCAGTCAGAAAGCCTCTCGTGTAGAAGGTCGCGTTCGTTCTTGTCTCTTAACTGATTTCGGCGATGCTTCATTGGCTGGCTGGTGGTGGCAACAATGTCTCCAGTGTACATTGGACCGAGAAAGAATTGAGACAGGTTAAAGTCATGTTTGGGACTGTGTCGGTCACAACAGTATTGCGATATGTAGTGGAGAGCTAATGGGAAAGCATCAGTGAAGTCAAATAGTGGATGTGGTTGTTCGATGTCACCAGCAGGAGTTTCATCACGTAGGTATTTTGCATAAAACTCCCTGAGGCACATCTTTGACTGGATGTAGCAAAGCACTGCACAGCCAGTGCGATCTTGTTTTGACGAGTTTTTCTTTATGACTCCTGCGTAAGGCTTGTCGGGGTCATTATCATCATCATGTTTGTCAGTCAGCTCGAGCTCGAGCTCGAGTGCCCATGGTTCGACCATCATTAAAAACAGTCCAAAGATGCCATCGTCCCAAGCAGCGCGACCTCTGCGTTGCGCTGCCTCCGACATGTCGCGAGGAACTCCATATTGAATTACAACCGATACACAACGGATGTTGAGGTCCTGTAGAGCAAAAATCAAGCATTGTGATTCAGTCGTTGCCACACTACATCACTACATATTCTTACTGTTGATGCTGCTGTCGCATGCAGAATACGACAGCTTCCATTATCCGATGCAAAGTCCTCGTATGTTTGTTGGAGGTACTCCGGGGACATGTTACTATGATAATGCTTGACGACGCCGTGATTCTGTAATGCTTTCGGCAGACGAGAGTTGCTATAGGCTGCCGCATTGACTGCTTCAAACTCGTTATCGTGGAAAATCAGAGTTTTTGGGATGATCATAGGTATTGCATAGTTGAGCGGGATGAGACAATCGAAGTTATGAAAATTACGAGGGCCACCAATCAGAGGCGTAACGGCATAAGTTATATTGGGCCGATTGGTCGACAGAGTCAATGAAAGATTGTCGGATGGAATAAGTAGCTCGTGTTTGACAGCAGAGAGAATATGAGGTGGTAGTGTTGCTGAAAGTGCCTGAAATGTCGTCCCCTTGCTGAGTAGCACACGAAGCTCCCCAAGCTTGCCGTATGCTGGCCGAATAGCCTCCTCACCATGATGTGGAAGTCCTGCTGTATAGATATTGTGTGCTTCGTCCACATGAACACGTTTAATTCTTTTTGATGAATGATCCATCTTGACGTATGAGTCGTGCGAGACGTGGGAGATGGCCATTGAAAATGAATAATTGCTCTGGTGAAACAATCAAGTGGTTGAACTTCCCGGTACGAATCGACTGTGGATTGAAAACATGAGTTAAAGTGTCCCCTTACACAACGAAATCAACAGCTTGTCATGTTGGGTGTACCTGCCACAGTGATGCATCATTCGGAGTGTCCTCATTGATAGAAATCGTAGATATGCCGTATTTCAGACACTCTTTCACCTGGCGTAGACTCGTTATCGCACTCAGTACTTAAAAAAGTCAACTTTCGGTCTGACCTGGGTAATCTGGAGGCGTTTCAGTGGCGAAATCGTCATACTGATGGTGTCGGGACGGAGGATAATTGGCAGGATGAGACACAGTGTCTTCCCACAGCCTGTACCTGCTGTTATTACACTGTCACGGCCATTGAGTGTTGCAAGAACGGCCTCCAGTTGAAACTCTCGTGGCACGATCGTAGTTGCTGTAATGATGTACACAAGCAAGCAAGCACGAAGTGCATCTGTTTTGTCTTTGTCGCTGAGTGATTGAATGTAGTTGGTAGGGAGCCGTTCTCCTATTAGCGAGCGAGCAAAGGAGTCTAGACCTTCTAGTGATGCTCGCTGCACTGCTTGAAGGACAGCATTCACATCCATTGAAGTTGTAGTGCAGATACATACATTTGATGCGCGTCGCGTCGCGTCAAATTTACAAATTTTAAACAATAATTTTAGGATTCAGGTCAAAATTTTCAGTTTTCCCATTGGCTACAGATCACGTTACCTGACGAACCCACGTACTACCCAAATTCAAACCCGATTTACCAAGTCTGGACTCTGTCTAATCGACGGCTTGCCTGAGGCCTCATTAGACAGACTGGTCACGAGTCTACGCCCAGTCACGACCGGCTGAGAGGGACCTTCAAAGAAACTGTCATGATTAAATGTCTGGGGTGCGAAAAGAGGAAAAAAGACTGCTGGCGGCAGGTTTCCAACCTGCACCATCCGGGAGGAACAGATTTCGAACCTGTCAACCACTTGGCCATGATGAGGCTTGTGGTTGAAGTTCGAAGACCTCTTCATGAGCTCAACCCAAGGTGCGATCATAGAGAAAAATGATTGTCAGCAGGTTTCGACCCTGCATCATCCAGGAAGAATAGATTTCGAATCTATTAACCACTTGGCCATGAGCCTTGGTGATGTTCGCAGACCTCTCCATGAGCTCATGCTCAAATTATGGAAAGCCGGACAGCCGTGCTCTGTTACAACTTACAACTTACAACTTACCACCCGTGACACGGGCCAAAAATGGTAGTCACAAGCTGAGGACTCCGTACGCCCAATTCCTCGGAGGTGCATCTCAACTTAGCCCTGACCGAAGTGGTTACTGCAACATAATCAAAATCTGTCGCTTCGACTGTACCAGTGCAGGTTCAAAACCTGCCAATGGGTTTTTTTTATCCGAATACGCCTTGAAGATTCACTGATGGACAGTTCCTCAGAGGCTCATCTCAACTTCGCCCTGGCCAAAGTGGTTCCTGCAACGGAATCGAAATCTGTCTCTTGGACTGTCACTACCAGTGCAGGTTCAAAACCTGCCGACGAGGCTTTTGCTATCCGAACACGCCTTCAATGAAAATTCACTGATGGACAGTTCCTCAGAGGCTCATCTCAACTTCGCCTTGGCCAAAGTGGTTACTCTAACAGAATCGAAATCTGTCTCTTGGACTGTAACAGTGCAGGTTCAAAACCTGCCGACGAGGTTTTTCTCTCAGAACATGCCTTGAAGATTCACTGATGGACATTTCCTCGGAGGTTCATTTCAACTTCGCCTGGCCAAAGTTGATACTTCAACAGAATCGAAATATGTTTCTGTCGGACTCGCGCAAGCTCCAAACCTGCCGACCACAAGGTTTTTTTCTATCGGAACACACTTTGACATTCACTCATGGGTGATTGCATCGGAGGCTCATCTTAACTGGTCTTAAGCAAGTGGTTACCACAACAGAATCGAAATCTGTTTCCCTTGCAGTCGGTTCGAAACCTGCTGACAACATTTTTGCAGTGTATAGATCCTCAGAGCTCCCGTCTTAACTAGGCCCAGTCATTGCGCCGAAACCTCCTTTTTATGTGATAGTCAGTCCATGAAATAGAATTCACCTTCACGCCTCGTGCGGATCGTCTCAGAAACATATGGCATATCCCTGAGATGTGTACGTGCCAACCTAGATTCTCGACGGACTAACCAAAACTGTCGGGTTGGAACAGGGACGAGACAACAGGACAGCTGCAATTCAGTCTGGTCTGTCTCGGAGAGTTTGGCACCCGATGAATTCGAGATAGCGCGCGCACGTTTGCTCGACTGAGTAAAAGGCTCATGGAGAAGTTCGGCAGCAAAGTTACGTCTCGGAGCCCTCAAATGCTTAAAGATGAAAAGCAAGTCACCACAATATTCGGTACATGGATGGACACGCAGGAGGCCACGCGCATACTAGTAGTAGTAGTGGGGATTATCAGCGCTCTGACCGACAGCGAGTGAGCGCGAATCATCATAGGAAAATAATCAATCAAATGATGAAGACTACTCCCTAAGGTGTCTATGCTTCTGACATTATCCTGACAAGGCCTGACTGTAGATTCCTTGTCATGGACCCCTGAGGGATCTCAGAAGGTTTCGAACGAGCCAGCGCCCTGATGCAGTCAAGTAAAAAAATGTCGTAGGCAGGTTTCAAACATGCGCCATCCATCTGAAACAAATTTCTAATCTGTTACATGGTACCGTTCAGTTATGACCGGTTGAGATGAACCTTTAAGCAAACTATCATGATTAAATGTCTGAGGTGTGAAAAGTGGAAAAAAACTGCCATCGGCAGGTTTCAAACCTACATCATCCAGGAGCATCAGATTTCAAATCTGTCAACCAAGTACACAGGCTTCGCCATGAGTCTTATAGTTGATGCTCGAAGACCTCTCCATGAGCTGATGCACAAGGTGCGGTCTTAGACAAAAAACTTTGTCGGCGGGTTTCGAACCGGCACGATCCAGGAGGAACAGATTTCGAATCTGTCAACTACTTGGCCATGAGCCTTGTGCTTGATGTTCGCAGACGAGTCACCATGAGCTTATGCCTAAGGTGCGCTCATAGAAAAAAACCATGGGCGGCGGGTTTCGAACCTGCACCCTCCAGGAGGAACAGATTTCGAATCTGTGAGCCACTTCGCTAAGACTAGTTAAGATAAATCGATGAGTTGAAGCTAGACATGCCAGGTGGGAAGGCCTGAAGGTGAATTGCTTGTCATGGACAAGGATATTTTCCTAGCGCCGTGAGGTTGAATAAAAAAATCTCGTAGGCAGGTTTCTCCAAGTGTAACAAATTTTTGAATCTATTACATGGTACCGCCCAGTCACGTCCGGCTGAGATGGACCTTCAAAGACACTGTCATGATTAAATGTCTGGGATGCGAAAAGAGGAAAAGATTGCTGGCGGCAGGTTTCTAACCTGCACCATCCGAGAGGAACAGATTTCGAGTCTGTCAACCACTTGGCCATGAGGCTTGCCATTGGACGTTCGAAGAGCTCTTCATGAGCTCATGTCTAAGGTCTGATCATAGAGAAAAACTGTTGCCGGCAGGTTTCTAACCTGCACCATCCACGAGGAACAGATTTTGAATCTGTTACACAACCACTTGGCCATGAGCCTTGTCCTTGACGGTCACAGACCTCTCCATGAGCTCATGACCGAGGTGCGATCATAGAGAAAAAAGATTGCTGACAGGTTTCGAACCTGCACCATCGAGGAGTAACAAATTTCGAATCTGTGAACCACTTGGCCATGATCCTTACCCTCGACATTCGAAGACCCCTTCATAAGCCCATGCACAAGGTGTGATTATAGAGAAAACCTATTGTCGGCGGGTTTCCAACCTGCACCATCCACGAGGAACAGATTTCGAATCTGTTACATAACCACTTGGCCATGAGCCTTGTGCTCGATGTTCGCAGACCTCTCCATGAGCTCATGCCCAAGGTGCGATCATCGAGAAAAAAGATTGCGGGCAGGTTTCGAACCTGCACCATCGAGGAGTCACTGATTTCGAATCTGTGAACCACTTGGCCATGATCCTTACGCTCGACATGCGAAGAGCTCTTCATAAGCCTATGCACAAGGTGCGATCATAGAGAAAAACTATGGTAGGCAGGTTTCCACCCTGCACCATCCACGAGGAACAGATTTCGAATCTGTTGCATAACCACTGGGCCATGAGCCTTGTGCTTGGCCTTCGCAGACCTCTTCATGAGCTCATGCCCAAGGTGCGATCATAGAGAAAAAACCATTGCTGACAGGTTTCGAACCTGCACCATCGAGGAGTAACAGATTTCGAATCTGTTAACCTGGAACCACTTGACCAAGAGCCTTACGGATGACGTTCGAAGACCTCTCTATGAGCTCATGCCCAAGGTGCGATCATAAAGAAAAATCATTGTCGGCAGGTTTCGAACCTGCACCGTCCAAGAGGAGCAGATTTCGAATCTGCTTCACCACTTCGCTAGGAGTCTTCTGATTGGCGTTCGAAAGACATCTCCATGAGCCCATGCCCGCGGTGCGATCATAGAGAAAAATGTATGGTCGGCAGGTTTCGAACCTGCACGATCCAGGAGGAACAGATTTCGAATCTGTTAACCATTTTGCTAATACTACTTAAGATACGTCGATGAATTGAAGCTAGACATGCCAAATGGTAAGGTGTGCCTGACGAGTCGGTCCGTTCCGATGTGGCTGGCTGTGCAGGCGTAGGTGGAATATGGTCACAAACTACTTGTCTTCAGCTGGTGACGAGTGCTAGTGAGCGAGAACCTGAGGCCGGGTAACAAGCCTGAAAGTCTCCGAGCCGCCGGGGAGCATCCATGACGATATCACGATGTATTTGTATTTGTGAGCTACACGACTCAGTGTGTGTCCGCGGAGGGACCCGGCGGATGTGTACCGAAGTCGAAGCTATTTGTCTGTGTGGATGTAGAATACTTGAGCCGATCCAGGTGATCATCCTGGGCCTCATGATAAGGGGAAAACTCACGAACTTTTGATGGACATGTGCTGAATGTGTACATTTCTAACCGAGAAAGGCACTTCGTGGAAGTCGGGGATTGGTTTGGTTGGTTGACCATCGGGGGGCGTCATGAACGCAATTGGCATAGATAGCGAATATCGCACTATCTTGCGGCTTATGGAAAACCCTGGTGTTATGACCATAAAAGTTAACCACCGCATGCAACGGGAGAAGCGGTAAGCACACACGTCAGGGACGCTTCAGATTTAGTCTAGACGAGCATCCTCTGTAAGCACATTACTTAATTTCGGGACGGTAGCTAGAGAAAGAAGCTCACCATTTATATCACAATCTTTGTTCCCTCATTGGTGATTGTAAAGGATGAGCCAAAAACAGACATGCAGGGAGATTTCGGTCTGGCATCCGCTCCCATGCTTGGGATGTTAGACGAATTGTCAACATGTGACAGTAGCAAGAAGACACAACACGCGTCAAGGCTTCAGAGCTAGTATAAGTACACAAGACGATTGATACGATAACGAGCAACAAGCCTATCAGGTATAAATACAGTACCTTAGTCTCATGCTGATGGAAGGCATCCTCCTCAGCACCGGTACCGTATTACATTGAAAGGGCGATTAAACGCCAGAGAGTAGTAATGCACGAGATTGAACGAAATGAGATATGACCGATAGAGCTACACAGGAACGAGTGATGTTAACGAAAGCAATGACCAGCAGAGTATGAATATACAAGAGATGCAGGGAAGAAAGCACATAGATGCAACAGAAAAGCGATGAAAAATCTAAGAAACCATCAAGCCCAACAGATCAAATAGATCTGCGTCGTAATCGTCGGCCCCAATTGGCGAGCGGTGTACTCCGCCAGAGCTTCGAACGATCTGATGAGTCTGTATGGAGATTGAAGCGACTTCGGCGGAGTACTTCCATCAGGATGAATGAAACTTCGAAGCGATATCAGATGGTGACGTTAGCTATAAAAAAGTAGGAAATATGTACCGAGGAGTTCCTCTGTTGATGCGAGGGGATGCATTTCAAACTCCAGATAGTCATGTCCCAGACCGGGTATCGGAGCGGCAATGAAGCGTTCGCCCACACGCATACTATTGGTGTGGAAAGAACCTTTTGTCTGATTTGAATCATAGTCAAGAAGCTGCATGATGTTTAATAGTGATACCGGGCTTGAGGGAAAGCACAAACCGTTAATGCATCTGGTGCTGCCATCCAGAAGTATTCCGTGTCGAAGCGTGTAGGTATACCGAGGACATTGCGACTGTGGTGTTGAGAACGTGCGAATATGAAGGTGGATAAGGAGAACATACGACAATATGGCACTCGAGCACCCAAACATCCCTTTCGCTCCGATGATTTTTTCCCTGCTGATGACAATCTCTATTGGCTGTTTGCCCTTCCATCCGATCTCAGCGATGACCTCCCCTAGTTTATTATATATTGTCGTCCTGCGAGTCTCCCCGTTTTCCTCTTCGCTCTCTGTGTCTGAATCCTTACCACTGTCACGAATAAAATGGGACCTGGTAAGGATGGTATATCCAAGAGCACCGGTCTCGGGATAAACGAGAGCTGAATTCAGGATATCCGACTTTGAAAATTTGAGGAGCATCCTGTTAACGTTGACTCGACGTGAGATGGAGAGAAAAGCAACGGGCAAGGGGGAGCGAAATTCTGTGCTCAAGAATAGCGGGATTTTATATATAAGGACATATGTGTGCGGCGGTAAGGAGGTGCCAATGGAGTACACCAAGCTCGATTCAGCTGTCCCTTTGATCGGCTGCCATATGTCAAACAATTTCTGTCGGAAACTCCCATCTAGTATGTGCGGAAGCCATCTTGCTAATCATTTGCTACTACCTGTCCGCTATTTCATCTAATCACATTCTCCCGTCATCAGAGTGCCAGCAGAACAGCGGTCGACTGCCCAGTCCATAGTGCATGAGTCTGGACTCTGGTGAATGTTATATTTGGACATGAAGCCCACGCCACCAGTTGTTTGGTTTTATTGACGTTGTGGCAGGGGTTTGAAACTGTGTTAGAACCAGTGATTTCAACACCGACGGCGACGACGACGACAACGACGACAGCTGAAACGACCGAGAGGTCCCTTGACCGATTCTCATTCACACTTACACCTTACCTCCTTAAACAAACTGGATATTCAACGACCTCCTATCGAGGGTTGGTGACAATAGATCCAATAGACTGGACCAGTTCAAATTGTTGCTGTGGACATGGTTCAACGTCGTTCACCACATAGAGTCACATTTCCTCAAAACAGCAATAATCTGGCGCGTAGACAGTACTCGCTCCGCCATACTTCCGCTGCCAAACGCGCTCTTGCTTTCGTGAATAGATTCCAGCGTTCCTCGGCTAATTCCCACGCGGCGGGCGCGTCTCCACCATCATCTTCAGACACTACCGTTGATTCGCGCCCTATACTGGCTACATTACAGCCCAATTTGCGACGGCTGCCATCCCGTCAGTATCTGTTGATGAAAAACAGCATTCGAGATGTGAGCCAAAATCAGGATGTTCCTATTGGTTCGAAAAGGAAACGCGTCGCGTCCGTTAATGAAAACATTTCTGGCGGTCGGCCCGCGCGTGGGGCTCCGAAATTCAAGAAGCTAAAAGCTTCACCGATCCAGGACTCATCCAGCGAAGAACTTAGTGATATGGAAGTTGATATTACTGGTCGCTGGAATGTGTCTGACGCTTCTGAAATTGATTGCGATGAAGAAGCGTGTAAGTCCTTGTGCATTATGATCTTTGATGCACTGATTTTTTTTAAATCTACTATCAGCCGACGAGTTTCTGATAAATGAAGCATCCCTGGGCCAGCTCAAACGTCGTCGAAAAGATGAACTTCTTCTGTTGTACACTGCAGCGGGTCTGTCGGACGATGCGCACAACCTCACAAAGCTGGAGCTCGCAGAAGCAATCATTGCAGTGCGAGACGATATCGTGTCATTACCTCCCTCATCTCCTCCCGGGCGGGACGCGAGCGACTGCTCCTCGGACGAGGGAAATGCGGCAGGCGGTGAGGAAACGGACGCTGGAACCAGATATCGAGTTCCCCCGGGTCTGCGGCGCCGTGCTACAGTTCACTTGACTACAAACCAGACGAATTCGCGCTTCTTGAAAACCCGTAGTTTATCTGTTGGTCATATCAACGCCAGTCACTCATACCCCGACGAGCTACCGGCTACCTCTAAGACCAATGGTGCTGTTGCCCTGACGTGAGTTGAATTTTCCGAATTGAATTTGGTGCGCTAATATCTCACTCAGACGACGGACAACGAGGTCTACATCCAGCCGATCCTCACCCACACCAAGTTTCTCCAATCAGCTCCCATCCCCTCCTGCTACAAGATTGCGTTCTCGTAAAGTATCCGCCGAGGTTGTCGTTCCTCGCGCCTCCACCAGGAGCAAGGGCAAGGGCAAACAAGTTGAATTCAGCGAAGATGTCAAGATCGCTGAATCTGCTGCATTGGGTGAGGAGAGCGAGCTTACCGATCTCACTGAGCTGGAAGAGAAATTTGCATCTGGCTCACCCAGTCCTCGTCGGCTGCGAAGTCGGGAGAAACGTTGTGGAGTTAGCGATGATCAGGAATCTGACACGCCAAAGCAACGGGGAAGGGGCAGACGGCAGACTTCGAGAGGGAAGGAGGCAGAAAATTGTTTGGAGGACGAGGAAGAGGTCGATGAACTTATCTCATCTCCATCTCCTACTCCGTCGCCCACGCGAGGTCGAGCAACGCCCGCGAAAAGACGTCTTCGCCCTCGCAGACTACAAACACATACTCCCCCAAGCGATGGAGGGGAAGGTGATGACGAAGAGGAAGCCGATGAGGAACAAGTCGAAGAGGGCGTGGAGGTGAACGAGGATGGCTCGAGCATGGATGATGAGGAGTCAGAACAGTCGGAGGATAGCCGAGATGCGAACGGAGATGATGATGTAGATGTGGAGGAAAGTACGTCACCTCCGCCAACAACTACTCCACGGAAGCTCCGCAATGGGAAGGTGGTTGGGGAAGAATACCAAGAGGAAGCGCCTGGCGAAGACGAGGAGCAAGATGGTAGCGAGTCGATTGACCTAGAGGCCGAGGATATTGATATCGACGCTGAAGGGGAGGATGAGGAGGTCGAGGAGATTGAGGAGGCTGAGGAGATTGATGAAGCCATGAGCGACGGAGATGACTGTTGGTTTGTTTTTTCTTGGTTTCTTATGTTACTCACACAAGTCTCTCAGTCGATCTCGCTGTGGCCACCAAGAAGACCCTTCTCCGTATGCGTCGTGATAATCTTGTCCGGATGTGCGAGACTCGGGATCTGGATGTTGCTGGTACGAAGCCTCAACTCGCGCGGTCGCTCCTTCAGTGGCGAGATCAACGAACGAGCGAGTTCTCTTCGCCCTCTTCCACAGGCACCATTCGCCCACCATCAACCGTTTATCACCGTGCTAATGGCCGGAGAAAGATCAAGAGCCAAAGCAATACCCCTCCAGTCCTCCTGCGCTCCCATCGAATTCATCAAGATGAACCACGTACTCCTCCTTTGTCTGGCGAGAATACGACTCAGCCAGAGCCAGAGCTAGAATTGGATCTCGAAAGCCTAGGTTTAGAAGATCGAGAAATTCCTCCCGATAAACTCACGAAACTGGAGAAGATTGGAAGCGGGGGCTTCAAGGATGTATTCATCGGTAAGTTCAAGGGCAGACGGGTCGCCATTGCGGAGTTTCGAGATCAGCTCAATTCAAGTACGTCGCACTTTCTATCCACGAGGCTTTCACGTTGTGAACACGCGCTGTAGTGGATATCAAAGAACTCAAGCTTCTCGGTGGCTTTGACCATCCGAACATAGTTCGCTTCGTAGGTATCTCCATGGAGACAATGTTGAAGTCGTGGTTTACATTGTACTCCACAGCTTGGCGTCAGCATACCAGAGAACACCCGCGAGACACCCGTCATGATAGTCAGTGAACTTTGCTCAAATGGCGACCTCTTCGACTATATTCGCAATGTTCCTGCTCCGTCCCTGAAAAAAGTTGTACGTACGCTTGACATTCCATTTCTCTTCTTGCCTATGCATCTTCCTCACAGTTGAACATTATGCTGGATGTTGCGCGTGGCATGGAATATCTTCATATGCGCAAGCCTTCCGTCATCCACAGAGACTGTAAATCGTCCAACATCCTCATTACTTCTCGTGGCACGGCGAAGATTGCAGACTTTGGTTTGGCCAAAGTGAAACAGTCCACACGATCTATGGTTCGCAGTCTGGTTGGCACTGTTAATTGGCAAGCGCCCGAACTTTGGCATGCGCATCCCAAATACAACCACAAAGTTGATGTCTTTTCGTGCGCCATGGTGTACTGGGAAATGTTCCAATGGCACGTACCCAACAAGAAGTTCCCTTGGGAGGTGAGTATATTACCATTCTCTTCCTGTCTCAGTACTAAGTCTTTTTAAGGGAATGAACGAGCATGCTATTTACGATATCGTTGGAGCGAAACGCCAGAGGTGAATTGTCCCCTTGCAGTCCAATTATCTAGCACGCTGACGAGAGATATTCAGACCGTCTATCACAGGCCTGCGGAAACAATGGCGTCCAGACATTATCGACCTCCTCGAGCGGATGTGGGCTCATGATCCTAATGATCGCCCAACTATTTCTGAAGTCGTCAAAGAATTGGAACGCATTGCCGCCTGACGATCTCCGGCACTCTCAAGCGGACTCAACTCTTTATTCAATTATTGTCAGTCTCGAACCTGACGTTGTCGCTAACGGAGATTCCTTGGTTTGCATCGGGGATGATTGTTTATTCTGTGTCATTGGTTCTCTATACACTATCATCTTCATCAACTTATATCCCGCATTGTACCCTACCGTAGCAATCCAAATCCGTGCTTGATGTGTAACCAGGAGGCGTTCACCACGCATTGATGCGCAGTTATCACCAGTGCTTGACATATGCAGAGAAGAGAAGGAAACCTAATGCGTCGTTGAGGCCTAGGCTTGAGGGACGATTGCATGTTACTCAGTCAGTTGTGAATATGACGTGTGACATAGCCAGCTACTATGAATAACTTAGATGACTCAGTATATATATAGCAGTGTATGTTTATGGTATGTAATCGCTCCTCATTGTCACCGGCACCCAACTCGGGTTCGAACCACTGTTTTATCTTGTGCCCCTACCTACGCAGGCTGAGTCCTGACATAGTGGGTATTTCAAGAGCGAGGCTCTCCCTAAAATGTATCAACTCACTTGGGTCTGCAAGTCAAGCAGGGCTAGACTCGTTCACTTAGGGATTGGAATACGACCACCTCTTCTCAGACCTCTTCCGAGTCGGCTACTGGCGACAGATGCACTGGAACCACCAAAACCCTCAAAGTCAAGGCCGCAGATACCAACTGAGCCTCTTCCAAGGTCGCGTTTACTGAGTCGTATTCTACTGGTAGCAAAATATTCCGGACTTGTGGCATTCTCTTCGACATTTGGGATTCTGTTACTAGGCGCAGGGATATTCATTCATGATGCTTTTACTTATACGAACAAGGATGTCCACCGCGTACCGGTGTTACCTCTCGCACTTCATCCCGAGCAGGGGGGACCAAAGAACCTCCCAATTGTAAGAGCACTTGTGGATGATGTAGAGGATGATGAGGCAAAGAAACTTTTGGACAAACCGAAGTTGGTGATTGTAGGAGGAGGTTGGGGGGTAATGAGTGAATTTTCATGCACCAGTGATATCGCTGACATGGACATTCGACCAGGCTGTTTCTGTCCTGCAGACACTGTCTCTCGGTGACTGGCACGTGACCGTCGTGTCGCCAGAAACCTTCACCACATTTACCCCACTTTTACCTTGTGAGTAAGTGCTAAATTGGCATTTTACAAGTCTAGCTGAACCTGCTTATGGTATGCAGCGGCTGCGGTTGGTACAGTCCAAGTTCGCAGTTTGGTTGAGCCCCTACGCAAGATCGTAGCGCGTCTTCGCGGCCACTTCGTAGACGCTAAGGCTATTGACATTGTGATGTCTGAGCGGTTACTGGAACTGGAAACGGTGACTTCGACTGGCGAATCTCAACGTATTTATCTTCCGTGAGTCGCCACTGTCAAAACGCTCATGTTACTTGACATTATTAATGGCCATTTATAGCTATGATAAACTAATTATTGCATGCGGGTCAACTTCCAGTACGCACGGCATCCAGGGTCTAGAACATTGTTTCCAACTCAAGACTATATCGGATGCGCAAGCCATCCGACGACGAATCCTTGGTAAGACCTTTGTGGTTTGCGCCTCTATTATTCATTTGTGGCTTTTCAGACAACTTCGAAACGGCCAGTCTTCCTACCACAACACCTGAAGAACGCAAGCGTTTGTTGTCATTCGTTGTTTGCGGAGGTGGTCCCACAGGCGTCGAGACAGCAGCTGTACGTCTATCTCTATCAAAATGTGTTCATGTCCGATAAAAATGAATCTTGTTGATACAGGAAATTTACGATTTCTGTCAAGAAGACATTGTAAATTACGTATGTTTTGCAGTCGTTCTATCTTGAGTTGTACCTGACTTGCGCTGTATAGTACCCCAAGATATGCCGCGAGGAAGTCTCGATCCATGTAATTCAGTCGCGCGAGCATATTCTCAACACGGTGCGTGAAACCGCTAAAGAAAACATAAACTGTAAACCTTACTTTGAGCGCAGTATTCGGAGGCCATCTCAAAATATGCCGAGGTATGCATGACTTGTCGAGAGCGCTTTAAGGTACTCTAACTGAGCAACTCCACCAGGAAAAGTTCCGTCGTGATAACGTCGACCTAGTCACTTCTGCTAGGGTCGGTGCCGTCCACCCTGATCACGTCGTGTACACCGTGCGGTCTCCGGATGGGACGGTTACTACTCATGAGATCCCGACAAATTTTGTCCTGTGGTCAACTGGCATTGCGATGAACCCCTTTACCCGTCGTGTCTCTGCCTTATTGCCCAATCAAGTACACAAGAAAGCGATCGAAGTTGATGCCCATCTTCGTGTAAAAGGTGCGCCGTTGGGCGATGTGTATGCTATTGGAGATTGTGCAACTGTGCGTCTATTTATATCGTTTCCCGGTGATTGGCGTGGACTTCATGGCGTCTAGATCGAGACGTCCGTTGTGAGCCACCTGCTGGAGTTGGTTGATGAGGCCGACAAGAACAAAGATGGCAAGATCGACTTTGATGAATTTGATTTTATGGGTATGTCGGTGACCTTCTTCAGAAAACGTTGTATTGACGACTACTAGTTGCAAGGATCAAACACCGGATACCCATGGCTGAGTCGCAGTTGCAGAAGGTCGGTTTTCGTGCATGTCCCAAGAAGGCCTTATTGAATCCATCCTTTCACTCAGGTCCGAACTTTATTCGATTTGTATGACTCAGACGCAGACAACAGCCTTTCCTTAAATGAACTGTGTAAACTGTTGGAAGAAATTGGAAATAAGATAACAGCACTTCCTGCCGTACGTGCCCAGTGATTTAAACGTCGTATTATGATTGCCTTAACTTATTGGCCTGGTCCAGACCGCTCAAGTGGCTTCTCAGCAAGGGAAATATCTTGGCAAGAAGCTAAATCAATTAGCGAAGAAACGAGAAGTCCTCGAGGTGAACGGCATACATGACCTGGATGAGGCCGTATCCAGGCCATTCCGCTATACTCATCTCGGCAGTCTCGCGTATATTGGCAACGCCGCAGTCTTCGACTTGGGCAATTTGTCGTTCATGGGTGGCCTCATTGCCATGTACGCGTGGCGAAGCGTTTACTGGAGCGAGCAGGTTTCGGCCAGGACACGATTTCTCTTAATGATGGACTGGATTATTCGGTACGGGCTTTGCATTCTTTATTCATCCCAATGCTGATGCTTGATGCTTGCATTCGCAGTGGCGTATGGGGTCGGGACTTATCCAGGCTTTGATCAGACAGGACACTCTATTGCAATATCATCCTTCATCCCATTCATTCTTGCTCATTATCGGATTCTTCTCTCCATGATGTATATACCGTGTACGCATCATTTCGCCGGACTCTATGTAGAACAAACCCACAGAGCATGGTTCCGTTCATTTCTGCAGATCACATGATCTTAAAATGGCTGTCTTGCCGACAAACGATCCTTGGCTATGTGGGAGTCCAACATTCGTTGGTACTGAGTGAGCACGGGAAGAGTACGGTACAGCGACGACAAAAGAAAGCTGAATCGTGTAGCAAATGTGCGAGAATTCAATCCGGTACCCAATACTCAGGACTTCTGGAGGCCAACTCCGCCTCGAACTTTGGATGCTGCTTCAAGTGTTGCTAGTGTAATAACCTGCAAGGGGAAGTTCAAAGGAAGTCGCCTTTTGTCATGAGAAAAGCGGGCGAAGCTCAGTCACTAGCAATTGAAGCAAGTTTGGTACCTAGTAACTCATGTTTGAGCAGGTTGTCAAACCTCATACTCGTCACGCTCCAGTCTGATCAGAACTGTTAGGAACTGTAGAGATTATAACGTTCCTTGTGAAACAATAATTCAGCTCTTTATCTTGCAAGGATCCATGTTCTGTATAGTTGCGCTAAAGTGAGGCTGTGCCCTGCAAACTCCCTCGCAAATCTAGAGTACCTTAGATGTACCGCTCGAGTCCCCTCAGTATTTGTCTGGTCAAGGACTCCACGTACAAGAATCCTCGAAGGATAATCCCATGAAATTTTCTTCGTTCGACTTTATTCCTGCCAATCAAAGGACCCCAGAAGAGCTGTCTTGCCGACAAGTGATCCTTGGTTAGGCGCGAGTATCGTCATTTTCCGGTTGGGAGCATCGATGCTGGTACTAAATGGACAGGGCAAGAGAGTGAGCGATGCATGCTATAGCAACTACAACAGAAAGAAAGAAAATTCGGAACTACGCAATAAAGTGCAAAAGGACGTACACGACAATGAAGCCGACCACACTCAGGTCCAAAATCTCTTCGTCATAGCGCTCGGACTCATCCGGGTTGAAGGGTGCAAGCAAGGCGAGGATGGAATTAAGTAGGCCCGAGCTGCTGGACGCAGGATCGACAAGCACGGGCTGCATCTCCGACAACATGCGTGCAGCGCCAATAGGCAATGCGGAAGAGGGAGCCATGGTCTCTACGGCGGGCGGACTCGAAGATCAGCCACGTGTTGATGCGCGCAGAAACATTGCCTACCGGCACCAATGCGATAGATCGCCAAATCCTCAAATTTGACGATACATGAGGATGGCGAAAGGACGAGGTCTGCCACCGCTTCGCCTCCAACAATTGCGGAGGTTATGCCAGAGGGTGGGTCTATTTTTTGGCCGTACATATAAGTATGCAACTGGTACTTGTGCACGCGTTCTCGATAACTATGGTCTAATTCAACCACCTGGTCAGGTGTTGTGAGGCGCAAATTAAACAGGATCGATTGATAAGAGCACATACACCTCCTGACTTTGGTATCTTGACCACTGTAAACCGGTTGCCAAACAGTCGTTGCATTTCAACGGTCAACTTTTCGTGCCCGACCACGAGAATTACATTGACTATCATAGAGTCAGGTGAAGTACCAATGCATTTAATGAATCGCACTTCTGAAAGCATCAACGCATGCTTTTATGAGCGTATGCCTGTTGTCTGGCGCGCTGCCAGAACTCGATGCAAAAGATGATGGGGTGTCGACAATTAAACCCGACACGCGCGCTAGGAATCCACGGTCATTGATTGTCCTGCGCTTGAGACAGAAACTGATTCTCCGCACCCTCCGGGTCATCGTCGTCCCTTTCTCTGATATTTTCACCCAGATTTCGGATAAGTCGATCTAGTAGAACTGGGTTCCGTTTAGTATCTGAATGTCCATACCAATAGCTTAGCGGTATCAACGCGTTCGAAGAGAGGGCGGTAGGAGCTGATGTAGCAGCAGAGCCAAGAGGATTAGCAGGTGATGCTGTAGCTACAGGACTGCGAATTGGAGCGGCCGAGATGGCTCCAGGAACTGCCCAACCACCCTGACTCATGACTCAACACAAGAAAGATGGATCCATTTCTCGCATGCTCACCTCACTCGGATCGACATTTACCAATACCGGGGACCAGTTCTGCCCTGCCCTAACAGTATAATTTGTCAGAATTTTGCATACTGTTGTTTTTCCCGAGTTTTCGGGACCAAGAACGAGGACTCTTGGTGGCTCTGCGTTGGCATTCGCATCATCATCTGAGGCAGGAGACCCATGCACGATACGGAGTGCTCTGACACGCATTTGCTCGAACGCAATGTGGACATTTGCATATGCCGCCATAGGAGTTTCCTCAGATACATATTCAGTGGAGGGGCGGCCAGTAATGTGCTGAACGAAATAGATCAGTAACAAAAGTTGTGAGTAAAGATGAAGGTATAGGACTTATCTCCAAGGTACAACCCTGCCAGGTGAAAACTGCGGCCCTGCATTCGGTGCCGAAAAGATATGTTTTTCCCTCCGCAAGTTCTGCGCCGAAGACCTCGGCCTGTCCATGAGCCAGCTGAGGAATGGGTTCAGAAGGTGCGGGGCTGCCTGGAATGAATTTGCCTCGTGGTTGCGTACCAACGTACCTTGATTGCTAGGGAGGTACCTGGATCGAGCTCGAACCTATACTCTGTCTCTGGCTCAAGAACCCACTCTTTCATTTCAGGCTGGGTTCCATCAAAATGTGAATCAGACATCATAGAGCACTAAGTGATGTCTCTCAAAGTATTGGTGGTAACTATGAGATCGAACGCGGTCTCCTTCGCAAGTTCGTGAGCTCAGATCAATCGGCGTTGTTCCACGACACACGCGGCGATGCGGAAGGTTCTGATTGCGACGGAAGGAAGTGAAAGGCAAGGAAGCAGCGCAGATGAAGGCTGGGTTGTGCCTACTGGCCAAACTCTGAGTTTCAATAGTCTTCCAGGACTTCTAAATTCGACGTCTAATAGCGTTCAATCCAAGCTTCTTCTTTTGATTTCTGAAACCCCGACGTGTCCAAGGTGCCGGTGACAACGGATATGTTATTTCAGCTCAATGTTACTTTGATGCTTTCATGAAAGGCATCCGCCGGCAGTATCACTAACTTAGTTAGTCACTTCAATGGCCTACTATGCAATTAGATCGTCCACTGCGCTTTGACGGCGATCAGGAATGCCGTAAACGCGCGGCAGAGCCTACAGCTTATAAAGTGTAAGCTCACCCACCCTCTTCTTTCCTTGTTTCAAATCAACATCATGGACTCGGCTAGCGATACTAATTCTGAGAAAAGGGAGGACCATACTCATGCCTCTAGTACCGTACACAGCTACGACGTCGACGTCGGTGCTCAGCTGATCGCTGAGACAGACACTCCCCTCACTCCAGAGGAGGCCTCTCGACTGAGGTATGTTGTTTCATCGCCAGCACTACCCAGACCTTCCATTAATGAGTTCTCATAGAGCTAAAATTGATTGGCATATTATGCCACTCATGTGTGGTAAGTCTTTGAGACCCTCGAAGCTGTTCGCTTGACGAAGACGCATTGACTCGAACAGTCATGTACTTGTGAGCGTCCTACCGCCAATTGCTACGTTTCTTCTGAACGGTTTCTGTAGAATCACGTTCATGGATAAAACCACTTTGGGAGAGGCAGCGGTACTGGGCATACTGTGCGTGTTGCCCACATGTTGTCACGTTTGCACACCCTAAATTCTCGCTATGTTAGCGAGGATGCAAATCTAACTGCTAACCAATACGACTGGCTTGGCACGATATTTTATATAAGCTACCTCGTTTTTCAATACCCTCAGAACTTGGCATTGCAGCGCTTTCCTGTTGGAAAATGGATGAGGTACGCTAAGAGTTATCCAATATGTTCCGTATTCTGATAGTCATTCAGCATCAATATCTTTCTGTGGGCTGTGGTCCTACTATGCCATGCTGCTTGCAAATCTTTCGGATCATTGTTAGCGGTGCGCTTCTTGTTGGGGATGTGTGAAGGTGCTATCACCCCCGGCTTCCTGATTGTCACATCCATGTTCTATACCCATGCAGAGAAAACGAGGCGTATCGGTTATTGGTGTAAGCTCTGGTTCATTTGTTCATTCTCCCTCTCATTTTTTTTCTCAGTTTTGATGAACGGTTTTGCTGTGATTATTTTGGGTTTCATTAGTTATGGCCTCCTTTTCACGCATACAACCTCCTTCATGCCGTGGCAATGGTGAGTCACAATTTTACATAATGCGGGGGCAGTAGCTTACTGATTGCACGAGGCTCATGATTATTACTGGTACCGTTACATTGATCACCTCCATGCTCTTCTGGTGCGTACGTATGATCATCATGTAGATTACTTATTCATCCCTTTTGATTTAACAAGGTTGTTCTTCCCTGATTCGCCCACAACCGCTCGGTTCCTAACTCCCGAAGAGAGAGTCGCGGCGATTCGCAGAGTACAAGTGGACCAAAGTGGCGTGGAGAACAAGCATTTCAAGAAGGAACAGTGAGTTTTAATATCCATCGTTTGTGATGCATCATGTGATTCTCTTTTCGGCAGGTTCCTCGAAACCATCAAGGATCCAAAGACGTGGTTAATGGCATTCTTTGCAGGGTCCGCGTACGTTTTTAAACCATTCCATTTCCGTGTATCTAAGCATTCACGTGTTTTATTAGAAACATCGTGAATTCTGTAAGAAGTTGTTCAATAACTCGAGCTTACATACTAAGTACTGATGCATCTCAGCTCACTAATCAACGCCAGTTGATTGTTGCACAGTTCGGTTTCAATGGTATCCAAACAACTCTCCTTGGCTGTGTTGATGGTGTGGTCGAAAGTGTGTCTCTCGTTGTGCTGCACGTTACCTTACTCATCTCGTCGTATGCAGTCCTCACCATTTGGCTGGGAGTGGTTCTGGCTTCACAACCATCCATCGGCAGGTCATATGCTGGTGTACTAATGTACATTCCTGCGATACTCGGCTCGATACTAGTTAGCACACTTCCGTTCTCCAACAAAATAGGTTTACTATTCTCATACTGGATCTCAAGTACGTATCATGACTTCATTCGGCAAGCCCCTTTGAGGCGTAAGGTACTGACGGACCTTTTCATTTCATCGTCCAGTCTTTGCGATTGCGCCATTTACTATCTTCCTTGGTTGGGTCAGTTCAATAACATCCGGACACACGAAACGTATGGGTCGTTTATTTTTGTCACATTTTGTCACAAGCTCAATGATGTCTGCAAAGGGATCACCACCAATGGCATCGTCTTGTCCTCATATGCGATTGGAAATGCCGTCAGTCAGTTCATGTGGAAGGCACAGTATCAACCCAGGTATGTCACGAATTCGTTCTCCGGCACCACCGATCATCATGGATCATGCTAAATTTATGTAGGAATCACGTTCCGTGGGCTGTAATCACATCATGCAATTTTGCTGCCGGTGTCGCCTTGGTGGTTCTTCGTTTCATGCTCGCCAGTGAAAACACGAAGCGAGAGCGTGAAACACCCGACAACAAGCATGATGCGGTGTACATAGTGGACGAATCGGGTGTGGAGAGGAAGGTGGACAAAGCCTTCCTCGATCTTACGGACAAACAAAACCGCGACTTCCGTTATGTCCTGTAGGTGTTACCTTAGTGATCATGCGTGATTCCACGGATTTCCAGTTCTTCGTCCTCAAGTGCTTTGGCAGACAATATGATTGTTCAATCTTTTATACCTTACATCCTGGTTAGATCTTGTCCATGCTTGTATTGTTTGGTACTTCAGTGTTTGCTATAATTTCTGCGCCCATGTTCTGATATATTCCTTGTACAAAATAGAGGTCTACTGTGTGCTATGGTGATACAATAACTTCGGGTTTGATCAAAGAAACGATGAAACCTTCGTCGGCCGACGAACGGCCGCCGAGTTTCCTTCTAGATGCTTATATGCAATGCGAAAATCAGGGACTACTTTTTTTGACGTCGATGACCTCCTTGAATCTTTCTTAATAGCGATCGGCCTTCCAAAGAAGTCCACAGGTGGCTAGTTGGCGAATTCAGTAAATGATTTACAAAATACAAAATCATCCTAACCTTGTCTGCAATGTCCAATTTCTCGGACGTGCGTGCTCGTTTGTTTTCGGGGCCTGGCTCAGAGGAAGCATCCAAGCGGCGCAGTTCATCATTACCTCCTAAGACTTCCATGGGCTCGGGAGCCTCGTCGACGTTTTCTGTGACGCCCTTCCTTGATCTAATGATCCAATGAGCAATGCAGACACCAAATAAACAGATAGACAGACGATTTAAAGAAGTTGGCTTTTGCTTGTTCCTTTCCTTTCTCTACCGCATCTGCTTGCTTTGCGACGAGTGCGGCGTCAATCTTGGGTCGAGTTAGAAAGGTAATTTCATATTCATCCAAAATCACAAACTTCTGTGGCGACCAACTGTCGAACAGCATACCGAGAGACTGCGATATCTTCGGCGCGCTTGCCGTCGTAGGTAACAAAAACATCAATTGGACTGTGTGAACGAATGACATCAGCCGGCGAGGGGATCCGTCGTTTAGAACTCACGGGTCAAGCCTATAGACATTTTGACCATCCTCAACCTTCTCTTGCACAAAGCGAAGTTCAAAAGACACCATAATCTCCACCAAGCGCAAGAGCAGGGCTCTTTCCTGTGGCTTTATTACTTGACTGTTGACCTGAGAAATATATATCTTGAGATGGCAAGCAGTTGTGGCACGATCCACTCACTGGTCGCAAAGGAGGGGAAATTATACGATTGATGAATGGCGCAAATTCGAGCTGCAGGACTTCACCTGTGACGAGGTGTCTGTTGGCCCCTGCAGTCCGACCGGTGGAGCGGATACCGTTTGCTAACGATTTGTAAATTTCTTCGTTTGCGCGCGTCAGCTGCAAGTTCTACTTGGAATGAATACCTTGCAACCATGCAAAAAGCAAGCACTTACATCCCAGTCCGAACTATCTCGTTCTACCCGCTTTTCGCCTCGCTCTCTGAATAGCGGATGGAAAGGGACTAGGAAATATGACAAATATGTATGCAGTGCGAAGTCCCCGTCCATATACATGACAGATGAAAAGGAGTCAAAGGTCGTCAACCACTCGCCAGCTTTTTCGTAGTGGTTCAAGTTCGCATCGTGCCGGTGACAATTGATATAATGTGCAAAACAGCCTATACTTGGGTAAATGAATGGAATATATGTCGTGGATTTTGCACTGACCATTTGCTATACTTGCAGGATTATTCAATCCTTCAATTGTATGGCTCAGGCGGTTCACATATCGTGCCTCTTCTTCTTCGCCGATACCAAGCTCCTTGACACGTTTTCGGGATAAAGGTGCAAATATTTCGTTGATTACGGAAGTTATGGTAGTGTCCCCCTCCTTCATGCCCACTGTAGCACGGCGAATGAGAGGTTCGGTTACCTCATCATTGAGAGACTTGATGAACTATGAAGATTAAGAATTTTATAACCGTGCTGTGTGCACCATGTAAGTACACACCTGCAGAGTATTGAGACAGCCTCGGAGATCGCCTTTGGCCACGCCGACCAATGTACTCAAAGCCCTGGTATCAGCTCGTAGGCCCTCGAACTCACAAATCTCGCGGAGACGCTTGACGATATGACTGTCGGCAAGTCTTGTATACCGGATTTGCCGGGCGTGAGGACGGAGTTTGGCGAGTGCATTCGCATTTTGGTCATTACAGATGCATATTATGGGGCGAAGTAGTGGACGCTTGTCTTTCTGGTCGCTCTTTTTACCTGCCAAAAAGGTTCGGGGGAGTGACATCATTCCCAGTGGGCAACTTACGTTTGTTCTTTGGCTTGTCAAACGTGAGCGAAACCAGCTTGTTCACAAATCCACTTGACTAGTAAAATGCGTCAGTGATCACAGTCAGGATCATTATTCATAACACATACGTTGTCCCCGCCTCCTGTGGCCCCATCTATCTCGTCGATGATGAGCAACATAGGTTTCACGCTTCCTACTGCAGACCCTGATTCCAGCGCCGGTCGTATTCGCTCATCGATGACCTGTGCAGAGCGCGCGTCGCTGTGCGGAGTGAGCACCAGACCAAAAATTCCGTTGGAGAAGCAGACCTCGCGTTTATCTCCATTACTTCATATCCCGCCTGCTTCGCGACAATATGAGCTAATGTCGTCTTACCAAGCCCAGGGGGACCGGATATTAGCAGTAACTGTTAAAGGCCACAGATAAACAAATGTGCGCATTCTGGTGCATAATATGAACGATTACCTTTTCTCGTGGCCGGTGGTATTCATCGTCAGGGTTATAGTTCTCATCATCTTCCCGCATCCTCTTCTTGCTCTTCTTCTTACCGAATACGCACCAGTCCCATTGCTTTAACCAGGCCATTGTTTCACGGGCAACACGCTCATTACCTAACAATTCTGTGAATTTCCGAGGGCGATATCGATCAACCCAAAGTGTATCCTCTAGCACTGGACTTGAGGGCTTGTGTGACTCAGACATTCTGGTAGTGGTCTTCCTACCAAAACATATGAGAATTTGTTCTCAATGGAGTCAAAGGAGACACACGAAAGGGACAACTTCGAAGCAGTGGCAGCGGATAGCTCGTCCTTGAGTCTGTGTATAGGTATATCCAATAGGTTGCTTAATCGTGTTGGAGCAGAAGAAGTCTGGGCACAATGAGAATGGAGAAGGAAGGGAGTGCATTCGTATCTCACCTTCTGTGTTGTACCTACGTACCGCTTCCGCCCTATATATATTGCATTCCCGTCATATGTCGTAGCACGAAGCGGAGCACGTATGTGCGTAGGGATAAATGATCTAGATGAAGACACGGTGTTGCGGAGACTCTTTGGGATGAGACCCAGGATGTCTGAGATGGGAGGGAAATGATCGTCTGGAGGACCGTAATAAGTCAATGAGAAATCTTAGAATACCATGGAATGCACGACCTTGTGATTCACATGATAACCCACTTGATGGAAAAGTATCAGTTTGGACTAATAGATCAAGAGTGAGTAGCAGGCCACAGGAGTACATGTGTACTTACAACCGTCCATATCTTGTGATCCCAACAAACCGTTTGGTTGAAATGCGTTCTTCTTCTCTGCTTGCTCACTTGCACTCGGCTTATCTACGCCTTCAAGCTCCTGCACTCGTTCTTCTGGTTGTGCATGAGTTGGGGCAACACACAATCCGCCCAAAAGGCCATTCGATAAGAAGACGGACGTGAGCTCATCTGTGGTGGGTGATGAGCCCAGCAATGAGGTCGATGGACCGGGCCCAAGCAGTCCAGTAGCTACAAATGTATCCGCCATGACAGTCAGTGACGAGTGACTTTGAGCATAAAGTCGCGTCGAAACACGCGTCACCGTGGGAATACTGACGCGACGCGTTTGTGGCTGACTGCATATTCCTTCAATGGCCCTCTCTTCGAGATTTAGTTTCACTGGTAAACTAACTCAGATTATCTGTCGAGGTTCTGTCTAGGTATATGAGAGGGCGTCCATTGATTTATCGACGATCAATACTAACGTTGGCTACGCTATCGTAACCAGCGAGAGGAGGCTCTAGCACAACTCGATGATGGGTTTTCTTCGCGAGACTCGCATGTCCTGTCACTTTCGCTGTTTGACTGACTATGCCCACCTTTGCAGTACAGCAGTACAGGCTCTCAGCACTAATTGGTGATCTTTTAACCTCAGTGGCCTCCATCAGTGCAATTATGCCAGCGTCTATCGTGCCGAACAACCCTTCGATGACTACATGTGTCGTATGACCTGAACCTTGAACCTGAACTTTATTCACAGTCCCCATATCCTCACTCCCGTCTTCCCCTGCCGCTCATTCTGTCCACTACCCAGCCCATTCTCGATCCTTGTCGTTTTCCTTCATCCCATCATCATGACTGGTAACAGGAAAGGCCAATCTATCAAGCTTGAAAGTCTGGCCGTTCACTCCATATCACCTTAATGTCTGCTGTGTGGGTGGTCGACGATACTGTCGCAAAACACGTTGAAGCTTTCTATGAGAATATGTTCAGGGATTTTGAGGATAGTGGTGTCACGGACTGTACGAAGGCGGCCTGGGCACTTAACCGTGCTACAAACGCCGTGAAAACGAAAGTGCCGCTTGAGCAGAGGATGGTATTCACTCATATTGGTGTGTAATTCTACTATATTGTATTGCTGTCGTCTGGCATAGGTTTTCAAGTTGTTGATTTTCGATCGTCTTTCATCCCCCTCGCCCATGTAGCCCGCAACTAGTACCGCACCCAACCAGCCGATGCCAGAAGGGAAGATCCATACAGGGGAAGAAGACGAGCAAATCGACCAGAATGTTCATAGAAGTAATTTATCAGCTTTCGCATACTACTTATCACTCCAACACCATGGGTCTGGGAATACTCCACTGGGCAGCAGAAAGAATAACAAGGACAGCATTACAGAACTATATAGTGCTCATATGAAATACAGTACGAGGGTTTCAGCCGCGGACAAGTGGGAGAAAATACAGTAAAATTGCTAGTGCAGCGCAACCAATCATTCATACCGACGAACTCTCAAAGGTACCCCAATGCCATCCTCTCCAACAACCCGCGGACGGGGAAGAAATCCACTCGCAATTTCGACTTGAGTATCAGATCCATTCCGCATCTCAAACACGAAATTCTTCACCAGAACTAATAAAACTGTCTGTATCGCAGTGAATAACGTCCAAACTGGCTAATTCAAATCACTCACCTTGAATTCCGCAATCGCAAAATCTTTTCCGAGACACGTCCTCGGGCCGTCGACGAATGTCAGCAAATGCCTATGACCTTGGACTTCCTTGGCCTTCCCACTGATCCCGTCTTCAGTCAGCCAACGATTAGGCTTAAATTCCTTTGCGTCAGGTCCCCATATGGCCGAAGAGCGATTGATCGCCGCGCTTGATATCGTGATCAATGTCCCTTTCGCTATACATATACTGTCCGTCATTTCCCCGGACACCGTGCGCACAGGTTCGCTCAAGGGAATAACGTCATCTGCCGCTGCCTGTAAACCTATTGTGAATGGCTATTCACATGTAGACATGAACACTCACAAGACGGGTGAACTCGCCCAGCGGAGGATGGAGTCGGAGAATTTCATGGACAACCGCATCCAAGTATGGGAGATTGGCCTTTAACTGGTCATATGTCGGATCAGCGCCAAACACAAGCAGTTCCTCTCTGAGTCTGGTTTGAACATCCATGTGTCGCGATAGCTCGATCAGCGCCCACTGATTGTCACATTAATAGCGTGCACAGACGTTATCGCACAGTAGGCTTACCGTAAGACTGACTGTCGACGAAAAGTCAGCCAATATCACAGCAACGGACCAGAAATCAGCTCACTAGATGTCGTCTCATAACCAGCAAGAAGCAGGACCCTCATCTGCATGATGTGAGCTCGCAAATGATGACTGTGGTACATAGTCTCCACGGACCTGAGCCATTACTTCTTCCTCCGACATACGAAGCTCGGCATCCTGGCCTTCGGATTTAACTGATCGTCGTGTTAATCAAGAGACTACGATGAATCTCTCGGAGAGCGCACTCAACAATCCGATGATGGACTTCTCCTCGTCTCTCTCGCCCACATTCACATCCTTCTCCTGGCGGCTGCGAATCAACAAGTCGTTGGATATTTCGCTCATGGCTACGCCAAGTTTCTTGACCAGATTCCTCCGCTTGGTGGGGATCTTGATCACGATAGGAAACGTTGATGCGAGCAGGAAAAGAATTCGGTTCCCTGCTGAAGCCTTTTGGTTGCTTCCGAAAGTATCAAATACTTCGGTCACGCTGGCTCGCTTTCCATCGAGCGAGCCAAAATCGTGGGAGAAACCAGCAATGCCAATCGTATCCAGACTGATGATGCGTTAGTCAAAGGCGTCAATGGCAAAATATGGTCGCGTACGATATATGATTCATCCTTTGAGTCGTTTCGATTAGGGATGACACTTGACAAGCCAAAAAAGTTACGCACCAGTTCTGAACCTCGATGACAGCGTCGCCATCTTTGCTCGATTCTATAATAGTATCCCATGCACATTTGGCCTGTAAAGTATCAAGATCAGGGATGCTACATTGCCCACGTTGCAAATCCTTACCTTGTATGCTGAGTCATAAAACACTGATGTGAGTTTCCGAATCGCTGCATTGCTGAAAGCTGGAGTGAGGGCCTTCCGCTGCCTAATTCATAGGTAGTAGATAAGTCGTTGGCGCGAGGACAGGAACTCAACAGTACCTCCTGTGGTCTTCACCCTGAGACCATAACAGCCCTCTGCCGATCTGACAGAAGATGTCAGAGAGACAAGGTAAGATGATGACGTTAACATACGAATGACTCCAGAGCCCTCAACGAAAGGGGCGTATGCACATATGTCCATGTCTCTCGGGCGTAGAAATGTGCTATAGCTCTTGGGTCACACAACACGGTTTTAGTCTGTCCGAAAACGCTCGGAATCATATATGCGACCCCATATTCTGTCGCCCAACGTTCATACATTCCACCACTATCTTGAGATGCGACGAGGTCGTGCGAAACACCATATATGAAGCTGGTGCGAGGCGGACCCCGCAGTTGAGTCGTCTTCAATCGCCAGCGAAAGGCCCTTAGGACTTTGACGAGAGCCCATAATGCAACAAATGAACATGCGACATTGAATGCACTAACCGAGCGTACGGTTGTCCAGAGACTTAATGGAGAGGGTACGGAGACGACCTTCATGGTTATGTTGAAGTCGAAGATCTATTAGGAGATTTATAGTTGTTTCTATGGCAGTGGCATGGCTACGAAGTTGAATGGCTTCATCATGCGCAGGCACAGCAGTCGACTGCGGGAGTGTCCCGGTGCCGTCAGCAAGGATTATTCATAGAAGGTACCTGTCACGGTGTCTGACTAAAATTGTCAAACACTACTTGGACCTCCGAATCAATCATGACGAACTAGTAAGTCTGCGAGAGTGAAGGGGATGCCGAAGCATATATTGAGTGGCATCTCATTCAAGCTTGAAGGTGATACGTCTGGCTGAATGTTTCAAATACGCGGCTCAGCGGCAGCCTTGTCACTGCGGAGGCACCGTTAAGTTCGTGCCGCTAGTGGTAATTTAACCTCTAGGCACTGCGGCCACGTCTAGTCTCAACATGTCCGAAGTCAACGCGGGAGAAATTTGGATGAAGCGAATGATAAACACCGTGGTCCCGTCCATTTTGTTGCTAATTCAGTAGGGGTTCTTGGATGAATAAATTCAACTGAGTACTGAGCGCGGTCACAGCAAGCTATGGAATGCCTAGCGCAGGTAAGGGAACCAATATCAATCTGGGGACAGCTCTAACAGGCGTGCTGGCATTGAACAGTTGAACGTTGATGCATCGATGTATTATCATGATGCTGACTCGATAAGGACTCCGTGCAGAATTGCGTGTGCTAAAGCCAATGCGTGAACGTTTGAACTCTAGAGCCTTAGTACTTTAGTAGCTAGGGACGCGCGAACTCGTGGGACTAAGATTCTAATTGCGTCCATGATTCAGATGAACAAGTTCTCACGTACGTACATCATGATGGCCTCAACCGTTAACGTTTTAATCCATGGTCCATGATGCATGTCGACAGCGCTCAGCAGCCTGTTATAATGTATCGACCATCAGATATTCTGGCTCTGACCTCACAACCTGACCCATTGTGACCCGCGGAATCTGAGGGAGATGATAGATGTCCACATTCTGCTTCTCCGTGACAGCTATTTGTAAGGTGACAATGTTATTGATGCTACAATTCAAATCGAAATGGCAACTTTCCGGGCTAAGGTCACTGCCTTTGTATGAGTCCGCCAGCGGGACAAGCTCAAACATCAGGCTGGATAGAGCTGTAGATGGGCGGTATCCAGTTAAACGGGATACCTACTAGTATCTTCCAAAATGATACGGTATGTGCGTTCCTACATATTCCATAATGACCTGTGCTCATACTTATGTTCTTCAAGTTTGTCACTGAAGGATCGTAGCCGAAGCTGTAACATCGTGCAAAGTCCCTGCCTTGTTACATAGGCCCTTGTACTCTTTTGGGGAGTCTCAGAGAAACGGACAACAAGTTCACTGCGACTCGTGCGAGTGACTGTTGGCTCCACAAGATCTGATCTCTGAATCGCGCTTTCCATACGAAATGAGGCGAATTTATTACTGCGCTAGGTCATGGAGTCTGAAACCATACATCTATCCGGTCACTGTAGCACCTGTCGACAATTGTAATTCTACTTTCTATGTTGGTCATGCTGTTGTTTCGCGTCCAAACCAACTCTGAAGCGTCCCTGACGTGTGCGCCTGCCGCTTCTCCCGTGACACGCGGTAGTTAATTTTTATGGTCATGTCTCGCTCGTTCGTCATCAGCCGAAGACAAGTAGCTCATGACTATATTCTAACTACTGTCGTTCTCGCATGCACAACCAGCCACATCAGAACGGACCAACCCGTCAGGCAGACCTTACCTGCTTGGCATGTTTAGTTTGAATCTATTATAACTGGTCTTAGTCAAGTGGTTAATTAACAGATTTGAAGTCTGTTCCTGCCAGATGGTACAGGTTCAAAACCTGGCAACCGTAGTTTTCTCTATGGCGCACCTCGGGCATGAACTCATGGAGATGCCTTCGAATGTCAACCATAAGACTTGTTGCCAAGTAGTCGACAGATTCAAAATCTGTTCCTCCTGGATGGTGAAGGTTCGAAACCTCCAATGTTAGTTTTTATCTATGGTCGCCCCCCGGGTATGAGCTCATGGAGAGGTCTTCGAATCACCACTACAAGACTCATGAGCAAGTGGTTGACAGATTCGAAATCTGTTGACTCTTGGATGGTGCAGGTTCGAAACCCGCCGACAATAGTTTTTCTGTATGATCGCACCTCGGGAATGAGCTTATGGAGAGGTCTCCGGTCGTTCACCGCAAGACTCATGACCAAGTGGTTAACGGACTCGAAATCTGTTCCTCTTGGATGGTGCAGGTTCGAAACCTGCCGACAATAGGTTTTTATCTATGATCGGACCTTGGGCATGAGCTCATGGAGAGGTCTCCGAATGTCCACCACAAGACTCATGACTGAGTGGTTAACAGATTTGAAATCTATTCCTCCTGGATGGTGCGGCAGGTTTGAAACCCGCCGACAACTGTTTTTTTTAGTTTTTCTGTATGATCGCACCTCGGACATTAATGAGCTCATGGAGAGGTCTTGGAATGACCACCGTAAGACTCATGACCAAGTGGTTAACAGATTTGAAATCTGTTCCTCTTGGATGGTGCAGGTTTGAAACCCTCCGACAATAGTTTTTTAGTTTTTCTGCATGATCGCACCTCGGGAATGAGCTCATGGAGAGGTCTTCGAATGTTCACTACAAGACTCATGGCCAAGTGGTTGGCAGATTCGAAATCTATTACTCCTGGATGATGGTGCAGGTTCAAAACCTGCCGACAATTTTTTAATCTATGATCGCACCTTGGGCATGAGCTCATGGAGAGGTCTTCGAATGTCAACCATAAGGCTCGTAGCCAAGTGGTCCACAGATTAGAAATCTGTTCCTCCTGGATGGTGAAGGTTCGAAACCTCCTGACATCAGTCTTTTTTCGCCTGAGGTTTCATGGTAGTTTCCTCAGGTCCATCTCAGCCGGTCGTAACTGGGTGGTACCAAGTAATAGATTCAAAATTTGTTCCACTTGCATGTTTGAAACCCGCCTATGACATTCGTTTTATTCGACATCAGGGCTCGAAATCTTCTGAGATCCCTGTTCATGACAAGGAATTAATCCACGATCATCGGCTTCCCTGTTCAAATACCCGAATGGGTTTGGCATCTAGCAGGATAAAACACGCTGCTTCTTCCGCCATTCCAGTGGAGCTCTGTGGTTTCAAGCACAGTCCAGGTGAGCTTGGTGGAGGGATTGTGGGTGTCTAGCCTACGTACATGTACTGTGCATCTTTATGCTGCTTTCACAGCACCAAGTCGTGTCACATTAGGTTCACATATATGAGGCCTTTTGCTCCGATCCTTCAAAGTCATAGCCAGGATACTTCCCGTTCTCAGGAACGCCTTTGTCGACGTTTTGAATCCTGTGCACCTGGGTCCAATTTATATCACCAAGCCTTTAAAAACACGTACGTCGCAACAGATTGGGGTGGGTGGGGTTGGCACTTCCCCGTTCATTAGTCGAACCGCGCTGGTTGCGCTTAGAACCCGTCAGTATCGCGAAAAAAAATGCGTGGTATCAAACACGAGGAACAAGGTAGAGACGCCCCGGATGTAAGAAATCCGCCCCCCTGTCATAAATTGGCAGCAAATACACGAAAGAACATGCACAGTGTCATCTTTACACGTGGATGTACTTATCGAATAGTATCAATTCGGTTCCGATCGAGATGAAGGCCAGAGTCGAATATTCCGAGTGGTTGGAGATTTGTGGCCTCGATATTATGGGATGTCAAAGAGCGCATCTCGATGCATCTATCGAGATGCGCTTTTTGACATCCTGCAAGTGACACGAACACGCTCAGTGTTTCAACGACGGTACAAATGCAATACCTAAGACACAGACACGCTAGGAAAATTATTGTAAGAGACGGCAGGACAACAACGAACTAGAAACCACGATTGGGGCCTGAGGTATGAAAGTCTAAGTAGAGAGTGAACAGACACATAATAAAAGGAGAAAGGAAATTATACCATGCAATGACGAACAACGACCAATACGACAATAACGATTCGACGTTCAGAACGTTCAACATCATGCCGTGAGGATGGTGGAGACACTGCCTTGCAGCTGGCAGTAAGTTACGATGAAAGTCACGTAACGGACTTACTAGACATTAAGAACACAACCAACGACGAAATTTGGACTTCCTAACATCCATGTTATCAGCCGGCTGGATTCCAAAATCATTGTTATAGAAGATTATCAACTGGGATATGGTCCTCATTGTGTACCCGTCGGCGACAGGATTCCAGAAAGCCGGGCAGGTTCCTACTTCAGCAACTTGAATGGCAGCAATGGGAGGGATCAAATTAACATTGTCCGGCCGGGACGCTTGCATCGCTAGACCATGTCCGTGTCCAATTGTCTGTGATAATATATACTTTAGGATCAAGAAAAAGAAATATCAACTGCGACTCACTGTTTTCTGGAGTGGAGTGTAATTATCTCGGTCATGGGGTACCATGTTGTTTTGATTCGCTAGTCGAATGTTGGCGATCATGGCTTCATTCCTTTGCAGTGTTGCATGTTGTTGTTGTATTGATTCTTGGATCTGTTGCAGAGTTGCACGATTGTCGTTGCCAGTCCTTCTGATCTCGTCCAGATTAGCTAAGATGTTGTCACCCCCAACAGTGCCAGCTGCATCTAAGATTCCCGCTACAGCAGCTGCTAAAATAAGGAAATACTTCACTCACGAATTGTACACAGTGCAAGTGTGCGCGATTTTTCGCGCCTTCAATATGAGCGTGCGTAAGCTCCGGAATTGCACCTAATTTGATAAAGGTATAAATATTCACCACACGAGCTCAAACTAAGGTCTTGAACTTACGCCTAAGGGTTTCGAGTTCGTGCACCGTCATCTCCGCACTGTGTGCAGCATTCTCATCACCTTCATTGATCCTATGGTTTACTAAAGTGGGGATCTGGGCCAGTTCAGGAAACGTGTCTGCTAGAGGGCGAACAGCGATTGGATATGTTAGAGCCATTTCCCAACTTGCAATTGAAGAAGCATGCAGTTAACTCTAAAGAACTTAATGTGAAGTCAAAGGACGAAGTGTAGATCCTGACGGAGTTTGAATTTCCAGTGTTTGAAGTGCCAAAGGTAACCGGTACCGGTAAAGGCTTAAGCTTTAAGTACGGATGTAAGATTCTCGCTGCGGCAGCTGCCAAAACAAGGAAGAACTTATTATAATAAGTATTTGTGAAGTCAAAGGACGAAATGTAGATCCTGACGGTGTTTGAATTTCCAGTGTTTGAAGCGCCAAAGGTAGTGGCGGCCTAACTAAGACTTATGGATGTAGTTCACTCACGATTTTTTTCGCCTTCAATATGAGCCTCATACTGAGGGTGCGAAAAATCGTGCACACATGCTGCGCACCATTCGTGAGTGAACTATTTCCTTGTTTTGGCAGCTGCTGTGATACAACTAGCGCTGTTGGGGGTGGCAATGCCCTAGCTACTCTGGATGAGATCCAGAGGACTGCCAACGACAATAATGCAGCAGTGCAACAGCTCCAGAAATGAATACAACAGATCCAGCAAGGAATGCAACAGCAAAACGCGATGCTACGATCGGTCACGGGGTACCATGTTATTGTGATTTGCCGCAAATAACATGGTACCCCGTGACCGAGACGAGTACATTCCACTCCAGAAAATTGTGAGTCACAGTCAATATTTCCTCTTCCCGATCGTAATGCATCTACTACCACAGGTAAGTGGACACGGCCGTGCCCTAGCAATACAAGCGTCCCAGCAAGACCAGGATGGCAGCAAGAGGAGGGATCGAATCAGTACCCTCCTGTTGCTGCCATTCAAGTGGCTGAAGTAGGCGCCTGCCCTGCGGCATGAAATCATGTCATCGACGGGTATACAATGAAGAACATATTCCACTTGATCATATTCTATAACGATGATTTCGGAATCCAACCGGCTGACAACATGGATGTTAGAAAGTCCAAATTTCGTCGCTGGTTGTGTTCTTAATTCGTAACATTGCTGTTTAGTAAGTGGTCCTGTTTCGTTTCGTACGTGACTTTCATTGTAGCTCACTACCAGCTGCAAGGTGTTTTCATCAGCGTCACGTCATGGACTAACTAGCCGATGCTCAACGTTGAACGTCGAACCGTTATTGTCATCGTCCGTCATTGCATAGTAGAATTTCCTTTTTCCGTTTATTATGTGTCTGTTCGCTCTCTACTTACTATACTTTCATAGCTCAGGCCTCAATCGTGGTCTCTAGTTCGTCGTGGTCCCGCCGTCTCTTACAATAATTCTCCTAGCGTATTTGTTTCTTAGGTATTGCATTTGTACAGTCGTTGTCTTGAAACACTGAGCGAGTTCGTTTCTTAGCTTGAATCGGTTATGAGCCCCCCATTTCTAAACGAAATCACAAACTCAAGCTACGCGCGGGTTGAATACTGCCCTCACTTATTGCCGCTCGCCATAATTTCTATTGTAATGTGGTCCATCCTTCGACATGGAGGACTAAGATCACATTATAGTGTTGACGAGTACAGACACGCGTTTCTACGCGAAGTATCGCATACTCTTGGCACTGAGGCCTCAAGACGGATCCTGACGACATTGTCGGCGCTGCCTCACATAAGCCTACACCAGTCAATCCCAGTGACATCAACTCCGACAGTAGGGGCCGACGACGACGATCTGCGGGCTTTATGTCGACATATATTTTTGACGTGTATGGCCACTGTGTTGAAGCCAAAACTCCCCCTTTGTGCTGTCAGCAGGGGGTCTGCGTTATTCAGTGGAACCTGTCGGTGAAGGAGAACGTTTCCCGCCATCCAAGTTATAATTGATCGTATTTTCACTGAAGATCCTGCAGTGTTCATCATAGAAGAGGGTGAGTTCGAAAACGCTGTGGGGATTGTGCGGAAACTCGTACCTTTCGTTTGGTCGTGACTATCGCGCATGCGCCTGAACAACGCGTTCATGCATGATTACTAGGTGTTGTCGCAAGGCGTTACTGCGTATTGGTGGACGAAGCCTGTTGCAGGCTAGTTATCACTCTTCTATCCTCTCGCATTTCTCAATTGGACTTTAAGGATGCTCTTGATGTCGAGCTTGCTCATTACACCGACAAGAACGGGCTTACCACAACCGAACCCGAAATCGGTGGACCAATCAACTATAAGTCCCCCACTCTGGATGGGAGACTCGGACAACGTCACACATGGTGATTACGACGGTTATTGCAAACAAAGTCATTCCTCTCTGATCTTCCTAGATCTCTCCTAGTACCTTTAGTGTCAGAATCGGAAATCCTTCGAGCACTTTCATTTCTGAGTATCCTCGTCACATAAATGTTTTAGTCGTAGCAGTCTTGACCATTCTTAAACTGACAGATTTCACTGTTGGACGGCGTTAGAGTTTGAGTCAGCGTTGAGTCGATGATCAAGCATAATGAATTTCATGAACACAATTGAGTGTGGCAAACTGAGCTTCGACAACTCCTTCATAATTGGCCGCTCATTTGAGCCTTCATGCGAGAATTAGACATATCTTCGCTCATTGCGAATAGTGGCTTGGATGTGTGCCAGTGTGGTCATTAATTCATTGGTCAATGAGCTTGATATCCGGCTGAGGGTGAATCGGTAATTATCGGATGGTGTAATTTCGTAAGTTGCCGCGGGTATTTCTTGGACCCAAATCTTACATTCCGGTCGTCGTCGTTTTCGTCCTCATCGTCGTTCCCCGCAATGCTTACAACTCGCGGCGTCACCCGCATCTCACGGAGAGCAGTCAACAGTGCAAAGAACTCTCGGTTCATTGCAACAGCAACTCCTTCATTGTTGCGCGTCGCTGTTCCTTCCGCGTCAAAACAAAATTCAACTGTTCGTCCTTCCCGCACGTCAGCACCCCAACCCGGTGAGATGGCAGTCTGCGGGTGATTATTTCTCTCACTGACCGTGTCTTATTTGCTTTTTCGCGTCTTTTGTTCCGTCCGGGCCAACTTAACTCGGGTCATAGCTCGTACATATGCAACTGAGGCGAAGGGTGCCATTGGCACTGTAAAAACCGTCATTGGTGCAGTCGTCGACGTTCAGTTTGAGACCGATGCTCTCCCACCCATTCTCAATGCCCTGGAGGTTCAGGACTTCCACGGTGGCCGTCTCGTCCTCGAGGTTGCATCACATCTTGGCGAGAACTCCGTTCGTACCATTGCTATGGACGGTACCGAGGGTCTCGTCCGTGGTCAAAGGGTTGTCGACACCGGTGCTCCCATCCAAATTCCCGTGGGTGCCGCAACTCTCGGCCGTATCATGAACGTCATTGGTGAACCTATCGACGAGCGTGGTCCCATCAAGGGTGTCAAGCTCTCCCCAATTCACGCCGATCCTCCCCCCTTCGTTGATCAGTCAACCACTGCTGAGGTTTTGGAGACTGGAATTAAGGTCGTCGACCTTCTTGCTCCTTACGCCCGTGGTGGCAAGATTGGCCTATTCGGTGGTGCTGGTGTCGGCAAGACGGTCTTGATTCAGGAACTCATCAACAACGTTGCCAAAGCTCACGGTGGTTTCTCCATTTTCTGCGGTTAGTTAGCCTTCGAACTTCGCGTCGTATCATGACCTCATTATCTTTTTTGGATAGGTGTCGGTGAGCGTACTCGTGAGGGTAACGATTTGTACCACGAAATGATTGAAACTGGTGTTATCAACCTCGAGGGTGACTCCAAGGTCGCTCTCGTCTTCGGTCAAATGAACGAGCCCCCTGGTGCCCGTGCTCGTGTGGCTCTTACTGGCCTCACCATCGCCGAGTATTTCCGTGACGAAGAGGGACAGGATGTGCTGCTCTTCATCGACAACATTTTCCGCTTTACTCAAGCTGGTTCCGAGGTGTCCGCTTTACTTGGTCGTATCCCCTCTGCCGTCGGTTACCAACCCACGCTCTCCACTGATATGGGTGGCATGTACGTCCATTTTTGTGTTCACCATCACATCAATTTAACCACGAGGATAGGCAAGAACGTATCACTACCACTAAGAAGGGTTCTATCACTTCTGTGCAGGCAGTCTACGTGCCTGCTGATGACTTGACTGATCCTGCTCCTGCTACCACCTTCGCTCACTTGGACGCTACCACTGTGTTGTCACGTGGTATTGCTGAGCTTGGTATCTATCCCGCTGTCGACCCCCTCGATTCCAAGTCCCGTATGCTCGACCCCCGTATCGTTGGTCAGGAGCACTACGACGTTGCTACCGCTGTCCAGAAGATTCTTCAAGACTACAAGTCTCTCCAGGATATTATTGCTATTCTGGGTATGGACGAGTTGTCAGAAGAGGACAAGTTGACGGTTAGTGCACATCCAAACCAATGTAGAACTGGGCACTGACAGTATATTAGGTCGAGCGTGCTCGTAAGATTCAACGTTTCATGTCGCAACCCTTCCAGGTTGCACAAGTCTTCACCGGTTATGAAGGCAAGCTTGTGCCTTTGAAGGATACTATCCGCTCCTTCAAGGAGATTCTTTCTGGTACACATGATAACCTCCCTGAGTCTGCATTTTACATGGTGCGTACAACATGTTCAAGTTTGTTATGATGTAGGCTGACGCGTTGAAACAGGCCGGTACGATCGAGGACGTCAAGTCCAAGGCTGAACAGCTCGCCAAGGAGATAGGTGGTAACTAGGCGCTTTGCACCCATCGTACTTACTCCGTGCCGCTCATGTAGAATAGAGCAAGTACATGCACCCAAAATTATCACTATATCTGGATATCTTTTTGACAAGTCCAAAAGGCGACTAGAAATTATTCTCAGTTAGTGTTTCCCCATATCAGCATGGCGCTCGTAGAGTCGTGCATGCTGGTGGTGAGCAATCTCCATCTGGTTTGTGTTTCACCAGCAGTTGAGATGGAGTATAACGTTCACGAGATGATGAATGTCCCTGATGTTACGGTAGCAAGAGTAATAGGTATTAAGCACAGGAAGTCGTTCGATGCAATTACGGAGAGGCCTTGTGCTTGTCATAACATCTCGGTGTTCTTTACCGAAGAGAAAGGTTGTTCGTTTGTGAAAGCCAAGCAAGTCACTATAAGGCGCTATGGCCGAGTGGTTATGGCGACAGATTAGAAATCTGTTTCGGTTTCCGAGCGCAGGTTCAAATCCTGCTGGCGTCGTAAATTTTTTATTTTGCGGTACAACCCATAAGGCTTCGTTTATTTTATCTTTGATGTTCATGGCGCACGGCAGCGTGTACGCCTCTAACAGCCAAGCTGGGGATTTGGATAGCAACAAAACCCTCTTCCTAAGAGGGAGTCGGAGATTTTTCCAGTGCCGATGTAACGTCACGGTCTTCTCTGAACGTTCTGAACCATTGTTCGACTGTAGTTGAGCGCTGAATAGGTGAATTTTGATAACATAGGATACTCGAGCTCAGGGTAGTCTCGACACCAGTCTCCTTGTCGCCGGGCAGTGGTGGATCGTCGGACAAGGCATCACGCATACACACCTTGTCACCGTCGTGTAAGGCGGCTGGTCAGTGGTCACGAGTCTGAGCTCGAGCAGGGACAGGTCATTAATCATTTTAATGCAGTGCCTTGCAATATTGTGGTCGTACAGGTAACGTAGCACTGCCAATCAGGGATCCGTGCCTTGCAGTCTAACTTGTCTTTGTCATTTTAGAAAGTCATGATTGACAATTTGACTCGCATAAAATCTATGTGTGATACTGGTTGGATGATACAACAAATCACCCACCCTTCAAGTCCACGTTAAAATTGCAGCGCAATGATCTACAAACTCATTTTTGCGACGTTGTTGTTTCCACTAAAGGGAGCACTGATAAGATGGCGGGCAAACTTCACTCCCAAGGTTCAACCTGTTTCAGAATTGCCCTTGGTCGACGATGTACAACAGGCCTCCCAGCCTCGATCATTGCTAGGCATGTTGCAACGAGTCAACGCAGAAGAGGTGTGTGCAAATTTACACGGGGGTGCTTGGAAGCTGACTATGATACTGCACTTCCTTGTTGCTTAGGGAATTGACGGGTTGTACAAAGGAATCCGTGAGTCCTTCGAGCATTGATTCTCATAAGACTTCTAATCGTCTCTCTGCATAACACAGTCCCAACCCTCGGTTTCATGCTATTCTGGGAGCAAGTGATGTCTCTCCCATCCATTGCGATTATTGGATATCTCCACTTCGGGATGTACGACCAGAGTAGTGTTCTCATCATTGCTATTGCTTCTCTCATCAAAATTATTGCAACTGTGATCGAGACCGTCTTTGTAAATCGGTGCGTTATCTGGGGGACTCGTCCATTTCCATGGGCTGAAAAGGCATCCAAGGGCTGTAACAACTCGAGAAGACATCGCTTCATTTTCCTTACGACGGGCGCTTGATGCATTGCTCTCTCCGACTGAAAGAAGGCACCCTTATCGCATATTTATCATCCCAGGTTTGCTGGCGGCCTGCACTTCATGGGTTGTATACATCGTAGGCACTATTGGAGCACGCCACTTTTTGTTCGTCAAACAATTTTCGAATATATCTGGGGACTGGGAGAACGCGGGGCCCCACATTCCTCTATTGGTCGGGGCCGTTATTTTCTCGTTCGCCCTTAATGCTCTGGTGCTCACTCCACTGGAAGTCATGATGGTTCGACTATCTATCCAAGCAAAGGTGACGCAAGTTACACTTCTTCTGGATACACCTCTGGTTGAAGCTGTCGGGCCTGTCAGGTAAGTTCTTTCGTTAACATTTCCGGGGCCATCTTGACATCAGTCGTCGCCCCTCAGACTCAGGACTGATAAAGATGAATATACTGGACTTATCAGTTGCGCAAGGCTGATCATTCAGGAGGAAGGTTGGGGTGCGCTTTATCGGGGGTGGTGGTGGACAGGTTTCCGTGGTATACTCTTTATTTGAGTTTTTAATAGCTAGTGGCTGTAGCGTATTACCTTGTACTACAAGGTCAATATCAGCCCATGATTGTGGCTGTATGATCACACTTTTTGACCCACGGCGTTGTTACTAGTAGCAAAATATTAATAGTGGTGCCGGCGCCAGCCCCTGTCAGTAACTCGCTTATTCCTGGCATATTTTGTGTCCATCGCTTTATTATGTTGGAAAGAATCAAAATCTACGTCGATGAACGTTGGAGTCTACTGAGAGCTGGTCACTACAGATTATCACGGGAAGCCTGATGGAATCATAAGTTTTCCGAGTTGCTGTCAGAATCTTCGTGGTCGACTTGATTTTTGACACACATCTGTTGCCAGGCGGTACTTTATCCTCTACCGCACTTCCATCTGGAGCTGCAGCCCATTGACACTGTACGCTGGGGCAGTGCAAGAGAAACTCCTACCAGTATTGATCTGTGATGTGACGGGCTTAACAGCGTTGGAAGCCTCGGGCAAGTTGCTTGCAGTGGCAGATGAAACCAAGATCAAGATACGTAAAAACGTGCTTGACTTGTCCTTGCCAGTGGATACAGCCGTGATTTGCGCTAAGGTTTCTGCATTTGTTTTCCTTCGTAAGTTTTTGACCATGCCTAGGTCATCATACACCGTTATTCACCGTTATTCATCATGAGCTGTCATATCTTGGGCACAATCAGGTCAATTCAGGTCGAAATTTATTTTTGTCCAGTAGTAACCCCCAAACTAAGGCATCTGCTGCTGCTTTGCTTTTTTCTTCAATCTCGCCTTTGTAGTCTTGGACAGTCGTCGTGTCTGTGGTGTCTGGTACCTGCAAGCTTGTCAGGTCGGACAACAATGTGCGCATAAACGTCACTCACGTCACCTCTTTCCTCTCATGCATTCCTGGAAGAGCCTTCCTGCACAGCGTGACTTTCATATAAGGCGCAAGCGTGAGCTTAGTGCTGTCTCTTCGTTAGCCTGAGTACCATCTTCCATACACAAAACACGCACTGTTTTTTACCTTCCAAAGCTCTTGCTATGGTACTTACTCGATCTTCCCCTTCTGCAGCGATCTCGCCACGTTGCTCCCATTGTAGTTCATTGTACTGATGCAGCCCCGTCAGTTGTCCTGGCAAAACATCCAACGTTTTCAGATATTCGCGCTTCAGGATCTCTACGACTGAAATCAACCGGGGGATCGTAGATTGTGCAACATCGGCCGGGGAAGTGTGCAGCGTGAATGGCTTGTCAGGATTTTGCTGAACCCATGTTCTGTCAGATGAACGGTCAACGAAAGAGCCACAGAACCAACCTGGAAAAAGTCCAATCCATGTTTGACCCAGTATCTGATTTTGCCCTGCCTTGTTATTCGTATCAAGTCCGATGGTGGGGCCGCAAGTTGTGAATCATTCATGACCGTCTCGCAAGTTGCAACTCATGACTGGAGGCGTGAGAAAATTGCGCCCTGGATCCAAATTCTCCAGGCTCAGGTAAATTATCGCCATTGAAATATTCACTCATGGATGGTTTCCTTGGAGGCCATCTTAACTGGTCTTATAGCCAGGTGATCTCCACAACATAATCAAAATCTGTCAAACCTGCCGATGACAAGGTTTTTTTCCCCCTATCGGAACACACGTCGACATTCACTCAGCCTATAGAAAATTTCGTCAGATCGTCTTAACTGGTCTTAGCTGGGTGGTCACTGCAACAGAATAAAAATCTGTTTCTCTTCGACTGTGCAGGTTCGAAACCTGCTGAATGAGCTATCGGAACACGCCTTGACATTGACTCATGATGGTTTCCTCAGAGGTCCATTTAACTGGTCTTAGCCAAGGTGGTTACTGCAATTGAACAGAGTCAAAATCTGTTTCTCTTGGAGTTGGTTCGAAACCTGCCGACAATGTTTTTACGGTGTATAGATCCTCGGAAGTCCATCTCAACTAGGCTCAGTCAGTTGCGCCGAAACCTCTTTTTATGTGATAGTTTGTCCATGAATTCGAAAAGGAATTCACTTTCATGCCCGCGGATGGCTTCAGCTTTTCCTCGGAAAGTTTTCCAGTTATCATCAACCACAACCTACGAGCGTTCGAGAAGATGATGCAACGAGAATGCGATGCCGACTCGGAGAACTTAAAACACCATTCATACGCTGTGGATGTTAGGCTGCCTCCTCAGTACACACAGAGTTATCACCGAGTCCCCCTCCGCCACGCGGCCACCCCCGGTTCCCTCCACAGCAGCTAGTGAACTCACGGGTGTCCGACGGAAGTTGCCACAAGGGGCAAACTCCCGACCGGACTCTCAAGCGGATTCAGTGGATGTACCTGCTGGCACGTCTCGCCTTCCGGGGAAGTCGGGAGTCGGAAGCCTCGTGCGCACAGAAGTGTCGAGTATTGCTAAAAAGGGTTCCGTGATACCTCCTCCGGCGATGGTTTCTGCTCTTCCATTTTCCGGTATGAACATGGAGGCTGAACGTGCGAGATTAGCCAAGGATACTCAGCGGTGGATCAACGAAGGTGGGATTACCAGGAAGGCTCTGTTGATTCCATCAAGCTTGTTTATTCACTGTTATTCTTTTTCATCACTCTCAATTTCTTAATGCACTCACAATCTTATCTGACCAAGTAAAACCAACCGTCGCGAGTTGATCGTGTTGCGACCATCATTAAGCATGCATTGCCTAAAGAAAACCGTTTCACTAATTTAATGATGTAAACTTGGCGGTGGCGAGCATCTTCTGACTACTGGTAAATCCAACCCTCCAAGTCGTGCTTTCTGAAAGTTATATCCATCTCAATCGTTTGTCAGAACCTGTTTATTGAAATGCGTTCATTCACATGCAGCATATTGTTCGACAGCAAAATCTCCGCAGCTTTTCTCGATTGTTGCCCTGGCTCGCTAGATACCGCTGATTAGTATACCTTTGATGCATCTCAAAATGATAGTACACGACATCAGTACTTGTGGGACAAGATGTTGCTGCCAGCGAAGCTCGGCCTTGAGTTTTATCTCGTAAAAATATTCGTGCATATAATATTTGGCTTAAGCTTGACGTTTGTTGACTATATGACAACATTTTGGGACGGTACCGGTAGTAGACCCTATACTTAGCCACGAGGCAGAATCCGAGATATCGATACGAATCAGCAACGAGTAGCACTGCCAGCTCTCACAGGGCTTGCATTTCGTGCTTGGGCTTCGGTTGTGATCTCTACCCTATTTTCCTGCCAAATTTCCAGCAATGGTTCCATCCATTGACGAAGTCGAGGAATACTTTCAATCTCTCGAACGCTTTCTGACAGATTCCGTGGCGGCCGCCTCGCCTGGTATTCCAAACATCCGAGAGGCCGTTCACCGTCTTTGGGTTGACATCTCTCGCTTTGGGCCACCTGGTTTTTCTTCATTCCCTGACATCCATGTCCCCGGTCTTGGGGCATTCGAGGTTCCTCCACCTCCGCCACCACCTCCACCCCCGAGGACTCTCGTAGAGAAGGCTGGTGATTGGATCATAGAACATCCATGGAAGAGCTCTAGCATAGCAGTAACAGCTCTTGGAGCTGGCCTACTTGCTGGCTACACTACCTTCCGTATGACGCACACCCATAAGAGAAGAGTTCGGTCGACTACTGTCACTCCCGAGAAACGGCAAGTTGTTGGTAAGTACTTCTACTACTCGCTTGGATTGCCTTTCCATTGCTGATATCTTCCTAGTCGTCTTGGGTGGTGATCACCCTCTGGGCCTCCCTCTTATCATCGAACTTGAGCAAAAGGGATACATCGTTATCACTAGCGTCTCCACACCGGAAGCTGTCAACAGCATTGAAAGCAAAGGACATGGCTATGTCCGAGCTCTTGTCCTTGACCCTAATGAGGTGTGCGATTGCTGATTCCTGCTCCCCAAGTTCATCTAACCGGGGATCATTTAGCCTGGCACCATCCCAATCTTCCTTCGGTCGCTCGCATCTACTTTGTCCCGACGGTTCCCAATTACAGCCGCTGGTGACCCATATGCAGCCACCCCTTATCATCCCCTTCTCCACTCTATAATATCTCTACTCACACTGCCGATTCCATCCATTCATACGGCACCGACCCCCATTGAACAGCTATCTTTACGAAGTACATATCTCCCACATCTTCTCTCCACGCACTTTGCACCTCTCCAGGCACTTCAAGCACTCCTGCCATTACTCCGCGCGGACGCCCAGCGTGTGTGTGGACGCAAGTCCATCATTGTATGTCTCCCTGCTGCTGATGCACGTGTTGGACTGCCTTTCGGTGGAGTCAGTGCTATGAGCGCAGCGGCCACTCTTCGTGCGTTGGACGTGTTGCGCCGTGAGGTTGCTGTTGGACAAGGCATGAGCTCCATCCGTATTGTTGCCGTTGATGTGGGCGTTGTTGGTGAAATCCCCATCTCCAGTTTTGCAAATTCACATGCGATGAACGACTGGACTCCCTCAGAGAAAGCAACCTACGGTCAAGCATTCGCTGCGCTCGGAGAAACTAGCATGGGACAGTCTCGCAGACCGGAGGACATTTCTGTCTTCGTAAATAACCTAGTTGGCGTCGTCAGTGCCGGAACAAAGACCAAGATGGCGAGTAAAACGATCTGCGGTATCCGCGTTGGTGTTGGGTACGAAAAAAATTAGAGATTGGATCCGTGGCGACCGATTTGCTGTTGGTGCCGGCGGTTCGTTGTTTTTCTGATTTTCACGCATATATGAGAGTTAACAATCGTTGTCCATACAGCAGGGACATACACGTTTGCGTCATTCCTCCCTGGCATGCTGTTGGATGGATTGCTGAGTCTTCCCCACATGTTGGTTGATGTCCGTAATCGGCTCTTGCCTGTGCCTCCTGCCCAGCCACACACAGTCCCAAAGGCGGCTCGCAACGATCCATACTCTACCGCGGTTTCTGTAGTTCTTCCATCATCTTCCTTGATAGTGAGCAGAACACACTCAGCTCCACGTCCGTCGCCTCCAGAGGCAGCTGCACCAGCGCTCGAACAGACTGAGCCTCTTTCCGAGCCTGAAGACATAAGTGAACATGAGACAGGCTCTGGGGCTGACTTCGAGAGTAATTCTAGCGATGGCGATGCATCTACGGTGGAAAGTAGCTGGGTGAGCTTGGGATCTCGTGGGCCCACTGATGAGGTTTAGGTTTCGCATTGATTGATGGCTTTTCTGTAATGCTAATCTGCTAATTGACAAGGATTCTGATCACTGATGCTTTGTTTGTGTACTTCAATGATGTATATTCTGTGTCGAACAAATATTACTCGTGCTTAGCACGTTACAATGTGCAACTCATTTTCTGCGGACACTCCTTTGTTCTGAAAATCGAGGACGTGATACTTGATCATCGTCTACTGGGAGTCTGATCTAAACATGGATGGCAACTGCTCGGGAAGATAGCACTGATTTAGGAGTCACCTCCTGCTCCATTCTGAAGATCAATCTGCCAGGTACACTTCATCGATATTATTTTGGATCCGGATGGGTACGTGCATATCAGTCATTGTTGCGGTTTGACAAAACCAGGCTATGTCACTGGCAGGTCTCTCGCTGTGGCTGGTGCCCAATCCCGCTCAATTGCAACTTATCCAAAAGGTGTTGCCAAAGCAGCCTGAGACACGTCCAGTGTCCGCTGCTTCCTATCCAGAGATAACCCCTCATATCACACTGGCAAGCTCGAGAAAGGCAACGCAGGATGCACTTCTACGAGCCATACCATCTACTTTGCATCCAATCCCAGTCGAGTTCCAGAAGCTTGAGGTCGGCGATCATTATTTTAGGTCTGTCTTCATATCTGTGAAGAAGACGACCGAACTCGTCGCGCTGCATGAACATATTATGGCCGCGCTTGACAGGGATGGAGCATCGCCTTCAGCCCCAGCATTTCTGCACGTGTCCATCAGTTATATTGCAGATGAAGATGGGGTTGCTGAGCGGAAGAAGGCCGCTGATGAGCTGCGGGCCACCACAGTTGTTGAGGGTCCAGAGACGGGCCTAGATGATGCAGAATCAGTTGTTCTTCGCTGTGGGGACTCCGAGGGAGGGCGTGTGTGCCTCACGGGCTTTGAAGGCACAGAGGTGTGGATCGTCCGGTGCGAAGGACCGGTACAACACTGGCAAGTGTTACATAAAACAACAGCGACACCAGGCGTTGCCCAGGATTGAGGACTAGGTTCATGGTGACAATAACGACAGGACTCCATTACTGCAGTGTAGGTTTGTTACATGATGTACGGAATAAGGAATTGTAGTGATACAATTATTTTTCGAGATTGGTTGGGAGGTGCGAGGAACGATTGGTATGCGGACTAGATCAACGTGAGTGAAAGCGGGAGACAAGCAAAGCTGCCAGATCAACAGAACGAAAGAGGACGAAAGAGCAGTAGGACAATGAATCAAAAGAATGGAAAGTGCGGTGGACAAAACGTCTCAAATATTACATGACAATATTAATGCCTTCGGTTTGGGAGTGCGAGTGTTGGTGTATATGCAATTCAGAAAATTACGAGATTGATTTTCGATCGTCGTCACTGTTATCAAGTGTGAATGAAGATGATGACGAAGCTGATGGTGGAGGTTCATAAAGTGGAAGAGGAGTTGAGTAATCGATCTTGCGCTCTCCATTCGAGTAGAAGAGCTGAGAGTATGCGGGAAGACTGTGGCTGTATGGAACGCTTTTTTGGAGCTCCTTTGCACCCACAATGGTGCGATCAGCAGCGGACGGATTGATTTGTGGGACAGCCACCCGCACATGCTGCATGGGCAGTGAAAAATGGAGGCGTTCACACACAACCTCGCCGTCGGGTTGTTCGTAGACACACCGGAGCGCAATGTGCATCAAGTGGCACACACTGAAAAGAGGGCTATTTTCAGATATACGACGGCTGCGGAGCCCAGCCCAATCCAATTGGTGGGGCTCTGGTGCCAAAGGCACATTTGCCGCGAGCACATACCAGTTCTCTGACGGAGAAGGAGTGGTCACATTGCCCTTTGGAGGGTCATGCACAAAGACGCGACCGTCACCAGAAATAATGTACTTCCCAGAATTCGAGGGATCGAAGAGGGAAAACGAACGAATCGAAGTAGATTTGGACGGATTTGGAGTCATGAGAAGGCCAACCTCATAGAGTGTATGCACAGGGTGTGCATTCCGAAGGGGCAAAGAAGGAGGTTGTTGTGTCCTAGGCGGGACCATAAATCGAGCTACGCAATCAAGAGAAGTAGTGCTCCTGAATAGACGTATCGTTAGCACCGTGAATAATAGATGCACAATAATGCAGCACACCTGTACGTTTCAATCTGTTCAACATCAACAGTGAAAATCAGTTATTCGAAGGCGCTCTCGCTGAGAGCCGTCCAGTTCATTGCCTTGTAAGCGCAGGATGAGAGGAACGGATGTTTCATCCAAAGTCACCGCGTTGGGAATGGACGCGACAACCTGAATCTTCTTCAGGATTTCAGGCGGAATAGTCGTTGTGTCTGTTTCTGTGTCATCTTGCCCTGATTGCGCATCGACGATGAACAATGTCATTGGGAAGACAGAGGTAGAGGACGACGACGAGGGGGCAGAAGGAACCTCGGCAAAACGAGCGAGAGTGACTGGACATCTTGGCGCATTGATTGTGTGAGTACGACAGCCAAAAGGTGAACAAAAGCTGCCTGAATATGGAGGAGTTGCCATCCTCGAGATAGATAAAAGGTTGCAGTGGCATACAAGGCGTAGCGCGTCCCAGCTTCAACTGCACTGCGATCTCCATGCGTAGACGTAGTCGGCAACCAGCCAGGAACTAAGGATGTCAAAAATGACATTCCAAGAGCAGGGCTTATTGGAATCTTCGTGCCCTTCGTTGGAAAGGTCGATGGGTTCACCATTTACAAGCTCGCGAGTGATGGAGCAGAGTCGCAGAGGGGCATACCCAATGTCCGGGGTGATTATTTCGGATTGTCCCTCAAATGTGACGGTGAGCGACTGCATCAAAGCACGCGTTGTGCTCCGCCGGCGCTGGAACATAAGCGAAGGTGAACTGAGCGAGATCGACACATGGCCTGCCAGAGAGAAGGCAGATCTAGCGAGGTCTATCAGCACAAGCGAGATGTTTGACTTCAGTTCTAGCTCACGAAAAGTCTGGTTCACCATACAATTCTAAAGAATCCGAAAACGGGATGATGTCAATTGACACAGGCATATCAGCTGTCTATAGGAGACTGGGGATATCAGCGACTGCAGCCAGGAGAATGACTTTCCATTAAGCGACGGACACGAGTCGTTATATAGCATATATTCGCACTCGGTTACATGCACCCACGTATAGTCCAACCTACACTTCTAAGGCAGAACAAAAGGCGCGTGGCTCACTGTCTGGAACGGCTGAGCTTCGGCATCAGCTAAAATTTGTCAAGGCACGCTATCCTGGCCGTGCGGGAACGTTTGCTGAGCCAAAAAAAATTCCTTTTGTTTCGTTAAAGTGGTCGTTGCCTTTGTGAGCGCACAAAAGCAAACATAGGTTTGGTGGCTGTGCACCTCTCGAAGCGCGAGACAATGGAGAAGCGCTACAGCGCTAGCGAGCACAAAGCAAGCCGTATAAAGAAAATGCTCCAAAAGCAGGAAGAACAGATACGTCTGTCACGTAAACGTTGAGCAGATGGATACAGGTCGTCGCAAAGGCGAGAAAACGTGTGTAACGCTACAAAAGCACGTAGATAATCATCCAGAGATACCATATAAGCACGCCAAGTTGGTGTGCTTACCGCTCGGCACGATTGCACGTTAATGACACGCGTAGGCGTCTATGCGAACACCTTGGATACTGCCAGTGTATCTTCGTCCCTCTTACGAAGCACTTTTCTCTTCGATGTCTCCTCCTGAGCTTCTTTCCGTTGACGGTACTTGTCACCTCTGGCATGCCTGATTACTGAGCGCACGGAAGCAGGCGTAACAAATTCTATTTGTGAAGTGAGTTCGTGAACAAGGAACATATTTGCTCCAGTGTACGAACCAGGATTGGAATAAACGGTTGCGCCACCAAAGGCTCCTTCGAAGATACGGATGGGCGTCAGCACAAATCGGGGGCCAATCTCAACGAGAGATGTTTGGGGCGGGCCGTTTGGCTGTAATGGATCCTTTTCCATTATCTACGGAGAGGAAACCGAGTCAACGGTTGGCAATAAACCGAAGGAACCAGCATACCTGGAAATTCCGGAACCAGATTTTGTTATCGAGAATAGAAAAGGTTAAAACATGGTCAATGAACGGTTTGGCTTTTCGAGCTAGTGGGGGAACGCCAAAGATCTACGTGGAGGAACGGAATATAATCACGCGTCAGCATTCTACCTTTATCGTGACCCATGAACGTACATGCGTGAAAACCTCTTTGGTGAGCTTTCCCCACTCTGTTTCATCAAACGCTTTGTCAAAGCTGAGAATTCCTCTGCTTCCTTTTAGACAGTTTCCGGTCATTTTCAGCTCGTCCATCGTATGCACGTTTTGAACGTGCAATTTTATGCTGGGTCCATTTGGTGTTTTCGTAGCCCACATGTACAAGTCTTCATGTCTCCTTGCCTCGAAGTAGAGAGTGTTATTGCAATTGTTCAGGTCTGCTATCTCAGGCAGGAGATGTAGCTGTGACTTCGAATCAAGCTTGGAATCTGAAATAGATCCCATTGAGAACTAGTGAATTTTTCTACAAAAGCATCACCTTACCTTTCTTTACATGAGGTAGCAGAGTCTCAAGATCGTTCATGAGATGTCTCATGCGGTGGGTGATACCCCGAGAGGAGAGTAGCAAGACGCGTTGTTTGTTCCTCTTCTGTTTAGGTTGCTGGACGTCGTCACTGTCGACATTGATATCATCCGCTTTTCGTTTGCCTTTGCCTTTGACATCGAGCTGCGCGGCATATGCTTTTTGAGCTGTAAGGAGTGGGGCCATTGAGTGGTCTACAGCTCAAAGACAAGATTTTCACTAAGCCAGGTCATGGTTACGTAACCATCGCACCATAAATACCAGAAAGCGGGACAGCAGGGCAAAAAAAATTATGTAAATACTTGTTAGGTCATACCAACACCAGCGGCAAGCAGAAAAATTGCTTGACCAAGGACCAAAGACAGGCAAGGCAACTAATGTACATATCTGCGTCGTGAAAGCGTTGATCTTTTCACAGCCATAACATCAAAAAGGAAAAGAAAGCACAGCAAGCATGCTTGAAGATTTGTCGACAAATGAAAACAAAGTAGCAGTGCATGAGTCCAAGGGTCGCAGTGCGAGCTCAAGAAGATGAAGTGGATGTTCGTAGCTGCTTCTGCTTTTCTTGTTCCAACCGCTGAAACAGCTCACGCGTGAGGAAATTCTCGACGTTATTTAAACGGGAGCGACGTACGTGATACAGCAGTTGTACTGCCATCTGAATGTTCGCAGGCTGTCCAGTTATAACAACCAAACGCTCGTTTTCGTTACCTGGGGGCGCCGGGGCGCCGTTGAGCCCGGCACCCGGTTCCATGATTTTGATCTGACTAGCGCTCATATGGCGGATTTCGTTGATTTTACTACCCCCCTTCCCAATAATACAGCCCACCAAATCATTGGGGATGTATATTTGTTGTGTTTGCAACTGTTGTGGTGGGTTAGGGGGCGGTGGGGCACCGTAAGGCTGCGACGCGCTCGCGTACCCTGGTACATACGACGAACCAGTATACGGAGGTCGTCGAGAATAGCTGGAAGGGCGGTAACTAGAATGGCTAGAGGACGAAGAAGGCATGCGCTCTTGCGCTTCGATGAGGATATTGCCGATGTAGTAGGTTGCTATATGGATAGCATCTGCAACACCTGCAACGCTCAGGACTCGCTACATTCACGTAAAACAATTAGTTGCCGCCTTGCAATGAAGTCTTGTACTGTACCTCAGTGGAACCGGGGAGCATACCCTCGCTTGCATTCAGTCGTGCTCCGCTGGCATCTTGAATCTCCTTGATTTTTGAACCTTGTTTCCCTATCACAGACCCCATGCGCGAATTTGGAATCATGAACTTGATAGTTACCGCACGACTTCCAGGAACTGAAGGTACATCGAAGGGTTCGTCATTGATCCGTCGTACAATAAGACCGAAAGCCTATAGGTTTGTTATGATGAACAAAAAGATATGCTAATAAGATGTCTGGACCTGACCTTGGATACAGCATCAAGCGGCCCGCTGACATTGAGAATTCTCTCAGGGTTACCGGGGATGCTCTCAGAGACCATAACACGAGCTCCACTCTTGTCTCTGATCTCATTGACATGCGAACCAGCCTTTCCAATGATGATTGACGCGTCCTGTGTAACGATCAAACAACGCATATGAATCATGGCTGAGGGAGGGGCGGGAGCTGAGGACGAGGAAGGTGGAGCAGACATGGAAGTTGATTTTCCGGCCTCTTCAGAGCGAGTGCGGGACTCGTCGCGTCGATTGCTGGATGAAGTTTCCTTGGGAGAAGGAGTAGACGCAGTAGTATCTGCTACGGATGCGGAAGTTTCCGTCATGTTCACATCGCGAGTCATAGACGTAGCAGTTGTTGAACCAGAACCCTGGTGTTTGTCAACTCGTGAGTCATCCGCGTGAGCCGTAGCGCCTGTGTTAGCACGCTTATGATGCTTCTTCTCGTCTGAGTCAGAAGGAGAGCGCGACCTCTTGCGATTGTAGTCTGCTTCTGCCATTTTCGAAATTTAGCTCAAAAATCTTTTTTGGTTAGGAGGACGGGATTCTGGAGTGATGGGCTTGATAGTGTGGTATCGTATGGTAGTGTGGTTTGAAATGTCTGATGGGGGACGAGTGGACGTGGTGAGGAAGACGGATTGCGAGTTGGATACGGATTGAATGGTACTGAAATTGACTTACCTCCTTTACAAGTTTTATACAGCGAATAACCGTTGTTTACTTGAAACTAGGTTCTCCTGTAGCGCAAATAGTTTCTACGACACAAGAAACGACTGTAGTATACGTTGACTTGGGTTTCTTCAACGACAAACATACCAATACACCACAGCCACAATAACACACAACTTCTGTGCTGAGACCATAGACATCGATATTTTTTTTTGACCAAGGATCAATCCAAAGTGAGGTCATCTATTCATAATGGCTGAAGCACGCGGAAAAGCATGGCCTCTTGCAGATGAGGGCCTAACCAACTCCGTAAGTTTTCTCAAGAACTCATCAACGACTGACATCATGGTATCGTAGATTTTGGACTTGGTCCAACAGGCTGGTCAGTACAAACAACTTAAAAAAAGGTGCCAATGAAGGTGAGCAACATCCAACCCCCTTTCCGTTCTCTGCATCTGATGTCCACCTTCACAGCGACCAAGACCCTTAATCGTGGTGTGGCGGAGTTCATCGTCCTCACCGCGGATACCGAGCCTCTCGAAATTCTTTTGCACCTTCCCCTTCTTTGCGAGGAAAAGGTATGCTCTCTCTCGAGCTATTTATACCGTTGAGTGCTAACTGCTGACTATACAGAATGTTCCATACGTGTTCATTCCTTCCAAGGCAGCCCTTGGACGTGCATGCAATGTGTCTAGGCCTGTCATCGCTGCCAGCGTCACGACCAGCGAGGCCAGGGAGCTGCAAAGCCAGATCCGCAATGTCAAGATTGCGATCGAAAAGTTGATGTTCTGATATTCTCATTGCGGAGCAAGACAGATAACTGCTGGTATTACGGTTGTTACATCATTTTTGTATATCTCCTGTATGACATGTAGCAACTAGATATCGAACGAGTATCTTTTAAAGGCCACCTTTCCCGAATTTCCAGTAAATGATGCGCGCTTATGCAAATGTTGTAACTTTTCTAGGAATGTCCAATAAGATGATCCCATGGAGCCAGATTCGGTTCGACGGACACTATGCTGGTAACCAGCCTAGGGTATATTACCACGAATGCTTGAGCGGTGTTAGACCATTCCATTTGATATCTACAGCTCGTTCCATAGACTCGGATGGACTGGTCACCAAATAATTCATCCGCAATCTAAATCCAGTATCGAGCGCAAACTTGAAGGGGCCTAGATCTATAGAAGGACTTGGGCTAGTTGCGAGATCTAGTTTCGCATGATTACAGTTTCGTGCGATTGCCATGGGTACCGATGAACAGCTATGTGTTTCCTGTACAAAGTCATCGGTTTGCCAATTTCTCGAACGCCTAGGGTCCTAGCACTATCTATACACGCCAGGCGATCTGATAAAAATCCGAACTCTTTAAAAAGATAAGTTCTACAGAGACGATGAGAATGGTCAGATACAGACAATGTCAGTCAGAGATCGGGATACCGAGATCTTTGGATCCGAGACAACAAGCCGAAGATAAAGCAAGAAACACCAGCAAAACTAGCATGAGCAGAACTCAGCGAATGAAACAGTCCATCCCGCCGATGGTCGTTGCAGTCCACGGAAATGTTTACAGCAACCCAGATTGTAAGACCCACTGGGTGCGAGAAAGTACTTCCCATGATACATATGGTGTTTAGTATCCGAGTCGCGGTAAAGAAGCCGAGAATCACTCACTCCTGTGTAGGAGCGCGGTTAGTTGGACTGGAATGGCAGGGAATCGATCACTGCAGTGAATCAACAACTTGAAAGAAGCCGAGAATCACTCACTCCTGTGTAGGAGTGGACTGGAAATGCAGCAAACATGGGGTGTAGTAGTATTCCAACCCACTAGCGCATCATGTCGAAGTCAGCACAACTGTTCTGCCAACTGAGATTATAACCCAAGTAGTACATACATCGATATATAGAATAGTCATGAGGGACCAGCGTTGCCTCCGTGCGGAATAAGTACTTAATTTTGCTCACCCAGACCACTTCACGATAAATTTGTCGGTGAGATGGTTGCCCTGGTAATAGCGTCAACCTACCGCCCGTCCAAATTTTTCAGTGCCAACATCATATGGTCATCGATGATTCCCTCAATACGTATTATATATCTTGCTCACCCCAACCATATTCAACCGCAATGAAGGCTGCAACTGCAAAATCAAAGTTGAAATAGAGCGAGACTCACTAGCGTTATCATCCTACTTACTTTCCAGTGTCTCCACGAACCTGCAAAATGGCTGAAGGTACAGGCCCGGGCAGAATCGATCAACTGGGATCACTCGACACTATAGTCATCGGTCAGTGGTGAATTTGATGGACGTATAGCGATGGCGTTCGTACTAGATATGCTACCACTCACTGGCGCTTTTACCGCTGAAATAGGTATTATGCAGCTCCTGGATCACGATATGAGGCCGGCGAAACGGTAGGGGTTTAATCAGATAGTGTGATACCGTTCGTAACGGTAGTGTCGTGAGTAGCCCCCGCACTAATCACTAGGTCGAGGTACATAGGAAGTGGACGATAAGTTGCTATCATTGGACAGCAATTACACAAGTTTGATGATTTCACGTATCTCTACAACATCCTGAGCTCTATATTTCGGTATTTCTGTGAGTGAGAGCCAAAGGTTCACGGACTCAACGTCGCAACCTCTTCTATGAACTTCAAGTTGGCCCACCGTCTTTCCCATGCATCCATGACCGAGCACTTGCCCCGTTCATCGAGCATGAAAAACTACCCATGGAGCATTACACAATGCAAGGGACAAACACAAGGACATGACTCACGGTGAAATCCGAGAGCCAAAGCTTCATGGATTCATCGCCGCAACCTCTTCTACGAATTTGGTCCACCGTCTTTCCCATGCATCCATAGCCGTGCGCTTGCTGCGTTCATCGAGCATGGAATACTACCCAGGAAACATCACACAATGCAAGAGACAAGGACAATGATACGACTCACAGTAATGCTGTCACGGGCCATCTGGCCAAGAGTAAGGAGTCCTGTAACTTCACTTGCTACTAGTACCTTTAAGCAAGTGATGAGTCTTGTTCTACTAAGGGACAAACAAGGAAGAGGTCACCTGGAAGAAATCAAAGGACAACCCCATGCTATTGAACATTGCAGGATCGTCGGAAGACAGTACTACAGGAATGCCTTGGTTCATAATTATCGGGAGGGGATGCATAGGCATCGATGAGGTGAGACGCTATCATTTGTTGAGTTAACAAGGTTCGGAGGCAGTATACAGAAAAACCTACTAGCACTTCATTTCTATTAGAAGGTTAAGATAAATTGGAGGCGTCTACTTATACGAGTCACTCACGATATAGGGCAGACTTCAATTGCTATTTTCTTCTCTCGACAAATTTGCATTAATTTGGGATGCTTGGCTAGTGAAAAGCTATGCAACATGAGTTAGCGAGCGCTTTATGCCATACAATGCACCTAACCCGTGTCCGATACGCTTTGTTCCAAGTAGAATGGCATCATACAGGTTCATATCCGCCGCAGAGCCATCGCCCAGAGTTTCACCGGCATGAAAGATGAATGGAATGTCCGGATGCTGCTCCGCGAAACGCAGAAGCGGCTCTGCGTAATAAATTAGTGGTTTACACTCTGCTCCATCTTCGTGGCCCACAAGATCAAATCCTGGAAGATAGAACACTTAGATCTAGGTCCGCTGACATAAAAAAACAACGAGACTTGCCAGCAATAAGGTCCGGAAATTCCTGCTTGAATCTGCTGCACTGATCTAGTTCTGCTTCCAATCCCTCAGGGGAAATAATTCTCAGGGTAGTATAGATAATCTGAGAAAAATATTAGTCTGAGCTCGAGTATCTTCAACCGAGACTAAGCTGACCTTCAACCCGGCGAAATCGTCTTCTCGGCCTTTTGCCTTCATTTCCGCTTTCATTTCGTTCGTGACCTCTTGAATTATCAAGAGTAGTTCACGTATTTCAAGTTTAGTCTTGGCGTCCTCTGCAAGTATATATCTGACGAAATGTCAGGCATCTCAAGCATAGTCGTATGTCTTTGCGACTCACTTGTTAAAGAAACTAGTTCGTATCTCAATATACTGAGATGCCATCGTCCATCGACGACCGGATGCACATCCGCAAGTATTCCTTTTGAATCGGCACAAATCGGATGATGGGCTAAGGTTCATCAGTACAGGCTCACATCTTGACTTCCAGCACGCCACAGGCTCACATCGGTCACGGCAAAGGTACTCCCAAACTTCTGCCAGATCTGCGAGTCCCTCACATTAAGGACATGTTCAGCAGGTCGCACGCTAATTGAAACTCACTTTCATCGGCGTATTGTACGTCTTAAACGCATCATTGGGATTGATCACAAAGGCGCTAAGCACCCACTTATCAAATCCAGCAGGACCGCCTAGTGCAGGATCGAAGAGCTCTCGCGCCTTCTTGATAGGAACCCAGCCGCCGGTGTATAAAATATCCGTGATACCAATTGCATTGGCAGCAGGATACTGTTCCACTGGAATCGGCTGGATCTTGGGTAGTACGGTTTCGAGAGAAGCCGCGTCTAACGGACCCGGAACACGGATATGTATCGCGGGATGACCTAGTGCCAGATCAAGCAGCGTTCTGGCCTCCACCGAGGCGTTCTGGTGCAAATGCAACAGTCCGCCCTTTGGCATCTACAGGGAAACCGTGGTCGAGATGGTCGGTGACGGGAAACACGATGATTTGCTATGCTTACTTTGGAGACTATTTTACTGTAGAGATCTGTCTTGACAATAATTTCTTTGGCTGTACGCGAATGTGAGAGGAAGTGCTAAACGCAAGTCGAGCCTCATACCATTCAGGAACTCCATCCCGGGGTATGGGTGAAGGACGTTCTCGTGATCAACTCCCCAAAAGGAGACGGCTTCTTTGGCACGGATGGAGCGCACGACTTCGTCTGCCTTGAGTTCGGCCATGGAATAATTCGCACGAACACGGTCTATTCGCAACGCGCGATCCTCTGCGATAAGTTTATCACGTCTCTGTAAGTAGTCGGCGAGCATTGGCGAGGGCATTGGTGAAGAGGGGGAAGATGGCGATTTCCATAAATTCAATAGTGTTATAAACGATTCACATTGTGGCGGGTGTGGGCCCAAGGACAGACTTTCACTTGGGCACATTCGCTTGACTCTATATTGCTGTGAGACCAGTGACGGACAAGCCTGTAGAGATAAACATCAATTTATCACAAAGGAAGGCATGCTATACCTATTATCAAAGCGTCTATGAGAAAACCTGAGCAATCTAGTAAAGAACACCGTGATGGAAGAACAGCACAGACCAGCCAGAATTGTGTATCTTGGAAATATATCCGGTACCGCACTAATTGGTGTTCCGTGCACTTAGAACCTGTGGTGGCAGACCGATTGGCAAAGGAAGACAGTTCTCCGTACTCAGGCTGCACATAAGTAGTAAGCGATGGGCAGTGCCGCATGGTTAGGTAAGTTCCAAATGTACCGTGCAATAACAATTTTAATGCAGGAATCCTAAATAACTCAGCATGTAAATGATTCATGCGGCGACGTACAATGAGCGGTAATGGTCCAGTGGTGACCAGCGTTCAGCTCGTCCAGGTCAATACACCATGATGCATCCGATAGCAGGCCACTGAGGCCAGTGATAACATACAAGAACAATTGGGCGCTTAATGACAGCAAATGTCAAATCCGGGTTCCGGGCTCCGGAATGGAAAATACTTAGGAAAAGCGACGTTCGACCAATGTTAGTAGGTCTGGGAATCGAGCCTTCCGTATGGCAGTCCGAATCGTAATGTATCCGACTCCAAGCTCCAGTACTTATTATAATGGCAGTGCGATCGAGAGCGCCGATACAAATTGCAATGATGAAAGCCGGAAAAGAACTTAGGCCGCCCTCAACTGCTACCAGATCGCTTGAAACAACGGTACTGCACGTGGTACTACTACAGCTCTAGATATTTATAAGCGCTTAAGCACAGCTAGTCGCTTGAAAGCTTAAGCTTGACCAGTTGAGCCGACGACATTGCAAGTGAGAAATTTCAGTGCTAGAATACGCTCTTCGATGTCCATCGACGTCCATCCTCCATGCTATAGCTACTATAGTACTACACCACATTGGGTCATCAGTTGAAAGTGGACGACCATCAGTTCAATGTATTCTGAATTTCCACGAATTTGCCGAAACAGCTAGGTTTGTACCTGACGCGTTCATATGAAATCTCCGGGGTATAACGGTCATTGCGAATGTGTGGTAAGAGGTCACCATGACTTAGCCAACGTCTTTCATCTCAGGACGAACAGTCGGATATCTATCTTCATCAGTGATTCCTGAATGCAACAGGTGCCATCACCATCCGGAATTCGTCTTTGGGTTTAATCGTGGCAACTAGTAGACGCAACTTATTATTGCTTGTCGCGAACAAAACCAGAAGGTGCTCCAGTCCATTTCATTACGCCGATATTCGCTGGGTTTTTGTTCGCATGAGTGAAGGCAATATTAGACCACGACTCACCTGGCCGTCTCTCCCATCCTCGTGCTTTTGCTTTAGCGGACGCCAGCCGACCTTTAATAGCAAGGCTTTGATTGATAAATTTGCGTATTTTTTGTGATGGGATGGTGTGAGCTGTTGAATGAACCTTGGATGCAAGTGAATCGGGTAGGGTACGGATAGTACGAGTTCTATAGTGGACTGGTCAGAAAGCTCACAGCGCAACGACCGAGATGCGCACCCGACAAGAAGGTCTTTGGCGCGTGCGAGTGGCCGTCGCTGCCGTCTTCTCGATGGTTGCACTTTTTGTAGTGACTTGGTTGCAGTAGTATCTGCCATCGCGTGCGCACTTTGCGAAGCAAATGCAGACGTGAAAAGCGTATCTTCCAGGTATTTCCCTTTGGCCGATGACTTCGTTAACGGAGGCTGGTCTTCGTCTCCTGATTCGTCATCACTGCCACTCGTCATCTCCTCATCCTCTTCTAGTCCGCTTTCAGCATCGAACTCTGCCATCTCTTCATCTATTCCACTGTTAACTGATCCTCCATCAGTCAGATTTTCTAGCTCGCCGTCGCCATTCTGGTCATCTCCATCATCCATTTCGGCAGCAGCGTCCTCCATTGCGCGGCGCATTCGCACCTCCAACGTGTTATCCTCAAGAACCTTATCCTCTTGACTAGAAGACCCGTCACTTTCGACATTAGATTCTCTTGGAGTTTTCTGCTTGCTCGTCCGTACTGCATTATTTGAAAGCTTCCCCAGACGCGTAACAACCGCCCGCTCCTTCAATTTCCGATCCCTTTCCCGGTTGTGTGCCTTCTTCCGCGCGTTTTCTTCTGCCTCAAAATCACGAAGGGTTTTCTTCTCCAGCTTAGCATTCCGATTGGAAATAGAGTGAGAAAACTGCTTCCGGAGCGTCATCGTCGCTTGAAACAGGATCAAGACGGGCCATATTGCAGCTATGGGATTAATTTTCCTACTGACGGTGAGTTTCTTGAATGTGCACAAAACTTTGAAACTCCGCAATATTGTCTGCACAGCGTCTCCTACTTCCATATGGGCGCCTTATGTGTCAGTCACTATCATTCCATAATATTAACGTGTTGAACACTACGTTCTGTAGTGCCGAATAAATGGCCATGAGCCTGCAAGTTAGCCATGGCCGCCGCACAGGGAGTTCCGCGTCCTGGCCAACCTGAAAGACCCAAGATCATCCATCTACAAGGCCTTGTACAATCGGAGGTTTTCATTTGCCGTCCGTGGACCAGAAATTGCCTATCCTTGTGGGCAACCATGACATCTATTTGGTTAGAGAAACCTGGAGAATCAGAAGACAAGGTGACTTTGGGAAGACATATGAATGCACTGAACGATCTTATGGCAAGTTGGCAACGCACTTCAAATGACTTGTGCCCTCCTCGGTGGTCATAACCAGGAATCTACGATAGATAAACCAACGTAATGACAGTACAACGCAGGTGTATCATGTATGTACTGTATACATAACGGGTATCGCCGTGGGGTAATGTGGGGTGTACATAAACCAAACGAGACTGGGAAACATCGATGCATCTGTGAACCCGTGGCTCACCCCCCGTATAAGTACTAAAGTTCGTCAACATCAACGATTTCTTCTCTCCTTTCATGTTCGTCAGCTGCACTTCCCATCCTCTCACTCTCAAAGGCAGTCTCCATCTGGCGCGTCAGGCTCCCCAAAAATAGCGCAGCCTGTTTGTGCGGGAACGTAAACCCACTCGCTAGGAAGCCAAGGCGTTCCTTGAAATCATCGCTCAATTTGTCAAGCTCGAGAGGAGTATACTTGACGCGCCGGTCCACTTCCGTGTCTTCAGAATCTGACAACTCGGTGTAGGCACGGAGGGAGAAGGATATTGCTGATTTTTGGGGATCAATTAAGTAGGCACACACGGGAGGGGAAAAAGGGGGAACAAAACTTACACCTCTCGACATGCTCCCACCCGTCGGTTTCATCCTTCACCGTCGCGACATACGTATACACACACGTATGCACGATGTCGTCTTCTATGCCCTCGCGCGGCTCCCATTTGATGTTCAAGACCAAGAGGTTTGAAAAATCCTCGTAGAATTGGATGGTTGCAGAGTGTTTTGGGTCTGCATCTGTGGAGGAGGTCTTGGTGTGGGGGTGTGGTTGTCGTGCGAGAAGCTGCTTTGAGCGCGCAATCTCGGCGTCAAGTTCAACGCGGATATCTTTCACTGCACATGCACAAACGATTCAGCATCACTACGGGAAGAACCTATCAGATCCAGCAAAAAAGGCGCACCACTCTGCTCAAGCTCGGCAATTCGCCGTTCACGCTCCTCGACAACTTTGTCCTTAGCTGCAAGTTCGTCCCGCATGTGTGCGAGCTTATCGTGCAGTGTGCGCTGTTCAGCATCAGCTGTAGCGCGAGTGAGGAAGTGAGGAATGGCTGAAGTGCTCGAACTGGGAGGTGGGTGTGTCGACCTGGACGGAGGATTTGGCTCAGGTTCAGATGTCCGGAAGAAGGGCGACTGGGAGGCGAGTTGTGTTTGGAGGGCTGTTATGATGGAGTCTTGTGCTGAAGCGATGATGATAGTGCAGGGAGAGGTACAGGACTTAATCTAGCTGGAATACCGTTAAGTAGGTGGCACTCACTTTTTGAACGACCATCATATAGAGCCGTAAGGTCATCAAGAGCTTGTTCAGCATCTGTTTTGCGAACCTGGAAGAGTTCCTCGAGTTGCTGCGAAAGTTTGTCGCGCTGATGCTCCAACTAATGGAATCATAAGCGTTACTCATCCGAACAACGGAGGGTATGAAACGTACATCTTTTGTCTTTGCCTTCCATCGCTCAAGCTCCTTGTGGATACGTGGGCTCAAGGGTGGTTTCTCAGGTTCGTGCTCTGGTTCACTATGATTTGAGGGGTCTTCAGCAATGAGAATTGGAGAGGGAAGTTTCTTGGCAGCAGGCTTGACGGGTTTTGGTTTGACGTGAGTGTCTTTTGCCATTGCTTGACTCTCTGGTGCTTTCCCCTTTGCTTGACTCTCCGGTGCTTTCCCCTTTGCCTGGCTTTCTGGGACTTTCCCGTTAATGCGACTTTCGGATGCCTTGCCCAGCCCCTTCTTTCTCTGTGGACGGGCCGTACTCGCGGGTAGATTAGGTGGCGGATCGATGAGCTCGATATCGTCTGAAGAGGAAGGGGGGGAAGAGGAAGATTCTGTTATTAGTTTACGATTACTTGATTGCTTAGACGTTGACGGCTGTGGGGACACGGTGCGCTGCCTTTTACGAGGTTTTGGACGCGTCGTAGCCTTCAATGCGTCTGCATTCACGTGCGCTCATCAGTTAAGTTGACTTAGCATATAAGGTCAAAATTACCCATTTCATCGCCCGAGGACATTATGATGGCGAGTACTAGATAGAATGTGGTTGGGTGGTTATAGGCCGCCCACGGCGTCGTTCAGGACTTGATTGCAGAATCACTTTGTGCAGTTCCGAAGCTATTGTCGTCTCACGTGATCCATTATCGCTCACATGACTTAAATGCTAAATTGCAACCATCATCTTGACATTGTATATTGGTGATCGGTTGTGATGACTCTCCTCGACGAGTACAACCGCAAACGAACCCAGCTCATTGCAGATGATCGAGCTCTTCGTGTCGATGCGGTCAATGGAGATCGCTTCTCTGAAAAATCGCGACAAGCAGACGCAATCTTACGTCGCATTCGCGAGGAAGAGGCAAAGTCGATTTGGGCAGTAGAGCATGAAGAAGTTCCTCATCCGTTCCCAGGAATGGAGTTCCTCACAGGTACACTCAAGCTCCCAAAACACAGAGTGTTAACTGATATCTTATTATGTAGGAAAGGACATTATCCTCAAGACCCAGCTCTTCAATCTCATCACCAAGGTTTGTCCATCTCTAAGTACTTAGAGGTCTCAGTCGCAGCTAGTTGCATGATTTTTATGACGCATTACATTACAAAGATGCCAAAAGGCGCGTTGTTGCACGTACATCTTGATCTCACCGTCAATGGCAATACCCTGCTGGCACTCGCCTTACAGCACACCTCAATCCATATCTGCGCATCAGCACGGGTCACGCCTGACTCCATCAAATCTCTCGAAATTGAATTTCGTCCTCTCCCACCCAGCTTCGTTCCACAGTGCATCTCGCTATCTCTACCCACCTACAAACCAGGACAGTGGGTACCCCTTCGCCGTGCGCGTGAGCAGTTCGATGCTGCCCTGGGTGGTACACAAGGTTTTGACCGCTGGGTCGCAAGCTGCCTCACAATCAACCCAAGCGATGCATATATCACGCATAATAATAACATTAGGGTAAGTCACTTTGTATCTTGTCGGACAAAAGAATACATTCTCAATCTCCGCAAAGATATGGGACAAATTCCGTGCAGCTGCTACACTCACAAGAGTAAGTACCCATGTTTAGGGATTGGTGGATACCATACTCATCGAGGTGCACAGAACTTGGTGTACTTTGCCCCAGTTTGGCGCGCATATATCCGGCAATTCCTCGAGGAAACCTTTACAGACGGTGTATCTTATGTAGAGGCGCGTATCAACTTCAGTCCAAAGTAAGGTTGGTTCTGTTGTGCTTGTCGTTTTTGATTGTGATATTGGTAGGTACATGATTGGTCCCGACGGGGAGGAAAATGTCCCACACAAAGAGTGGCTGAGCATGTTCCAGGACGTCCTGGTTGAATTTAAAGGGAGCCTACGAGCACAAGGAAGAGATGACGAATTTATCGGTGCTAAGGTGCTTGTTATCCTTTGTTTCGGGTCTCAAGCCTATAAAACAATAGATCATATACACGGTGGTCCGAAACTGCGAGCCTGAGGAGTTGGAGTGGTATCTCAACGACTGTATAGAGATGAAGAGGCTTTTCCCTGGTATCATTGCCGGTATGTTTTAGACGCTTTTAAGTTCTCGCATCATGACACCGCCGACAACGAACTCCTCAAGGTTTTGACCTCGTCGGGGACGAAAATATTTTTCGCCCACTCAAAGACTACCTCCCGCAGCTTCTTTCTTTCACCACCCTGCAAACCTCTCAAGGACTCCCCGAACACCATCATATCCCGTTCATATTTCATGCGGGTGAAACTACTGGTGACGGATCCATAGCAGATGACAATCTGTACGACGCACTGCTGTTAGGGACGAAGCGGATCGGACACGGATTCTCGCTTGTGAAACACCCAAAGCTGATGTCGATGTGCAGGGAACGCGGCGTAGCGCTAGAAGTCTGCCCAATTTCAAATGAGATATTGGTGCGTTGGACTCCCTTCCATCTTATCCTATCCGGACACTGATTGCGTGAGGGGCAAGTAGAGGTTGACGGCATCGATGCCGATGCATCCTCTCCCAATCTTGATCAATCATGGTGTACCAGTGGCACTGGGCTCAGATGACCCATCGCTGTTCCAGAACATGGGTTTGAGCTTTGACTTTTTCCAGGTTAGCTCCATTTTATGCCCCTCTCACATCGTCGTTCAAACATGCGCAACTACAGGTACTTGCAGCAAGCAACGTCACTGGTCTGCTCACGCTGGGACATATTGCACGAGACAGTATCCAGGTGCGCATTTCTCTATTTCTGTTCCACTTCAGGCAATGACTGGATGTATTCGGGCGCAGTACTCGATGCTCACGGCTGAAGAAAAGGCGCATGCGACGCTGAAATGGGAAGAACGCTGGGAGCGTTTCGTGGATGAGATTGTTGAATTTGGCGGGGTGCAACGGAACTAATTTATAACCACGGCTTGGATACCTTTCAGTGAACACCGCGATGGGGACGATGGTTGTGGTTATACCTGTAATTGTGGATGCAAGAACATCTTGCTGTGCTTCAATTTATGTCATTCTTAGGTTTTTGTTACGGCCTCAGCTGGTTTGGCGCCTTTAGCTCTGCGCTCCTGTCCGCGCCTTCGCGGGCTTCCCATCGATCAATGCACACCGAGGATCGGTCCCAACAACGCGTAATCAACATTTAATACCGCCGTACCCGTCGGACAATTGCATATGCTATCATGACCAACCGACTGTGTGATGAATGCACCCTGCGGAGAGACGGCGGGGAACTTTCTTGGATGGTGAAGTATATGGACTCGACCCTGGCATCAAGATCACGACACAATATATCAGACACGGAGTCTTGGCCCAATATATTTACTAAATCTTCCTTCTATTCAGTCCGCGTTGTGGAGATTACTTATACACAGTAGTGGACATAAGGTCGGTACCCCTGCTTTCAAATCCGAAACTCATGTCTCCAAAAGTCATTCTAGTAACTGGTTGTTCAAACGGCGGAATTGGCTTTTATTTGTAAGTCCGTTGTCTCCAATGATATCAAACCAGCGCGACTAATAAAAACAGATGTGAGCGCTTTGCCGAACAGGGATGCACCGTGTATGCCACATCTCGCAGGCTGGAGACGATGGACGGCTTCAAGCATCCGGTAGAAAAGCGTGCCATGGATGTGACCAGCGATGTCGATGTTAAACTCGTCGTACAGTCTATTCTAGAAGAACAGGGGAAAATCGACATTGTTGTGAATAATGCCGGTGCTATTGCCATCGGTTCGTTAAAAATTTTCGAGCTGCAGTGAATCGATTGACATGTTCGTTTTCTCGTAGGACCGTTGCTTGATGCGTCCTTAGATCAGGCTAGAAAAGCCTTTGAGACCAACACGTTCTCAATCTTGCGGGTTGCACAAGCAGTCGCGCCTTCCATGGTCGAATGCAAACAAGGGCTTATCGTCAACATTGGGTCACTTGTAGGCAATATGTGAGCACGGTGCGATGATGTGATCTTTCGTCTGACCCCTTTCAATAGCCCTACTCCTTGGAATGAATTATACTGCGCAGCCAAGGCGGCGGTTCGTGCCTTCACTGATGTCCTGGCCATGGAATGCAGGCCCTTTGGTGTTAAAGTGATGTTGGTAGCACCAGGTCAAGTTCGGTCAAATATTACTACTAACCAGGCAGCCACCTTGGAATTATCCCCCACGTCCATTTACAAGCCTTACTTCGATCGGATGTACGAACGCCTGAATGGTGGTCAAGCCAAAGGGAACATGGATACCGACGAATTTGCACGCCGTGTGGTTGCAAAAGTGCTGAGTCCCAACCCTCCAAGTTATATGTCACTTGGGGGCAAGTCGGGTCTTTTCGAATTCTTCTGCTGGCTCCCTCGTTGGCTTGTCCTCTGGATTTTGGGATCGTGGATGGTGTGGAAGAAGACTGAGCTATCTGTATAGCTACCGCATACCATCTCGCTTACCATGGAAAGGAAGATATGATAGGGGGTGAACATATATGACTGTCTGTGATGATGAAGCACGTTCTTTAGGAAAACACCCGAGAACTATTCACGTGGCAACCGCTAGTCTACATCCCCTTTCGACTCACCTCCGGTATTAGCAGCTCGTGACATGTACGATGTCCGTATCAATATCACGGAATTCTGATTTACCGAATTGCATATACAAGTTATGGGATATCGGGTAGAGTCGTCTGATACGTAGAAGGGAGCGACTTGTCTTTCTTGAGTTAGGTTTGGCTAGGGAGACTACCTCATCTGAGAATCATGTCTGGAAAAGTCGTTCTAGTGACTGGCTGTTCAAAAGGCGGAATCGGCTTCTATTTGTATGTCCTCTGTCTCCAAAAATTTCGGGCGCTTCAACTCATGATAACAGATGTGAACACCTTTCTGAGCAGGGATGTACCGTGTATGCTACATCTCGCAGGCTGGAGACGATGGACGGCTTCAAACATCCGGTTGAAAAGCGCGTCATGGATGTGACCAGCGATGACGATGTAAAACTCGTCGTGCAGTCTATTCTGGAAGAGCAGGGGAAGATTGATATCGTCGTGAACAATGCTGGTGCTATTGCAATCGGTTTGTCAAGTTGACTCGAGCCATGAACCGATTGTCATGTTTGATCTCTCGCAGGACCGTTACTTGATGTGTCCTTAGATCAGGCTAGAAAAGCCTTTGAGACCAACACATATTCAGTCTTGCGGGTTGCACAGGCAGTTGTACCTTCCATGGTGGAACGCAAGCAAGGGCTTATCGTTAACATTGGATCACTTGCAGGAAACATGTGAGCACGGTGCAATAATACGATCTTTCAGCTGACCTTGTCTGACTCTGAATAGTGCCACCCCATGGAACGGATTATACTCAGCAGCCAAGGCAGCAGTTCGCGCGCTCAGTGATGTTTTGGCCATGGAATGCAAGCCCTTCGGTGTTAAAGTGATGTTGGTAGCACCAGGTCAAGTTCGGTCAAATATCACCGCTAACCAGGCAGCCACCTTGGAATTATCCCCCACGTCCATCTACAAGCCTTACTTCGATCGAGTGTACGAACGCCTGAATGGCAGTCAAGCTAAAGGGAGCATGGATACCGATGAATTTGCACGCCGTGTGGTTGCAAAAGTGCTGAGTCCCAGTCCTCCAAGTTACATGACACTGGGGGGCAAGTCTCGTATTTTCGGATTCCTCCATTGGCTCCCTCATTGGCTTGTCCTCTGGATCGTGGGATCGATGATGGTATAGAGGAAGATCTGAACTATCTACGTAGCTACAGTGTACCATCTCCGAGTCATTTGCCATGGAAAGGAAGAACTAATGAGTGGTCGCGGACCACTCAGATGACTATGACGAAGGCATGTTCTGTAAGATAATACGAATCAATTATGTGGCAATTGCTAGACTGCACCAGGTCTCTATCTATTCCCTCCTTTCTTCTTTTTTCTTCGGGACTCGCCCTCGGCATTAGCAGCTTCTCTGATTTTTTTCTTGACATGTCCGTTTGTCGTAGATTGGAGACCAACTTCATCACAAGTCCGCTTCTTGCTTCCCGCTGGTTGAGACAGTGTCAGAGCAGGATTCGGGGATGATTGACTCGATGTTTGTGAGATATTCACGTTGTCACGTGTGTTCTCGCCATCTCCGGTCTGCTGGGTGGGAGGCACCACCTGAGTAGCTTTTGGAACCACCAACCTGGGTTCTGATAGGACGGCTCGATAGGTTTTGCGCGCCTCTGTCAGGTTTCCACGAGGAAGAGGAGGATCAGATTGTTGATGAATGTTTTTTAATGAGTAGCTTACGTGCACGCAAGATGAGTGATTTGGGCACAGCAACTGATGCATCGTGAGCCAAATTTTGTGCCAGGTCCAGCAGTGTGAGCCTGAAATGAAGGTGGACCGAAACATAAATAAACCAACAAGAAAAAATCAATAGACTCACAAATTTGCTATATCCTTGGGTCCTCTATAGTCTGCCTCAGAGGCAACTCCACCACTCACAACAATGCCTTTGCCCTTTGTCACCCGCACGACTTCTCGTGCAGCAGCCCACCAATTCCGTTTTCCACTTACACCAGTATCACTGACACCAAAAGTTGATAGACTGGCGTCACTTTCACCGCCAATGGCTCCTGCGTAGTTGATTTCGAACACCGCACCGTTCTTTATGGCAGTTCTGACCAACGTGTGCTTCAACTGGAAGGGCAGTCGGGGGAGCGTTAAAGGAAGAGCAATGATGTGTGCAGTGAGGGGCGAAGGAAGGCTGTGCGTGAGGCAAGCAAGTGAAAATGTCGCGGAGGTCGTAGGCAGGAGAGCAATTACATCGTAGGGCTCAACAAGTGAGACATTTGCGTTCGTCTTGCATTCAAAAAAGTTACGCTACTGGTGACCACAGAAGGTAGGCACTCACCAAACCAAAGCCTTTCTCACTGTCATTATCGAGAACAATTGTAAGTCGCTTCAAGAATACCGTCCCTGGCCTCGCTTTCAACTGCTTAAAAAGTTCATCCAGAATGTTGACATGAGTTTTTGGGTCGATTTTCTTGTTCACCGATTGATTAAACGCAATCACAGCGTATCCTACTGTGATGCAATTAGCATTTGCTTTACATGGCGCGAAATAAACAGACAATGTTCAAGAAGGTCCAGACGAGCTTCAATTCCCTTTATCTGAGCAGGAGTGAAAGCTGTCGACGAGGATTGCTGGGGTTGTTTGTTTTTATTCTTCTTTGATTGAGAAATGGATCCAGATGCAGTGACCGGGAAATTAAGGTCAAAGTGCATCTTGAATTTTAATGGAAAGCTGCAGCTGGGAGTTGTATGGTAGGCTAGACTGAAGCTACTGACGTCAACTAGAATAAGGTTCATGTCCCGATCTAGGGTTACGCTTTACTTTCTTGCTACAGCTGTAGCTTGCCCCCCTTGAAACATTATAAACATGATTTCATGCGAGAGACACGCGTGAATTCACGGTGCCACGGGTTGGAACGTACTGGAGCACTTGAGCGTTTCAAGGATTGTTGGCGTTTCATTTTGACCATCCCCTATTAGAGCACCGCTCAAGTGAGAATCAACGTAAGTAGAACAACTCATCAAAACGGAGATCTTAAACTGTTAGGTAAGAGTAACTACTGAGTGAAGAAACAAAAGAGGAAGGGACCGCATCAAGTGCGCGGACATGTCGTTGGACTCCCCCGAAATGTGACCCGCAAGCTGAATACTAAGTACCGTCATATACAATAAATTTGACGGCAGTCTATGTATAAGGCCACGGGGATCCATCGCCACATACTAAGGGCGTGAGGATAAGATGTCCACATTACTCGTCGTCGATAGTGTTGCCCAACCGACCGTGGGGCTAAGACGTCTACCGAAGTCCTGACACCAGCCGCAATGGGGGTAAGGCGAGTTTGATACTGCGGCCATCGTCAGAGATGGGGCGCCGCAAAGTGCACTGGGCCCTACCGAAAATATTTTCAGTGATTTTGCCCTCGAGGAGCGAGGAGGTTTTGTTGCAGAGTTTTACAATGTACGCACGACTGATGACCAGAAAGGCCGGGGGGAGAGCAAAAATATGGTCGGTGCTCTCAAACGCATCACAACCAGTGACACCACGGCGGCGTATCGCGAAATTGACCATTCATATTTCAGATGGGCCGCGCCTGTTCAGTACTAGTATCAAGTTGTTGTTTTACCATTTACGCTGTGTACAGCTGGCCTCGATTGAGTCACGGCAACTTATGCAGGACAAATAGGTACTGTCACGTGATCGGTTACTGTTAGATCTCGATCATGGCGGAATAGATCATGATAAAAGGCAAGCAGTGACTCGTTTCAAGTACGTTTCAGCTTCCTTCACCATAGATCATGGACGCTCTCAAAGCCGTATTCGAAGCAAAAAAGGCGGAGGTGACCTGAATTTCTCTGAAATCTATGCTTGAATTGAACACTTGAATAGGGAACCCCAGCATTAGTGACCTTCGTCACTGCCGGATACCCAAGGACACAAGACACTGTGCCTATCTTGCTGGCCATGCAAGCTGGAGGGGCAGACATAATCGAACTTGGTGTGCCCTTCTCCGACCCCATTGCGGATGGCCCAGCTATCCAAGAGACCAATACTGTATGTTTGACTCTCGATATGATCACTTAAATACCGACGCGAGATAGGTTGCGCTTAAAAATGATATTGAATACGCCACTGTACTTGGAATGTTGCGACAAGCGAGAAGCCAAGGATTGAAGGCGCCGGTCCTTCTTATGGGTATGCTGTATCCATCTTTATTGCAGCATACCTCTTAGACTGACTGTCGTCTCCACCAGGGTATTACAATCCAATGCTTGCGTATGGAGAGGACAAGGCAATCCAAGACGCTCGTGAAGCTGGTGCAAACGGATTTGTCATGGTCGATCTTCCACCTGAAGAGGCCCTCAACTTCCGTGACAAGTGCACCAAGGCAGAGTAAGTTAATCGAGATCGTCTTGGTTTGTACTGACCTGTTCCGTTTCTCAGCTTGTCATATGTTCCCCTCATCGCACCATCGACATCCTTGCATCGCATCCAATTTCTCTCGTCCATTGCTGACTCTTTCATCTATGTAGTGTCAAAGGTATGCAAACCCGTTTGATGATAATTTATGTGTATCTGACCATCGTGAAGATGGGAACAACTGGCTCTTCTATCCTAGGGACAATGAATGCTGCCCTTCCGGATATCATCGCCCGCATCCGAGAATACACGGCTGTCCCACTGGCGGTCGGCTTCGGTGTTGCAACGCGCGCTCATTTTGACGTTGTCGCTGATGCTGGAGCAGATGGCGTTGTTGTTGGTAGCCGTCTCGTGAGCATCATAAAGGAGGCACCTCTCGACTCGATACCTCAAACCGTTGAGAACTACTGCCTGGAGATTAGCTTGAAGGGGCAGCCTACTCGCATGCGGTCGCTGCCGACTTCAAAAACTTCAACGCCTTCTAATGGTGCTTTGAAGTCACCCACGGTTGCCCTACTTCCCGCACGTTTTGGTCAGTTCGGTGGACAGTACGTCCCAGAGGCACTTTTCGATTGCCTAGTGGAGCTCGAGGAAGCTCACAACTCGGCTATCGATGACCCTAAGTTCTGGGAGGAGTTTCAAGGCTATTATGGATACATGAATCGCCCGTCAAAACTTTACTTTGCAGAAAGCTTGACGAACCATGCTGGCGGCGCCCAGATTTGGCTGAAGCGTGAGGACCTGTGAGTCACCTGCCGAAAGTACCTACGATATACTAACAGACTATAGGAATCATACGGGTTCTCACAAAATCAACAACGCCATTGGGCAGGTAGGATTGCATATTCGTTCCTTGCTTGTGTAGTGACATTTTGTCAGATCTTGCTTGCTCGTCGTCTAGGCAAGACACGCATCATCGCCGAGACCGGTGCTGGTCAACACGGTGTCGCAACTGCCACTGTGTGTGCACGATTCAACATGGAATGTGTCGTCTACATGGGTGCAGAGGATGTTCGTCGCCAAGCCTTGAATGTCTTCCGAATGAACATGCTTGGTGCTAAAGTCTGTTGTTTTGTCCTGCGCTGTCCTGTGTATATTGACCTCCATCTAGGTCATACCCGTCGAGTCAGGTTCTCGTACTTTGAAGGATGCTGTCAATGAAGCCATGCGCGACTGGGTGACAAACCTTTCCACAACACACTATCTTGTCGGCTCCTGCATCGGTCCACACCCATTCCCGACGATTGTGCGCGACTTCCAAAAGGTGATTGGCCAAGAGATCAAATCACAGTTAAAAGAGGCCAAGGGAAAACTCCCAGACGTCATTGTCGCGTGCGTCGGTGGTGGGAGCAATGCCATTGGGACGTTTTATGACTTCATTCCCGACAAGAACGTGAGGCTCGTGGGTGTGGAGGCTGGCGGTGAAGGTTTGGATAGCGATCGGCATAGTGCAACCCTCTCGAAAGGACAGCCCGGTGTGTTGCATGGTGTGAGAACATACATCCTGCAGTCGAAGGCTGGCCAGATCATCGAGACACACTCGGTCAGCGCGGGTCTTGATTACCCTGGCGTCGGGCCAGAGCATTCTTGGCTCAAGGACTCTGGTAGAGCAGAGTATGTTGCTGCGACAGACGAGGAGGCACTCAGAGGGTTCCGACTTTGCACCCAGTTGGAGGGTATCATTCCTGCTCTCGAGTCATCGCATGCTATTTGGGAAGGCGTCCGTCGTGCCAAAACACTGCCAAAAGATACCGATCTTGTCATTGTACGTATCAATTTTCTCCATTTGCGCGGCGCTCATATAGTATTGTACAGTGTCTCTCGGGGAGAGGCGACAAGGATGTAGAACAGATATCGGAATTGCTCCCTGGAAAATGGGCTGACAAGCTTGACTGGCACATTTGAGAAATCAGGCTTGCTGGTGGGCTCTCAAAAGATTATCTATTCCCGTGGTTGATAGCCGTATGAATGAAGAACGACAAGGCGGCTATGTAGCTTCTTCCAAGTCGTGGTAGAATTATAGACGATGTACGAACGGCGATGTACTTATTACTTGTAACATGCGGCTACTTACGGCAACTTGAAGTATGACTCGACTCTGCTGTTGTGACTACATCGTGCAAGTCTTTTAGATCTAGTACATCCAGTGACCAGTCTCAGATACCTGCACCGTTTGACCACAAAGAACGGAACTAGAAGCTATGGCTACTGACCCATCGAGTATCGCAAACCAGCGAGTCGTCGACACCCTTGCATCTAGATTGCGGAGACGGTGAGTTTAAACCTCCAATCATGTCCCTACATCATATATCATGACAGGCAAGTTGTAGGGTCCCGTGAAACTGCTCTCGAGACCGTCCTTGTCCTGAGACAGGTTATCTCCAAAGTGCGGTTCTCTAACATCGACCAACTCGTCGAAATTATCCGATCCGTTGGACGAAAACTTGTGGAGGCACAACCTAAAGGTTCTCCTCCAATTCTGTTCCACACGGTTTGGCATCTCATCATCTTGTATCGTCGTCAGAACATACGGTTGGGAACACTGTACGGAAAGTACTACATCATATCCGGGAGGAATACCACACTGCTTCGCAAGGGACTGCGGTTGTGTCGACATCAAACGATACCTTGTCGATCGCAAAGTTTGTGTTGCAAGGACAACCACGGAAACAGAACGTTCCACAAAAGACGACTTTGAACAAGTCGCAAGTCATGTTGAAGGAGAACGACGAGGACGATCCTGATGCATTTGCTCGAACGCTTAAACCCGTTCTTATGGAAGCCATCCAGGATGTACTGGATGAGCTGGAAACAGTATACGATAATATCTCAAAAAATGCAAAGGATCATATACATTCCGAGTGAGTTTGCTGTGTTCCAAGGCCGTCTGATTTGTTGCTGAGTTCAGATAGCGAGATAATCCTGACCATCGGAAAGTCAAGCACCGTTGAAGCATTCCTTAAAGCTGCAGCGCCATATCGGAAATATACTGTTATCATTGCGGATACTGCACCATCGTTCGTACCTGATATTTCCTGTTATGACCTCTAGTCCTCATGGTACATTAGATATAGCGGACATGATATGGCTCAATCTCTGTCATCCGCTGGAATTTCTACAGTTCTTGTTCCCGATTCATCCATCTATGCACTCATGTCTCGTATCAACAAAGTCATGCTTGGCGCGCATGCGATACTAGCCAACGGTGGCATGTTTGCGATAACAGGATCTCTACTTGCTGCCACGGCAGCTAGAGCGCATAGCACCCCGGTTGTTGTGTGTGCTGGACAATTTAAACTCACCCCGCAATGGAATTTGTATCACGAATATGGCGCGCTCGACTTCGCAGATCCAAGTAGTGTGCTAGGTTTCGAAGAGGGCAACCTCGTAGATAAGGTTGACGTGGTCAACCCCTTCTATGATTATGTCCGACCAGAGTTGATCGATGCATTTATTACAAACGAGTGAGTAATTAGTGTATGTGGGTTTTGCTCTCTCCTCAACGCGTTATATAGTGGAGATCACCCTCCATCGTCGGTCTATCGCCTTATCAAGGAGGCATATGACGATGAGGATTATGAACTGTAGTAGAGTCATGTAGACCAAGCGTGCTGCAGACGCAGTGTATTTGCACTACCACTTGAGCGTACTGTTCGCCATTCATTTGCTCTTGGTGCTCAGTATATCGAAGAAAGCGTCTTGGGGAAGGTCGACAGATCCAATGCGCTTCATCTTGCGCTTGCTCTCCTTTTGATTTTCCAGATGTTTCATTTTGCGCTCGTAGTGGCCTACACGAGAAATTTCATGAACGGCAGGAAATATCGGAGATCTGTTTATGTACGTACCTCCGTAGAGCCCAGCGGTGACGTCTGCACGCATTGCTGATAAAGTCTCGCGAGCAATAATTTTCTTGCCGACCGCAGCCTGTATCGGAACTTCGAATAGCTGACGAGGGATCACTTTATCTGCCATCATTTTCAGCACCAGCATGTTGGAAGGGAAAACGTCATCACGCACGAAGCTTCTTAACCCACTTTCTGCCAACTTCGTGTTGAGCCGATCGATGGACTACAAGAGCGAGTGCGTCCACTGGTTTCCCATTCAAAAGAAAGACCATCTACACAATGTCAGTGGAATGTGTAATATAGATACTTCCACCACGTACCTTCGCGAGGTCGCTGATTTTATATCCGCCATCTTCATAGCTACGGATGTTTCAGCATTTATCCTTATTTATATCGCCAGTGCTCACTCAAAACTGGCATAGCCTGAGCTCCGGCTCTTCAGTTGATCAAAGAAATCTGTGACAATTTCACTGAGGGGCAATGTGCACGTCAAGATGGCGCGTGCAGACGCTTCTGAGGTGCTTCCTGAATCCAGGTACCGGTGGTCAAGGTTCTCGGCACGATGCGCAAAGCAAAGGTTCATCATCTCCCCCATATATTCTAATATTTAAAAATATCAGCGAGATCGCTTTCGCCAACTTTACGGAGTGCTAACCTTCAGGAACAATGATAGAAGCGTTTACAACAGGTTCTTGCACTTGCTTCACTTTGCTGGATGTGTCCGATGTGTCCGGGAATTCCGTAGGATTGCTAATCATAACCGTTTTATCCTTGTATACGACTTTCTGATCTTCAGCGGTAGCTCGAATACGAAGCTAGAGTTGTCACATACTTTTATATGGGACAGTTGGAGCAGTTATTATTATGTTTGCATCATATTCATCTTCCAGACGCTGTCGAAAAACATCCATGTGCAGTGTCCCGAGGAAGCCAAGGCGACACCCTTGCCCCAACGCGGTAGAGGACTCGCGTTGGATAGTCACGCTCCTGTCCGTCAGGGTAAGCTACGAAAGTGTAAGAGTAGGACAGGAATTCGAATATAAAAACATGCCCTCTTGATGGATTCCTCGAGCTTAATGAAGTCATTGCTATCCACTGGGAATACGCCGGCATAGACCTAGATCAGATAAGGACCGATCGTGGAGATTCGATATTGGAAACAAACCATAGCCTTAGACGGCTGGAATCCAGGCATAGGATCAACAAGCTCACCGACGCGATGGAGTGTGTCTCCAATATGAGCTGAGAGCAATGATCAGAATATGACTAACATAAAACGGTAGCTGTTATCCTACCCTCAGAAGATTCTTTCATGTTGCACGCTATGTAGCCAACTTGTCCAGACTGTAGACTCGATGTTGGGACCTCTTCAGGGTGCATCACGCCGACTTCAGTGATCTCATATTTCTTTCGGGTATGACAAGACGCAATCCTGTCCCCTACATGCCACTAAGTGATGAAGGTAACACGCGAAGAGAGTATATGAACCAACCTTTTTGAATGATACCATCCTGTATGCTGACGAGGGAAATGACACCCCTGTAGCGGTCATATCTGAGGCACTACTTGAACCACAGAAGGGGAAGTACAGATAGACATATACGGACAGTGAGTCAAACATAAAGGCTTTGAGAGGGGAGTGTATATTTCCAGAAGGAGGTGGTACGCGGTCCACGATAGCTCTTAGAACTGCTTCCACTCCTTGGCCAGTTTTTGCAGATATATGGAGAATTTCACTCGGGTCAATGCCAAAAGTTGACTGGAGTTGAGCGGCCATTCGTTCTGGTTGTGATGCGGGCAAGTCAATCTGCAAAGTCGGTTAGCTGGCATCATATTCAGTAGTCAAGCGAGATCTAACCTTGGTCAAGACTGGGATGATCTTTAGTCCTCGTTCCTTGGCGATGTGAAAGACGGAAATCGACTGCGCCTGAACGCCCTGCGAGGCGTCTACCAGCAATAGAGCGCCTTGACACGCAGCCAAGGATCGTGAAACCTCCCAAGCAAAGTCAACATGGCCCTGTGACACAAACGGTGCTAAGTTCCTCGTCAAGACCAAGTATAAAATTTCATTACAGGGGTATCGATGAGATTCAGCAAGTGCTGTTTTCCATGAGCCACGTGTATCATACTGAGCTTCATCAGTCAACCATTTTGAAAAGAGAATGTGACACAAACCTTGCTGTCTGTGCCTTGACTTCGCGAAGTTAATCATCTTCAACAGAAGTAGATCCATAACTATAGATGACCCACCGGTAATACCCCGCTCGCGTTCCACCTTTAGCTTGTCTAGGACCTGCTGGTTAATTCCCGTCGACTTCATTTGAATAGTGCCAGTGAGCTGAGTGATTTAAACTATGAGAACCGAGGTTTATACACGAAGCGACAGACCTCTAACAATCTACAGTGTTATATCTCGTCAGTAAAGAAATTAACTACTTTGCGTAGAAGCCCACCTATCTGCCAAGGTTGATTTACCATGGTCTGGGAGCAAAGTTCAGAAGAGACCGTGGAGACCAAACATTAAAACTACCAATGTGTGCGATAATGGAAAAGTTTCTAGCGCGGTTTAACACGTATAAGCTTCAACTCTGGACGTATACTGGTGCATCATCATCGTACCTAATGACTTCGCAAGGAAACTCTTCCATCCTCAGGGATTTTGGTGTAACAGCCAGACATACTGGGGTAGAACTCAGGTGTCTTGGAATTGACCAACGGACAGGTTGACAGCGCAGCAACACCTTGAGACATGCATGCCGCCAGCCAGGGAGCATTTCTCAAGTGCGAAAGCTCCAATTTCGATTTTGCCAGTCACGCTGACTAAGCATATAATCTACCTTGCCTCTACCCCACCATAATGTCACTGCAGGAGGCCTCAGATGCTCGAAAAGCGCGTTTGATCGCCCTAAGAAACCGCAAGGAGGGAATATCAACTGTATCAAATGGGTACGCGATAATAAAATTTCAATGCTGCATAATCTTAACTAGCCACAGAGATTCTGTGCTTCTCAGCAGGAACTATGACCCTGAGACAAGGACATTGAAGAAACACTCAAAAAATGACGTTCTGACCACAGATACCGTCGAGAAGGCTATTGAAGGAGTAGCTGAAATGATCATTGCCGAGGATGAACGACAGCGTGCCCAAGAACTTGTATGCCGATTCATACTACGGTGAACTCCCGCGTTTGCAGCTGCTCATGTTCTCCAGGACGTATTCAACATCGCCCCGAAACGGCCAAACTGGGACTTGAAGCGCGAAATGGAAAAGAAACTTGCGAAACTAGAGCGAAAGACTCAAGAAGCTGTCCATACTCTCATCCGTCAGTTTGATATTTCACCCTGTCTTTATTTTTAATTGCTCACACTATATCAATAGGGCAGAGACTTGCTTCTCAAAAAGGGCAGTCGGACGACATTCTAGGGGCAATGAATGCGCAAGAGAAAGCATTGGATGTCGAAGACCAGCCGTCAGACGAGGACGAATGAAACAGGTTCTTTCTCTATCCCGTCCGTCGTACCACCTCATGGTCATGGATCTCAGTTCTTCCTCTGTACAGTGAGCTGAATATTACCCTAGTACTGCGGCCTCCATGTGCTCGCAGTTTCGTGCCACAATTGACACGAACACGTCCAGGCGTGGCTACGTTGCTTTTGTTTGATCATACCCCCTTGATAACAGAGTTCATTGAAGCACTCAAAATGGCGGGTATATTCCTCGTACCATGTACATTACGTTTTCGAATCGAAGGAGGGCGGCTACCCAAAATCAGTGTCCTCACCAAACATGTGAGGCCCCAGAGCGGTTTGCACTTAGGACAAGAAGATATACTGTGAACTTGATGCAAACCCTTGATCGTCTGTCTGAAAGACTTCCTTTCTCGCTACTTTAACTGCCTCTGATGTCAACCGAGGCCGAGGGCCAGTCTCGTCGTTTCCCCACGTCGGCTACATGTTACTAGCGTGGTGAGTTCCCAGCGTTGTCGTACTGACAAAATCGTCGTATTCAGTCCTCTGTGACAGATTGTGTGTGCCGAAGCCATTGAATATCATCCTCCAAAGTTTAGGTTATTACTCCGGCCATAAGCAGTCTGGGAGACGATGTTATATAGCTATGTGGCCTTCTGCATCTGGAACCATCATCATCGTCTCGTCTTGTTTTTTTCCATCGTGCCTTGATTCCTGGTTCCTGATTCACTGCCTGAACGTTCCGCAAAATCACTTTCTTCGCATCTGTCTAGTGAGCGAGTTTGTCGCATGGTACCCTAATATCGTGCATGTGCAGGTTTTCCATCATTGCCATTCACGCCATCTATATCTAATTAGTATCTACTAGATACAAATCCCTCTAACTCTAACACACTTTATGTAGCGATACTTTAGCGATACTTAGCGAGTTACTCTTCTCAACGACGAAATTATAGAACAGGATAATTATAGAGGCTCCACTTGGTGTCTACGCAAGAAAGCGGCTGGATGTCAGCTGACATTCCAGGTGTTGTGCAATCCAATTGTGTCATCCGCGCGATTGATTGGACCGCTAGACGCCACCATGGTCTCCCGATCGTGGAATCCATTGACCACACTGCCCTCACCTTTGCTTTCCGATGAGTTTGCGGCCAACTTGTTTTTGACATTGTCTGCGCGTAGCAATTCCAGTTGATGTAAATACTCCTCACTGACACCACCAGTGACATATTCCCCTGTGAATACGGAGCAATCGAAAGTTGGAATGGACGGGTTGAATTGTCGCACAGATGCGACGAGATCAGGAAGAGTCTGGAACACGACAAGGTCTGCACCGATGGCCTCGGCTATTTCCTGGGTGGTGCGCCCATATGCAACAAGTTCTGTCCTTGAAGGCATATCAATACCATAGACATTAGAGTACCTAGCAAATGTTCGTCAGTGATATGACGGTGGTTGGTAGAATGAACTACCTTATAGGTGGAGCACAGCTTGCGACGATGACCTTCTTTGCGCCAACATCCTTCGCCATCTGGATAATCTCTTTTGAGGTTGTGCCACGAACGATAGAATCTGAAGCCATGTGTCAAGGTAAGACCTGATGATCATTCAGTCGTTCCACAACTTACCATCAACAAGGAGAACATTCTTCCCAGAAAACTCCAAGGCCATGGCATTCAGTTTCCGTCTAACATTTTTTCGTCTTTAAAAAACACCATCAATACTGTGGATTCATGAAAATAAATATATCTGACCTTATTTGCTGACCTGGCATAATGAATGTCCTACCAACATAGCGGTTTTTGATGAAGCCTTCTCGGTAGGGCAAGTTGAGCTTCTGAGCAAGATTCAAAGCTGCAACACGAGATGTGTCAGGAACCTGTAAACACATTAGAAAAAAATGTGGAACAAAGGGAACCACTGACGGGAATGACAACATCCACTGTGATGCCGCGTTCCTTCAAAACTTTGTCAACTTCGACCGCAAGCGCATCGCCCATGGCCATTCGACTGCGGTAGACACTGATACCGTCAAGCACTGAATCGGGGCGAGCGAAGTAGACAAATTCGAATATATCGGGTGCGAAGGTCGCATGCTCTGCAACACGTTTCCTTGAAACTCCTGACCGAGTGATGATCACTGCTTCGCCTACCAGTAACCAATGTCAGTGACTGCGGCTAACGGTAGAAATAAGGACTGACCAGGTTTCACATCCTCCCATTCGCTAAAGCCCAGAGCATCAGCAACAATACTCTCGCTTGCAAAAAGGTAGTCTTTTCCAGAGTTGCTACGTCTGGAAGCCACCCCAACGGGTCGTATGCCATTCGGATCTCTGAACGCAATGATCCCGAAGCCAGCAAGCATTGCGACACATGCATATGCTCCTGTACATTGTTTCATAAGGCCTCCAATGGCATTGAAGATGTCGTCTTCGTTTATGCGAAATTTGCCAGTCTGCTGGAGATTGTTGGCAAAAAGGTTGAGTAGGAGTTCGGAATCGGACGAAGTATTGATATGTCTATGTGCGGTGGCGTCCATATATTGTAGGAGTGAAGGACCATCTATGAGGTTCCCATTCTAATCTCCTTCAGTCTTGAGTGACATGTCTCGAAAACAAACTCACATGCGCAAATACAATACCATAGGGTGAGTTAACGTAGAACGGCTGAGCTTCAGCGTGGTTTGAACTTCCAGCAGTCGGATAACGAACTGCAACACGCTATATCAGATAATCATGGCCAGGACCAGTTTCTCCCGAGAGCTTACCATGGCCAACACCCATCCCTCCAATAAGTTTGGAAATGGCCTTCTCATCAAAGACATCGCGAACCATACCGTTGGCTTTGCATTGAAAGAATCGACCCTTTGGGCCACAAGTCACAATGCCACACGCATCCTGTCCCCTGTGCTGCAGCAAAGAGAGACCTTCACATATGTCTGGTGCTGCATCCACCGATGGATCATGAAGCAGCAGCCCTAAAATACCGCACACTAAATCGGAAATCCGTTAGAGGATCTAGCACTTGGACAATCAAGAAGCAAACTCACTCGCGTTGCAGGGGTGAAATGAAAGAAAACGTGAGAGCTAGGGCGACGCTCGTTCGCGTGATAAACGTGCAAGTACTTTTGGTTACAAACCAAAAACTGTCTGAAGAAAAACTGGCATGGCGTTTTATCACTTTGCCGCAGCTTTGCCGTGATAATCTTTTCCTTGATAATCTGACCTCGGTCCGTATATGTACGAACCACGCACGTGGGTCACAATTTTTGAGCCTGGGACCTGACACAGCTTGTAACTTTATCACTAACTAATATTAGTGCCTTCCTTTGACCAGTCAACGGTTGAATGTTGAAAGGTTGACCCTGATATATATCGCATTTCTATCCCCAGCTGGCGATAGACTAAAACTCTTGTCTACACTATTGGAGAATTCGCAGAGTAACTTCAAGCCTAGTTCACAATCACTCCTAAAATCACTGAAAAATACGCGGTTGAACGCGATTGTATTCTTCGGTACTACGAGGTGATATAGTGGATATAGGTAGGGCATCAACATGCAACGTCGTTGGAATCCTGACAGAGTCACGGGTAATGGTCGTGATAATAGGCAGCGTATTGGCTGCGGAGTAGAAAGCGATGGTGTGCAATAGTCTACAGAAAAGGTGCGTGCGATGATGGATGATAAATTAGGGAAGGATGAACTTCCTATGCTAGATGGAGAGATATTCGACCCAGTGAGACAAAAGAGTGATTACAGCTTAAGCTGTTTGGGTTTCTCCCAGGTGTATGCGGGGTTACCTGTATAGGATCAGTTTCTGCAATACACATAATAACGTCAACAACATACCGAAGTGGCCGTAAGACGCGGTCCTCAAGTAGTGGGGCTTCTGGAGGTCAAGTTCGCGCACTAGAAAACATTGATCATTTGTTCTTCTCCAGGCAGAGGAAGGAGACTTACCCATAACACCAGGACGGAGATCCCAGTTCTTGTTGATGACGTCAACGAGTTGCTCGTTCGTCCTCTTGCCAGTTCCGTAAGTGTCAACGTAGATAGACAAGGGTTCCGCGACACCAATAGCGTATGAGAGCTGAACAAGGCAGCGGCGAGCGAGGCCGGCAGCAACGAGAGACTTGGCTGTACGAGATTTCAAATACCGTACAATTAATCTAAGACCGATGAACATACCGATCCAACGAGCAGTGTACGCCGCAGAACGGTCAACCTTGGAGAAGTCCTTGCCTGAGAAGGCTCCTCCACCGTGTGCACCCCAACCACCGTAGGTGTCTACAATAATTTTGCGGCCAGTCAGACCGGCATCACCCTGAGGGCCACCAATGACGAAGCGGCCAGACGGTTGAATCTAATCCGACTCGTGAGTTGCAAGCACCACTAGAAAGTAGAAATTCACGTACGTGGTAAACGATACGGTCATCGAGAAGGTTGGCGGGGATGACCTGCGCGACGATCTTGCTCAAAATTTCCTTGCGAAGCTCCTCAGTGGAGATTTCCTCCGCGTGCTGGGTCGAAATAACGACCGTGTCCACACGCAGGGGGATCATCACACCACCATCGTTCTTGTACTCAACAGTGACTTGAGTCTTTGAGTCAGGGCGCAACCAAGGCAGAAGACCTGATCGGCGAGCATCGGCCATAGCACGGTTGAGCTTGTGCGCAAGCATGATGGTCAAAGGCATAAATTCCGGTGTCTCATCGGTAGCATAACCGAACATGATACCCTGGTCACCAGCACCGTGGTCTTCTAGAGAGCCATGGTCCAGACCCTGAGCAATATCAGGAGACTGCTGCTCGATGGCAACAAGAATGTTGCAAGTCTTATAGTCGAAACCCTTAGAAGAATCATCGTAACCAATTTGTTTGATTGTGTTACGGATGATTTTTTGGTAGTCGAGCTGGGCTTTAGTGGTGATCTCTCCGAAGACCATAATCATGCCGGTCTTCGATGCAGTCTCACAAGCGACCTTTGAAAAAGGGTCTTGCTCGAGGCAGGCATCGAGCTGCGAAACTGATTAGATTGTTTTCCGCGATGATTGATATCAAGTGGGTACTCACAATAGCATCCGAAACCTGGTCACAAATTTTATCTGTTACAGATTAGTTTCTTTGTAAAGCTTTGACCACGACGAAACTAACCGGGATGACCTTCACCTACAGACTCAGAGGTGAACAATAAATGCCCGGGTGCAAGAGCAGGACGCGAGTGACCATTAGCAACCATGATAAGACGTTGAAGAAAGAACGAAGAAAGAGTTGGGAAGGAGCAAGGAAGGAGATGTGAAACCAAACGTTTTGCGCAAAACAATTAAAGGTTCAATATACGGCTTATATAAGCCGGATATTAATCACGCCATCCTCCTGCCATCCTCTTGCAACAGAGTTACGTCCTCAGAAACACGATGGATACTGATAGATAGCCTTAGATAGCAGATTCAGACGTGGCAATCTGATGGAGGGAAAAAGTTCAATTGAGCCTCACAATATGTGTAGCGTGGGTCCACAGTAGCTGATAGCCAAGCGAATTAATTATACCTATTACAAAAATCCTACACCAAGAGGATCTATACTTGTCGAGGGAGGTTGATCTTCCTGCTCTAAAACAAGACTCTCATCAGGTGCAACCGTGAGATAGGGTACGCCGACATCGTGGCTCTGCCCAGATATTCGGAATCCTGAAGAGTCTCCAGACTCTAGGCGACGAGGCGGATGTGCGACTGTTGGGTCAAGCGGTGGTGATTTTTTCCCATCGAAGAGATCTTGTGACAAAGAACCCTGTCTAGGCGACCTTGACCGAGTAGTACTCCAAGGGTTATCAGAGGGAATGACATGTATAGCCTTTTGGGGTTTTACATTATCCCAAGGGTTGTACGTTGAGCCGACAGAATGTGACTGGCTGGTTACACGATAAGAGTGCTCCCCGTCTCCAAGGCGCTCACGAGGCTGAAGTTCGGAGATTTTTCCTTGGGCATCTTCGTTATCTCCTGATGGTCTCGGTAACGCCTTGAAGTCCTTTGCAACTCCATCATAAGCGTCCTGCATCGCTGAGAATGCCGCGGTAGCATTCGTGGATAATTTCCCCCACACTGATCTCACTCCGGTGTTGTAAAACGTATCCGTGGAATTCGCAGTCCGAGAGCGAGCCGGAGGTGAGGGATTACTCCCTGGAGATGATGGTCGAAGGGGAGGGCCAGAAGGTCGCAATGATGTGGGGGACGGAGCTGTAATGCTATCTGCGGTTGATCTCTGAGGAATGTCTGGTAACGAAGACCATAGTCCACGAAGGCCTGTAGTCAGCGCTTCAGACGTATTCCCAGCGTTGGATAATGCAACAGAAGGATTCGAAAGGTTAGGCGTTCTGGCAGGTGACGGTGGAAGCGGTATTCCCGCGGGAACGCTGATTGGATTGACAAGATCATCCTCCAGGGAATCGATCGGGGATGTAAATTCTGGACCCTCCTTCATCTGAGAAACAACTATCCTCCCATTCATCTCCTCATCAGTCCTGCCATAAAGCTCGTGCCAAAAACGAATATCCTTCGCATTCGGATAAAGAACACCCATACCAGCTGAAGGATCTCTACTAGAGGGATCATCCAAAGAGGGGTCGTACGCGTCATTCTTGTTCTTCTCCAGCTCTGATGCCGAGTTGAAAAAGTCCCAAATAGAAGCTGTCCGCTCTGAGGGAACAACGCCATCTTCACCAGCTCGTCGTTCTCGTTCACAATTGTATAAGAAGTTGCCGAATTGGCACGAATAGAGGTTATATAATAGTTGGCGAAGGAAGCGTTCATTAAACTCAAAGCGGGAGGGGTGCTGCCGCTGCAGCTGACGAACGCATTCTAGGAATTGGTGAAAACATGGGCTCGTCTCCTTCAGGTGGCTCTGGGACGTAAATCGATTCTGGACAGAAACCAAGAAGGCCTGCGCCGCATCGGCACCGCTACTCGTCCCTCCAGTTTCTGGTAACGAGGTGAAGAACTTGTCCGAGGAGAGGTGCCCGCACCGATCAAGAAATTTGTGCCCAAAGGACACCCAATCTTTCTCGATGAGTATCTGGAAACCTCGGATGGTGCGGTAATAGGGATCTAAACACAACTGGGCCAAAGCAGATAACTGGGACGTTCGATCCCAGCCATCTGAGCAATGAACAAGGACATGTGACGAATTGATGTGAATATTTCGAACAATAAGAGCTGCGCCCTCCATTATATTCGACATGTGTCTGAGCCATCCAGAACGACGTAGCGCCTGCCGGTCGACTACCACAAGTTGTTGTGCTTCCCCAGGTAGGCTGCCGGTAACGCTTGCAGCAACATTGTCCGCCTCGCGCAATACATCCACCACCTTGGCAAGGGACTCGCGCATGGTATGTATGTGGTCTATGCCCGAATATACCTTCTTGGCGTCCTTGTAGTTATCCATGTTTTCTGTGCCTGCGCCTTTGGCTGTGTTAGCCACGGCATTGGCAGTCGGCCGTGCGTCAACTATCAAATTTGTACTAGTGGCACCGTAAACTGGTCCAGATGGGCGTGATTCGGAGAAATGATGAGACTGAAACACGGCTTCAACAAGCTTCTCATCTTGCAGTGAGCGGTTCTGCTTGATGCCCACCATCGGCTGGCTTGATCTTGTGATGCTGCCCTGAATCGGGTAAATTTAACAGTGTACTTTGTCTCAGATGCCCTAATACTAACAAAGTTTGCCCAGTGCAAATAGGTCAGCGCAGGTATCCGACATTTGCTGCGGTATTTGGAAGCGTATCGCAACGTCGAGTCGCTGATGCGAGACGGAACTACCAGCCGTGACGGGTATGTAGGCGAGAACTTTGAATTGATTTTCAGACACTGGATGATTCGACAGGGATGCCCGATACTTACCGCATAGTCCTTGTTGATGTCAGTGAAACGCCAAGCTTTTGTACGAGTTCCAACGCCCATACGGCCGAATTCTTCCCTTGGATAGTAAAGAGACCATCCACCCGTAGCATCAAAGGGCGGGTTGGGGGTGTAGAAGAATGCATACAGCTGATTGACAGAGGCTAATAAATGTTAACGATTGATGCGACTTAGATCGAGGGATTGAATGCTCACTGCACACGGTTAGCTCTTTGACACTTTCGAATACATCTATAGCGTCCCGTTCCTTCTCGAAGGACAGCGAAAATGTTTCAAACATGCGAGTGTGAAACGTTAACGGGCTCTGTCCCTGCAAGGTTTGCGGGAGCTTCAATACAAGAGATATTAGCGGATAAGGTACCTGCAGTGCGGGTTATCAAGTGCAGCACGCCGTAAACCGGAATGTAGAACTCGCCCACATCTCCTCTTTCTCAGAATCATCATAGCGAAAAATAAGGTGATGGGCAGTGAGGTGGAGTGATCCATAATGAGCCCCGCCGGACTTGCCACATAACACCTTTTCCACCTGCACATACACTGTTAAGCATATCAATCGCGCGTTTCGCGTGCAGCGCACCTTTGAAACTCTGATCGAATCCATCTATCTATCTGCAGCTGGTGAAAGTGGCAGACCTTAGCCCAGGCTCAACGTCAGACGGAATCAATACTGGTATGTTTGATCCTATTTACATATCATGGACTCCGCCTGAGGACAATTGGATATGGGCATGATAGTCGATGCCGCTACTCATTTTCAAGCCAGACTATTGGCTGTATCACAGTATATTTATTTATCCAAACACCCACAGTTCATTAACCGCATCTCTACCAGCCGAACCATCGTCTGTACTCGCTGCATCTGCCATGGGAAATAAATCTTTTCTCAGCTCCATAGCTAACGCGGGTTCCTTTTTTATTTTACGTCTAACCTCGGTTTCAATTAGCTTCAACATTGTTACAGTAAGCGCGTGCACAAGAGTGTAAAGGAAATTCTCTCACCGTTCCGTACGTGTGATCGAGGAAATCCTCCATTGAATAACCAGGCTTGGTAAAAGCTTCTGAAAAGATGCGGGCCATGGTTGACACCGCAGAATCATAGTGATGGATATGAGAGTGAAGCTCCCATAACGAAGAATCGAGTGCGTTGGTGGAGTTGGGATTTGGCTCATCGGCGATGAACGGGTCTGACATCGTGATTAGTTAAATGGTGGCCAAGGAGCTGAATGCGTACCGGTGTCAGTGTCAGAATTATTGTGTATCATTACCATGAGAGCCGGATGTCGCTTGAGAATGTTATACGTGAAAGGAACGACCATGATGATAGCTGCTGGAGGAGCATTCAATGATAACCTGGACAACCTCTTGACGAACGATGCCAATAAAGTTGCAGGCAAATGCCTGGGCTGTCTCAGTAACAACAAATGGAGATTGTAGAGATGGATCTTACGTGGAACTCAAAAATAGCTCGGTCAAACGGAAAAACCGAGCACGATGTTTCAAGTGTAGCACATCACGATGCAGGAATGCGTATAATCGGGTGAAAAATGAAGGGTAATCTCTACAACGTGGAAGTTGGTAAGACATAAAGCGTGGCATTTGAAGATTTGCACTTACAGATTATAGTCTCGCATTAGGGCGAATAAGGCGTTAAGTGCCAGCAGTCCAACTGTTTCTCCTAGCAGAATGCTTTAATAAATTATGGTTAATACCACGAATGTTTCCTCACCAAGATCCACACATGCACTTATCCAATCCATGACAAGCACGGGCCTAGTGAGGTGTGGCAAGACACCACGATGCATTATATTCAATGCTCTTGTTGTCAGAGTTCGATTGGAGGATGTAGAAATAGATGACAGCTGGGGCAGGAAGTTTAGCCATGTTCGCGTGAATACAGCACGATGAGCTTGAAGGGAGTAAAGAGACTGGTGAAATGTCAGGGTGTAAGCCCGGGCCTTGGCACCGCTTTTTTTCGCATCTTTCGCGTTGGAATCCTCATCGAAAAATTTGCGCCAGTCATCCTCGTCGTTTTCATCCACCGACTCTGTAGCATCGTCCTCTTCAGCATCTCCCTTGGTACTTTTGTGTTTTGGGGGTTTTACGCCGAGCTCTTCCACCCACCACGAGTTAAGCTCTGACGGGTCCGTTGGAAATGTTGACAGCTTTTCCATAATGGACAGCAGATTGTCGAGCAGGTGGGGGTACTCTGAAGACGGATATTTAGAAAGCACGGTGCTAAAGGCAGATTTAAGCACTGTATATGAATTTTGCGTTGGGCCTTACGTTGCTTCTCGCAAAAAACACCATCGAATATCATCGTAGACGCTGAACCATACATCTACGAAGTTCTCTCTCACATCCAGCATCGTCTTTGAAGCATGCTTACTGCTTCCATTCGACCGAGGGGATGGAGGGCATAATAGAAGCCCGTGGACTATTTGTTTGAAGTGCGCAAGGTGAAATTGTGGTTGTGCGGTCGAGGAAGACTTTGTTAGCGAGGTTGAGAGATGCTTCAAAAGTGAAAAAAGTATCTCCAGCGAGGATTTCTGGTACCAATGTAAAGATACAAAGCAGAACCAATCATGCGACACGTACCCTCAGCGCAGGCTCTTCATCTTGCAGTAAGCCAACAAGCAGTTCAACGTATGAATCCAACTTCTCCCATATCCACTTGCGGACAAGCTTGGCAGCATCATCACCTCCGTGGACTAGCATCCCACGGGATATTATCAAGATAAACACGCGATAAACGCTATAGACAGCTTTGGACATTTCCCTTGCGTCTGACAAGCCATATGTCAGTATGAGCAGGTCCGCGAGTGGGTTAAGAGAGCCATTTTCTGTGACGGCGGATGTTAGCTGAGCTTCCAGAGACTTGACCGAAGTGGATTCAACAGCTGTCTTGCGTCTTTTGGTCGGGGGAGGGAGTGAGCGGACCGGCATGGTAGGATATGCAAAGTTGAGGAGATGAATGCTGATTATCTTTGGATTAATTTTATTTATTTATTTATCAAATGCACATTACATAATATAAGCATATGTAAATACAATATTGAAGCTCTTAGTGCCAATTACTATCATTACATCATTACGGCCCGCCTGTTCGCAAAAGCACACTGGGCGATGCCTGATTGGCGTATCGTCGAGCAAAACTGGTTGTACCTAGGCTGGCCTGACCCACGGCAGAACTGGCAGCAGAACTTGGCAGAACCCCAAAGTATGTGGGACTCGCGGAGATATCATTTAGATATCATAGATGGTTTCAATTCAATAGAGCACAAAACCCGACTGGCGACTCCATATATAAAGTAAGATGCTGCTGGCGGCCAAGCAGACGGCCTTTCATGGCAGAAAATATTCCGATCAAGTCCGAAATTCACCCACTCGAGAGTCGATTAGAGGGCATGCAGGTAAAACAAAGCACACATTCTGAGTTCTCTGATCTCGGCACAACACAATCTGCGCGACGTGTAATCTCTCAGTCGACACATTTGAAACGCTGGGAAAAATTCGTGTAAACCTTTGACACTACAGCGCCATGAAAGCCACGGAGGCTGGGAAGTCGACCCCCCTCACATGCACAATCATGAAGAGGTTGGTATTGCTGTTGAGATTGCACAGAATCTTGAAGCACCATTCGCAGTATCTCGCCCGACGACGCCGCTGAATTTGCAGCTCTCAAAGAGTTGAAAAGGACTGAAGAAGTTCAGGGCATTGACTCTGACTCGGAGTGAAGTGGTCGAGCGAGATGCTTTGGATTCCAGCGAGTGGGATCAGCTCGAAGGAATAATACCGCTCATTAGGAATATCATACACACAGCCTAGAGTTTTCCCAATTCTGCCGAACCATTACAACCGGCATTCTGGAACTGATCCTAAGTAGTTCTGCCCATATGGTATCGACAGCGCAGCGCCGCAGCTGTGGACTTATCGGACCAGCGCAAACAGCTAGGAAACAACGATCGTGAGAACGTGGGGCTGGATTCCGAATTGTCTTAATAATATAACGTCCTTAACTGTGACGTTCCGTTGTCCCAATGTTATCTGTCGCCTTCAAAGCTTCGACACGGTTGCCCTTTGCGTTGACAACGAGCCATAGTCTGAGGTCTGCAGTTGGCCTGCGTCTATTTCATGGATCCACGAAGTGCCAAGAGCACTACTTGAATGCCGATGAAAAGGCAAGCACCCTTTCCTGTCCGTATCATAGCACTAGCTTGGTCAAACATAACCACAAGCGCTACATGCACCTGAATTTTCTAGACTTTTGAAAAAGTCGCTCTAAACCCGTCTGCGAATGACAAGGCCGTCCTGGTTGATTTTTATGCAGAGTGCGTAGCTTCGGGCATAATAGGCGTTTAGACGTATGTGCTAACAGCCGCATATCATAGGTGGTGCAACCCTTGCAAGATGATTTCGCCCCTGCTTGAAAAATTGACCAGTGACGAGACAGTGAAAACTGGTAGCGGCCGTTCGCTTGACTTGGTCACAGTGGACACAGACTCGGAGTTCGACCTAGCACTAAGATACAAGGTACGCATACTTCGACATGAACTTGAGCAGTTCTCATTCCCGCTATCAACACCAGGTACGGGCGCTGCCAACAGTCATAGCGTTCAAGGATGGCCAGAAGGTTGATCAGTTTGTTGGAGCCCTGAACGAAAGTGGCATTCGCCAATTCATAGCCAAGTTGTAGGAGACACGTAGCATCTTTACATGATGAACATGATTATATATGTTCGAAACCCTCTGTTCCAAAAAATGGATCAAAACATCGAAAGCGGTGTAGAGTTTGTAACGAGTTAATGGAGGCTGAATATAGGTACACATAGGAGATGAAAACAAACTATTGGGGCCAGTGAAGTAGTGGAGTCCACATCGTAATGCAGCGGTATAAACGAGAACTGTGTTGGGCGCTAACATATAGACGGGCAAATGACGAATGAAGATTCGCAGAACCGTCCAGGCTATTGTATCGAACAACAACCGCCTCCTGCCTTTTGTTGGCCGTACACGTCGTCTGCCTTGGTGACTGGACCCCACACGGACGGAACCTGGGTGGATTTCATTCGTCATACGTTCAACACAAAACTCGTACAATGAAGGAAACATACGAGGTGGTCTTTTGTCGTCTTGCAGTAGCGAATTAAACTATGAAAACAAGTCAGCCTGGTTGTTAATGAGACAAACGAACGGAACTCACTTGGCGGCTGCTTCACTAACCCGAATTCTTGGCCTTGCCAAGTCTTCTCGAAGGCGCTGGTTGTGCTCCAGCAGCCGACGATACCGTAGCTCCGACATCGACTGCCTTCCGCCTCGAGAGCTCATGCTTATGGTATTCGTGTATGGTAAAAGTCCCTGATTAGCAAAAACTGTGAGATATGAGAGTGTGGTCAGTTGTTGAGGACAAAGGTACCCACCAGCTTTGTATAAACTGCCGTATAACTGTACTTGTCGCGTGTCGTGTCACACAGAAGTCAGGTACCAGAGGATTAGACGGTAGTAATACTATAGTGTGGTGATCACGGTGGGGGAACAAGTCTGCAACGGTACAATTACCCGGTTTGACTACTTTGAAATGATAACATCCAAATTTGGACAATTATATTTTGTTCATAAAATTCTTTTCTACGGTTCTCTCCTAACCAGCCGAATTCAGCGTCATGAATCAAGCTTCTGGCAAAGTCGCATGGGGACATTGGGATAACGAGATTGAAGAGCGAGTCGCCGACCGGGCAGAAACGTATTCTAGAAAAGCACATCCAATTCACTATTCAGCTCCTCGACTGAAGGCTCAGGCAATGCGCCAGAGCTTCTTAGTGTAATTCAGTCAAAGTCTGAACTATAACCAGTAACAGTAGGAGAACAGCCTGAAGGATTGGCATTCAAATAACAGCGTAAGTCATACAAACAATACGAAAATTCCGTGATGAATTCACTGGCAAGAACACGCTGTATGGAGAACAGAATCAGTAAAGTGACATGACGGAAGTCCGGGCAAGGTACATGACGTGCAATAGAAGGTAAAATGTACTCAGTATCTGTCCAAGATGCCTCGCAGAAGCTTCTCCTTGGCTTTTGCACGATCCTCGGCTGCGACAGACTTCGTTGTCTGGTCAAGTCTGCATATGAGTTTCTCGACGTCCCCGGGCACTGATTTCGAATAACCTCCAAGTCGTTGGACTGCGTGGAAGGACCATTCTGTCGTTAGGCTCATAATCCAGGAAGTCTGAGATAAAATACCATGTTCGCTGATAGCCTTTTCATAACTATCGAGGAGCTTGTCACTTTCAGCGCATACATCTTGGAGCTGAAGAGATAGATTTTCAATAATTTCCTGGAAAGCCATTGCTGAATTGGACGAGGAGATAAAGGCAGCTTTCACAAACTAACTTTCACCCTAGCAAACACCCGAACCACTTGATCATGTTCACGCCTTGCAGCATCTTCGAGGGCTCTCGAGCTTTTGTCAAATAGGGCGACTCCACGGAGTAAAGTGGGATTGTTGTCGTGCGAAAGGGATTTGTGAGCCTCTCCTACTCGAGTGACCACCGGAACGAGAGTCTCCCTGAACTGTTCTGTTGCTTCTCGGCGATGAGCGAGGAATGTTGGTGATAGTCGATCAATGATAGCTACGCCATCAGCAAATTCAGGAGCCTCCTCCCTGAGATGATGATGAGCGGCGAAGCAATCCTGAAGCTTGTGAATACCCGTCGTCTAAGAGAGCAATCAGAGTCGCATGCTCGTCCCATTCAGAGTCCGAGGAACCATCTTCGTCTTCCTGATTCTGGTGTCCCTGAATGGCGTCTTCCACGTCGGTAAATTCGTCTTCTTCGCGATATTCAGTGTAGCCGGGGGGTTCTTCTGATCGAGTAGGAGACTGGTAGTAAGGTTCGCAAGTGCATTTATGCCGATTCCGAATCCTCTGGGAGGGTGAAACAAGTCTATTGCGGGCCATTACGCGCAGTCTGTCTGTACTAATCACTGCAGTCTTGCTGTCAGCAACGTCCCTGAAGGCCGAACGTGTAGATGGCATCTGACATGACTTGAGCGCTTTCGACACAGTGGACCGCATTCGGATGTTCGACATTGACTTCCTATCGCTGGGTGACGAAAGGCGTACCATGATGAGTGTTATACTTTGAAACTGTAAGAAGGTTCCAAGTTCTGATTGCACTGCAACACCTATGAATTGGAACTCCGACACGGTATGTCCCACTGTTGAGCGTTATTCGTTTCTCTCCCGAACATCTTGGCCCGGTGGGCAGGTCAGTTGTTTTTCACTTCAAGTCTACTGGTTTCTTTACTTATAGGTTGTCTGTCGTCACAGGCGCATACTAGATTTCCTTCTCTCAGATTTCCTGAGCTTTGCTAACCTCTTTGTTCTCATTTCCGCACTATTTCACTATGAACGCTCGTCCACATAAGCAATCTATGTCGGAGCTCAAGCTTCGCAGGCTCACAGAGCACAACCAACGACTGCGAGAGGATCTCGCGCGACCGCGAATGAGAGTGAGCGAAGCTAGCGCAAGGTACCGTCCTATTTTCTTCCCACCATGGTCAGGCACATAAGATCTTACCCTCGGTATCCGTCTTACAGCTTAATTCGTTACTGCAAGACCACAAAAGACCACCTGGTGCGTTTGTACTGCCGGCGCTTTCAGTGCCTTCACTTGCTCCACAATTTCGTTTCATGTGCCTGTGATTTACGCTCATACAACCTATTTTCAGGTACCGTCTGTGTGGGGACCCGTTGGAAAGGGTGAGGACCCGTACGCACCGCCGCAAACAGGCTGCACCTGTATCGTGATGTGATATGTTACTCCTTATACCCCATACCGTGACATACCCCCTTTCATTTTCTGGCTACGGAAAGTCCGAAGGAGACTCCAAACACCCTTTCCTGCGCGACACCTGCACGTATCCTACGCACACTCAAACTGCCCACGCTCGTTACACATATCCTACATCTCCTCGTCATCGTGACTTTCCAAAACCAGATGGACGATGCTTCATGACTTGCACATTCTTACACTCCGGTCGTATACATATTTCTTGGAACTGCAAATCCTTCGCCGCTTCGAGTCATTGCAGGGTCTCTATCCATTTTGAGCATGTCACTCTTTGCATGGTTCATTCTTTCATTTTTGCATCGTGTTTTATTTGTTTTTATCGGTTTTTGTCTCGTTTGGAAGTGCATCTATGTGATATATATGTGTTGGGGAAGAGACCTTTGACAATGAAGCCATTTACTATCATATTATTCTGAGCCAAGACCTAGTGAACAATTTGAAATGGCTTTCGATCAACCTGAGCTCTTTGTGCTTAGTCTTGTCCTGTCAGTTTGTTCTTATATCCTAGTTTTTATAAACAACAGATGTCTCTTCGTGAATTTCTGCTGCATCTACTCGCGCCAGTGCCGGCGCCCATCCCTGACACGCGTTCCGCTGTTCGCATAATCATAGGTTTGGGAAGTGCACTGCTTCACTGGCCACGAATTCGATCGCCTCTACAGTTGGTTCACACCTTCAGTTACGTACACCCCTCTGTGCCATGATCCAAGACGTGCGCCTGCAAATTCGCGAGTTTGCTGCGCCAGCTGCGCAAAAACTAGGCATCGGCAAAATATCTGACTTTGCCGATGTTCATCTTGCTTTCCTTCGTGTTCTTTACTACTGTGCACAATAGTTTCTCACCTGCAGTAAGCGGTGTGCTCTTTCCTGTGTCATATGGGAATGCAGGAAAGAGAGCGAGGAACAACTGGTGAGGCTGACTACACCACACCTCTTGGGCAAGTAAGAATTCACCAACTACAGGGACATACGCGTGGCATCACTCGTCCATGCTATCTTGATCATATTCCTCGCCGGGCGCTGTCTCAATCTTCCGAGCCTTGACCGAAATCGTGCCTTTGGTTGGCATGAAGATGCAGGGTTTGTAACAGCTATCGCAACGGGGTGAGTCGACTCTGAGCGAACGCCAATACGGTTTTTTTGACTCCGCTCCAGTTACTTCATCTGGGACACTTTGGAATCCATCATCCATTTCAGTGATATTGGATTCGTTTTACATGGTACGTGTCGTTGAACGGGTTTCTTCGCAAGCTTGCTTCTGACCTAGCCCCAGGCATTTCGTGCCTTCTGATATATGGCCTTTCATTTGTGAGTGATACGATCATATCAGAGCCTCATGGAAAGGCCATATAACACGTCCATTTAGACGCCCTTTGTTCCTTACTATGCAGTACGCTTCTTGTTCTGGGAGCTGTAAGTGATATATCATAGCAGACCGCCAGTTCCTTGTTCATACTGTTCACAGGAGCACTGTATTCTTGAACATCCATTGGTAGGTCGTAATTTGATATGCTCATGATGATGTAGACGAGCTTCGTTGGTAGGTTCTTGGACAAGACCGGAAAAACAGGCAGTGCCCTTCAGCTCGTCAACGGCATTGTTCTCATTACGACCTTCTTTTGTGTACGCTGCATCTGGGGCGCAATGATGGTCGGTGCCTATTTGAACCTGTTGTCATTCATACTGATGTTGTGAATGCAGTCGTATGACTTTTTTGTGACTTTGAATAGCGTGCACGATCAAGTTTTGACACCATACCTCGTCATTTATGGAGCTGGCAATGTCTTGCTCCAAGGGCTCAATTGGTTCTGGTGAGACTTCCGTTGTCATTGTCTTGAAGGGCTAATTTATGTCATAAACCTTAGGTTCACCAAGATGATAGCTGCGCTTGCGAAAAGGTTTCAAGGAAAACCCAATGGTCACAAGGTCGTCAACGGAAAGACCAAGATATAACTATCATTTAGATATATTTTTGTTCTGGAGGTTGAATGCCAGTAGTAACGGATTTTATATGCCTGAATCCATGAATCAGATCACTAGGCCACAGTGAACGCTGCCTCTACTTGTGTCCGTACTCTCTGTTCCCAGGCAACAAGGTTCACGCGTCGAGTGACCTCGATTCTCGTGCTGTCCATGCTATACAAAAGACAGTGTAGGTACGCGAATGCAAGTGCATCCAAGGCAGTGGGATTTCTGCGTTGTGTCAGTGAGTATACCTGGTGGCTTCGCGAATATTATAGGGACTTACTCTGAGCCAAGGAACCATTTGTCAGTTCCAAGCCGTTCCGAGAGTGAAGCGATGGCCTCCGCATACTGTCCTTGAATGGATGAGAGTGTAATGTTTGTTCCATACGATGGTAGTACTGAGCTCAAGCCAGTCAGAGGAGCAGGTGGTGGGCTGAAAGTGGCTGCTAAGGCCCTCCCTCCAGCGGAGGCTGTCCGGAAGAGTTGAGAGAGAGCAGGTTGTGGAGGTTCTGATAGAGTCTAGCAAGAGCAGTCAGGGTGCGGTCTACATATGAGACAGAATGCACGCACCAAAGCAGTATGTACTATTCCCTCGAGCAAGGAGACCCATGCGTGGCTCTCGTCTTTGAGTGTTTCATCACTGTAACCATTGAGAGAATCGTTCCCACCGCCAACTCGTCCATCCACCCAACCAGGAATAGAGCGTGGTGCTAACAGCTCACTGCTAGCATCTCCAAACGAAGGAGTATGTAGACAAGGCAAACGACCATCGATTCCACCTTCTGGAGAGATGTCCCACCGTGCAGCGATGTCAGTGACCCCACGCAAAGCGATATATGCCTGCCATTTCAGACACTCGACGTCTGTGCTTAAAATATCGGAGTTAGAGGTTTGGTCGACTGCCGTCGTTCGAGGAGGTGCAATCCATAGCGTAGGCTTTTGCAAAGGACGTCTTGAGGTGGCCGGAATTGGCGGGTAAGTGTGCAGGGGGAACTTGCTGAGAAACTTCTGGAGCGGTTCAGGAAGACTGAAAACTGATGCCATACTCGAAAACACTACATAGTGCTACGATTTATTTGTTGAAGAGCGTTGAAGCATTTTTATAACAAACCTTAACTAATGTAGGATGATTGCCGCCAAAGTCGGGACATTTATCACTAAAGCATCTCTTTATGGTACATATATTTTACAAATTCACGAGGTCTCCAAGTAACACATCAGTAGTAACTTATGAGATTTCTTGAACTTGCTCACCGACGTTCGCGTCGACGACATTTGCTGGCAAACAACTGGCAACCTTATTAGACGTGCCGAGCTGGCTTTACCCCTCTACCTTTGTGTCTGAGCCACGTCTTCACAAGTCTAGGGTTCTGTGGCTTCCGAATACTGAGCTTGCACACAAGCAGGGCGTAGAACATGTCTGATCATGCATCAAGTCCCTCTAGGCCAGCCACGCCAGTACCCGCTTTACCAGAAATACCACAAGTTGCACGTCCATTCCGCTTAAACTGGGATACATCTTCTCGTGTTCGAGGTCCAGGGAGCGTTTCAGAGACTACTGAAGGTCGTGGCGGTGACTATTTCGCAACACCTTTTCGCCTTGAACTACCCAATCTATCAACCACCAATATTGCCCTCGGCGCTTTACCCCAGGAATGGAGTAGCTCAACCCAGGGATTCAATGGTAGGCTACGCTGTCATTATGTGATGCGTGATGCTCATTGTTTCCAGCGATTTCAACGGTTCTCAATAATCCTCATAGACGCCAGGCACCTCCAAAAGCCCATTCCTCCCTTCCAGCTGTGCCCCCAGCTAATTTACCGCGCGTGAAACGCAAGGATTTCGATTCGTATATTCGAGCCATTGCCCCGGAATGGGAGAGGTTCGAGCGAAATATGCAGCCTGGTCGGGATGGTCAAGAACAGACAGACACATCACTTAGTTCTCGTGGCTCCACAGACACTCCGCTTACGCCACGCACGCCTCGTGCAGGAAAGTTAATAACACCACTTAGCTCCGTCCCTCAGGTGTTCTTCAATGCTCAATTTAATCTCGGTGACCCACAGATATTCAATGCTGTCATAGAACACCAGGAAGAAGATGAAGGTTCCTCGGACCCTTCGTCGCTCTCATATTCGCTCCCTCTTCTTGAGAAGCTCTCTCATCACGCAGATACTATCGAACAGCATCTCGTTCGAGAAATTTCTCTTCGGTCCACATCATTCTTTGCGGCATTAACCAACTTGCAAGACTTGCAGACCGAATCGGAAGAATGTCTTGATCGGATATCGAAGCTCCGCGGACTGCTAAAGGAGGTCGATGAAAAAGGCGCCAAACGAGGACTAGAAATTGTGAGGACAGAATGTAAACTGCTCAATCTCAAATCTGTCTGTAGTGGTGTCAAAGAAGTCGGGGGTGTGCTGGAGATGACTGGTGTTGCAAAAGGATTAGTTGCGGCGGGACAATGGGGCGAGGCTTTGACAGTCATTGAAGGCGTAGAAGCACTCTGGGATCCGGCAGCTGCTGAAGCACAACCTCCAGTTTCTGGCAGGGAAGCTCGGGCGGAACTTGTCCGTGTCTCTACCAATGGACGATTGTCCCCTCTTCCACCTATGCCGGAATCGCCTCCCCCAGAAAATGAAGGGACTAGGAAGGCTCCATCAATACCACTGTCCTCCTTAACCGCATTCTCTTCTCTTCCTGCGCACGTTCGTGCATTGACGATGGAGATAGCGTCCTCGCTTACCACGGAGCTCGTCAGTGTGCTAAAGCTTGACTTACGAGATCGAGTGAATGGAGCACCTGAGCAGAACGGTGACGTGAATCTTTCCTTTAAGGATAGGTTGCGGCCCGTTCTTCAAGGCCTTTTGCGTACCAAAGGGATTCGCGAAGCCACAGTTTCATGGAGAGAAGTTGTGACAAGTGAAATACAAGGTATTATGAAGCATGTATGTGCTGGGCACTTCAATGGTGCATGATCATTGATTGTTCTCTAGCATCTGCCGTCCTTCAATACGGGTGAAGAGGAGTCCAAAGGTCCTAATGCTGCCTCAAGGTATGCAGGGCGTTGACTTTCTTGGTACTACTATCGACTGTCCTATGCTCATTATAGTGGACTTGCAAATCTTCTTCGCTCCAAAGAGCATGGGGAGTTCCTATCCCTTCTCTCGCAGCTGTATACGAGTCTTCTAAATGGTATCAAGGGTATCCAGGCCCAAAATGGCATACTAATAGAAGTGTTACAAAGTTTGCTGTATGGCATTTTGTTTCTCCTTCTCCGCCTTATCGCTCACTGTACTTCCATACTTCCTGGTTCATATCCCACAGAGCGCCGAAACCATCATTAGATATCATCTCATTCCAAGAAGAACTCTTGGATATTCTATCGTCAACTGCGGACCTCTCAAACAAGCTAGCGGCAATAGTTATTGGATATCGTTCCGAACAGCATGCGCAACTTGATCTACCTGGCTTCCTTACCTTTTTCAACGCTTCGTGGGGCTTCGTGGTGCAATGCGAAGTGATATGCCGGCGGATGATCATGGGGCTGAGGGGAGTGGTCCTTGGTCAGGTACGTCCTTTTATCTAAGTCAATCAGATATGATAACAACAATATATTACTCGTAGGCGAAGCACTTCCTGCAAACGTTCCATCAGGCCCGAATTAGCCAATCTGCGAAACTTGTCGAAGACGAGCTTTGGAATCCGATGTCGGAAGTGCCTACAGCACTGCAGCACATGGCAGATGTTTTGGTAGATTCCGCAGTCCGGGACTCCCCTGAGCTTATCGTAGGAGAGACAGATAGCTCGACTTCGGCCCCAAATCCGTTACCAAGCAATCCGAATGGATCCGCGCCGTCATCCAAGTACCTTCGAATCGAAGGACCGTACTTCTGTGTTTCTGCCACAGGTGCTGTCCTCGGCCTGTTATTCGATTACCTTAAGCTTGTCGTCAATCTGCCCATGCTAAACATCGATACGATGAGTCGGGTGATAGAGTTTCTGAAGGCGTTTAACTCCAGGACTTGTCAAGTTGTTCTTGGCGCTGGAGCCATGCGGTCAGCTGGTCTGAAGAACATCACAGCAAAACATCTTGGTAGGCACTGTTTATCCCTCCCGACAGTTAGGAACCACTGACGTCATCCCTTCAGCATTGGCATCACAGTCCTTGTCCATAATGGTCGCACTCATTCCGTATGTACGAGAAACCTTCCGTCGTCACCTGAGTCCAACCCAGGCAGTAATGCTAATCGAATTTGATAAACTCAAGAGGGTGCGTCCGGAACCGCCGTACGTCATCACCGAATCTCACTCGTGTCCTAAATGTAGGACTTCCAAGAGCATCAGAGTGAAATTCATTCCAAGTTGATTTCTATTATGGGCGATCGCACTAGTGCACATGTCAAATCTTTACAGGCAAGTTTTACGCCCTCTGCCGTAATCTCCCCCGCGGCTCGGGACCTTGAAAGCTAAACCCAGTGCAAATAGAACGTAGATTGGGATCGGCCCAAACAGGGAGAAAGTGTGAATGATTACATGGAACTTCTCGTTAAAGAGACTGTCACACTTCACAAGGTGCTCTCGAGGTACCTGACCGCACCAGTTGTGGAGGTTTGTGATACTTATGTTATACGTGCTAACCTAAGTTCGCTTACATTTGTGACCTGCTGCAGTATGTGATGTCTCAGGTGTTCGCTACGATCAATCACCGCCTATCCGAAGAATACAGCAAGATCGACTTGCAAAGTCAAGAAGCGAAAGACAGGTAACTAGAATAGTTGCCCTATCTTTGCGCCTCGTGACGACTTTGACAGGATGCTCGCTGATGCGCACTACCTTCACGAGAAATTTTCCGTTCTGAAAAACGTTGGTGCGCCCACGAACATGCTCAAGAATTTGGTCGCGGAAAAGGCTTTGCCCCGGAAGTCGGCGTTCAGTAACATCCGAGCCACAGCAAGTCCCAACGAGCGCATTAAGGGGCTGCTGTCACGGAAAAATAGTGTCAAACCGGACAAACCACTACCCGCGGTCAATTCTTCTCCGACACCTAGCCCGCCGCCACCTCCTCTTCAAGGGGCACCTACCCATGCTACCACCGTGGAAGAACATCGAAGTGGCAGTCCAACCCTTGATATTGTGGTGCCACCTTCACGAAGCAGTTCTCGCGCCCGCGGGATAATAGACTTCAAACAAGTAGAATCTTCTTCCGGAGATGTAGATGTGGCGGAGAAGGATGTACTTCCACCCATTCCAGATGACGCCAATCACTCGCTACTTTCAGAAGCCGACACCTCTAACGGTGTCGCTTCTGAGATGGAAAGTAATTCCGCATCGACAGCATCCCATAGGAAGGAGCGTGAGATAAGTGATAACCACGACGAAGTTCCACCTGCGGTTCCTATATTACCTTGCAATGGCGATAGTTGATAATTTTGGTTAGCGATTGCAATTTGGATAGCAATTATGGGTTCTTGCAAGATTTTCAAAATGCCGGAATATTCTAGTGTTACACTTGGTATCTCCACAAATATGCATGCCTGACAAGTCCTCCATTCCCTGATCCCGTTGTTTTGGTCGGATGAACCAAGATGAACCTTTCCCGTGCTTGTCCGGTCGCTCAGATATGGAGAGGCTGTATTTAGATACCACAACAAACAAAGGAAACTAAAGACGGGCCCCGTTTGGATGTTGGAGCCACTGAAACTTTGTCTCTCTTTGTTCCCTTACGTTGACGCGGGACCCGCACAAACGTTAACTGCACTTCGGATCCAAATGTGGGGAAACGAAAATCGAGGAAGAAATTTAGAAGAATATTAACGACTATTAATAACAGTAGACTGCTGCGCTAACTGGAGCTTGATGTATCCCACGATGCCAAGATTGTGCTGCAAGTCTTGAGGCCTGAACTAGGCCTGAATGTAAGATTGACTCTGTGACTGCCTCTGACAGGTAAATGATGATGCATACGCGACGCGCGTGGGTAGGTACTGCCCAGCACATCGAGTATTACGCCCGCGTTACACACTCTTGGTCATGACGCGGGGTGCAGCCAATATTATATTGACCGACGGTGATCAAATGGTTCCAGACTGAGGTTGACGCCTGATGTGGAAACGGGGGTGAATCTTCATCACGGTTCTACGAAGACCAGCCTTTACTAAGGGAGAGTCCAGAGCTGAGCGCTGAGCGCCGGCACCAATCACTGGCGACTTACGTCGACTGGTCTGGTCCTCACCCTTAAGGTCGCGACTGTGCGACGGGCGGCTAGTGCACCTCAAATCCAATAATGAAGCACAACTTTAGGGTGCATGCTGCAGGAGCTGTGCGAGACTTCTGTTATTATCGTCAGGTGACGAATCAGTATTTCCGTCCTCAATTTTATTACGTGCGAACGATGAAACTCACCCGTGGTAACGTCACTCGCAGACGTTCTGTCTATGTGACAGAGCTGGGTGAGATACTCTTCTGAGGGCGAATAAACGGACCTAGTAAGAGCTTGGCGTTCTGTGATATGCCATGTATCACATCACTTTCACACCTCGTCCAGAGTTGAAGGTTCAACGTTCAACCCCCAAATTTCGACTAAAGCACGAGTGATGGTGTCAGGTACTTATGACAGCTCAATGTCGCGCAATCAAACGTGCGACGGTGCGCTACGGTAAGAACAATGGGTAGAGAACGTTGCTGACAAATGATCTAATGTACAAATGTGCGAATGTGACGCTATGTGACGTGGTTCCTTGGGTCTCCGGTGAGATCACACGCTTTGACTCAAGTTGGATTCCCGGTCTTGTCTGAATTGAGTCATCTAATTCGTATTTATTATTTCTCAAATATTCTATTCATCGTACCGCCTCCCCCGTATTTAAGCCCGTGCTGTTCCTTTCCATTTTTCTCATAAGTCCCATCATTGCATTTCGACGACGCCTTCAACAGCGTACTCCAGTCCTTCATAAAACAAGCTTAGTCCTTTACGGTACCCTTTGTTGCCCAACTAAGCCTCATGTTCGAGGAGATATGTCTAACATGTTCTAAACACCTCCGCGATGATGGGTATGCACTTCCCTATACCCAGCTACCTACTTCTGACTTCCTATATCAATATAGTCGTGCTTACTGCAGTGATGAATGCGAAAATTCGGACATGTACAATTCTCCGTCTATTTCTTCTGCCAGCAGTGCCCTTTCGTCTCCATACATCGATTTTACTCCCGGTGGCGAAGTTCCACCGCTCATGCCATCTGCATTAGGAACCGCGCTCAGCAGTAATTTCCAGAAACGTGGCCGGTATTCTGTATCGTCTTCGTCCACCTCTTCAGCTTCGTGGTCCCTCTTCACTGATGCTGAAGAGGAGGGCTATGCTTCCGTCGGTATTGACGACGAAGCCGTCTATGAAGGGGATGGTTTAGAGTCAGGTGTATCCGGTGACAGCTTCGCACGGTCCGCAGGCTTCTTACATCCGTGTAAGTCCTCAGGACTTAGCTATACTCGCCAACCATCGGCTACCAACAACCGTTCAACCATTCCCCTTCTTCACCGCCGAACATCTTCTACATCTAGCTCAGGTTTCGGACAAGTTCATTCCTCCGCTGAAGATGATGTTGATTCTATAAGCGACGTTCCCTTCCACGAGAAACCTTCGGAGCAAGGGCGGGAGTATAACAAGCTCACTGTTACCTCCAAGTCTAAAAAGAGCCGCAATCGTGCGAGTCTCCCTGCATACTTCTCTCTTCTGCAGGTCAGCTCCCCCCAACGCAGCTCGCCGCCACTTTCCACTAGTTCAGGAAATACAATCAGTCGTGCTTCCCCCCCTACACCAAAATTAGCTTCATTGCTAGCTATTTCTGGCATTCGCCCTGTCGCCGAAGCCACGCCCCGCGGGCGGCGACGCGAACCCGATACGAGTAGTCGCTCCAACTCCCGTTCTCGTGCACGCCAGCAGACCCTGGTTCCTGGCCTTCGTGAACGTCAGGACAGCCGCAGCAGCGTCGAGCAAGTCTTTGATTGGACCTGTGCTCCGTTGACTCGGGGTCGTCCAAGTGTACGACGCAACTCGTCACCACTTCCGAAGATGATGTCCTCGATGCAGCAATTCGAGGAGACACCTTTCGTTAATTCCATTAATGAAACACACGAACGCAGGGGCCGCTTCAAGCGCAACGAGCTTGGCGGACCAGGCTCGCGTGATGCGCCGGGTTATGGAAATGGCAGGAGCGGCCTGCGAGATCGGGTGCGAGAGCGCCAGCGCGGTATTGATACTGGTCTTCTGTAACCACACCCCCAGAACTCATTTTTCGTTGCGCATGCCGCGCCGATATATTTATGCACCTCAGGCGTGACAAAACCAATGACCCGAGTAAATGACTTCCTCGGCTCTGCCTACGACCATGATCGACCTCACTCTATCGCCTCTGCATCGTACTCTCGCCACATTGCACTCAAAAAATAACCGCACCAGCCAGCTTGACATTCACTCTTCTATATCGACCATACGTAACATATCTACACCATCAAAGTATACGGCAGAACTTCTAGTAGTCGCAGAAAATTTACGGAAATCACAGCACGCATTCTTCGTCTTCACATCACCATTCATTACTTATTCGTGGTCGTCACATTCAAAACTAGCATTCATCGTACCATTTAGCATCGACTTTCACCATTCTGTGATCGTCACATCGGATCGAGGGGAATCATTATCAAGTACCATACATTGTTCAATATTCAACTGAGATTGTGCAATAATATTCGCTCTTCCTGTGCGGGCTACATGACAGATCAGAGATGGCGGCGGGCTGTGGTATGCACCTCATTGCAAACACGCAGACCTGAGCTCCATTAACAAGAGGTGACTACAGTAGATGTCCAGTACTGACTAGTGGTGCCGTATCATATCAAAGTATTAGCTCCGATTCTTTGATACACAGCAATGTAACGTGTTTCACGGTAATTCGTGAGCTAAAGATAAGCCACAAAACCCGGTAACGTATTCCCCCAGCAAGCAAACATGATGACGAGGCTGGGCACAGGCAAGGACCAGCTGATAGTAATAACGTATTAACGCTGCAGAGTGGAGTCAGTGGAGTCCCCTTGTGTCCAGAATATTGTTCGCGGCATGGTCCGAACTGAGGGTGCGAACCTTCGACACGCGACGGCGGACTTCCATTTCAGGAACTTACGGTACTGACTAGACAGGCCCACACCCAAGTCCCCTTCAACCCATCAAGCTGAAGCTTTGTCTTCGTCAGGTATTCATCCTGTACCAACTACTGCCAAATCATCCAGAAATCCACGTAAATATTCTAGTTTCGCAATTGCACTTCTGGTGCTGCATGAACATAGCTAGCCACAGAATCATCAACTTGCCATCATTGATTCACTTACTCAGCTGAATACTGCAGAGGACAATTGTCCTACACGCCTAGGGCCGTCTCCAAGCCTGGAATCTGCAACGGTTGAGAGTCACGGCCAGTCTACTTCTACACAATCAAGGGCAGTTGCTGTACAAGCCCATACAACTACTTCGATACCGGCTACCAGACATCGGTCACAGCTCGAGGAATCTGTAGGTGACTTGCAATCTACTATATCAGCAGGTGCAGCTCGTTTGGTTTTCGTCCAGATCATGTCTACTAACAACTCATTTCTTTATATTCAGATACTGAGGTTTCAAGGCCTCGCAAACGACAAAGAATCGATAGTATAAACACTCTGGACTCCACTTCGACCTCCCTGACTGTCAACAATAGCCTTCGCGTCACTAATTCACCTCTAAGCACCATGCGAATCCCTGAGCCTGATAATCATTCCAATTTATCTTCTTCATATGATTTTGTACCAGAGGCAGGCCCGTCTTGCGTCACCTTGGACAAGGCTAGTCATTCCAATGGAATAAACAAGGAGAATGGGCACTCTGCACCAGTGTCAAATGGCACTACTTCAAACGGATCTCCAACAATGGGGAATGGCCTTGCCAAGCATAGTTCATCCATCCCGCGAGTGTCACTGCCAGGCACCACCCTCTACGACGACCCATATCTTGATCGAGAAGAGTTCGTGAGATTAGTTATCCAAAGTCTTAGAGACGTCGGGTATATGTAAGCGATTTTATTTTTTTGGCTCACATGCTCTTCCCTTATCGCGTTCCCTTCAGAGAATCTGCTGCCACTCTCGAAGCGGAGTCAGGGTACTCGTTAGAAGCACCTGTGGTGTCGGAATTTCGGCAACATATTCTGCGCGGTGCCTGGGCTGATGCAGAACCTTTGCTCGTTGAACTTGGGGTGACTGATACTGACTCTCTTCTGGTATACATATCTTCCTGTATGACGGACATGCTCCTCAGTCTCTGACGGTTCTATTTTTAGGACGCACAGTTCCTCATTGGAAAGCAGAAGTATCTTGAATTACTCGAGGCACGGAAAACCACCGCTGCGCTGCAGGTGCTGCGGAACGATCTGGCTCCTTACAGTACCACGTCAGAACAGGGGGAACTCCACGTATTATCTAGGTGCGCTCTTTGAAATATCTCCATATTGTACATTTGTGATAACTCTCGTCCAGCTTGATGATGTGTTCAGATCCCCAAGATCTGCGCCGACGTGCATCCTGGGATGGAGCGTCGGGAATTTCACGGCGACAACTTCTTGATGATCTACAACGTCAGTATGAGATCCCAATGGAAATATCTCTTGGTAGTCCTATGCGTTTTGTTCAGCTATTGACGTCTTGCCTCGCAGATTATATACCTTCTTCGACCATGATTCCCCAACGCCGTTTTTCTACTCTTCTTGCACAGTCGCGAGAATATCAGCGATATCGCTGCCTCTACCATAACTCACCTGTGGATCCATCTTCATCCTCATTATTTAGTGACCACACATGCGACAAGGAATCCTTCCCTCGAATAACAACCACCATCCTCGAGGTCCATTCAGATGAGGTGTGGAACGTGGCCTGGAGTCACGATGGTACTCGTCTTGCAAGCGCAAGTAAAGACAAGACTGCTATTATTTGGCGCATTGGGGTTGGTTGGACTGACTCGCAACATCGAACGTGCTAATTTTTGACTCCACAGCTCGAGGCAGAACCGTCATCCCGTGATTGTATAGTAGAATTCATCTTGCGCGATCACCCATATCCTCTTGGTTGTTTGGCTTGGTCACTAGACGACTCTATCTTATCTACGTCTGCGGATCACCTCATTTTGCTATGGAACACAAAGGTTAACTTTAAATTCTCATGTCTTGCTTTGCGATACTTATGAGCTGTAGACTGGAGCTCTGATGAAGACACTCGAGAATCATGCTGAGACAGTATCTGCCTTGGTATGGCTACCCGACGGCTCAGGGTTTATGTCGGGTAGCCTTGATCGCAAGATCATATTATGGGTATGCTTATCGTAGGTTTATGTTATCGCGCCTCACCTCATCTTGAACAGGACATGGAGGGCGAACTACGGGAATCATGGAATGATATAGCTATACGTGTCACTGACGCTGCAGTGACTCCTGACGTGAGACGCCTGGTCGCTGTTGGGATGGGATACAACCCTCCTCCAGCGTTGGCTCGTGCCAACGTCCGAGACGCATCGCCACCCATTGTATCTAATGGCAACGGCAATGCAGTGGTGCCGCGTTCGCCAGAGAATCGAATGATCATCTACGATCTCAAGACGGGACAGGTTGAGCTGTATGTTCCAAGCATGTTTGTTTCAGCATGTTTGTTCATCGATCTTTGCACGCAGATCTGTTCACATGGAGGGTGAACTTACTAGCGTGAAGATTTCCGAGGATTCTCGGTATGCGTTAATCAATCACGCTCCAGATGTGACTACCCTTTTTCTTGTATCAAACCCAACCATATCACTGACCATGCATTAAAGGAAATCCATCTGTGGGACTTGGAGGAGTTCAGGCTTGCACGCAAGTTCACTGGGCAACGACAGGGTCACCATGTCATCCGCAGTTGCTTTGGTGGCATCGATGGCAACTTCGTCGTTAGTGGGAGTGAAGGTATAAACGACGTTCATAGCGTCCTGCTAGTTCGTACTCACAAAACATTTCCAGATCGCAATGTCTATGTTTGGCATCGCGACACGGGTACACTTCTAGAGGTACTGGAAGGTCACGGCTTGGGAAGCGTGAATTCCGTGGCCTGGAACCCCCGCAATAAGCGCATGTTTGCATCGTGTTCGGACGATAACACGATACGTGTGTGGGAGGCACCTGTTTCCGCGGGTGAACTGCTTCGAGGGTTTGGCATCTCTGCATCCGAGCCGGAGATGATTGGGAAGGGAAAGGGCAAAGTAAAGCAACCTTGGGCCTATAACGATGGAGGGCTATAGTGAAGTAGGGCTCTTTGGGACTCAGCGGACATCAATGATCTTTCGTGATTCGTGAATGCTTTTGCATTCTCACTGCTATTTTTCCCTCATCGCATGCCTCATTGCACAACATACAGTCTGATCAATTATCTTCAACACGACATATCACGCATAGTATAGATTGTTAAAGTAGCAACCCCGACAAGGACGTAGGATAGTGTTCACTACATAACTAACTCGAATTATTTTTAAAATGTCACGTGAGCGTGTCGTGTCGCGTCGCGTCGCACTTGTCCATCCTACCCAGACATCTCAAGGACACCGCTGACCGTTTCACATTCTTTACCTTCGCTAAATCACACCCCTTTGTCTTCTTATATGATTATTCTTGCACTACTTTCGTTTCCGGTGCTTTGGGCATTCGCCTGGGGCAAGGAGACCGCGTGGAACGGTCAGACCCCTCCAGGGACAGACACACCGGGTCCATTCTGGCCCTATTACGTCCCGCCAGGAGCAAAAAGTTACGATTCATCATCTCCGCTCATTCACTTTACTGGTTCTTGGTTCGACTCTTTTAATAACATGTACGTCGCGATGACCCTGCGTTGGACCGACGAGAAAGGAGCTGCTGCTTGGATGACGTTTGTGGGTACTGGTATCGAGTGGTTTGGTGGTCTGGACAGGAGTCATGGAATCGCCGCGGTGTTCATCGATGGGAAAAAAGTGCAGGAGATCGATACCTGGAGCAACGTGTCGCGCAAACAGCAACGGATCTTCTGGACTTTTAACCTGCCGTACGGGAAACACACCATCAAGGTTAGAAACCTTGGGAAGGGACGAGTTGACAGCCCGGTTATCGACATAGATGCCTTTGTTGTTACGGAAGGTCATACGAACCTTCCCATGACCCTTCCTCCGACCCTTGACCTGTCAAATGCAGCAACGCAGCCAGGACAGATTCAACCCTTTTCGCAAACTCAATGGACACTGGAACAAAAGGGCGTAACCGGCGTATCTGCCATGCAGCTTACCGTGATCTCCGATACCCACGCTCTTATCATCGATAAAGTTGAACATAATCCCATATCGATCGGGGGGCATCCAGCATGGGCTGCCTTGTTCAACCTCCGGACGCATGCCGTTAGGCCGCTCAAGGTCGAATCCAACTCCTTTTGTGCCGGCGGGACTTTTCTGAGCAACGGAACTCTGATAAACGTCGGTGGTAATCCTGTGGTCGGTGGGTACACGTCTGCAGCAGACTTTGGAGACCTCGATGGCTTGCAGGCAGTTCGCATCTTCGAGCCTTGTCCATCTGCCTCCGCCGCTCATTGCAACATCTACGAGAATCACTCTCGCATCCGCATGGCTAGCCCCCGTTGGTATAATACAGTTATTCGAATCTCGGACGGAAGCGCTATGATTATTGGCGGATCAAAGAAGGGCGGTTGGATGAATAACGAGACGGTGAATAACCCTACTATTGAATACTGGCCCCCAAAGTCTATCCACAACTCGATTGGCCTCCCCATACATCTACCGTTCCTCGTCCGCACCCTCAACGCGAACCTTTTCCCTATCGTATTCTCACTTCCAGACGATAGGATCTTCATCGCCGCCAATCAAGACGCTATAATATATGACTGGCGGACGAATCAGGAACAGCGTCTTCCGCGAATCCCTAACGAATGCCGAGTTACGTATCCTATGGCAGCTGCTGGCCTCCTCCTTCCTTTGTCTCCCCGAAGATGGTTACACAGCGGAAATCTTGTTGTGCGGAGGTTCCACGATTGACGACAAGAAACCAGGTTACGAGATATCTTCTCAAGATCCAGCATCTTCCCAATGCTCTCGCCTGCTGCTTACCGACCAAGGAATTGCTGCAGGGTGGGTGGTCGAACAGATGCCTGAGGCGCGTCACATGCCAGATGCAGTCTTGCTCCCAACTGGCGAGGTTCTGATCGTCAATGGCGCGAGAACTGGAATCTCAGGCTACGGCAACGTTATCGATCAGGTTGGGCAGTCGAACGCAGACCATCCGGTCCTTACGCCAGTTTTATATGATCCCACCGCCCCAGCTGGGCGACGCTTTTCCTCCGAGGGAATGACAAGTAGTGCGATTCCGAGGATGTACCACTCGGTCGCGACACTGACGCCCAATGGCGATATCATGGTAGCTGGGAGCAACCCGAACTTGGATCGGAGCGAGGTGAAGTATGGGACAGGAGTATAGAGTTGAGTGGGTTCGGTCCTCCATACATGAAAAAGAACAGACCGCTCGTGCACAAGCCCCCCTAAGGCTCTCCTGTATGGACAGAACCTCACCCTGAGTGTCAAATTCCCACCTTCCACAGATAAAGCCCCGAATATCAAAGGTAAGTTTGCTACCACTCAGTTCGTACCTCCAACCTCACAGTCACCTTAGTTGCACTGATGGATCTTGGCTTTGTGACCCATGCTGTTCACGCGAACAGCCGTCTGGTGTACCTGAGCTCTTCACTCTTCAGTGATGGACATTCGCTACAGATTACTGGTCCACCTAGACCTGCCGTGTATCCACCAGGACCAGGTTGGATATACGTTGTCGTGGACGGTGTCCCCAGCGTCGGATTTCAGGTGATGATAGGGAACGGTGATGGACCACCTGTGGACCACACTGCCTGGGACAAGTGACATCCACCTTTCCCCCTTTTTTATTTGCATTACTGAAGCATTCATTGACAGTTTGCTGAAAATGACTGCGGTGGACCAATACGAAGCATCGAAGACGAAAGGAAAGAAAAAAGGAAAGAATGTCGACAACACAGAGTAATATATATGCTATCCTAGCTTCCACGGATTGCTCAACCGTTGGCCTCTCGTCCTGTTATCTATTTTGCTCGCGGGCTGACGTTTGAGCTTAATATGTATTGCCAGCAATAGATTTGTACACAACGTTTTTGTATCATGATGAAGTATGAAAAACAAAGATAATAAATCCGTCTATACACAAAAAAGTTACAGGGCCCGCTGCTTCATACGACTGCTGACAGTCCTAAGTCCTGCATAAACTTTTCCGGGTGGTGAACCCAAGATTAAAGAAACAATTGCATCACGCGCAATTTTGATGTTTTGGAAGGAGCCCATGATGTGGATTTTCCTGTGCCAGAGGCATCAATTATGCTGTCAAGACGAAATAAGAGAATAGAGATTTACGTAGTCGGCGAGCACGATACGAGTCCGGCTAGTGTTCTCGATTGTGAAATTTGGTTTTGCCGTCCTGTCCCGCTATCCGTCCTGAAACGATTATCAGCGAAATAATATATAATACATGCTCATATACCGACCGATTGCTCTGCTAAGATGATCGCCATGAAGTGTTTTTACGTCTTTAATCTCGAATGAGTCGAGGTAAAGATCGTCCATTCGTAGAAGTGCTATCGCGTCCTGTAAATCAATAGCTTAGATATGCATGAAGATATCAGCAATCAGCACTCACGTTGACGTCAAATCCAAGAGCATATGCCTTCACAAAATCGGCTCCTTTCTGCAGAGCACCGATTTCTGTGGTAGCTTTTGATGTCTGCAGCGATGCGATAAGCATAGAATCTCCAAGGACAGGCGAACGCAGTACTCTAATTTCCAAACACCGTCTCTGAATATTCATTCGCACTTGTAGCCCAAGGATCTCGGTGAGAGGACTGAAAATATTTATCCAGTCCTTTTTTATAGGTGTCATGCGATGCGGAGGTATTGGAATCCGCCTCGTCTCTGATTTCAGAGTAGATTGTGTCGCAGATGCTGGCAAGGCCGGAAAAGAGGGCGCTGAGCTTGCCTCTAGGGCGGCGGTAGGGTCAACTTCGATCATCAAATCGTCATCTTCGGCCGTGTGATTTGAGTTCAGAGGGGGAATAACCCCCGAAGACATCTCTTCGTCGCCGTCAACTTGTGTGGTATTGGCAGCCGTGCGTGCTTTCTTCTTACTCATGCTTCGGCGGTTTTTGGTGGCAGATGTGTTCTGCTCTACGTGTGCGACGACCATGTCTGCTAATGATGGATGGGAAATGAATTGTTCTAGTATGAGACCTTGAGGATTCAGGCCTTGGAATACTTCGAGGATGTCGTGCAAAGAAGTGCAAGTCACATGACCTCGATGTCACTGATCAAGCAAATTGTCCGACTCTTATAGCATTAACCCTGGAAGCTTGAAGCTTGACACCATAACCGACTAAATGTCGGGCCACACGAAGGACATGAATGACAGCCATACTGAGGGTAATTACATCTTCAATAACTCTGATGTGCTTAGAAGGAGAGCTTTTCAGCGCTGCAGGCCCTGTTCAATTCGCTCGCACTCAAAGGACCGGATACGAGTCCGTCTTCAAAGCTAACACCTTCGCAACTCAAACATCTCGCTCTTAAAATAGATGAGATATTCGGAGGCGCAAGTGACGGTGAAGGCTTGCAACGGAATGAGAAGGGCGAAGTACGTCTTCAAACCTGTGTCCACTATGTGTATTGAATTCTTGATCTATATTAAAAGCTTCTTAACGACGAGGGTCTCCCGATCATAGACATCACTGAACCTGCTGTGGATATCAGTGATGTTCACTCTCCAGGGGCCTCGTTTCATGAGCCGGATCTCACACCAGAATCATCTCTATCTGCTTCGGAGAGGGAACAGCGCCGTCGCACACGAGATCACATTTTGGACATGCTTGAAGAAGAGGAACAATTACAATTGCAAAGAAACGAGGCAGAAGAAAGGGAGAAGCGGATGGAGGATATACATAAGCGCAAGGAGGCCGCGAAAACTTTTGCTAATCCCAGCTCGCCGGATGAATCATTGCCACACGGGTCTTACACTTCGGGCGGTGACTCCGATGACGAATCAGATGAGGGCCTGCTCGAAGAGGAATTCGATTGGGATTCTGCACAGCACCACCGAGAAGTGGCCCTGGAGTATTATAAGAAGCGTCATGTTATTGGTGCAGAGGCTACCCGAGCGATGACTTCGCACACGCATGATGATGAAGAATGGAACCAAGGGGTCAGTATTTTTCTTCTTGTTCAACCCCGAAATTTCAACAAGTCGACTACAGGATATTACCCCAAATCAGCGCCCAAAACCTAGCGTGTCGCGCTTCAGGGCTGATCATATGGCCATGGCATATGACAGATCTACCTCTACTTCGCTTGGTCCATCAGTTATCCCGGCCTCTCGACAAAAATCCTTGCAAGAAGCTATCCGGTTGGGAAAAGTTGAAAACAACCATCTTGTTGGCGGCGAGGAGGGGGAAAGCGGAAGCGAGGATGAGGCCGTCCGAGAGGTCTTGGAGCTTCTGAGCAATGGCCGCATACATAATGCTGGTCCCGTGGGCAATGGCTACATCCATAATGATGGTCCCGTGGGCAATGACCGCATCCAGAATGCTGGTCCTGGCGTCATGCGCTCGACTGTGCCAGAATTAAGCGCAGGTTCTGCGAGGAGCGCGGCAGACGCAGTCACCAGCAGTTCCGAGAGGAAAGATATCTAGGTTCAAAGCAGAGAGGATGTAGGATGCACCTCAGCGTGCAGGTAGGATGGACGATGAATGATTATAATTGACTTACTACTCTACAGACGTAACAATCACACTCGAATTCAAGAAGTCGCACCGCAGTTGGTACAAACGCATCGTTGAGAACTCGTTTTGTATTTTCACAGATCCCTATATCTGTGATGGCCAACAAACCATGGACGACGCGTGGGCCTGCTATCTGACTCGTCGAATGAAGATGAAGAATGGCAGAATAAATAGAAAGCTCACGAGTAGCTCAGGGTATCTTGTATCAAGGCCCGGCATTTTGATAAGTCAAAGGGGAGGTATATTCAATGCAGGGTAGATGATGCTCCGAAGGCGTGGTGGACTAACCCCGTGTGAGGTGTCCATATCCAAAGACGTGGTAGTTCTTATGCCTGGAAGTATTCATCTAGCTGGAAGAATCCTTGAATGCTAAGAGCGGTCCATCACAAGAACCAATACATCGACTAGCTTTTGTAATGTAGACAGTAACTGTAATCCGTCACAATATGACAGTTTGTTAGATATGGCCATGGTCGTGTATGATATAGTACATACGAGGTACTCGTGCACTTCGTTTCAACTCGTTAGTCCGAACTGTCGATACCGATTTACCACCTCGATTCGATTCGCCTCTGCGGCAACACTACCGATCGGACTCGGAGTTATCCTGCAGCTGGTTCCACTTGACCACTATGATGTCCGCTGACGGCGCAGAGGCACTCTGGACGTTTTCTCAAGCATTCACGTCCTCTTTCCAAGCGTCTTGTACTGGTAAAGCCCTTTACCTTTACACCGATCCTACCGACGTTACTATAGTCCGTAGAACTTGCCACCCGTCTCAAAGTTGCAGATGCGGATTCTGTGCACTCCATTGCCGGAGAAATACAGGCTCTCAACAAGCGTTTGACTGAAGCCACTGGGAGACTTCCAAGCTACGATCAAAGACAAAATGAACTGGTGCATGCCCTGTGTCTGATTTTGATATCTGAGCTAATCAAACTGGAAAGCAACTCAAAGCATTAGAGAAGTCACTCGAGGAGTTGCGCTCATCGACCACAGGGAAAACAAAATTCGCTTTTAAACGGAAGATCAAGATACCAGCATCAGCATCAACAGAGACCGCAACTGCTACCTGCTCGGGTGAATGCACCAGCGATACCTCCTTCAACAATATCTAGTGCCTCCAGAACGATATCCAACCACTCCAATTGCTACCTCTCTATATCGTGCCTTTCTGGTCCCAGCTCATCCACAGATCACATAGAAGTGTCTATAATGAGAATATCGAGTAGCATCTTAAATCTTCTTACAGTCCACGGATGAGTCAACCCTGTCTGCTAATACCGTTTCCCTTTCGGCGCTTCACATCAGCGACATACAGAATTCAATTCTCATTCTAGGGATCGTCGATGGTAGCATTATGTTGCACAACTTAACAAATTGCGTGGTTGTTGCTGGATGTCACCAGGTAGGGTTATATTGTCTGTGTATGTTACGCTCTGCTGTGCTCATGACTGGCAGTTCAGGATGCACAATTCCACTGCCGTAGATGCATATCTTGACATTACATCGAATCCAATCATCGAAAGCTGTGATCAAGTGAGGTTCGGCATGTACCCGAGCGAGTTGAAGGTTCAATCCTTTCACTATTTCATCTATTTAAATGCCAACGTCACCACAGATGACCACTGATCAGCCACCTCTGGTCACCGAAAATCATACCGAGTTCCCCTTCTTGCCCCAGGACTTCTCGCACATTCGCGCCACACCATCACCCAATTGGAGAGCGCTGGAGGAAGACAAGTTAGTTCATGATTGGCCCCTTTCAGAGACCAATTACACTGTCCAACTCGAAAGGGTATTACCCCGTCCCAAAATCTGATGCTTATTGCTGACGGACTTGATGTCCCCGGGCACACACGTGGATGCTAGTAGGTGAAGAAGCAGTTACTGTCATGATAATGAACCCCATCGATTGACTATGTTGACGTCCAGTCAGATGTACTAAACGCTTCGTTCACCTTCGGACGATTTCTACCATGAATTACAATAAGAGATGTCTGTACGCTACGTTTGCCGTTGTCTTTTCCTCTTCCTCTCTTTCAAATAGCGTTCGAATGTCTCGTCGACATTGCACTCTCGAAGTGTGGTGTATAGCTGTCCGTGTGCGAATGAATTTGTACGCAGGTCAAGTACGACTTTCTCTAGTGTCAGCTCTTAACATTCGTTGAATGTCGTTGCATAAGCAGGTCGTAGGGGAAACTGTTTGCAATTTACGGACCGGCTTGAACGCGCTGGATTGAAAGAGAAGGTGATGCGAGGTAGGCAATGTATCTCTCCAGTATGAGGAATCTGAACCATGTGATGAAGAGGGGTGATGTGAACTCGTGCATTCCGTACTAATCCGTTTTCGACAGAGATGTTTCGTTGTATTGCGCATACAGGATTACTTTGAGATCCAATCAATGGGGAGGCGTGTGTGGATGTGTCAACATCCCGAGGTAGTCTGGAGGAGCTTGCTCTGCTTCTTTGAGAGTGTCCGAGCTGAAGTCCCGTTCCTCAGTATGTGTTTTTCGTCCTTAGCTTGCATTCATGCCCACCATAATCACCAGGTAGGGCGTCCGACATGATGTTGAATTCGTCTTACATATGTTAGATATCAGTGACTACTATCCAATACTATCTCACGGCAAGCATGATGATTCAGTGTTGTAGGGCATACACTGATTGTGACAATTGATTAGCCCGTCTTGATCATACCCTAAAGCTGGATCTCGACGAAATCGACTCAGAATCAAACACTGGCGATCATTCTGTGACGAGAGATTGATATAATATGAACACACAATAACTCGGAGAGCTCCAAACCCTACTCTTCCACTTGTTACGCCCTGTAAACCCATCTACCATATGATCTGCGTTTATCTGATTTCCATGGAATCGCCACAGGGTATGATATTCCATTCAAGTTGGTGGGAAATCCCATATTTGTAGGCAGTGTGGCTGAAACTCATTGTAGGGCATGGGACATACCAGCGGAATGGCTGCCCAATCTCCAGCAGCCATTAGTCGAAGATTGACCAAATCATTTAGAATAGTCCAGAGGTCACTGATGATGTCAATACCTCTCGTTAAAATTCTACACATACTTTCTGATGATGATATCCGGATGTAACCACGAGACAATTCAGAAATATCTGAAAATACTATCGAGCGCAATTGTATAGTATGGCAATCTTCATGATAGACAGATTTACCAGCCTCAACTAACTCAATCCAACCATTCCATTGTGAGAGGAAATTGGCCAACAACCACTGGAGAACCATGAGGCTGATACTTCACATCAATGTCCTGTGAAGTGAATGCAAGTTTGACTGCAGCAATGAGCCCATGTATCAAGCAAAGCTTCATGAAGATAGTGAGAAGTGCGGTGATAATAAGAGCGGGAGGGACGAGGAGTCTCTATAAGGACAAGTAAATCTCAGTCTCTTGAAGGAACTCATTATTAACGGTTCGTCTACCTATAAGGACAAGTAACTACTAAGTAGGCTGTGTGTATTGTAGCCTCTCACCCCCTAAACAATGTTGACTATAAAATCGGAATTCTATATACTATTCCCACGGCAATAATCTATTTGGTCGAACTAAGCAATTGAATTTACCCTAGAACACGCTTCAGTCTCATCCATGATCAAGCAGCGCCTATGACATCGTTGGCGTTGGTCCTTCGCGTTGCAATCGCTCTTAACACCCAAGGATTCTTCCAGCCAGATGAATACTTCCAAGCATTAGAACCTGCCCACCATTACGTCTTTGGATATGGCCACCTCACATGGGAGTGGGTTAGTTCAGCACCCCTTCGGAGCATCATCTACCCTGCGTTGAATATACCTCCCTTTTGGCTTATCAAAACGATGGGCCTTGATGAAAGATACCCTGAGCTACTCGTGAGCTTTCTATTTATTCTGCCATTCTTCATCTTCATTCGACGAGTCAGATAGCAGGCCCACGGATCGTCCATGGTTTGTTGGCTGCCATCACAGATATAGGGACCCGTGAAATTACAAGACGAGTTCTCAACGATGCGTTTGTACCAACTGCGGTGCGATTTCTTGAATTCGAGTGTGATTGACGACTGAAATTGATCTCTTGTAGTACTTTGTCTCTCTGACATCTCTATTCCACTCGTTGTCGCTTTCACGTTCCATGTCGAATTCCCTTGAGACATCGTTGACGACAGCTGCACTAAGCTACTATCCTTGGGACAATGCGCGGTCCGCTGCAGGTGCAGTCGTTCAGTCGCCCAAACTGGTCGTCATTGTGACAAGATATCTCATATGTAAGGAATAGGACTAGAATGCGCATGTGTATTGTGTTTGCTGCGCTGGCGTGCGCAATCAGACCCACCAATGCTATCATCTGGGTTTATATGTTTGGCCGTTCTCGTCCTGCGTCTCGGGCTCCGACTGAAGTCAGGGGTCCATCCTCATTCGCGATTGTTGTGTCATCGGGTTAGTTGCGTTTGTCCGTTTGCGCGATGTAATTGGACAACTCAGGAATTTTCACAGAGCTATGACTATCCATTACAGTCTTTGCGCTCGATTCAGCCTTTTATGGCAGACCCACGCTGAGTCTTGTTGAATTTTCTGCGTGTCAATGCGTCGCCCGTGTCTTTGTTCTACGGCTCCAGCTCTTGGCATTATTACCTATCTCAGGCCCTCCCAATTCTCAGTTCTACATCCTTGCCATTCGCGCTGCATGGTATGCACCTTGCAGTGAATGAACGACGAGAAAAAATTGAAGACAATGCTCGGCTGTATCGCTTGGACATTGGCGGTATTCTCATTTGTTGGACATAAAGAATGGCGTTTTCTCCACCCACTCCTGCCGATGTTACACATCTTTGCGTCAAGGTCCCTAGTGGAGAATGTATCATCGCAGCGCGAATGCCGACGTCAAAGTTTCCCGGGAGAAGAGAAAGAACGTAATACCCAAAACCTTCTCACTCCCAATTCGCACTCGAGATCTATGCCTTCTCTTACTGGCCGTCCCAGCCTCGATATATGTGGTGTTCTTCCATTGCGTAGGACAAATCAAAGTCATGTCGTATTTGCGAAGCTTGCCTCCCGAGAACCTGACGTCAGTAGGGTTCTTGACACCTTGTCATTCGACCCCGTGGCAGGCCTACCTCCACCGGCCCTGAGCTCGCAGCCACCCGGGAGAATGTGGGCTCTTGGGTGTGAGCCACCACTGGGGTAAAACTATCACCATTGTCATAATTTTCGCTTGGGTTTGATATTTTGCATTCAGGCTTCAACATCCTGGCGACTATAAGGACCAGACAGATATCTTTTTCGAAGCGCCTTTGGAATATATGCGAACGCATTTTCCATCGCGTGTGGAACACTTCATACCCTCCTTCACCCTTCGCTTCATCGGTACCAAACGTCACATTCATGGAAACACTTCAGATTGTTGAACAAAGTTCACGATCTTGGGATTTAGGCTGGCGGCATGAGTGGCCACAATATATAGTACTATTTGGTGCACTTCTACGGGAGCCGGGTGTGTTGGACCTATTCCGGGATCAGGGTTATGACGAGGTATGGAAGGGTGGGTTTGAGTGGGAAGGAGAGGGACAGAGAAGGGGCGCTGTTCGGGTCTGGAAACACATCCGTTGAATTCTTCCTCAGCCACAAAAAATCTGAAATCGTCTAACGTATATGATTGAACATGAAAATGATGATTGAGCAAGGGGTGCAGTTCGAGGGATGTATCTGAGAAATTAATACGGCTACATCACAACATGCCAAGTGGACCAAATGTCCACTGGATATCATCTACTTTGCATTCTGACGTTGCATGCGAGTGAGCTGCGAAAACAAAGATATGTTAGCAAGGAAAGTTGATCTGAACATGGATGACTGACTCTGCGACGCTTCTTCAACCTAAATAGGAGAGTAATCAGTCAGTCCATCATCCCTTCACGTTAGAATATGAAACATACTTGTGCTTCTTCATCTTCTTTCGCTTCTTACGCTTTGTGCTATCAGCGTAGATAGTGACCCACTCCTGTGCAGACTCTTTCGCGTTAACTGCGCTATCTCCTGCAGTCTCCCCACCCAAACCAAGTTTTGCCAAGGTGTTTTGCCAGGACACTATTCCACCCACGCGGTTCATGACCAATGCATGACCAAGCTGCCTCGCTGCATCAGCATCGGTCTCAAACGAGGATTCTGGCGGCTCGTCGAGAGTAGGAAATTGCCCCGACTGCAATTGAGTCTTTGGTATCTCTTCCGGTGACTGAAAGAGAGGCACGTCCGGGGGTGCAGACTCAAAGATGGTAGATGGCGGCTGAGATAAGAGGAGAAGTGGTCGGTGCAACGAGAAAAATTGATGGAGATTGAAATCCTGTGACGATATTGTGGGATGCACTTGGTGATGAAATTGGACTTGAAAACGCCGAAGGCGATGTAAATGGCAGTGAAGGGTTATTTCGTGCTGTTTCGACTGCGTTCGAGGCTGGAATCGAAGGATTTTCATCTGCACCTCCGGCCTTCATCTTGCCGCTCCTATTCCCAGAGCTGCTACTGCTCGTTCCGTCGCTTGGTGCGACGCTGGTGTTTCCATTATCAACCTTTGCTCTGCCAGAAGAAACAACAGGCTTGGGAGGCTTAGCAGAATTAAAATATCGACCCCCGCCTGGTTTAGACTGAGAAAAAAGAGGAATAGGCTCTACAATTCGCCGCTGGCGATTTGAAAAGACGTGGTAGGAAAGACATAAGTGTCTTCCTTCTGGCGTCTGGCCAGTAAGAGTAACTCGGAGGACTTGCTGTTGTGTACAATTGAAGAGAAGTGTTCAACCAAAACGGGTTAACATTGTTGTGGCGCATAAATCGGCCGAAAGATCGAGAGCGGCCGCGGCCAAGGCTTCCTGCCTCTCACTCACAATGCTCTCTAACACGTTGAACACTGGATATTTATTATTTGGTCGATACAGGACTCTGCACTTTTTTATCTGCTCAGCGCTGGTTCACCGGAACGCCGTCGGAAATCGGAAGACCCACAGTCGTGAGAAAATGGGTGGATACCTGCTAGTGTACCTGTACCACCACCACATACCTGGATCATTGGCGCAGGGCGCCCGCCTTCCATATACACCAGTCCTATTAATTGATTAATCTCGATATGTCTGTCTCTCCTCCTGTATTCAATGTCCATACTCCCACATCTTCTTTCGCGCTCATCCACTCTCGTAAGCATTTCAATAATAACATGATGGAGCTGATCGTTTGTCTATCAGTCAAAGATGATACTATACAGCAATTATACGACAAGCTTTCGAGAAAGTCAAATACAGGGCTTCCATGGAAAGCGTGTTGGTCCTGGTTGGATCAAGTACAATTGGAATGACGCCGTGTGGAATATGGATGACTGGTATTAATCCCTGTGCATCCACCCGCCCTTTCCTTACTAAAAACACCCGATACAGAAAGTGACTACACCATTTTTGTATGGAGGCAGAAAGCACCCTCTTCATCCGAACAGCCTACATCCGACATAACACCAACGCTCCACGTTCACGATCCCGCAGCCCAACTGCCGGAGCCACCTGCGTATTGCAACCCATCCTTTTACCTATTCAGTTCTTCACGTGTAGCTTCGCCGCGTCCTCGGTCAGCGCGGAGCGCCAAGTCTCACAAGTCTAGGGCAATTCATCCTAATCCACCCGATGCCGAAGGGATCTCAGGGGTTGCGAAGCACAGAAGAGATTTTGAGAGATTTCATAGCGAAAACGGTGTACGTACTGTTTTGGGCACTATCGGCCCAGTCGACAATGGTGGGCAGATGCTTGTTTGGTCTTACATGCACACTGAAATTCAAGTTCTTTATAGTTCGTATGCTGTTAAAGAACGGTTACCGCCATGTCTACATCTCACGCAAGTTTGCGTTAAGGCATGGATTTATTCCAGGAGATGCAGCACCAGGGCACTATGGCTATAGTGGCCTCGTCAACCTTGGCAAATGGCCGATCACCTTGAAGACAGCTGCAGATTTCACTGATAGCACACATACTAACGGCATTTCAAATGCAGGACAGAGTTTGAATCACTCGCGACCCAGCAAGTCAAAGACCGTTTCTGTCCCCGTCTTCTTGTCCGAGGAGCCGCACTTTGACGTCGTGCTTGGCCGCTCGTTCTTTGAGAAACGCCAAATAAAGACTTCATCCATAGATCCTACCGAGGTTATCTGTCTTGATACTGGGGACAAAATCGAGTGTGAATTGGTCATACTCAAAGATGGTAGGGGTCAGATTGTCACTGTTACATAGCACTTGGTAAAATGGACATATGATATTGAATATCTGCTGTACACGGAATAATGCATAGGATATATCACAAGTACGGATTTTGCTCTGACCAGACAGGTCCGCTGTTCCACGATAGTGTGATAGGGTCTGGGATAGAATCTATCTCTTTCACATAATGGACTCCTTCTAGAACACTAAAAATGCCATGCCTATGGATATGAATGTTCGCCACCAACCTGATCATGAGACAACATGTATCACTTACTGTTCCTCGATGTGGCAAGTCATGCTTCGCAGAAGCCTACCAGCACCTACACTTCGTCGACATAGAAGGCATCGATATGTTCTTGGCGGCCTCCCAGATAGGAGCTGCGATTGCAGTCGTGACTTGCTACCTTCAAAAGCTTGATCTCGATTGTTGTGTAAATGGTTGTGTTCGAGCTGCAAAGGTTTCAGATACCAAAAGTGAAATCAAGAACACAGAACATACACCCTTCCTCCAATGCATGACAGTCTGGCCATCAGGATGACATGCGAAGCAGTAAAATGGGCCGCTTGTGTTGTCCATATGTGCAAGCGTAGCGGTCCGAGGATCCTGACAGCAACTGCGAATAACATGAATGGCGAGTACTGTGGAGGACCTGAATTTCGGAGACCATGGAGAAGAACCGAGCGAATAATACGCGATGCGGGTTACTTGTTCCTTAAAAGAATCATTCTTTTCTTTGCTTGAGCTCTTTGGAAAATCAAGGCTGCAGTTGTGTGCAACAGCATCAGTCCAGAAGAAGAGCTGTTCACACGCGTTGCAGACAAAGACACTGGTTGCAAGTTGGCGGATGTCTCCAGCTGGTACGTAATCCTTCGGATACCCATTGGTGATGATTGCAGCGAGCTGTTGATCAACCTGTCTCCGCCAGTTCCTCACCAGGTTAGGAAGAGCAACAAAAGCCGGTAAAAAGGTATCACGCTCTACTACGACATGGGCAGGCGATCTGATGATGTCGTCGAAAGGTTTGAACCGCGCAACGTCAGCGACATGAGGTAATACGTCGACGTCAGTGTTCGGAAATGATGCAGGTTCACTCAAGAAATCGATCCATGCCTGGAGGAGAATCCTGCGTCGAGAATTGTACAGCGTTTCTTCCATGCGGATGGTTCGCATTTCTGACATATATTCCGTTAGAATTGGGCGCACGCGGCTCCAAACTGTGAGATCAAATCATTTACAGAGCTTCAAAAAAAATCATTACACGAACTTCGAGTAGTGAGAGGTCGTGAATCTTTGATGGCACGATGTTTGGATATTTTCCACCAAGTATGATAATCGATCTCAGGTTTCCACCCTTCTGTTTCTAACCAGTCCTTGATGCTAGAACCGGATGTCAGCGAACACAAATGTTAGCTTACGGTTGATCTTACACTTGTTTTCGTGCCTCTCGTATCTGGTGTAACTCATCAGATCGGGCCCTGATGACTCCAGACAGCCATGCTTTGCAAGCATCAGCGTGCTTCAAAGCCACATCATTTATAATTATGAAACCTGCGAGTGAAATGTGGCATACCTCACGAATAGCACGCGCGGCCTTCTTTGTCTCTTCGATGACCAGTGTTTGGTCGGCACAGTCCAAGCCGTTGAGCCGAAGGCTGAGAGTCTCGTACTGCGATGTTTGGATCATCTCCGTGAACCCTATCCGTTATCAATGTCAACCAGACCGGTGCATGAGAGATGGTACTCATACGTAAGCGCAAGTCACGGAATATATATGTTGGGAGAAGTTCAGTTAAGTTTGGACAGAGCCGAGTGATCACAGGTTTTGAATATGCTGGTTCCATACTGAAAAATAATATTCATTTAAAGCAAGAACGTGCAAGGGAACTTCGTACTTTGTATGAATTCTCAGACATGGCCCGCAATATTTTACTCGAAACTGCCAGATGATGTTGAAACCGACTCCATGACAGTTCTGTATGTTTCTTGTTGGAGGATGCCTTTATGAAAATGATGGAAGACGACCCACGTGACAGTGTGGATCAAATGCAAGGCAAGCATACTGTGGCTCACTCAGATCTGGTGGACATTCGGGGAAGTTCGGGATAAGCGACCGCGAGGCTCTCCAAATGAAAGCGTTCGATTTTCGCATGAGCAAATTCCGAAATGCTTTAGAGGTGCGAGCTAGACTGAGGAGGTCAAGCGGTTTCAGAAACCCGAAAATCTGTTGCGATGGATAATGATTGAGCTGGATGTATACTACATAGGAAGTGAAGGTTACTTCGAAAAGAACGTCCAAGCTCATAGTGGGTAATAGGGAGAGCCCTCCTCTCCTAGCTCTCGACCTAATTGGCTTAGTGTCCTGAGCTTCTACTAGTAGGGATTCGGAGCCTTGAGCATCTTCATGTTTGGGTCTCTTCATTAGGTCTGCAACATAAAGAACGTCAGCCAAAGGCAAAAGTGATCAGTAGTGCCAACTCACGCAAGTGATGTTGCTTTGGGGACGTCATTGAAAAGGGTGTCACAGGGCCGTAGACCGCCGGGGGACAGGGCGTCCTCGGAATAGCACTCAAGGCACTCTGCAGAGGAGAGTACCGAACAAGGATGAGACCGGTCTGTTCAAGAAAACTATTGAAGCGGGTTCAGTACTATCTGAGTACGGCGGGAAATGTTCAAGTATTGGAGAGAAAGCATGGAATACGCGCTGCATGATTATATGGTGCTGATTATCATTAACGCGTGCCCTTTGTTAACTTTAGCTTTAACAGCACCGAGCTTATTAAGCAAGACTTAATCGATTTAATCCGCCGCCTGCCACCACCTATTTGAATCTTCGTGGTGATAGTGGCAGAGATTACTACCAAACAAGGATGTTCGGCTCGAATGAGAAACTTTTACTTCAGATTATTATACGTGCGTGCGTGGCTAAGTCCAGGAGGGTAATTGTTCCGCGGACCTCGCCCTAATAGTAAGTACCAGATGTAGGCACCTTCCTTTTGGGATGAGACATATTTGCAAGCTCTTGTAGCTGCTTACGAGTGAGTGACATGTACTAGTAGTCTCCAACACGCCGGCTCTCAAGGTTCTTTCCACAGCAAGAACGTCCTCTTTCATGAACCAGTGCCCGAACATGGCGAGCAGTGCTATCACCTGTGACGCGAATAGCCACACTCATACGTAGGTGGCAACTCTCTACTAGTATGATCCATGACCAGTATGCTCTCAATGATATCGGCTATGCCGCATCGCTGTTTAAGGTACCAGTCCCATTGCAATTATTAATGCCATTCGCGGCTCTGCAGTGCTGAAACCTGAAAGCTTGGCGTGTGTGAGAATATCAGAACCTCGAGGTCCACGGCTACTAACTGCCGAGCTCATCAAAGGCTCGGAGCTCAATCGGTGACTCGACTGTCGAATACATCTCGTGACGAGGGTACCAAACGGATCAGCTTTGTGCCATCGCAACAGGGCATAACAGTGACTGTTTCAATAACCGAATCTCTTGGATGATCACATAATTACCGTCCGAATGTTCTCCACCAGCATCGAAAAGAGTGAGAACTCTTGGGAAGTGATCGTCAAACTCTACTGTGGGGCGCTTTCATGATGCTGTCAATGTTGATGAAATCAAAATGATTAAATACCGTCATCGTATGGGGAACGTTTCGCCTTCACTTCCAGTGCAATGAGCAGAGACACGCTCCAGGAACTTCCACCTAGGGGAATCATGATGGTGTGGCATCTCCCATGCGAGAAGCGCGTTATATCCATCACGCATCACAGTGGCGTAGGGGAACATGAGAATCGTCAACACATTGAAGGACACGACCTTGTACTTCGGCCTGACTCGGAGTCACATGCTATGCAATAAGGTTACGATGGTTTAAAAATCTTAGACCGGTTAGCATGATCTATCTCAGGTAGCTATGCTCTACTATTGAAAACTCACCAGCAACGTGCCTCGTAAATTTACGCATGCCTCTTTGCGGCCTGCGCGACCGCCATCCAATAATAAATTTGCTCCTGCGGCTGTCGAAGGGTGGATCACGCCCAGTCTATGTTATGTACACATCAGAGTGCTGATTCCACGTGTCGATTGAACTTTCAGCATCTTATCGTAATCGACCATAACTTGAAGTTCCGAGTCACGAAATCGGGCTCTTAGACTATTTTGCGTCTTTAAAGATTGCATTCAGAAGCGCTGTCGCGGCGTGTGTAGGGTTGTTATTTTCTGCCTGGACCAAGGGTTAACATTAACATTACTTACAGACTTAGTGGATCCTGGAACCGAACCTGATTGAACACCGTAGGTTCACAATTACTAAAAGAACTAAATGACTAAGCAGATCACGCCCTTCAGAATCCTTTCGCTCTTCCCATAGGTGTTCCTTTGGGAAACTGTTTATTGTGACTCATTGTCCCCTTGACGGTTGTCCATAGCTTAATTCTCGCCTACCATGTCTGGAATCTGTAGACCACGTCTTGCCGAGGAGCGCAAGCAATGGAGAAAGGACCATCCCTTCGTAAGTCCCCCGCTTCTTCTGTGCGTTTGAATGAAGCGCTTTCATTTGTACTCATTATCTTGCGCCACTTGCTCAATTGAAATATTCCCCTCGATATTTAGGGATTCTATGCGAAGCCAGTGAAAGCTGCAGATGGCTCCATGAACCTCATGGAGTGGGAAGTGGGTATTCCTGGAAAGGCTGGTGTAAGTCTGAATCACAACATGCGCGCCATTTACTCATCACTACTCCCGCAGACGCCTTGGGAAGGTGGTCTATTCAAGCTTACCATGACCTTCCCTGAAGGTGATTCACCCTTTGTATTTCTGGATTGCCGCCACTGACTAATTGTAACGTGTAGATTATCCGTCTAAACCACCGAAGTGTACGTACAACCGAACCTGACATTCGCTTAAATATGAGTATATGGTGTACAGGTAAATTTACGCCTCCTCTCTTTCATCCAAATGTCTATCCGTCAGGAACCGTCTGTCTTTCCATCCTTGACGAAGAAAAGTCGTGGAAACCAGCAATTACCATAAAACAAGTCCGTAGAGTATTAGTATCCATGCTATCAAATCTGATTTCCATGCTATTAGATTCTCCTAGGCATCCAGGATCTTTTGGATGATCCAAACGTAAACGATCCGGCGCAAAGCGACGCCTACACCATGTTCAAGTACGTATTTTTTCACCGGTCTATATAGCATGGGAATATCACGGTTTATCTCTCCCAAAGAAACGACAAGGTTGCCTATGAGTAAGTTATCGCAAGACATCTGGAACACCGGCTGACCATTCGTAGGCGAAGAATCCGGCAGCAAGCCCGGGAGAATATACCGAAATAAAGCGACAGTCATGTGTCTGTAGTTATCTTCACAATGAGAACATCAAATCTCAACTGGCAATGTTCACATTACGGATCTGACTCTTCTGCTTCCCGGCCTCGCTGGCCGTGAATGATGCAAAGATGGCAGATCTATATAAATCACATGTGCTTCCGTCCAAGGAATGCCTCGGAAGAAATTCTGTACAGTCAATGGTGAAAGCGAGCACACAAGGGGCACCTCTGCTTAATATTTCTTGCTCCAGCTTCCAAGAGATCTTCGAGCTCTATGTTCCTCTTGAGTCATCAGTATCTTTCAGATTTCTACTTGCGCATCTGTCATGGATCGGTCTGTATTATCGGTCGCGTGCCATTGAGGCCGCAAAATGTCCTATAGTGCCTCGAATGTCTGACCAAACTGGTGAATGGGTAATTAGTTAAGTGACCGGTGGATCACCTGTTTCAAGAGTCTCATTGTATTCACCTGATTGACATGTACATACTATGCATAGTTATGATAGCCACCTGTTAGTTATATTCACCGGTCGAAAATAACTGCCAAATCTGTCAATGGTTTTTATCACCGTGTACTTTCACGCTTAAACTTGCAGTTGTGAGTCGCACTTAGAGCTAACTTGTACCTTCAAATCGCGCTTAGGAATTTCGCTGACCTCCGAGTGCAGCGTCGACGTCAGTGCCACAAATCATGATCGCCGGATGTATACCATTCCCACAACCAGCCTCCGCCGTCGGACGGTAATCCAAGTTAACACTTTTCTCTCATCTCTCATCTCGCAGCCCCATGACTAGGCCTGACTCTTGATCGATCGATTCCAAGCGCACGCCCTGAATCACCCCCACCCAATGTAGACTGCGGACATCAGGTTGATCAATTACCGTGAGTCAGTCATCATCTCTTCGACTTGACTAGACATCACGTGCAAGCTTTTTTGGTCAACGCGAACGACCCCAAGTTTGAATATTTGAATACCGTAACCTCAGTCCATCTCACGCCTCGTGTACTATATCACGATCTCCGTAGCGCCCGAATACCTTGCGTTTCTTCCTATGCACAAGTTCAGGGGCCGTGCTCGCATGTTGATCTAGACTTCAAGCTTCAAGGTGTTATGCAAGATACTCAGCCCACAAGCAGCCTCACAAAATTGTTTAAATTAGTGCGTATATCCTTCCGTAGCAACTGCGGACACTGGAAACAATAAACGGAGTCGATTTGATGACGACTCGTATGATTCAGACGGAGATGAAGTGGGAGCTCAAGGCAGCTGAGGGGTGGGATAGTCATAGCGGGCACAAACCACGTTAGAGTCCAATGACGTTGGTTTGATTACTCAAGTAGTAAATCGAACTGCAAGCTTGGGATTCACCGTTGATGTTGGTGGGAGCAACAGTATATAAAACTAGTAGTACCGACTGAACTATTAAGCTACTATGTGCCGCAGGACATGCTATATTTGCGAGATGGTGAATTTGGCAAAAAATGTTTTTAGCATCGTAAAAAAAATTGCCTGCGGGGCCCGTATCATATTCACTAGGTTGTTAGATGATCTGTTGTTATAACCACTCCCCGGTGATATTCAACATGTTATGTGGTGGAATTGATATTGGGTTCAACGTGAGGCTGGGTGATGGTCCTGGTGAACTTCACCAATTCCGGCGGCCGAGTCTGGCACTGGCTATAGTCTACCTTCCTCGCGAGTCTCCTCCCACAAATTTCCCAACAATCAATCTACTAACTACTCCCAATCTCCAACCGACTCGGACGGCTCCCGCAGATTCCACAACAGTCATACTAAATACTTCAAGTTGCTTGTCGTGCCACAGCGCGGCCTTCCGAATAACCAGAATGAGCTCGGAGCCGTGCGGTAAGTTTCTGTGTTCTTTTTATATATTTCACTCCCATATCTTGATACCGATTGTGCTCACTTTATGTGATTACCGGCCGTCTTGATCTCTATAACTGCCGTATCTGCTGTCCATGGAAATACTGCCAAGTACTTCGCTCCTTAGCTCTCAAATTTGTTTAGTGCTTAATCGCTTCTGTTTAAGGTGTTCCCGCACACTTGCTGCGACACGATTCGCAGTGTGAAAAGCGGATATGTATCATTGGAGCGGGACCCGGAGGTCTTGCTGCTCTAAAAGTCATATCAGAGTCCGCTTTCTTCAAGTCAGGGAAATGGTCGGTCATCGCGTATGAGACCCGGGAAAAGGTTGGGGGAGTATGGTAAGTTCACGCTGCTCAAAAATGTGAACAGTTGCTGAGCACTATCATCCCGTCCAGGCTACCTGCCCCGCCGGTTGCTGACCCCTACAATGCTCCCATGACGCCTCTTTACGATTCATTGACCACGAATTTGCCTCATCCTACAATGGCCTATACCAGCTATTCCTTTCCGCCAGAAACTCCTTTGTTTCCGTCAGCACATGTAGTGCAAACGTATCTCGAGTCGTATGCTGCATACTTTAATCTTATGTCCCTCATCAAGTTCGACACCACGGTATTAGATGCACGATGGGAGTCAACGCAGTGGACAGTAACCCTTTCGAATGGCGGACACTTTGCATATGACCACTTGATCGTCGCAAATGGACATTATCACTTACCCCGCATACCAGAAGTGCCAGGGTTGGCAGATTGGATGGAGAATGGTAGAGCTTCTCACTCTGCATGGTATAGAAAACCTGATTTTCTGGGGGATAAAATACTCGTTGTTGGAGGTGGACCCAGCGGTCAGGACATCGTTGCTTCGATGCGCACAGTTTCCTCAGTTGTTGTTCATTCTGTCGCTGCCCCTGACACACCGGCGAACGACGCTGGAAACCTTATCCAGAGAGGTCGGCTTATCGAACTCAAGGCTAACGGACAAGTAGTTTTTGACGATGGCACGACGGAAGATAATATCGACCATTGTATTCTGGCAACCGGATACCATATGCATTTCCCCTTCTTGGAGGGAGCATCCATGATCAACAAGAACATACCACCGGACTTCCCTCCATTACCTCCCGGCGAGCTTTTCAACTCAACCTACCACGTGTTTCCCCTTGCAAAGCATTTATTCCCGCTTCAAGCTCAATATCCTATCTCGTCCATCGCCTTCATGGGCCTCCTCATAAGGGTCGCGCCGTTCCCACTCATGGAGGCTCAAGCGTATGCGATTATGCGAGTGTTTTCCGACCCTTCATCTCTAGATCCTGTCACAGAAACTGTCGATATCATCACTCGCGCTGACAAGATTAGGCACGCTGGTGCTTCAACACCTCTAGACATCGCCAAAGCCTGGTTCCGATTCGACAGGGAAGACCAATGGAATTATCGAGACGCGTTGTATCAATTTGCGCAGGGCATGGGGTCTGGGACTACCGCTTATCAAAGTCACAGACTGGGAGAAAGGACTATACGATCTGAAAACGGAATTGAGGTCGGGATGGGAAGATTTGGAGAATTCGGGGGATTCGAGTGAGTGGTTGAGAGACGTCGGGAAGAATGGGGTGCAGGATTGGGTAGGGTTGATGTATCGTGTGGCAGAATATGCCAGGCGTCGAAAGAACTTGTTGGAAAATTTGTGAACACAGCGCAGTGCGACACGCCTCTCGTGTGCAAACCAACACATCACTAGTAGTAGTTCGACATACTAGTGTTGTCGTAAAGGAATGTATCCCTGACCTAGATCGCATTACTACTATCAGCCTCCGGCCCGCCCCTGTCGGAATATTAATGACACTTGACCTAATGCCTGTCTCAGAGTGAGTCATTTACCTACACTCATATATATGCTATCATCTTATCGTCAGAAATTTGCTCACGGACATCTCATTACTACTAGGTAAACAGCATGAGTCCCCAAAGCCCAGCATGCCAACTCAGCGGTACACAACTCGTTCATGGTGATCACGGACCAGGAAGCGAAGTAGCTCCTTCTATCTCTGTCACCACGAGTGAGTTCGCCGCTACTTGCTAGGATAGCAATTCATTATCTATGTAGCATTCCGAGCTGTGCCTCATGGCGACCCCGAGGGGCTTGGAGCGATGAATCCCGAGAAACATATCTATTCCCGCTATTCGCAAGATGTCACGTCGAGGGTGGAACAAATCTTGAACAAAGTTAATGTAGGTTTCATTACAAGAATGATCGGAGCATGCCTTATTTGCGTAGCAAGGACATGCAATCACCTATGCATCAGGATTGGCTGCTGCATTTTCTGTGAGTTGGCGTAACATGTTGATGCAACATGCAGGTGGTTGATCAAAGTGACCCTATGGCCTGATAGGCTCTTGTCCACTTCAAACCCAAACGCATTGCGATTTCCGGAGGATACATGGGCTGTCACGGCGCCATATCCACTTATATCAAAGGGAGGTTTGCTGATACCCCAATGATTGGCTTAGACGACGAATTCCAAGAGGGAGATCTCTGCTGGGTTGAGAGCCCCTTAAACCCTACCGGCGAATCGAGGCAAGTCTTCGAGCTGTTTTGATTTGAAAAAATCGATAATTTGAATCCCTGTCAGAAACATCAAATATTACTGCGGACAAGGTATGTTTTCAAAAGAACACGAATTATCAGCGGGGGGGCGCTCATGTGTCATCACTGAGATTCATGCTGTCGGAGGGAAGTTATTGATAGATTCGACCTTTGGTCCTCCGCCTCTTCAGTACCCATTCAAATGGGGGGCAGACTGTGTATTTCACTCCGGTATAGTAATTTCATCCCAAGCACGACATGATAACATCTTGACCTGTCGTCACAGGAACCAAGTACTTTGGAGGCCACTCAGATTTGCTCTGTGGAATTATTATCGTCAAGACAGAGGCTGAACGTGAACAGGTACTTGTACATAAAATTCCCAAACCAACTGAAGCCCATTTTTGTCAGCTCTGGCACGATCGTGTATACATGGGAAATATGATGGGGTCCCTGGAATCTTGGCTTTTATTACGGTCCCTTCGAACGATGCATCTGCGCATCCCAAGGCAATCGGCAAGTGGCACGGAAATCGCACAATGGCTTAGCAGGGCCGTTGTTCCAGAGGGCCAGGAGTACGATGGTATTCCTGGTGGGGTGATCACCAAAGTTTGGCACTCTAGCCTTCAGGAGACTGATGCTAATGGGTTTAACCCTTCGGTACAAATGGAAGGTGGATTCAATGCCTGTTTCTCGATCTTGGTGCGTAAACGCGCGCACAATGCATGATTCTTTCCTCATTCGAATGAAAGCTTTCAAAAGAAGAGTATGCAGAGAAACTTCCGCACTCACTGGAGTATTTTGTGGTAAGGCACTTCCACTAGGAAGTGAGTGCGTTGATGACTGATGTACCTCAGCCGGCGACCAGTCTTGGTGGTGTTGAGTCTTTGGTAGAGCACCGCATCAGGGCGGATCCGAAGGAAAATCCCCTTCTCGTACGCCTGAGCATTGGTGTAGAAGATGTAGCAGTGAGTCTCAGCGTAATTTACTGGGTTTTTTTTTGGTTGAACGTTCGCATCTTTAGGATCTGAAGGACGACTTGCGAAAGGCACTCGTGGAGATATCGAAAGGAATTTAGAACGAACAGTGCATGGATGTCATACCATTTGTGAAACCTGGTTACTCAAGGTGACAAGCCTGGAAGCTGGAAATTGGCTGGAACAGTGGAAGTACAAACTAGTCTTTAGTTGGAAATGAGTTTGGTTGTATTGCTTTCAGAAGGCTTTGCCAAACAGAAGTACACAGAATCCATCATTTGGACGCGTCACGGTCGTAAGCCGCGTCAGCTACGCTATTACATCTCATATCCAACTACCATGAACTCCATCTTACAGCGTTATTCGGGGTCAAGCGCAGGAGGTCTTTCTAAATCAGCGATCGATGAGGACAATGATTTCTCGGATGCAACGTGGGGTTCTCAGGCTGGCTTCGGCACCTTGGCAAAGGGAGTGCCAGGCTTCGTTGTCCCATCTGTTCCAGACGTGGGTCTACTATTATTGTCCTCAGCACAATTAAAAATTCTCGCAGCCTGCCGCATTCTTGAGGTTACACACCGATGATCATGCAGACCCGTCATGCAGAATCAAAATCCAGCACGGAACAACCACGCTTGCATTTAGATTCCAAGGCGGCGTAATTGTGGCTGTCGACTCGCGTGCTACCGCTGGAAGCTACGTTGGTGTGTATATATCAGGCAGCATTGTTGCTTCACTAACACGATCTTTAGCATCTGGAACAGTCAAGAAGGTTATTGAGATCAACCCTTACTTGTTGGGTACAATGGCTGGCGGTGCTGGTATGAAATTGACCTTCTGTGTTTATTGGCTTTGACGCATCCTCTTCAGCTGATTGTCAGTACTGGGAAACATACCTTGGCATGCATTGTCGATTGCATGAACTCAGAAACCGAGAACGGATATCAGTATCAGCTGCTAGCAAGTACTTGAGCAACCTCGTGTATAGTTATAAAGGAATGGGTTTGAGCATGGTCAGTCTTCATATGCTATGTCTCTCGCCAAGTCCGTTAACAGTTTTTAGGGTACGATGATCTGTGGCTGGGACAAGACCGTTAGTGCCAGTGTAAACATATGGAAAACCCACAACTGATTCATGCTGAAGGGTCCAGCAGTATTCTACGTTGACTCTGATGGCACGCGGTTAAAAGGCGATTTGTTCTCAGTGGGTTCGGGAAGCACGTTTGCCTATGGTGTCTTGGATCAGGGGTATCGGTGGGATCTTACGGACGAGGAAGCACAAGAATTAGGACGGCGAAGTATCTATGCCGCTGGGCACCGAGATGCGTTCTCAGGTAACACTTGCAACCTCTATCACGTGAAGGAGGATGGCTGGAAGTTCATTGGTACGTTGCAAGTCATTTCTTTGTGTTCACTATGATTTACCTTCATGCTCAGGAAATTATGATATCACGAAGCTGCACTACGATGGGCCAGGAAACGTTGCCGGCTCACCTGGTCATGGTTACGGTTATGACTTGCGCGTAGAAGGACGCAGTTCAGCCAACCCTCCTGAAACGGCAGCACAGGCGTGATGCTTTACTGTATAGATGTGTATCCGTAGTAGTAAAAGTCGAACGCAGTGTCTCCACCTTCCAAGCGTCATAGCGTACCTTTAAATTCGCACGAGGTGAGGCCTGGAATCAATTTCCAATCTAACAATATGTACTTGTCGACTTCTTGTGTTGTGACTTCTAATTTGGCTAACTGGGCTACAACTCCATGTACCTTAGGCTTTACAACGTAACGACTCAAATTTAGAAGGGTGGGTCGATATAGTCACGGTAGCCACGGTCACCGAGTCAGGTGGACCTGACGTAGTCCTTAAGTATAACAACGGCGTACACGACAGAAAACTTGTGCAATCATGAAACGTCTGTTCTCCAAATCATCCAAGAATGCGACGAGCTCTGTCAAAACTTCTACTCCCGCCGAGCTGCCAATGGCTGGTCGTACGGCCAGCACGCCCTGCGTCCACTGACTCCTAGGTCTGCAACCGAACTTATGTCGTTCCTCCAGTCCCACACCTCAATCCTCACGAGCACATTGCGCTACTCGCATCAGAGGATGGTCTGCTCATGCGTCCGCATCGCGCAGGACCACCTTATCCCGCGTCATATGTCCGCGTTTCATGGGGCAAGACGGCAAACATAGCAGAGCTGCCCAGCGATGGTGGAAGCCCTTCTGTTGATTGGAAAGAGAGCGTGGTCATCTATGGAATCGTGGGTTTAATGACCTTGTTCAATGGTAACAAGATTTCGTCCTCTGCTCATTCGTGGTGAAATCAAGACTGAATACTCTCCGGCCAGCCTCATACCTCTTGGTCATAACGTCCCGATCTGACGTCGGGCAATGTGAGCGACCTCTAGTCTTCGAACACAGTAAGACTCACACGAGGTTCAGTGTTTGATGCCTCACACTTGATTTATGGCGTGAAAAGCGTTGTATCAATACCCCTTGTGAAGGACCGTGCCAAATCGATCCTTTCACGCATGGCATCTCGTAACACGTCCGTAAACAGACCCTCGCTTCTTGTGAGCAGTGTAGACGATCTCCAGTTCCTTGATGAAGGGACCTCGGGGGGGCCTCAGGTGAAATTTGCAGACGAGGAGGAAGTGAAGATCCTGACCCCACGCGATCAAGTAAAATTCCCCATTAACAGCGCTGATCGACCTGCCTCACCTGTATCATCCGGTGCTTCGACTCCTGCTTCCGATGTATCGATGACCCATTCTCCCGTATCGACGATTGCAAATCGCATGTCATTCTGGAGCCGTCTATCGAAGCGCGCATCAAGCGTATCCGAAGGAGCAGACGTAGAGGAGTCTCTTCTCGATGAACGAGAATTGTTTGATTCCATAATACACGATGCTGAGGGAGTACCTGACAAGGTGATCAGTTCCATCATAGCTGCAACTGCGCCACCACCGGAGAGCTCAGAGGAGCGTAACTCTGAGCTCGAGCAACGCATTTTACGCAGATGTCTCAGAGAATTCACGAAAGGCGACATGTACTTTGCTCTACATTTCGGTGAGTGCACGCATCATAGCCCGCCAGACATGTAAGTCATTACTTTCCTCAGACATCACAAGATCTTTGCAACACAAACATGAGCAATTCACCAAGCTGCATGCTCAAAACAAGCTACTTTCAGAACTGGATGCTCTTCCGAAACGCACGACTGTTAACCCATTGGACGACAAAGTGGACGCTCTCTTCGAGCCATCTGTGATGTTGCCATTGTGGAGACGGGTTGACCGTCACTTTTGGTGGAATGAATGGTTATCCAAGCCATTTATGGACGCTGGTGTAAGTGCATTTAATCAAACATTCGTTTAGCATTAAATGATCGATCGGATCCTCAGCTTCACTCTTACGTGACACCAATAATGCAAGGATACATTCAGATCTCTTCGTTTGATATACCCAAAGATACCTCCGCCATGCAAGATGATTCAGCGGGGCCCGTTGATTACATTGTTATCTCACGACGCTCCAGAGATAGGGCCGGTTTGCGATATCAGCGTAGGGGTGTGGACGACGAAGCTCATGTAGCTAATTTTGTGGAAACGGAAGTTATTATGAGAGTTCAGGTGAGCAGCTCAGCTTGTACTATTCCGCCGAGTTTGAGTCTCCTCAGAGGAACGGAATAAGCAACATTTTTAGCTATGTGCAAATTCGAGGATCAAGTAAGCAGTTGTCTGATGAATACGCGATGCATTGCGTGACCCAATCCAAGTTCCGCTATTTTGGACGCAATCAGGTTACAGTATGAAGCCACCTCCTGTCCTTGCACCCGAAAGAACCCCTGCACAGAATTTGGATGCTATCAAACGCCATTTTCGTCGTGCTGTCCCTGTGTACGGTCTACACGTAGGGCTCACAATCAATGTCTAATATGATCAGGCCATTCACCTTTCCTTAGACCATTGTCAATCTTGCAGAACAACATGGGAAGGAGGGAATGATCACTAATGCATATCGTGAATATGCAACTAAACTGGATGCTAAGGATGTTCGGTAAGTTCATAATGATGAACTCTGATGACAGGACTTGAATGTTGTTACAGATACTGCGAATTCGATTTCCATCGCGAAACAAAGGGGATGAAGTCAGTGTCATCTGTCTACGGACAATGCGTTCCTGATCATTAGTAGATACGAAAACATTTCCAAGCTCATCAATCAACTCGAACGTGTGTTTGAAAGCCAAGGGTATGAATATTCTGTCATCTGACTTTGTTCGATATTGTGAACTCAATAATTTAGGTTCTTCTGGGTTTCGAACAACATGCTCCTATCAAAACAGAAGGGTGTATTCAGGGTTAATTGCATTGACTGCCTGGACCGCACTAACGTTGTCCAAGTGAGCCGGAGGTCCCGCTGCTGTCTCCATTTCTCACATCAGCCACAGTCTGCCTTTGCAAGGCATGTGATGAACATGCAGCTTGAGGCTGTAGGTCTTCTGAGTCCTCCCCAAAGCGGGAAGTCGGGAGTGGAGGTTATCTTTAATGATGGTCAGTGGTCGTTGTTCTTTTTGATAACGGAATTATGGAGAATTGCACAGTCTGGGCCAACAACGGTGACGCAATCAGTCGTGCATAGTAAGTGTAGAACGACCTGTCAGAAAGCTTGCTCTTACCTTAGTCCTCCCTCGAAGTGCTGGCACATCTGCCTTGAAGGTAAGTATTTAATTCACTTCTAAAACCTAACCTGAATGAGCTGACTGTCTGTCGGTAGGGCGATTTTACTAGGTCAGCTAATACTTCCTTGCATCTTTTTACTATTAAATTGATAAGTCAGAACTGGGAAGCGAGACTTGGGGGGTATGCTCAACGATGGTGTAAACTCCCTCGCTAGAATGTACAGCGCAACCTTCAGCGACTGGTTTTGCCAAGCTGTCATCGACTTAATGCTTGGCTACAGGACTCTCTCTGTTTTCGAAGAATTTCTCATCAAGCTACAGTCGACCGACCCTAGAGAACTCATTCGCCTGTCAAAGATCAGAGCAGAAGCTATAGCAACTTCTGTCGCTCGCGTATTGTCTGAGGGCGAAACTTTGATATCTGGGTGGACGATCTTTAGCCCGGAGCAATTAAATGTCAAATTCGACGATCGATTCGAGGAGAAGGTGTTACTCTTAGTGAGCATAAGCCATGGATCTGTTCAGCATTATTCTGAACATGAACTAGAGTGCCCGCGCTCTGTACATTGTCGTACGTCGTCCAATGACGCATTATTGGCTTACAGCAACATCTGACTTCCCCGAAGAGCTATGACTATAGCTTGGAGAAAGCTAAAATGTATATCTGCATCCCTCTGGGTGCGATCGCACGACTTGAGAAAGGTCATATTGGTTTTTGTTGACGGGTCAAGTAGCTAAACTGTCAAACAGGCGCTTATATCATATCTCCTCTGGAAGAGGCGAGCAGGGATCCCGTGCAGAATGTTGGCTTTTCGGTTTACTGGCATTCCAGCGATAAAATCAGTATGCGGATGACGAGTTATTCAATCAGAAATTGTCCGGAAGACGCCCCGACGAGGCCACCGCCAGCGGTCTCGGTCAGTAGTTCCAGTCAGTTCAAGCCAATGCTACCACGTCGCGAGCCAATGAAGACCGCCAACCTGTCGGGGATCATGTCTAAAGTTTCGGAGAACGCGGCTGGTGCGACCAAATTCTGTTTTGCGGCTTTCAAAGCGCTCCCGGTGGACCCTGCTCGAGTTAGAAGTGGATCCAGCATTGGATATGCAGAGCCTGCGGATGACCTCGCAGGAGCGACTACTTGCAAACAAGTCGTTGACATGATGGTAGACGGCATCAAGCGAGCTTGTGAAGACGCAGGGAATTCCCCTGCTTGTCATGGATCGCGATGTAGTCAGGTGGGTAACACGCTGAGAATACTTTTATCACACGATACTCATTTCGAGAGCAGTCTCACTGAAGCTCAGAAGATGACCAGTATCTATGCCAAAATGGAATATGGCGTCAAGCGGTTAATTTGGCTGGGAGGTTTGGTGTAGTAATGCGAGGTCTAGTTCTGGGTAACCACTCACTTCGTTGGCTCTTCGCTGTTACAATAGGTAACACAATGGCGACAGGCTGAGACCGGTCTCCTGTCACTACATAGACAGACCCTTTTTTTTCGAATCCTTGATTGTTGTCCAACGGGTCTAAGTTCTATGGTGGACACTACGCACAATAGGCAGAACCTTGACCCAATAGCAACACAATGACAGCAGACTGGCTGAGACCGATCCACTCGGGAGTCAGGACAATGTTATAATAGATGTAGTTATTTAATAATTTATATAATTTCGCTCCATTAAATAATGATAGGGAACTTATATAAGCGTTACGCTTGCAGTGCCCCAATATTGTAAAGTCCTACAAGTGTACCCGTCTTCTTTACTACCACAGTCACCTCTTCACCAGTCCTATTAACATGGTTCATCTTGTCACTTCCGATAATGTGGAGTTCGTAGTCGACAAGGAGGTTGTTGAGCGCAGTGTTCTCATTAAGAACATGCTTGAAGGTACTCTTCTTTTTATCTTTGCCACCATAGGAGTAATTTTAATCCTGCTCAGATGTTGGAGAGTCCGATCAATCCATACCTCTGGCCAACGTTTCCTCGGCCGTACTGAGGAAGGTTAGCATCTTTGATATTTATCGATCAACATTTTTCTTTGCTTTCAGACAACCACGTGTGCTCACACTCCACTACTGCACAGGTCATAGAGTACTGTGAACACCATAGGGGTGAGCCCTTGCCTAGCGCAGACGCCGACCAGAATCAGGATGAGACCCGCAAGCGGACAACCGATATCAGCGAATGGGACCAGAAGTTTATAACTGTTGACCAAGAGATGTTGTTCGAGATCATCCTCGCTGCAAATTATCTCGATATCAAGTCGCTGCTGTGAGTCGCGAAGATGATAGTTACACGGCTCGCTCTTATCACCTTGCAGCGATGTTGGATGCAAAACGGTTGCCAACATGATCAAGGGAAAGACCCCTGATGAAATCCGCCGTCTCTTTAACATCGTCAACGACTTCACTCCAGAGGAAGAGGTATGTTTTGTTCGTCTTCCTTACCGTCATCACCAGTTAAATTTTGATCGAAGGCGCAAATCAAAAAAGAGAACGTAAGTCCCAACCATTTGACTCTTATAAATCATCTCAAAACTCCTTCAGGAATGGGCAGAAGACCGATGAGGGATCAGTCTATAGAGTTTACTGTACCAGCTATTTTTCTATCTTCGTGTCATTACCAGTTTCCTTAGTATTGCAGTTCGATTTGCACTCGTGGTTTTCTTGTGGAACGGCGGTCGTTCGCTGCGCGCCGCAGCTTGGCGCGTGCTTACATAAAGTCAGCAGCTGTATTAGTACTTGTACATTCTCAAGCAAAGTTCAAACGTACATACTTCAGTTAATTTTTGTCCTCGTTTCTGTCTCGTTTATGCCACGAATCCCAACTATACCAGGAGTTGTCATTCCGCTACGCTCTGAGCAAGACCGGTGGTTGAAGAGTTATGTAGCGAGACTTTGCCAGCTGGATCATGAGCGGTACAGTGCCTAACTCAAACCGACATACCGGGTCGAGAAGCTCATGACCTTGCTTGACCTTAGATTTCCTGGTAGTCAACCAATCAGTTTTGCATCGGAACATTTGCAGCAGCTGGAACTTCGTGAGTGAGTAGCAGACTTTGTCAGTATGGAAATCAGTACCTCTCATTCGTCCTGGCTAGCTACTGGGTGTGCGAAAAGTCTGATGGCATTCGCGTCCTTTTCTTCCTTCAAACCGACCTCACGTCAGGCAGTCAAGCAGTTTACCTTGTGCGCGTCCTCCTTCACCCCTGTACACTCCTTGACATCACCTAGATCGACAGACACAATGATTATTATGAGGTTCAGGGATTCTGGTTTCCTCATCACGAACGACGGAAGTTGCCTTTGGGAGATACCATTGTCGATGGAGAGCTCGTCATTGATGTAGACCCTCGCACCAAAAAAGTAAACAAGATTTGCAAAATCGTTAGATGCTTCTGTTAAGATGACCCATTCTCCCCAGGAGACACTGCGGTTTCTCGCATTTGACTGCCTTGTGGTTGATGGGCAGAATGTCATGTCGCGAACACTGGACAAACGATATGGGGCATGTACTTTATATCCTCGGCCCCGGAGATATACTAATCGAGATTGTAGCGTCTCAAAGAATGGTTTTTCAAACCATTCTCAATGATGCTGCAAGAACTCCCTCACATGGCTGCTGGTCAGGCCTTCGAGTGCGTGATCTGACTCGGACATATGACCGTTTCTGACGCATCTATTAGCATCAAGGTTAAGAAGATCAGCTTCTCCTATGGTGTTGAAGAAGTGTTCCAGTTGGTCATTCCAACACTACAGCATGGCAATGACGGCCTCATCTATACCTGCGTGGAGACGGCGTATGCGTCAGGTACTGATCCAAACATGTGGGTTTGTTAACCATGGCTAGAGGACGGTGCTAATTTCAATTCCAAGACTGAAGTGGAAACCTCCTTCCGAGAACTCCATTGATTTCAAGCTTGTGTTGCGGTTCCCTCCATTAAAAAGTGATCTATCGAAACCAGACTATCACGCGAAACCGTTCTTCGCACTTTATGTATATTGTGGTGATGAACAGGGACGACCGAAATACGAATTTTACGATGAACTCTTTGTCGACGACGATGAGTGGGAGATGTAAGGACTTTCACCCAGTACTTTTTGCAGCTGACGGATAAACCTCCCAGGATGAAGTCATCAGGTGAACAGATTGACGACAGGATCATCGAGGTTCACTGGGATCCTGTTGTATCCCATTGGCGCAAGATGCGCTTTAGGGACGATAAACCCAACGGCAACTATCGGACGGTAGTTGAGAATATCATCCAAAGCATTGCTGATGGTGTCGAGAAAGATGCGGTATGACATTTATGCGCTGTTCAGGAATCATGCGCTTAATTTCAATTTAGCTCCTCGAGCGCTCTGCGGTAATAAGAAACGCCTGGAAAGCGCGCGCTCGGCCACAGCAGCCCCCTCAGAGAGGGCGAGACACTGCCACACGAACTCCATCAAATGGGCCCTCACTAGCGCATGCCCCACCACCAAATGTATCATTGAGATATGGCCCTCTCGCCACTTCGCGATGGAGCAGGGTGTCTGGGCCCCCAATGTTTGCTGGCATGCATCGCTGATCCAACTATCACGTCACGTATCGCATCGCTCTCATGATAGGCAACCGGAATTACAAACTATTTGTGCGTCCATCGGGTTGTTATCGCCTGTCGCACCCACCCTCCATCAGATCGCCCGTGAAACAACTGAGTGATGTCTCGGTTCTTGTTCCGGGGATGCATCTCGCCGGATATGGATATGTGGAGGAATCGGGTCCACGCAATAGCTGTCGTCGCTTGATACCCAAAGAATGGAACGCCTTTCGATCCGACGTTATCGATTTGTTTCACTTAATACATTCGCACAATAGGTGTAGACAGGGTCTTGTTTTGATATCAAAAACATCAAGTGTACAAAGTCTGGGGTGACTGCAAGTACACTAAGTCGTAAAGGGAAACGTCGTGACGCGTCGTAAAAGCACAACCAATATGGATTCGGATGGAAAGCATTTTGGAAACAAGATCGGTGGAAAGCATGGCACGGATGCATGTCTAGTCGTTACAGATGATGACGGAGATAGGGAGGCAACAAGTACGTAGCGCTTTTGAGTTTGACGCCATTATTAGCGCGAGAATGGAGAGAATATGCGGGAGCGTAAAAGGCGTTGCTTAGGCGTAAATCGTAAAGCTCTGTAACAGCAGGCAAGAAACAGCTTTCCAATGGAGAGGCTAAAACAAGCCTCATGTGCCCAGTCTGAAAAGCTTTTGAGATGTACGCGTGAAATTACAAACTGTGGATGGTATGCAAAAGATGCGATAAAATGAGGTTAAAATGGATGAAATCTGAAATGGACAGTTGTGGGGTGGCGTCTGCCGGCGGCGGTGACGGCGGCGAGGAAGTAGATCTGGAGCGGATGGGGTTTAAGAGCGAGGGATTGGCAGGAGCTCATTGGAAGATGTTCTGGTTGAGGGAGAAGGAGGAGGCTCCGTCGGAAAAGTGATGAACATCATCTCCGAAGTCACAACACTCTGCGAAAGTGTAGGTGTGCAGTCCGAAGAGTGTGAATGAAGGCCGCGAGTTGACGCCTATAGGAGGTAGCGCAAATTCGGAAGGAAGTTCGAGGTCATGAGATCCAGTATCTGCATCGATCATACTGAAGCGAACGCTCTCCAAAGGAGCTTCGGGTATCTCAGGAGTGGACTCAAGAGATGAACCCGAGGAGTCGCGACCGTGTCTCCTGCCGGTGGGAGAGTGAGGGGCTATGGAGAGTGCAGCAAACTGACTCATAGGGATAGACTATGATAGTGACGTCAACGGTCAGGCACCACCACTATGAATGAATAATATCTAGGTCTTACCTGGGCGAAGTCTATGGGGGGAAGGTCGTGTAACATCAGCGAGGGCGTCTGTGGACTATCCGAAGAGCCCGACAGGGTAATGGCGCCGCCCGCGGAGACATACACGCTGTGTTGTACATCCTGATCTAGCTCAGCCTGGTCCTGGGCCGTATCAAGGTCACGCTGTCCATCAGAAACCCGCCACCACTCAATGTCCGCAAGGACCCTACGTTCGGTCGTTTCCGAGTCAGAAGAACGACGAGAACCATGACCTGCAACACGCGTACGAGCGTTACTTGCACTACCATTTGATAGTGAAGTTGGGTATGGGTTCGAACGAACTGACGGGGATGAAAAAGAACGACGAAGGGAAGGCATTGAATGGGTGCACTGATGTGACTACGGGTTGAAAGACCTTCCAACCAAAGATTTTGGACCAGGAGCTGCCTACCGCAGAGCCCACTGGACGATAGCGAGGATGAGGAAGACAAGGAATGTGGGAAACTGAATATCCAGGTTTTATAATTTCGGATAAATCATTTAGATGTGACCAGGAGACGATGTGAAGAGCGCCAAACTTTTGTGAATGGGTGAAGGGGTTCACAAAAAGACGCTCACCTAACTGCTGGCAGCCCGTCACATCAAGGCACTTTTTATTTATGACGATAACTTACATACTACTAGAGGCTAGACTAGTTCTGGAGGATGAAACAGCCAAGCTATGTGGTACTTGGATTCAGCCGCATTGGACTGCGCTTTGATTCGATAATCTAAGTCAATGATGGAAGAACCGAAGCACGGACGAATTCATATTCTGATGTTCCAAGACGACAACGTTGCACTGAAATAGTAAGACAAGGATCATTCTGGCGCTCATGGAGGCTCACGGCTGTCAGTCCCACACAGCCTAGCATCAACGCCCACGTCCATTAAGAAATATCATGTGCCGTGTTATTAGTACCCTGAACTGATCCAGAGGTTGATAAGACTAAGATGATACTATCGATGAGTACCAAACGTTGTCCACGCCTGCAGGTACCTGCCAACTCATATGGAGGTATGCTTTGCCTGCAGTTAGTACCTGACTTCGGCCTGTACTCGGTTCCCTTTATGTGCTACGGGACCCGTCGGAAACGCTCTTAGGCCGGAGATTGCTGTCAAATATTATAATACAGTGTTCTCGCATGCCCGGCAATAGAAGACCTGTGCACGTCTTTTTCGGTCCCCTTCATACTACGTCAGTATACTGCGGGCTCTCCGGCACAAGACCGTCATGCATGATGCTTGCTGCAAAGTAAACTAGTCAAGAGGTATGTAACCGGTAGACCAGTAATTCGCGACCGTAAAATTATGGTCGGATCTCAAGACGGTGTCTTCGGTACTTATACCCTAGCGGCTCGTGTTGTACACCCCACGTTCGTCCACCCACTCATGACAACGATGTGCACCGTCTACTATGGTCCAGTCATTAACCCCCAATCAGTCACAGACTACCTTGCTCTTCCCCAATGTTTAATTTGTGTATCTCCACAGGGTGACATTGAATGGATCGTCGAGGATGTAGAGACCACAAAGCTCAATGATGTCCTCGCGCAGCATGATTGTGTCCCTTCTGACATCACTCTCGTTCGTTTGCACGACGGGGAATTCCTCATGCCCGGCTTGGTTGATACCCATACAGTCCGTCTAGCGTCTCATCAGAGCGTTCATATGTTGACCCATATCTGTAGCATGCTTGTCAAGTTCCTAATCTCGGCCTGTAAGTATTCTGACTCAAGCATGTCCGTCCTCTCCTTATGCATGTTTTTCAGTGGTGGGGAGATGGAGCTCCTGCAATGGCTCGACAATTACACTTTCCCGACGGAAGCCAGGTTCAAGGACGTCGAATATGCTAAACGCGCTTATCCTGATGTCGTACGACGCATAGTCAACTCGGGTGTAAGCGATCAGTCTAACGTCCATATTTTCGATCATCATGTTTGACGCTGAATTAGACAACGACATGCTGTTATTACGGTAGCTTACATCTAGAAGCGACAAAGGTTCTAGCCAGTCTTGTCCACGCCGCGGGTAAGTTTACCCTTGTCGCATCCGAACTATTAACTGAGACAATGGAACAGGTCAAAGAGCGTTTGTCGGGGTACGTATCCTTCTGGAAAGGCACATCAAATTCTAATCGCTTGGTTTGCACACCAGAAATGCAACATGAATTGGAATTGCCCACCTAATTACATCGAGCCGTCTGTCAAAGAATCTGTCGATACCACCTTGGCTTTATTCAAGTACATCGAAGAGCTACCGAAAGCTGCTTGCGGCGAGCCATTGCTACATCCCATCCTCACCCCGCGTTTCGCCATCTCATGTACCGAAGAACTCTTGACGCGTCTCGGCGAAATCGCACAGAAAAACCCAAAGCTTGCTATCCAGACGCACATCTCAGAGAATAAATCCGAGGTTGAACTGGCTAAAAGCTTGTTCAAGACTAACAGTTACGCAGAGGTCTATGACAAGTTTCATTTACTTCGCGATAATACTGTCTTGGCACACGGCGTTCAACTTACCGAGGATGAAATGGTGCTTATTGCTAAACGTGGTTCGGGAGTGGCTCATTGCCCGACGAGCAACTTCTATTTGAGCAGTGGTATGGCAAGAGTCGGTATGCTCCTGGATCATGGTGTAAAGGTTGGCCCTCCGTTTCTCAGTAGTTGACTGTTATAACTAACGTCCCTGTTCGATCAGGTCGGATTGGGTACAGATGTCTCTGGCGGCTACTCTCCGTCCATACTCACCGAGATCCAGCACGCCAGCATCGCATCCAAGATGCTCGCTATACAAGCCGTCGATAACAAGAAATGCAAATGCAGCGGAGGCCACTCGGAGTCATCATCAGGCGAAGAAGACAGTCATTCGCGCGGTCATGGTGGTCATAAGCACCATGAATGTCAGTGCGACTGCGAGTGCGATGAGAAGAAGCCTGGACGGTTCACCAATCAAAAACTATCCATTGCTGCTCTCTTGTACCTCGCCACTCTTGGTGGGGCGGGAGTCTGCTGTCTACAGGACCGCATCGGCTCGTTTGAGCAGAAGAAGGCGTTCGATGCTCTCCTTGTAAGCGTCCGAGAAGACGATACGGGGAACCCTGCAGTGTGGGGCTACAATCCTGGTCGTGACTTGACCCAAGGTGTCACCGCGCAGAGTGCGGACAAGAGCTTGATAGAATGGCTAGAACGTTTTTTGTTCTGCGGAGATGACAGGAATATTAAGAAGGTAATCGTACAAGGAAGGACGATTGGTGGACGGGATTACCATCCGGCACAGTGAATATCCATTGGAAGCATGTATAATTTAGATGTATACCTACATGGTTATGGCAGTAATACACAATAGTCCCTGGCAGACTCCCTTGTGCTCCCACCAGTGGCAATCCCTGATATGTAAGAATACATTATGATAGATACAGCGGCTGGTAATATATTATCCGTTCTGGTCCTTCTTGTAATCTCCAAATTCCCATTTAAAACAGTCCTATGAAACAAGGTGTCAGAGGAATGAAATATAACGATAGCACTCCAAAAATACCAACCACACAATCTTCTTCTTCATGGGCGACAGGTACATCCCACTCATTCCCGTCTTCATCCGGCCAGCCGTCCTCCAGGTCCAAAACTTCCAGAATGACTTCCTTGATGACATGCTTACGCAAATCAACATGCCACCCCAGTTTCCCAACAGTATCATACACTATACTCTTTCCCAAATGACATCTCGTTTCAAGAGCATACCCACCCTGAGCGCAAGGCGATGCAACACCAGTACATGTTCCCTGGGGTACCGGGTCGGCATTATGGTATACATGCGTAATAGGCACCGGAGGTCGCGAAGAATCTCCGATGGGGGGTGGAAGTGGAAGGTGAAGACGATTCGCTGCCATCCTTTCACCAGGAGACTCGAACGCAACAGCTGGCAATCCAAAAGTGGAACCAAGGAGAGAAGCAAGACTTCCTCCGAGACTATGGCCGACGAGCCATATGTCTGCGAATGGGTATAAAAACATCAGATCTTTCACGAGTTTCTGGGTGATGCGAAGATGTTAGTTTTTGTGGTGGTGGATACGGATGATCGACTTACGACGCCGGTGGAATAGAAGAGGCTGTCTTGTATGAGAGCTTTGGACAAGCATGTGTCGTCGCATCGTTGATGTAGGGCTGACCAGGAATAGCAGTCGCAAACTGTCGAGAACACCCATGAAAAATCGACGCGGGCGCAACAGCATGAGAAGAGTAGATTATCGTTTAGCTTATCTTTCTTTGATGTAGGTCCCTGAAGCGTGGTTCCTTTGATTGAAAGCACGATTGTAGAATTGTCTCTCGAGGTGAAAACGTGGCCGCGGAATCCGTCTTCCTCGTTATCCCACCCAAATGGAAAGCTCTAGAAGAGCTGTTAGAGAATAAGCATAAGTAGTAGGGAGGCACACTCACGGCGTTGGCGTTCCAGGACCGATCAAGGTCGTACCAGTTCTTGTGGCCTGGAAGTTGGTATGCGTTGGCAGTCATGCGTGCTAATTGTGAGAGGGTATGTCTGTCTTCTATGTCTGGTCCTGAGACTACCATTTGCTCCCATTCGATGGGCTCAGTCTCCGCATGAAGAAGCGACCGTAACCGAGCGTGCTCATGAGCATCGAGAGATTTCGGGCGGTAGACAGTTGTTGGTCGGGCCTTTAGAGATATTGCGAGGGGTTCGTACGGCGGTGTATGTGCAGCGATGAGAGGGAGTTGATCGTCTGCAACAGGAAGATTGGATTGTTGGTGGAGATCGAAGTTCACCCGGTTTGGGACGACAGTTGCGGAGGCGATATCAAGGATGTGAAGAAGGGATGTGATATACAACAGAGAGTGCATGTTACCACCTGATAGCAGGACTATTGTGATAAATCATCGAGGGGGTGCTGGTAAGCACCCAAGGCAGTGACTACTCTCCTGCTCTGCCCAAGTACTGTGCAGCGAGAACTCAGGGTACACGACATAAATGGGAGGCTGTTCAAGCAATCACGTGCCGAACCGGTAATAGGATTTCTGGTGTTATAACCGGGCAATAACACTGCCGTTGCACATACTACGATAGTACACACATTTGTGTTGATACATACTGAGTAAATCAACCACTGCTGTAAGCTCGCAATTCTGGCAGCCATGTCTGAGCAGGAGAGAAAGAGACCAACACTTTCATCTCGTTTTTCGCGACTTTTAACCTAGCCCGGCCAGTCACCACCGTCGCCGACCTCAGCGATAGGCTTTCCAACAACTAGGTTCTCCGGTTCAGCGCACTAAAGCGTCTCAGATAGACGTGATACCTGCATTCCTAAGGACATGTCAATGACAGCGTAGGGCGGGAGTCTGGGGTGCTCGCCTGAATTCATTACTGGTCGCACCCCATTGATATGCAACTCCTCCAGCATGTAGTGCAGGGCATAGCCACAAAGGTGAGCCTCTCGTCCATCAAGCTCACGGAGATGTGGAAAATCCGTGGAGATACCCTCGATGCGAGATCGGACGCCGTTTATTTGTCCGTCGTACGTCCATGTCACGTTTTCCGCAATGAGACGGGCTGTGAAATGTTCGCTGCCACTGTAGATAATGCCTTTTAAACGGTATCGTGCGGTGCCGCATTGACAGGGCAGGTCTAAGGTGTCGGGAGTCAGAGACGATGTCACCACATTTCGTTGATCCTACAACTTTGTGGGCCAGTATTCGATAGTAGGGTTGCTCACTGTCTCGTTATTCATCTACACGCCTTTCTTTGACCCGCTGACAATCATAATGGTTCCGTCCGAGATTCGAATGACTGTATTATACCAGCGGTGGCTAACCATGCGGATGCGGGAGTGATTCTCGTAGATGTTGCAATGAGCGGCGGAGGCAGGGGGACAAGGCTCGAAGATGCGGACTGCCTGCAAGCCATCGAGGTCTCCGAAGTCTGCTGTAGACGTGTACACGCCGACCATAGGGTTATTCTCAACGTTTATCAGAGTCCCGTCGCCAAGAAACGTCCCGCCGGCACAAAATGAGTTGCTTTCGACCTTGAAGGGCCTAACGGCATGTGTCCGGAGGCTGAACAAGGCGGCCCATGCCGGGAGCCCCCCAATCGACACGGGATTATGTTCAACTTTGTTGATGATAAGAGCGTGAGTATTAGAGATCAGGGTAAGTTGTAAGATACACCAGTTATGCCCTTCTGTTCCAATGTCCATTGAGTCTGCGAACCTAAGGACTGGATCTGTCCTGGCTGGGTTGCTGGATGTGACAAGTCAGGGGTCAGAGGAAGGGTCGTATGGCCTTCCGTGACAACAAAGATATCTATGTCGATAATCAAGTTGTCAACTCGTCCCTTCCCGAGGTTTCTGACCTTGATGGTGAGTTTCCTGTACGGCAGGTTAAAAGTCCAGAAGATCCGTTACTGTTTGCGCGACACATTGTTCCCAGTATCGATCTCCTGCACTTTTTCCCATCGATGAACACCGCGGCGATTCCATGACTCCTGTCCAGACTCCAGGCCATCAAACTACTCAATACTAGTGCCCACGAATGACATCTGGGCAGCAGCTCCTTTCTCATCGGTCCAACGCAGGGTTGTCGCAACGTACATGTTATTAAAGGAGTCGGATCAAAAACCAGTGAAGTGAATGGGCGGAGATGATGAACCGCAACTTTTGCTCCTGGCGAGACGTAATAGGGCCGGAATGAGCCTGGTGTAAACAGTTTGTCTCTGAACTTCGAGTCTGATGGCACCGTTCCATGTGGACTCCCCGGACACCTTGCCCCAGGCGAATGCCCAAAGCACCGGAAAGAAAAGTAGTGCAAAAATAATCGTACAAGAAGATAAAAGGGTGTAATTGAGCGAAGGTAAAGAATGTGAAGCGGTCAGCGGCGTCCTTGAGATGAGTCTGGGATTAATTGATGGTGACGGGCAAGTGCGACCCTGACGCGGCGCGACAGGCTCACGCGACGTTTGAAAAATAGGTGAACACTATCCTTGCCGCCGTTGCCGGAGTTGCTACTTTAACAACCTATATACTATGCATGATATGTTGCGATGAAGATAACTGATCAACGTTCGGAATCTTCGGATAACTGTATGAGGGTAAAGTAGCAGTGAGAATGCAAAATCATTCATAAAAGATCATTGATGTTCGCTGAGCCCAAGAGCCGCACCAACCCTCCATGATCGTCATACTAGGTCCGAAGTTGCTTTACGTTGCCCTTTCCCTTCCCTTCCCAATCGTCTCTGGCTCGGACGCAGAGATGCCGAACTCCAAGCAGTCCACCTACGGAGACAGGTGCCTCCCACACACGTATCGTGTTATCATCCGAACACGATGCAAACATGCGCTTATTGTGAGGGTTCCAGGCTACAGAATTCACGCTTCCCAAGCCGTGACCTCCCAGTACCTCTAGAAGTGTACCCGTGTCGTGATGCCAAACATAGACATTGCGATCTGGAAATGTTTCGTGAGTACGAACTAGCAGGACGCTATGAACGTCGTTATACCTTCACTCCCACTAATGACGAAGTCACCATGATGCCACCAAAGCAACTACGGATGACATAGCGGTCCTGTCGTAGCCCAGTGAACTTACGTGCAAGCCTGAACTCTTCCAAGTCCCACAGATGGATTTCCTTTAATGCATGGTTAGTGATGTGGTTGGGTTTGATACAAGAAAAAGGGTAGTCACATCTGGAGCGTGATTAATCAACGCATACCGAGAATCTTCACGCTAGTAAGTTCACCCTTCATGTGAACAGATCTGTGTGCAAATATCGATGAACAAATATGCTTAAACAAACATGCTTGGAACATACAGCTCAACCTGCTCCGTTTTGAGATTGTACATGATCATTCGATTCTCTGGCGAACACGGCACAACTGCATTATCGTTGCCATTAGATACAATGGGTAACGATGCGTCTCGGACGTTGGCACGAGCCAACGCTGGGGGAGGGTTGTATCTCCATCCCAAACAACAACCAGGCGTCTCACGCTAGGAGCCACAGCAGCGTTAGTGACACGTATAGCTATATCATTCCATGATTCCCGCAGTTCGCCCTCCATGTCCTGTTAAGGATGAGGTGAGGTGCGATAACAACATGACATACGATAGGTATACCCATAATATGATCTTGCGATCAAGGCTACCTGACATAAACCCTGATCCATCGGGTAGCCATACCAAGGTAGACACTGTCTCAGCATGATTCTCAAGTGTCTTCATCAGAGCTCCAGTCTACAGCTCATAAGTATCGCGAAACAAGTTATGAGAATTTAAAACTAACCTTTGTGTTCCATAGCAAGATGAGGTGGTCCGTAGATGTAGAGTCGTCTAGCGACCAAGCCAAACAAATAACAGGAGATGGGTGATCGCGCAAGACGAAATCTGCTATACGATCACGAGTTAATGGTTCTGCCTCGAGCTGCAGGGTAAAATTAGCACAGTAGACGTTGCGAGTCGCCCAATGCGCCAGATAATTGCAGTCTTGTCTTTACCTGCGCTTGCAAGACGAGTACCATCGTGACTCCAGGCCACGTTCCATACCTCGTCTGAATGGACTTCGAGGATGGTAGTTGTTTTTCGAGGGAAGGATTCCTTGTCGCATGTGTGGTCACTAAATAGTAAGGATGAAGATGGATCCACAGGTGAGCTGTGGTAGCGGCAACGGTGTCGCTGATATTCTCGCGACTGTGCAAGAAGGGTAGAAAAGCGGCGTTGGGGAATCATGGTCGAGGAAGGTATATGATCTGCGAGGCAAGACGTCAATGGCTGAACAAAACATATAGGAGTACAAAGAGATATTTCCATCTCATACTGACGTTGTAGATCATTGAGAAGTTGTCAACGTGAAATTCCCGACACTCCATCCCAAGATGCACGTCGGTGCAGGTCTTGTCGATCTGAACACATCATCAAGCTGGACGAGAGTTATCATGAATGCACAGTATGGAGATATGTTAAAGAGGGCGCCTAAATCGTACGTGGAGTCCCTCCTTGGTACTGTAAGGAACCAGATCAATCCCCAGCACCTGCAGCGCAATAATGGCTTTCCGCGCCTCCAGCATAGGTCCTATCATCATGGAGCCTGTACTGCATTTGTAAAGCTGTGTTCTCACTTAGTATTAGTGGAAGAAGTTTGATGTGTTACTACATGCTTACGGTTCAGTGATGCAGCTTGTCAAGATGGTGCTGCGGTCAAACTACGGAGTTCAGAATCACAGGTCGATCATAGATTTTCGGATAAAATACAGCTTACACCGTTGGATATCACCGGTATAGCACTACAAACCCAGCCCTGCCTCTCCGCGTTCCTTCATCCTTGCCTCGAAACGTGCTGCGACAACACGTTCCAAGACACGGATGACAAGCTCAGCGCGGGGATAGATCTTATCTTTGATGTAAGTGAGAATGTTCTGATTGTATCGAAGCGGCTTCGGAGCATCTAGAGTTAGGTGAAAGAATAAGGAACGAGTTTATGAACACCGATCATCAACAGTCTAAATGAACTTGTAAGGCGATGTGCGTAGAAGGAAACCTTTACCTGGTTGCAACGTGTTGACCAGGGCATAGTAGGCTATGCTTGAAACAACGAGTCAGAACGGATGTCGAAGACATTATTCTTTGCGTGTGACATCTGCAGGGGCTGATATCCTCTCAGTTGATTTAGGCTGGAGATGCACATAAAGTGCTCTAGATCACATTGAAAAATAAGTTTGGGGCTATTGGTGCAGTATCGCGCGCAAGAAACGAATCCGACGTAACGTGCTCCTAGCGGGTGCAAGGACAATGGACAGTCCAGTCCACGACTGGGAATTTCTCCAGCAGCAACGAGGCAAGGACGGTCAGCTATCGAGCTGCCCTGATATTCACCACGGCTTGCCACTCGATTTTGAGCCTGGATATAACAACTTGGATTGAAGGGACTGACGTTGTGACGGCCTATTTTCTCAGTTCCTGATCGGATGCTGACCAGAGGACCGTGCTCGTCAATTCATCCCGCTAACAGCGATAAATGAGCTGAATGGCGATGGCACATGGTGAACATCACAAACAAACGATGAGTAAAATGTGAAACTTTACTTGCGAGGATGCATGAAGTGCCCCCGAAGTCTCCAAGTGGGAAGGGAGGGTGGAAGAAGAAGTCCACTCCCTGATTCGGGAAGGTAAGCTCAAGCTATCACTCCTGCTACCCCAAGACAAGTCCACAGCACCGAGGCCGAGCTGTGTGAGATCAGAAACGCGTAGATTAGGCAGCGGCTGTGGCATGATTGATACGCCAGGACTACAGGAGGGAATTCTCAGGCTCCGCCAAAAACTCCAATGCCTTTTTATCCCGTACTCTCCACTTGCTACTGACCCATGGAGGAGGATTACTTACAGTATGTCATAAGGCGGAGACTAGGCAACGACATGCACATGCTGCACCATGATCACAACATCTGCGTTCGTCGATGTTCACTGAGTACTAGGTAGCAGTTACCACACGTTCGGACAGCCAATAGTTGTGCAAGGGTATGCTTGTCTTCTATATGTCTGGTCCTGAGACTACTGCCTTCTCCCATTCGATGGGCTCAGTCTCCGCGTGATGAAGTGACCGTAACAGAGGGATTTCGGGTGGTAGACAGCCATCGGTTGGGACTTGAGAGATATCGTAGTAGGGGGTTCGGACGGCAGTGTATATGCAGCGAGAAGATCAAGTTAATCGACTGCGAAAGAAAGATTGAATTCAAAGTTCACCCAGTTTAAAGCGGCGGGTGAGGACATGGTATGGATATGATATGAAACGCAGAGTGGACGTTACTACCTGATAGCAGGGATATTATGAGAAATCATCGAGAGAGTGCATGATTAAATGTTCGAGAAACCACGTGACCGTGCAATGGCTTGATCTGTCTCCTGAGTCCGGATCCGTTACTACAACTACATCTGTGACGAGTGATACCAAAGTTATACAGCGTTCTTCACAATCCAGTCCCTAATAAATGTACTGCTCAATTTTGTCTGCTTCAACATCTCCATGTCCTCATGGTCTAACTTTTCGCTTTCTGAAGAAATAACGTCGATGACGAATGTACGGAGGGGAGGCAATGACTCAGCGGAGCGTTTGCTGTCAACTGTATGAGAGTGTCAATAAACAATTCCAGAGAACCGGCGAGGTACCCACTTGATGCTGCACCGGGCAGAGTCTCCATGCTGACCACCAGGGCCTGAACATTAGGATCCCAACCAGTAGGACCGTACACGTCCCGTAATGGGACAATTTCATATTCAAGCTCAGGGCGGAAGAGCTGCAGGAAAGAGCGTGTTCTTTCCATGCGTACGGCCATTGACTCCAAGACATTCTTGTTCGATTTATTCTTCAACAGTTCGTCGTCTCGAGGATAAATTGAGTCACGGGAGCGACATGTTGCAAGGCATTATCATACCTGTGACACCGATAATGACCTTGGTACTAGCTATCCAGGCTGCCATGCTGAGCAGGATTTTGTGTCCTGCATGCAAGTGATCGAAAGTGCCACCAAGAGCGACGACGGGATAAGATGACGGGGAGGTATCACAGCTAGGAGTGGCGCATACGGAATGCTGCAGGTGCGCTTCAATGGCTTTATCTGGAACGACGAAGACTTGGGGAAGGGTCTCAATAGAGTCAGGGAGATGGGGTACAGGGGGGTCTTGAAATTCTACCATAAGGAACGTGTACGAAATGAGAAAATCAGAGAGACGCACCGCCCTGAATTCGAAAGCACATATCCATACCATTCCCGAAATTATTTGGGAACCCCTCTGAAGGGTCTTTCAGCACTATACTAATGTCCAGCAAGACCTTTCCCAAGTCCTGGGCTGCCTTGGTTGCTTTGACATAGACATATGTCAAAAGCCTTTGAACATGATCCCACTGTTGGACGTGGTTGGATGTCGATTCTGCTGTACGGAATAACTGAGAAGCCAAGACGATGACCAAGGCTTCTGTAGTAGCCGCGGTCACAGAGGCAATTGCTGGGCCTAGATGATGGGGGACGCCGATGTCCTGTAGATGGGCGAACAGGACAGTACGTTTAATGCTGCTCATGCTAGAAATTGCACTGGCGATCGCAGAATGCGATGCCTTCGTTGTTTCTCATTCATTGGTCAGTGATGGCGAACTTGGATGACACGATCGTGGTTACTGCTCTAAACGTGAGAAAGCAATTCCTATTTCAATCAATAAAGGAATATGCGTGAGAACTAATTCCTTTTTTCAACCTTCACATTGTACACGACGCGTTGCAGCACTCGGACAACGTTTACTCGTCGACACTCTCAACGGTCTTCTCGAGTCTTACACCTTCCTTTCTCTATATCGTGCTCACCCTCCTCGCGAATTGTTATCCTCAGAGACATCCAATATCGACCAGAGTTGCTCCAAGTTGCACTCTGTATTAGAGCCACCAATTAATAACAGCGGGCCAGCTTCTGGTCACTTGTTAAATAATATTTACATGGCTTCATCACCACAGGTCTCACTTTCTTTCTCCCCGTCTTCCTCTGTCAAATCTTCAAAGAAGCACCGTCCTGCTCACTTACCACTACCGTCATCAAACTTCAGCGCTGCCCCTGTACAGCGTCTTCAGGACAGCGTGCAGGCTCTTCACAGGTCTGCAAGCTTGGGTTCAACATCAGCCAGTCCACACAATCGTTCCATATCTAATGCCGCTAGTTTCAAACCAACTTTTTCGGCTCGTGTCACCCGAGACTATCCCTTGTCATCTCCTCCGACTGTTACCACTTTTCAGCTACCTCAAGTCCCAATTCCAAGTACAACTCATGCAGGTGGCATTCTACCCTCCTCATCATTCTTTCGCCCTTCCAGACCAGTCCATTCTCGTCCCTCATCATCCATATCCTTGACCTCTAATGATATCCTTCCTAATTTCCATTCGGTTCCTCTAGATCAACACCCTTTATCTAACTTGGCTGGCCGTATCTCTCACGAATCTGACCTGAGGAGCTATGGCGATCCTGCTTCCATAAGAGACACAAATGGTCAGCTATCTAAGCGGCTAAAGCAAAGTCGTGAACCTCTGCTTCCCCTCAACAACAAGCATGTTGTTGCAAGTGCTAGCGCTCCCCGCGCGCACTTCTATGCACTTAGATCCTTCCTACAAGATAACTGGTACAAACCGAATGCGAAATAGCTTCGAACGCGTATTCCGCGGTCTCAGCTTCGATAGCATACGGAGATCTAGTAGTAGCCTCGGTCATACTTTGAGTCCCCGCTTATCTTATGCGGAAGAGCACCCACCTTTCCCCTCTGTCGATAACTTATCACCCCCTCCACACCGAATAAAATCTTCTCCTTCCCCGCAACTCATTCGCATTGCTTCGAGCGGTTCTCGATCATTCTCTCCAACTCCAAACAATGTCTTTATATCAGTCCCCCCCGATAATCATACGCCACTCTCTGCGATGCCCGTTGTTCCTATGCAACGCGTATACCAGCGACATCCATCAAGCAATCGATTCTTCTGCGGCGGCCGGCTACTTACAGGTGGCGATTCTCCTTGGGCTTTCATTGCGTCTCTCACACTCGTGTTTGGTCTATCTGGCGTTTGGTTTGGAACAACCTGTGTATGGTATTGGCATAATGCAAGTCCCGCTGTCGCGGCGGTGGGAGCGTACATGACCTTGTTGACTATATCCTGCATGCTGACTACGGTGTGTAATTAAAATCGTTCGCGACGCCAACCACTCACTCAATGAATTTGAAGGCCTGTCGTGATCCTGGCATCTTACCTCGTAATTTAGACCTGGATCCGCCTTTCCCTCCTACGTCGCCTTCAGATGATGCTGTCAGGCAACCCTTACCTCGGGATCTCAAGGTACGCGATGACAGGTGAGTAATTACCCTCTAGTAAGCCGAGGTGTATGATGAACGTACATGTTCAGTGTGCGCATCAAATACTGCTCGACGTGCAAAACGTATCGCCCACCTCGCTCTAGCCATTGCAAAATGGTACGTAGTTTTGTTATCTTCATAATGGACTGTTACACAACTTCTGGCAGTGCAATAATTGTGTCGATGGGTGTGATCACCATTGTCAATGGGTGAACAACTGTGTTGGACGACGTAATTACACCTTTTTCTTTGCGTTCCTGGTGTCCGCTGTAAGTACCTTAAACCTCTGCCTGAGCACAACAGTAAATATTATTTCCTAGGTGTTGACGCTATGCCTCGTAATCTGCACATCCGCCTTACACCTCTATCTTCTTACTCGTCGAGATGGTATCGAATTCAGTAGTGCGTTAAGGGAAGGCGCAGGTAGTGCTGTGGCATTCTCGTTGGCTATCACTGTTATATGGCCAGTCACAGCCCTTCTTGTCTATCACATGAGGGTGAGCTGCAAACTTTTCCTCTCATATACAGTGGTTCGCTCACTGGCATGTTTGATGCAGCTATTGTTACTAAACATCACCACTATTGAACAAGTGGGTCGCTGACATGAACGGTCCCTTGATTTTGCTGATAGTGTGACCACAGATTAGAAACCAAGCGCACAAATCTCTTGTGCCAGGTCCCGCTCCTCCGAACCCATTTTCATATGGCTCATGGCGACACAACCTCATGGAAGTGTTGTGCCGACCAGCAGGATTTTCATGGCTCGATGCTCATGCTCCTGCTACTGAAGACAAGCGGCGGATAAACCCTGGTCTTGAAGATGCTAGCCCGAGGTGGGAAGAGACGGACACTAGAAGAGCCGCGGAAGAAATCATCGCGATCTGAAATTGGAAGTACTCTATCCCTTGCAATTCAAATTTTGATTTGCGCTGCTCCACCTGGACGTGTCCTTCTATTGAGAGCGGGGCGTCATCATATACCTTGAGTGTGAGCAAACTATCAATGGTGTGAAACGGAGGCCCGAAACTCCATGTGTGCAAACTTCCATTGTGAAATGTTGGTTGAATGCAGATTCGTGTGGATTCTGACAGCCTGAGAACATGGTCGCTGTCAACATGTACGTATACTTAACTTTAACGTTAAGACAGTAGTGTCATGCGTAGTGACTCAGCGGAGGCGGCGCCGATCAAAAGGACAGAGGGTAGCGTGTAGTCCCTACAAGAATAGCTAAAGGGGCCCTCGATCGAGAGTCGACCAGCGATGCCATGCTGGCCGGAGACTGAAATTATATCGGAGATTTAAAATGATGACACGGCACTCCATGCCATCACCCTCATACTCACATCTCAAGTTGTCAACCCCTCACGCGTGTGTTTAGAAACGCAGTCAAGGTGCGGAACCAACGAAATTGCAGTCGGGGATATGTCCCACTAACAGAGTTCTTCAGTGTTCAGACATTTAGTCACCGGCTCTGTGGTCCATTGTACGTATAACCTTCGGTTGTATGCCATTTCGGAGCAATTCAGGCTGGTTACAGGAGCCATTATTATAACCGGTTGACGAATGGAACCTGCTACTGTACGAGACTCAGCAAACGACTCACAGTCAGTGCCGCAGCAGCCGAACCCCCAGTCTGCAAAGCCGTCTTCGAGAAAGACACGGCAGAAGAAACAAACAAATTCGTCGGAATCTTCGCGCCCCGCGCCGAACACATCTAACTCCCGCCGACCACCAGGCCGTCGGAGCAATAACAACGCTACTAGTGCAGTCGAAAATCCTCAAACAACAAGCACTGGTACGGAATTGTTCCTTAAACGTTTTCAATCGTCATATTTACATACTTTACTCCGTTAAGCAGCTCGGCCTGCTACTGATCAGCATCAACAAGACGCTGCGCGTTTTCGAGGCATACCAATACCTTCCTATCCAGCTCCTCTTCATTACATGATGAATCACAATTACCACCCCATAAACCCGTCCCCTTTCACCCAACAACACCCTTCCGGGGGCTATGCCCCAACTAGCTCGGTTAATAGCGCAACTGGCCCTGGTATGCCTAGTCACTCCTCTCAGTATTATCCTATGCACCCGACATATCCTCCCGCTCCACATGGCTACGCACCGTATTATCCTCAACAAATGATGATGTACGGTGCACCCCGCTCCGGTACGTCAGTGCCAGGAACAGCCGCAGCCACCCAGCGCACCGTCCCCCGTACCAGCCCCCGCCACTCCGGCAATTGGTAAGCGTAAAAGAAAGTTGGAGCCCTCGCGTAGCAAGGTGACCGTGGAGAAGGATTCGGATCAAGAAGGTCCGTCCGGGAGTGATGTCCCGGCAAAACGAAGCACTCCTGCTGCTACTACGCCGACTGCGTCTGATTCAAAGAAGCGTACAAAAACACAAAGGGCTTGTGATAGCTGCAGAAGTCGCAAAATAAGGTGCGGTTGAGTTTTCTCTTGGTTTTGTCGGACTCACCCACTCCCTTTTTATATTTTTGTTAGATGCGACGTTCTTGCAGAATCGGAACCACCACTGTGTCAGCACTGCAAACAATATGGGTTTGAGTGCACATTCTTCCTGCCCATAACAGAAACGCGTTTCAAAAAGAAAAAAATGGAAGAAGAGGCCGCAGAAAAAGAAAAGGAGAAGTCCACGGACACTCGACGAAATACGTTGTCTCCTCAAGCTGAACCTGGGGATCGAAGAATTTTCGGTTTGTTTTGAATTATATCTCGTAGTTTTTTTTCTTTAATCTAATTTAGTTTCAGGACCGACGGCTGCTGTACATCTTTTGCATTCACAACCTATAATTTCTTCCCGGATATACGAGTCTTATGACCAACGTTATCACCACACTTGGGAAGTATCAAAAAACGGCGACGGTGTAATCTCCGTCCAAAATGTTCCAGAGGACGAGAAACAAGTTTCTCATCCAAAGCCCATCGATTTGCGACTTGAACCTGAAGTCCTCCAAAACCTCCTTAATGCTTATTTCAAAGAGATTGCTCCTCTCTTGCCTGTTGTATCGCAAGAAGAATTCTTGGCGAATCCTTCCCCTTCCCCCATTCTCTTGTACTCGATGTGCCTGGTTGCTGCTGCAAGGAGGGAAGTGCCGCAGAGTGTCTTTGACTCCATTCGATATGCGGTTAATGGCGTGATCAAGGCTGAAGATGTTTTGTCTACGGCCTCTATCGCGAACGTGCAAGCCTTGCTTATTCTTAGTATGATGGGTGATAGCCATTCTCAATTCGTTCCGAATGCTCTTTCGGCACTCTGGATTCGGTTGGGTACGGCGATACGGATGGTAGGTTTTTGTGTTGCGTCGAATTGGTTTTGGTTTTGATTGAGCGTGCCAGGCCCAAGACTTGGGGCTTCACCGAGCAGAGTCGGTCAAACAGAGTGTCGAACTGCGAAGACGTTTGTGGGGTGCATGTGTCATATGTGACAGATGGTATGGAAATATTGGGATGAGTCTATCAAACGCTGACTGTTTTTGAAGGACGAGTTTGACGTATGGTCACCCGTACATGATTGATGTGCAAGACTGCGATGCTAGGCTTCCCTCATCTGGCGATCCCAACGATTTATACATGGACGAGCTCGTCAGGTTGAGCGTAATACTGGGAAGGGTGCTCAAGACCATTTACAGGTCTGTAAATATATTTTTGTTATCACTGCAGGACTCAGTTGCGCGACTGTCTATAGCCCATCTGGCCTGATGTTCACCACGGACGATATGCTGTATAGCCTACTGTCCGACCTCGAGTCGTGGAAGAAAAACCTCCCAGGGAACCTACAGTATTGTGGTCCTGACACACCTCAAGATGCCGGTACGTGGTCGCTTACTCTTGGTGTTTCTTGATAAAGGTCTAATTATAATATCCCAGGGCTCTTGCACCTCCTTTACTGCTCGGTGTGCATGATTTTCTGGCGGGTCTTCATGCGCATATCCTATGCTTGCCCTGCACATCTGAAATTTGGGTTAACCGTCGAGACATGGACTTCTTTAGTTCAACTGACCGGCGAATCGATCGATTGGCTCGATACTCATGAACGAATGTATGACGTTTGGCTACTAGTCCCTTACGCGGCAACGTCCTGCGCACTTGTCCAGGTTTGTGCTCATGTGGTTCGTATAGTCCTGCGTTGATTATGTTGTAGTACCATACATGGGCAAGGCGGCAAGATGCTGAAGCAGCTACCAAGCTTAGAAAGCTTCGAGATTGCGTTCGAAGATGGGAAGGTTCAATCTCTCCTGACCACATGTCTGCCCGACGAAAGGTAGCCCCCACTTTCCCATAACATGTCTTGGCATCATTGATTGATTCGTATTTCAGACAGCCGAGATTATTGCTCTTCTGTATGAGGCCACTCAGGGTCCACCCCTCCCTCTTGATCAACCACCTCCGCTGAATCCCACGGGCGGGGTAAAGGGTCAACGAGCTTTGAGTGGTCTGGAGTATAAGAAGGATCCTTCGCGTCCTGGTGGAGGTTTCTTCGTTGCGCATGGTGAAGCTCGCAATTATGAGGATCTACCTCGGGGCACGATTGTGACGTCATCTGATGATGAAGTAGAAGGTTCGTCCTAACATAGCGACTACTAGAATCCATAGAGACGGCTAAGCGATTGTTCGCTAGCAGAGGCCACCGAGAATTCACAGCGCGGCGGCTCGTCGATGGTCACTATAACCCCACTTCCGTCTGCGCGTGGTGATGGGACTAGCTTCCCTAATATGAACCCTGCTTTGAACGGTGTCAAGAGCGACACGCCTAGTAGCGTGCAAGTCCTTAACGTGCTTGACGTTCCGCAGGCGTCGAATACGCTGGAGCAATTCGCGATGGCTGATGTTGGCCTCCTTGAGGGTATCCCTGGAGGTATGTTTGACTGGGGTATGTGCTGCGTTCAATTCTAAAATACGTGGTGGTGTTTAAATTGCGTGTTAGGTCAATGGGATTCGTTCTTTTCTCGGTTCAATCCATCTATCGCTGGTGTTGAAAATGCGGGGGGACAACGACAAAGAGGAGTAAATGCACCATTACAACCTTAGCATGGACATGGCATCCCGCATCATGCCTCGTGCCAATTATTATTCGGTTCCGAAGTATGCAGAAGTTTTTTATTCTATTTTGATGGACTCTTTGTCTTTCACCTGTTTTTCGTTCGCTAGTTAAGCTAGTGTGTTTTTGTAATATGTAAAATCTGCGAACTTTGGCCTGTCATACATACGCCACACTCTATCTATTATGATAATATGAATGCAATGGCTCTTTTATATATTCATGTCGGAAGCTGTGTGACTCGCTTGCATGATGGAATTGAATCTCAATTAACGTTCTGAACTTTGTGTAAAAAGTAGGGTGCAATCGGCGATCGTGACGGCCGCCTGCAGGCCAAGTTGCTCAAGCTCGCAGTGGCGCACTTATGTCGCAAAACACATACTCGTATATCGGTTCAGCATCCGAATTTCGGTAGGCTTGGGATGGACTTGACGTGGAGTGGGGAAGAGAGAAAAGTTTAAGACGTGAGCGCTGAGCGACCCTGATATGTAGACCATTTTGGTTACCAGAAGAATAGAAGCAACACCCTATCCGGCGCATCACTCTCATGATATCACGTTTCAGATCTGCATGGACACTCTTTCACTTTCCTCTTGTAGATCCCAGGAGGGTCTAAAAAATAACGAATAGGCGGTCAGAGAGTTGGAATGAAACACATCTTGGTCGGAGCACCAAATATCAAGCGATAGTGAGATGTTTTCTTCCAAAACTTCCATGTCATCGTTATTTAACATTGCATACTACTAGACTATCATAATAACCGCTGGTCGTTTACATCACTAGTGGTGCTTTCTTATGGCACAAATTGCCAGTGATTCTCCAAAGCAACCACCGAGAATCTCACAGTTTCTTCCTACCGTAAAATGCTCAAGCTGCATGCAGCCAGTCCCGCTCGCTGAGCTCGGTGACCACGTATGTTCATCAGAGCCTCCTCCTACCTTACTGTCCCTTCAGAAACCGCCCATGTCGCCAAAATCAACAAACTCCCTTCTACCACAGAGGTTACAGAATATTCTTGTTTCTAATAGAGCCGGAGCGCTACAACAGCAGCAACCCGTCACTTCCCGCACCCCGCCCCCTCATGCTTATCCACCCAGGTCTTCTCAACATGATCCTTTTCAGCGAATACCTCCAACTGTACAATATAATCCAGGTACTACTCGCATCAACAGCCCAGCTAGTCCTCCAATACCACAATCTATCCTTCTCAACGGAGGAACATCCACTAATAAACCCAATGTTCGTTTTCCAACCCAATCCGCTCCAGAGCGCGTCACTACTCCCATTCGAATCACAACTCCTCCCGTACCCACCAGGACCCCCACTCCTTCAAATACGGGAAGCGCTAGTTCCAGATCACCCCTTGCTGTGTCATCTTTCCCCAATCCTTTCGGAGATGAGCCACGTCAGTCAGGTACATCTGAGCCTGTAGTGGGCCGCTCGGGAACTGCGTCATCAGCTCGAAGAGAAAATGTTCCTGTTATACCGCAAGCGCCGCTCCCATCGTCCATGACGAGAACGCCATCGAATGCCCCTTCCCACACTTCTATCATTCCACCGAGTCTCACTCCGCGTCCATCATTTGATCACTCACGTATATCTTCTACTCTTACATCTAGGCCATCGCTGGACAAGCCTCGCCCCTCTTTTGATGCTCCTACTAGACCTTCGTTTGATACACAACGACCTTCCTTCGACGTATCTCGACCTCGCCATCCTACCGATGCACGACCGCAACCTGTGTCAGTCCCGCGTCCACCCCGCAGTACTTCGACACTCCCTCCATCAGGGGGTGCACCCTTTCCGTCGTCTTCCCCTGCGCCGCCGCCACCACCCGCAACCCGCTTGTCAATGCCAGATAATGAACGTAATATTGACACAAAATGCGGAGGTGAGGCTGGTATGGCTGGCGTTGGACGCAGAGGATTTGCAGCTGTGGCACGAGCTGCGATGGTTGCTGCATCTCATCCTCACCCTGGCTCTGGTCTACACAGGGATGCGTCTCTTGCGATGGACGGTCGTCGAGCAAATGCTCCCAAGTATCTGGACCTCAACGCTGCCATGAGCCAAGTCATGCGAGGTGAGCGCTTTTCTCCTGATACTCCCTCTTATACATCTTTGGTGTTTATATTCCCTCATCTCATATATAATTATGAATTCACCTACTCCATATCACTGTTTTGCGACAATGGACCGTACAGTAGACTTATTCTACCTTTGAAAATAAATTCTTTTGCATAATTGTTGGATATCATTTGTTCCCACTTTTCTTATTCGATATTAACTCACTGATTCTGCCTTTGCAGCCGCAATGACACCCCCACTCTCTCCACACTCGGGACACTCTCATTCACCTGTCTCTCCTCATCCCGTATCGCCGTTGTCGCCTCTTCACAACACACCGCCGACCACTGGGCAGTTTCCGAAAACATCGTCCACACCTCCTTATGACAAGACTGGGGTACAGTTCCTCTCAGCATCCCCAAATCAGAAACTCGCTCCTCTTTCATCATCGCCTGCTGACATCCATATTGTTACTCCATCACGATCGCCCTCGCCCATTTCGAATCCTTTCTCACGACACCTCAGCGGGGAAACCGTGAATCAATCACCGTTTGCAGCTGTTCCTGTCCGCCTACCTTTTCTCGACGCGTTTGATAAGGAACCTGTAAACCACAGTTGCGATGATTCTGACGATGAGAGCGTGTATACGACGCATACGGCCGAACCAGGGAGGGATCATAGAAGCGGCACAGTACCCATGTCCCCGTCGACTGATTCAGAAGCGGGGCTGGCCTATGCAGATGATTCTGACAACGACACGCCTGTGGTGATGCCACTCGATATACGCAAGTCAAATGCAGTATCCGGGACCAACAAGGTCCAGTTTCCAAGTATCGAAAATAGGCATCAGTCTTTCACAGCTCGGAAGACGTCATCGCGGAACGCTTCAGCTTCGTCTGCTCCTGCTGCATCCACCTCGCGAACCATCGATGCTAGTCCCAGCCGCACGCGCAGCGCTTCGGCTGCCACCCACACGACAACACGGTCTACTGGAGCGTTGGAACGTGCAATGGAAACGCTGATTGAGGAAGGTGCATCCGTCTCGGTCCTCGCTTCAGGTTCAGTGCTCGCCTCAATGGCTGGGCCCTCCGGGAGTCGCGCTTCGGGAAAGCCCAATCGGTCGAATACAGTACCAGGTCCTGTATCACCGGAAAGCAGACCACCGAAGCTACCAGCGCGGTCCCATACGAGCCCGCACCATCCGCATATTCATTCCGAACGCGTAGGTATAACGGGTCAAGTCGCGCGAATATCCAAGGCAAAGAAGGACCGCATTTGTGCGAGCTGTGATACGAAGGTCGACGATGGGAGGTGGATCCAGATGGACGGTGGGAATATCCTGTGTGAGCGATGCTGGAAGAACATGTACCTTCCCAAGGTATGTACCATGTGGCTGATTGTTGTTTCCATGTAACAAGTTTCATCATAGTGCCGCCGGTGTAATCTTCCCATCGAGAAGCAGGCCGTGTCGTCTTCTGATGGTCAACTGAAAGGCAAATATCACAGGGATTGTTTCAACTGTCACATCTGCCAGGTGAGTTGTGTGGTCTTTACGGCTGTGGTTGGAATTTAACTGTGTCATGTTGCAGAAACCATTCCCAGACAAGGAATTCTACGTGTTCGATGGCAAACCACTATGCGCATACCACTACCATGAGGCGAACGACTCCCTCTGCGCCGCAGTCTCATGTGGCCAGCCAATAGAGGGTCCGTGCGCAGTCACTCATGCAGGAAAGCGATACCATCCGGATCATCTCCTATGTGAGTTTGAGAACGGCTGCGGGGAGCGGTTGGCAGAGTATTGGGAGGTCGATGGCCAGATGTTATGTGAGAAACATGTTGTATTAGCTGGGGGCAGCATCTGTGCGTCCTCGAGAGGCGACAGTCCTGACCCGCAGCGCATACGTGACGAAGGGCGCGCAAGAAGGCGTATGACGCGATTCATCGACCTCGGGGCTGGAGAAGACGAGAACGTTGACATCCGGTGAACTTGACATATGCATTATTAACCTTATTCTTCATTTTTTTCCCTTTCTCCCGGACCACTAGCAAGTGTACTCCCACATCTTCCACAAGATGTGTTACCCTATATTCCCTTGCAATTGATATACCACATATTTCTTTTTTTCTTGATAACATTTCAAAGGGACTCTACAAGACATGGACAAGGCTTTTTGCATCTTCTTTATCTCGTTCGTTATACCAATGACATTAGGACAGACTTAAATTGATGTTCGAGGAGCCTACGTAGCGATACATCTAGCTGCATCACAATTCATGTACTCAGGCTTGCACTGCAGATAGATGGAAATTCAGATTTTGTGATCGACGCGTGATCTTAATTTATCCTCACGCTTGACCAACATCCACCCGGCTTCATTCTCGACCGAGGCTCAGTCACAATATGTCCTTTTCTTTTCTTACTCGGTGCTGTGAAACAGCAAGAAGTCCATTCTCTTTGCTTGGTTCGTGAATGCGTTCTTGTCAACATCCTGTTTTTTTTAACCACCGTTGCACAAAGGTTCCGTGCGGACTGCCACCAAACGCGCTGGAGGAACGGTTCGAAACCATGGAGGATCACCGGGCAAGCGTCTGGGTCTCAAGAAATTTTCTGGTGCGTCCTTTTGCCTCGCGTATCCGCCTCACCAATGCTAGAGACCTACTATGCAGACCAGCACGTCATTCCCGGTAACATCATAGTACGACAACGGGGAACGCAATTCCACCCAGGGCAGAATGTACGCAACCTTCCTACCCATTGAACTGCGATATTCATATGTTCCTCAGGTCAAAATGGGTCGCGACCACACTATCTATGCCACCGCCCCGGGCTTCGTACGGTTCTACAAACAAAAGTGGCTACGAGGAGACCGGAAGTTTATTGGTGTAGTTCTGCATCGCGGCGAGAAGCTTCCAAGGGATGAAACCTCACTAGGTCGCAGTCGATACTTTGGCCTCGTCGACCTGACTGCCTTCGCTGCAAGCGGCCCATCATCACAAACCAGTACATGAGTGGGGTTTGTCCTGGTCCCTGTGGTGATTCGCCCACGGTTTATGATGTCGGCTACATAACCATCGTTGCATCTCTACGCCCGTTGCACTCAGCACCGTATACAATTGTGTTGGTGGGCGGCAGTGCGCACCTTTGCTAATAGTATATGATATTATATTTAGCCCATCTTTTATATATAGATGATAAATCTCATTGCTATATTGCTGCGTCTGTCCCATCATCTGAGGTTTCTTTCCAACCATCATGTTGTCTCAACTCTCCATTGACCCCGTTAGACCTGCAGGTACGTGTCGCTCTAGTGGTTATCAGTCGCTGCGCCTACAGCGCTCTAGAATTCCCTGCTGAGGAATCTATCCTTGCGCTTGGTCGTCAAGTGTTAGAGTCCACCGAGTCTTGGAAAGTAGGCAAGACCTTTTCAAAGGGCACCGTCCAAGCCCTTTCCCGCGCAAAGGGACCAGGTGACGGAGCTCCTTGGCATTGCAGAATTTCCAAGCACACAACGGAGGATGCGACGTTCGATGAGTTTTGGAGCAAGATTGGCGTCAACAAAGCTGAGAACGAGATGCAGTGAGTTTCCCGTTGTCATTCAACCATAGCATGAACGTTCCTGCGATCAAGGTTCGTCTCTGCGATCAAGAAAGTGACGCTAGTCAAGCGAATCTCTGAGACTCAGTCCATCTGGACTATGTACTACACTTTCCCTCCCCCTGTCTCTCCGCGTGTCTTCACTGTGTTGCAAACAATACACTTCTACGAGTCGACTCCAAGAATTGGGTATGATTACTCGAACTCTTTCGATCGTCCTCTGATGCAAAGTATCTAGTCTGGTGGTTTCAATTCCAGTTGATTTGTCTGGGCCAGGTGACGAAGATCTTGCCAAGCTTGAAGAGAAAGGCACAAAGGGACGATATGTCTCTGTCGAACGCTTGCTCGAGTTAGACGACGGCACAGTAGAGTGGCGAATGGCGACGTCTAGCACACCTGGAGGAAGTATTCCGAATTTCATTACAGAGAGCAGTATGCCAGGCCAAATATCTGCGGTAATTATCACATCGTCTTATGCACCGTGAATCAAGACTGATATGACCTTACAGGATGTTCCTCATTTCTTAAAGTGGTTCCATACCATTCGCAATCAAGGAACTGCATAACTCGATAGTTGAAATTTAATCGGACAGTAGATCGGACAGTAGATGAGTATTATATATGCTTGTTCAAAGGCGAGAAACGCGATTCTGCATGCGTTACTGTTGTGCGAACTCAGCACAATCTACACAATTATGACATCAAACATCGCTGGGAATAGATGCTCATTGCTATAGGGAGCTTGATTACGAGTGAGAGGTGAGGTGTAATAATGGTATGGGAGAAAGGGAGTCCTGAGTCGATATGGGATGATGTAACAGTACGAGTACTGTAGAGCGGTAATGAGATATCAAGTCTCGCGCTTTTCGTCACGTTCGCGTTCAAGTTGCTCGATCCTACGGAGATGATTATCCCGTTGAGCTTTCACCCTATTAAGATACTCCTCGTCGGATATTCTACGACCAAACATAGCAAATATTCGGTCTGTGAATGATTTGGGTGGTTCCGGGGCGGCGACTGGTAAGGAGTATGTTGCAACAGGTGCTGCGGGTATAGCAGGTACAGGCTGTGTATGCACCACTTTGGATACGTGAGTTATCCTCAGAATGTCGAACTCATTGAATGCCCATTGGAAGAGCCCGCACATCGTCGCGCCTGTCACTAAACCAGGAACAGTTCCCGATCTTCCACCTATGATGGAATGAGAATTGTTGAGAGGCACAAGAGAGCGACTCACGTTTCCAAGTGTTAAGGATGCTACCAGCCAAGGCTCCGCTAATGCTAGAATCAAGTACTTTACGAGAGCGGATGTCACCCCACGTTAACTTGGATATATTGGTGGGAGCCCCTTCTGCGGCTTCCTTGAGTATCTGTCTGCGCAGTTCGTACTGTTTTCCTGGCATCGACAAGACGAGTACAGGGCCAACTAGGTACTCTCGTATACCTGTGTGCCTAGTTAATTCTGTTGGGTATCTGAAGAAATGCTTACCATACTGAAGAATGTTGCAGATGCAATGCCGCTATTCAAAGCTGAAAACAATAATAGAGGTCCTGGTGGTTGCGATTTGACGACGCCATACAACCCTGCAGTCAAACCGCAGACAGTAGCTGAGGAAGACAATTATCAGCTTTATTAATCTGAGAATGGCCATGGTGGAAGACGGACTCGCATGTTATGAGTACGCCTTTAGCTACCGTCTGTGGGGCTGAAGGATCCATCTTCACGTTGCATGTAACAAGTCAGTGGCAGAGCAAGAGCAACTGCTGAAATTTCCGTAGAGTGGTTGTGACCCCCCGAACAGGGGTGAGTCTGTGAGTTAAACGAGCTTGGACTTCGCAAATGTTCCTTGTGTGCTACTTGCATAATGTTCAAACGTACGGCTGCTCAAGCATGGCGATCTCGCCGCCTGCACTCTCATATTTCACATACGGCACAAGCGGCTAGAGCACGACCTGCTCGGTCTGCAGTCATAGCTTCTTCTGCAGTTGCTACCGCGGGCTTGCTCTGGTATTCGTTTAGTACCACCATCCACAACGACGCTATCATAACTCCGAAGCCAGAAGATATATCCAAGTCCGTCCAGAAAGCTTCTACATCCAGCACCGGAATCACGGAGGACGACGGGAGCATATGTGCAGTCGCGTGGGGTTCCAACCAGTGAGCTGTACGATTACATGTTCACTAGATGGAATGCTCATGTTTAGGTACAACGTAATCGACCCAAACGAACCCGGAGTCCAACGGGTGCAGTGCCCCGTAAATGCTAGTTGGCTAAAAGGCGTCGCGCTGCGCGACTTGGCACTTCATGAGCGACATGCTGCTTGTGTAGATGCAAGGGGAGATGTATACCAGTGGGGTGACGGATTCTTTGGCTCAAGTCCCACATCAAAATCAGAGCAGCAGGGACCGAAATTGACGTTGCGTGGTCATGTAAGACGGTCTGTCCTCTGAAAAGGCATTGTTACTCAGTTTATGATTCGGTTAGAACATCATCCAGCTTCAGCTCACCGAATCTCGAATATATGCTCTATCGGCCTCGGGGAAAATATATGTCATCGCGGCTAATGCAGAACAACAAAAAGCGCCTCCTCCTCAGCCACTTCCTGCTAGTACTACGTCCTGGTGGAGACCCGGCTGGATATGGGGAGCACAAGGAAATGCCATCGACTTCATGGAGATTACACCTAAACAGAAACTCGGTTGGGGTGAACAGTCTGTATCAATCTGCCATCCGAGACTATGAGCTCATACCAACCTAGGTTCGTATCCATTTCAGCGGGCAGAAACCACCTCTTGGCATTGACATCTTCTGGTCGGACAATGGTTCATCCCATGAACAAAAACGCAAACACACATGGTCAGCTTGGTCTACGGAAGTTTGACATTCCTACTCCTCCAAGTTCTACCGACATTGTCTCTCCGTCTCGCATTCCCGTCGAGCTAGTTCCAAGGGCAGCGGCTGACCCATTCGCTAAAGCTTCACCTTTCTCGCGTTCCGCGACATCATCTGTGCCGCTTTCCACATCTACCAACATTGATGGAATAGATGACCAGCACATCAGATTTTCAGATGCCCTCTTTGAAATTCCCTCTCTCCAAGGCATCAAGGCTTCTCAAATTGCAGCTGGAGATCGCACCAGCTTTGTAATAACAGATTCAGGTAGGGTGCTTGGCTGGGGAGCGAATGAGTTCGGGTAAAGAAACCTATTGACACGTAAAAATCCGCTAACACTTATTATTCCAGCCAGATTGGACTGGGTGGAAGCATGACTCTTGACACGATTATACTACCGACAGAGGTGGTTCTGTCGAGAAACGTACCCATTTCTGTCCGCACCAGATGCATTGACATCTCTGCAGGCAAGTGAGAATACCAGGTCTTTTACTGTTTATAACTAAATTCATTGCGCAGGTGGTGATCTGACATGTTTCGTCGCCGAACGCACAGATGGCGAATCCCTCGTCTATGTGGACCTTCTGACCTGTGGTAACGGGCAATGGGGAGGACTAGGGAACAATCAGTACTCGAACGCCCAAGGGAACCCTGTCCGCGCAAAGAACGTCAGCGGTCTCCGGGAATGTCAGCCCCTCATTATTGTAACCTTATATGCACTTACAAACCCCTTATAGACAATGAAGACAGCCGGACCATGTCTCCCATCCTTCCTCACGCTATCTCGGTGTCTCCCACTGGTCATGTCCTGCTGACTTTGGATACACAAGCGCATGGGGGGCCGGGTGGCTTGGGTCGGGATCTGGTCGTCTGGGGAACAAATCACGACTATCAGCTTGGTACTGGTAAGAGAAGCAGTCTTCCTGTTCCTACCACCTTGGAGCGTCCTGAAGGGGGTCGATTTATCCTGGGTCAACGAAAAGCTCCGGTGAGGGACCTTGCTGGTAAGATATGGAAGAAGAAAGTCGAGGTCGAGCAGTGTGCAGTCGCGGGGTACGGTAACAGTATCATATATTGGAAGATCAGGTAGATAGTCGAGAGTGCGGGATGGATTGTAGTCTACTAGTCACCACTCAGTCTTAATAGCATGGTTCTTGTTGCACGTGAGATTCACATGACCGTGACGCGGTTGTGGCGCAAAATAACCAACTCTGTTAATCACCATCACGCGATGGCGAGGGACCTTCAATCAAAAGATCCTCAGCTACAAGAATGCATGTGCGCGAACGATAACATCTCATGTTTCACGTAAATTGACGCCCCAATCCCGAACCATTCAATGCAGCAAATTGATCCGGGAGATGACAAGCATCATCGATCCCGCGGATGACTACCTCACAATAACTGCAGCTGAAGAGCAAATGAAGATCAATTATGCCCGAGGAAAGAAAGAGAACGAAGAGGCATATGCAGATTTAAAAGGTATGAGCTATCTCTACCGTACTCACGACTTGCCAGTGATCACCTTCATCCTATTTTAAAGCCTTGTCTCGCGTCTTGGAGGCTGCCAAGAAATCTTCGATGCGACCACCGAACGTGCCCTCTTTGGAAAAGCACGCGTCCCATCTCAACGACCTTGACGGATCCAGGCTGTCCCTAGCCAAGGCTATCCGTGACGCGGAGGGCTCTCTAGCTAGTAAAGAGGCTGAGCTGGCAGCCCTGAAAGAGCAAGCGCGTTCATTAGAGGAATCAGATCCTGCCAAGGATCACCAGATTCAGCTAGATGGCTCTGCGTGAGTACCACGCTGCACGATATGAGAGCGGGCGATTGAATATGCTCCTTCTCTAGATTGCGCTTGAAGATCTACAGAGGGTTGGGGTTCGAACCCGTTCTTGACAAGGACGGGCGAGTGACCAAGATGCTTGTTCGTGAGTGTATTGAATTTGAGTTATCCCTTGGAAGTGTGACCTAATATCTGGTTTAGGCAGTGAATCTAATGACATCCACTCCTTCCCGTCCGATGGAAGTAAATCAGATTTCGATGATGCCGCTCAGCTTTGGAGGCTGGCAATCTCATGATGATAATGATCTTAAGAAATATGATCTTATCTGTCACTACATGCGCTGTGATAATTATGCGTATATCTATTTTCTTTTGGCCCCTCCCTCAATGTGAAGTTTTCATACCAATGGACTATGGAGCGCTGCTTATTTGCGGCCACTCGACGAACCAATTCGATGCACAGGATATATCTACATAGAACAAATAATTGCTTATAATTGTTTATACGCAGTTGATGCTGTAGGTTTCGAACCACCCTAATCTACTGAACGAGATCGAAGGTTCCGTATGGTTCCTCCCAAAAGCGAAGTAATCAAAACCACGAACACTTAAAATGGTCACGGTGATTCAGGGATTATATCAAGAGGGAATCGATCATAGTTGTTGCCCTTCCCTGATAACCCATATTTTCTTCTCTTTGGACTTCTCTGCCATCTCCCGTACCTTTGCCTCGATAGCATTCTTCTTCACTTTGTGCGCGCGAAGCTCCTGGTGAACGCTTTCCACGATAAATGTGAGGTTTGCTGTCGCTAAAGTCGTGATCTTGCTGATAAGCAAAGGGACATGTGCATCGGGGAATGTGGTCTTCGGCGTGGACGCTGGGGTAGCACGCTTGTTCGCTAGAGCCTGAGCAGCAGCTGATGATGACTCTGCAGCGCCGCTGTTTCCTGATAGTCGATTGGGTAGGGAAGGAACCGCGAACTCAGACTCATAATTTGGTTGCTGACTTTCTTCGGCAGTCTTTGCAACGAAGGTGAAGGGGTCGATCGGGTATGGCGTGTCTGTAGCAGACGATCAGAAAAGGTTCAGTGAACTCCGTGAAGAACGTACTATTAAATAGTTGTATGCGGTATGGTTTGAAAGGATCATATTCACATTGACCTATGACCGACTCCCACAGAGGACCTTTGGTATAGGGAACGAGAGGGACCACGATCTTCCGCTTCTTTTCAGGCTGCTTGCTAAGAGGCTCTGCCTTCCTCTTGGGAGGGGGAAGGGGTATGTCCAAGAGTGGAGGTGATAGGTCCCGGTCATCCGGAACAACTTCAATCTCATCGTCATCCACTAGCCAGCTTTCCAGGTCAGAATCACCCTCCTCGCCGTCACCCTCCTCATCGTCATCGTCATCAACGTTGTCCGCATCTGCTGCCCCTTCATCTTCCCACTCCTCTCCAGAATCGTACCCGTAATCACGGGCAAGCAGATCGCGAGCGAAAGGTGATCTGGGACCAACGATGCGCGAGTTCTTCGTCCAAGAACCATAGTAGCCAGGACGCGCATCTTCGTGGAAAATCAAGACCTTCGCTGGAAGCATCTTCCTGTCCCAAAGAATGTCTGATAAGTAGCGAACTTGAGATGTATCCCCAGCTATCTCAGCATCATTAAGCTGGGAATATATATCTTTCGCGTTACATGCGCTGAAGGATTTGAAGGAGGATTTCGATCGGTCGCAGGGTTTCGTGAGCCGGAGAGGCCGCAACGACCGTATAACATCCTGGAGACGCTCTATATATAATATCAGTGACATGAACTGGAGTGCTTGGATGTACACACCCTGCGCATTAGCTTCGGTATGATTGAATGCCGGCGTGCGATACACGAACACATCAATGTCATTCGTCCCCGAAGTTTGGGTATCATCGACGACGATAGCGTCTGCAGGGCTGAAACCCGAAGTCTGCTTCTTCCAAGTCAGTTTGCTAGGCTTTAAGAACCAGTTCGCCGGTGCCATTTCTGCGTCTTTCTTCAAGACAAAAGGCTTAAACGTTTTCTGAAAATCCGATTCGCTGTTGGAAGCCCCGCAAACGGGTTTTGAAGGCGACTCGCGAGGAGGGGCCTTCGCCTTGCCGAAGAAGTTAGCCATAAGGGACCGGGATTTGTCCTGGGTCGCCTTTTGCTTTTTCTCTTTCTCCGCCTTGGCCGCTTTCTTCTCTTCCTTCTCTTTGGCCTAGAATCACAACATTAATTGAATAAGATTGCTACATAGGAGACTAGCGTACCTTTGCGACCTTCTCTGCATCTGTAACTTTTCGCTGTCGAGCTTTTGGGGTTCCACTCCCGGACTACCCAAGATTGTCAGTAAGTCAGTGACATGGACAAGGGAGAGGAGAGAACATACATCGATGTTTTCGGGTTCATTGGCACTAACACTCGGATCGCGCTGGGATGACGAGTCCTTGAGCTCTGCTGCATCAGCCTGTTCGGCGGTTGCATTGCTCGGCGGATTGGGCTTATTGGTGTCTTTAGTGGGGAGCTTGTTGATACCTTTCGGGTCGAGGATAGCATCCCGCTCATCCTGCGGTAGACTTTCGAAGATTGCGCGAAGGTCTGTCTTGGCCTAAAAGAGATGTCAAAGAAGAAATCTGAATTCGAGAGACAATACACACCTGGACACGTTCAGCTATTCTTGCCTCGGCTTTCTCCTTGGCAGATTTGGGTAGCCAATCCCGATAGTTGTCTTTGACCTCCCATCGCCAGACGCACAAAATAGGAGGGAGTTTGTATCCTAATGGACCATCCAGGCCATAATTTGTCCTGACCATGAGCGACTGAATGGTATGCTCTACCACAAGAAGAGGCAAAGCAACTGATATGCTTTCGCGTGAAGAGTCATCGTCCTCATCGAAAGATGGCAGAAGTTCGGAGCGGATATGTTTCGCAAGCGGAGTGACACCCTTCTCACTAGATATAGAAGTCAGCAAAGACCTACATTGGTCGCCATGTTACAAGCTCACCTCTCTTGCGCAAGCTTCACTATCAGAGGTTTGTGTTCATCTGGAATAGCAGTAAGTGGGGGTTCCTGCCTTTCGATTCGCTGCTCGATCATCTCGCGGAACTTGACAATTTCTATGAAATAGAGATCTCAGATCGAGCGCTCTCGAAACGGTCGGAGGACAGACCTTGCATCGCTTCTGACGACTTCTCAAACGATATGGGCTTCTGCTTGAAGATAACTTTTCCATTTTTCAACTCGGCAAGAGGTTTCTTTGCTGCTATACAACAAAAAGACGCGTCTGGGTGAGTGCATCCGGGATAGAATGCTGGTCGACTGTGCTCACTAGTAGATGTCGATGCACTGGAAGAATCTAACGGGGATTTCAGCTATAAAACATATTGTTATTTGCACAAGACATACCTATTTTCTCTGTATCTGCCATTTGTGCAGAAAGATCAGAATCACAAAGTAGTCAGGAACTAAAAAAAACGCGTGCTTTAGTCCAGTCGGCGCGTCGTGGACGGATTGTGACCTATTGTGACGTGGGAAAACATTTGCCGAGACGTGTTCGTGACGTGACAGTCACGCGTTTCTGACGCGTTACATCTTGCCCCGCGTGCCTGATTTGAAGGAGACAATTTCTAAAGAACATCCAAGACTTGTTCAAGGATGGAATTTTTTCAAGCAAAGTCAACATCGACAGCGTCGAAGCATTCTGTAGACCCAGCACATCAACCATGGGTAGAAAAATAGTCAGTGTGTTCTCTTTGCTCTACGTGAAGCTTCTCTCATTACATGCAGTCGACCAAAGACCATAGATGATGTCTCAGCACAAGAGCATACAGTCGCAGTACTGCAGAAAACACTGGTCTCGACGAATGTATGCAAGCCTTTCTTACTTATGGCGTGGTTCTTCCTCATGCAAAGTAGCTCCCTCACATGCTGTTCTATGGACCCCCCGGAACTGGTAAAACATCCACCATTCTCGCGCTTGCAAGGCAACTTTTTGGGTGCGGCTGATGTCATTTTGATTTGTCAAAACTCATTACTCTGCCAGACCTGATAACTTTCGAAACCGAGTCCTAGAGCTCAATGCCTCAGACGAGAGAGGCATCAGCATAGTCAGAGAGAAAATCAAATCATTCGCCCGTCAAACACCCCGAGCACAGGCAGTAGCATCAGATGGGAATGTCTATCCCTGTCCTCCATACAAAATCATCATTCTCGACGAAGCAGATTCCATGACACAAGATGCGCAAGGTGCATTACGACGAATAATGGAAACTTACTCCCGGATAACTCGTTTCTGTCTTGTTTGCAATTACGTGACAAGGTGAAGACACTCCTGTTTCTCCTTGCAGTCACTGACTGCTACAAGAATCATCGAACCTCTCGCGTCTCGATGTTCAAAGTTTCGTTTCACGCCTCTTGATTCGGCATCCACTTCATCTCGACTCTCTTACATCGCAAGTGCAGAAAACATTGATGTTGATCCTGACGTCATTTCCACCCTGATCGAGACCTCTGGTGGTGACCTCCGTCGTTCTATCACATATTTGCAATCTGCGTCTCGACTATCTTCCTCCACCAACCCTCCGGTGCCAATCACGCCTCTCGACATCCAGGAGATAGCAGGTGTTGTACCAACTGCTGTAATAAACGATTTTGCGAGGACTCTCGGCGTTCCCGTCGTCGAGGACATGGATGTCGATGACTTGCCCGCAAACAAGAAACTGAAGGGTTTCAATGCCGTCCAGAAAAAGGTCAAGAGCATCATGCGAGAAGGATACTCAGCATCACAAACACTCTCACAGGCTAGTGATCTATCAAAACAGTTGAACTTGTCTGACATTGTTGTAGCTTCATGACACTATCATTCTGCACCCGACACTACCTGCACGACAAAAAGCAAAGTGCGCTCTCGCTTTTGCAGAAGCCGATAAGGCTCTGTGTGACGGTGCTGACGAAGAACTATGGGTACTCGAGGTTGGGCTTCACATTCACAAAGCAGTTACCACCACATCATGACGTTCTAGTGATACACATACCACATTATCAGTTTGCCGCCCCACGCCAGACATAATGCAGTGCGAATAGAAAGGGGAATGCATTGCAAATACAACGCCAAATTTTGGTATGCAAAACAGGAAGAACAATAGACAACATCATGGAAATACTACGCTGCTCTATCTTGCATAATACGCATCAAAAATCATTATCATTCACCGGATACCAGCAGTTGCCTTTTGAAGTGCCCGCTTAATGGCAAGCTGCGACTTCCTCAACTCATCTGCGCTTGAGTCCTCAATCTCGAGCTTTTCGAGTGCACGGGCAAGCTCAGTCTCGACCTGGGACTTGGCACCACGCTTGAGCTTCATGCCAATCTCAGGCGAGGTAATGGTGCCCTCGACCTGGTGGATGTAAGCCTCCAGGTCGGACTTGGCCTCGTGACGTGAAGAG